CTAATCCAGTTAACGGAAGCGTGACCAATAAATCGCTTGGACTTGGACTTGGACTCGGCATCGGAGGCATTGCTGCGATTGGTCTTGCTGGCCTATTGGTCCACAATCGGCGCCGCAAGGAAGCGTACCGGTCGACTGGCGGAAGCAGTATGATTGACGACGATCCGAATGCCAGGACACGCTGGAGAACCCAGAGCTTCATGGGTGCAGTTGCGGCTGCAGTAGCCCGCCTTCCTCGTTCCCCATCCACACGTAGCAATGCCTCGAGCGCGTCTCGAGTTCAATCCGGACAGGCGGTCGGAGCAGGCGCAGGCGCAGTTGAATATGATCATCGATATATGTCGGGTGAATCGACTGGATCGCCACCCTCCCTGACACGCATAGAAGGAGGGGCAGGAGGAACATCACCATTTGGAGTAGGAGTAGGAGTAGGAGGAGGGGAGCGAGGGGGGGCTGGAGGGTCCCAGAATGCGCGTGGAATGCAGTCTATTGATTTGCGTTACTGAGAAAAAAAAAAGAAGCCTCTAAACCAAACCAGAAAATAAAAAAAATAAAAACAAAGTCTGTGTGTAATGCTTGGACAAATATTATTATCAATATATTTATTATTTTGTACTAATAAAAATAAAACAATTTACAGCAATTACAACTTTGTGTTAGTATTGATATATATTTTGGTATACTTTCTTTCCATTTTTAGTAAAAGAAGTATATATATACATTTTGTTCTATTTTTATTTATAAAATATACAGAAGAAGTGTATATTATCCTGCTTTAAAGAAGAAGAAGAAGAAAATGTCATTTTTACTATGAATATTACGAATAATAAAATATAAGCATATTCAAGTGGGCTTATAATATATATATATATATATATAATAAAATAAGATAAAAGAAAAGTTGGTTTTTCAAACAAAAAAAATGGGAGTCTAGAAACATATGAAAAATAAATAAATAAATAAATAAATAAATAGAGAATTGAATTTTTGTGAAATGTACATTTAACTTATTAGCAGAAAACCATTCGATTTTCTGTCTAATTTGACTGGGCCACGTGCAATAGTGTCTATATATTGAATAGCCTTGAAACTTGAAAGGTATCATTCTAAAGACCTTGAGAAAAATACACAAATAAATTCTTAGATAGTTAAATAGATACCAAAACAAATATTATACAATCAACAGTAGAAATGATCATTATAATAGAGATATGGATATATCTAGTGCAGAGCGAAATTATTAAGTTTGACCATCACAATATAACTAATGACCAACTTGCCTAGTCATAAAAAAAAAACCGAAATTTCAAAAGATACAAGACATATATATATATATATATATATATATGATCTAAGCTTCTTTTATGAAGTTACAATAATATTGTAATAATCAACTTCAACAACCGAAGATTTGTAATAAGGCTTGTAACCAATTCTATATGTTGTCTGTGTTTTGTGTATGAGTGTATGGGTATATGGGTATATGGGTGCACATACCCATAAGTGCAGTTTCTCTAAAAGTGTACAATAATCTAGCTGGAAATAATCGCTTCCTTTTGTCTTATACTTAATAATATTAGCTTGGTTAAAAATCTATGTAAAGTATGTTTTAGCTATTACTAATGGTTGCTTTTGTTGAGTTATATTACTCGGACCAAAAAAAAAGTTGAGAGACAAAGCCACAAGTATTTACAATTAAAGATATACTCTACAAAGTAAACCTTGTTTAATTATTGTGTTGTTTGGCCAAAAGATGTGCAAATGCAATTGACCATGATAAAGTCAGAAACCAAAGCAATCTTTGATTAATTATTTTCAACATGGACATACAAGTGAAGTGAGAGATATAGCTGTTTTTATATCAGTAAAGAAAAACTTCTTGTATAGATTACATGTTATTTGGTTAACAAAATAAAAATAAAATGGGTGCCCGAGTTATACCAGTGGTTATCTTGTTACCTCGCAACATATTTCTTGCTTAAAGAATACTTTTGAACAAAACAAAAAAGAAGAAAGAAAAGACAAATACTCGGGCTAATTGAGCCAGTCAATGTCTTGAAAAAAGCTTGTATTGAAGTTTTTCGCTTTACAGCTTTAATTGTACTGTTGAGATTATCTTTAAGACCTAGAGTATTTGGATACATATGTTGTGTTATTCAACAAACATACCCGCACATTTGTATAGTACAGTTTAATAAATAACCTTATTTAGCTTTAGATTTTTTATGAAATGGGTAGACAATGAAACCAGGCAATACCAGGCAATATATTTTTTTAAAAAAAAAGCTTCTTTTGTATGTGTTTGTTTGTTTGTTTGTTGTAGCCAGCCAGTATGAGACCAGCCAAACATCAAAGTGACCGATGCTGAGAATGGTACGAATCATAAAGTTTCTGTATACCCACTTGGCTGAGCTTTATTTCTGAGCCACCTTTAAAATCTCCAAAAGTAATTCTTCTGGTAATGGCGTACGTTTATCCTTAGATAGTAATGAATAAGAGTATATCAAAAGAATCAGAAAACACTTATTTATCTTCAAAAAACCTCAGCAGAGTTTTCTATTTATTGTGATCATTCGAGAGTAATACATTGAGGTATCCAACTAGCATATTCAACAGCAACAAATTCTATGAAAATCCTCTAGCACATTTAAAATAACCTTACTGTTCACTAACGCATTTTTCAGAATTAATTATTATATATACTATGAAAAGAAGCAAGGTTAAACATAAAATCTATAGTAAAATCTCAAATAAATAATTCTTTTACAAGGTGGTTATGTTATGAATATCCTTCACATGTCATATTTCATTTTCTTGGTAGCGAATGCATTTTTTAAAGAAATTAATGTCAATAAACAATGTCAGTTTTTGGCTGTACTTTTTTTGTATTGTTTATTGAAAGAAATGTCCACCCGAATTTTTGTTCGTACTGAATTGAATTGAATTGTTTGTGAACCAGTGGCGGGAGGACCAAGTAGTACAATTTGAGTCTAAAAGTTGCGTTGATGACCGAACATCCGTGCGCTGCATCTTGGAGTCTCTTGTCAAAACCATATATTCGATAGCCAATACAAGATATCAACCTGTTTTTCTACAGCATAGATACTCATATAATACAAGATGCTTCATATGCCGTAATCAATTTACTCTACTTGGTCTATTTATAAAAAAAATCTATGATATGTATGATACCAGAGTTTACTCTTTACACATTTGAACACACAGCACACGTACTATTTATAGGGAGTACATGATATATATAAAGAAATTGTAAACCTTGAGGAGTATCTCAAAGTTTTCGGATAATTTATTATCTTAAAAGAAAGCCCTCTGAATTCAATCTATGCTTTATTGATTACTCTCTACCTCTACAACTGTATTTGTCTATCCCTCATTGAATTATAAGCTTTAAATTATCTATTCTTTGAATTCTTGAGCCTTTCTACACCAAATCTATATTCTTAAGAGTCCAACAGAGTATTTATATATTTAACCAGGCTCGAATTCCAAAATTTGATTTGATAAAGTCTCAAAGCTTAGGATCTAACAGCCTTCTCTTTCTGTTACTTTGGATAGGAAAGTCTTGCCTGCCAGCCAGCTGGTACACCAATCTCTTGTTGAAATGTAAAAATTATACATTCTAAGCAAGGGTTTTTTTTGGGTTTATAAAAAAATGAAAAATAAAATAAGATTTTATTTTTCATTTGAATTAAAGGAGTTGTCATAATTTGTGTGTGTGTATGTGTTGAGAGGGGAGATAGGAATAGGCAGAAGGAGAAGAATTAATGTGGTTGGTTCGTTGCCGTTTAATTAAAAAGAAAAAGGGAATTTAAGAGAAAGACCCGTTCCAAAGTGGACTCTAATAAACTATAATAAAGGGCTCTACGAGTGATTGACTTAATCGCTTGCCTTTATTTATTTAAAAAACAAAATAAATAAACCCAATTCATTCAACATCCCACTTTTTTCTCTCTCTCTAGATTGACTCTATTAGTATTAGTGTTAGTATTAATTTTGAGGTCTAAAATCAAAATCAAAAAGTTACATACACAGATGAAAACAGGTATAATTATTCAAGTGTACTATGGATATTTCGAGACTTATGACTTGAATATTGGTTATACCGGATTTTGTGGGTTAGAATTTGAGTCAATCTTCCATAGATAACCCGGGAATCAGAGATAATTGGTGTCTTCCAAAGATTCATTTATTCGAATACATTTTTCATTTACAGCCGCGGTGTTTCATTTGTATGATTACATTTTGAGATCTCCTCCCCACCCAGCCTTCCACTTTTGCCTTACCAATTCTGAAAGGCTTTAAAAGCATGAATTGTAAAACATGGTTCAAATAAAACATACATTTGATTCTGAATACAAAAAGGTATAACATCATTGGTTTATAAGAATCTATCCTACACACCCAAAATTCCATTATTATTATTATTTTGAAACACAAACAAATTAGTTTAAGAATTTGAAACCAAAACACCACAAAATACAGGTAGTGCTTGTATATTGATAACTAGATTACCTAGGTAATAATAGTAGTAGTAGTAGTAGTAGTAGTAGTAGTAGTAATGCTGGTGGTGGTAAAAGGTTGATTTGTCATATACAAACCTAATTCAACCATCAAATGTCTGTTGTTAACCCCTTTAGTTATTCAACCTGGGCTCAGCCACTATGGCTACCAAACAAGTAGGAGACCTAAAATAAAAATAATAAAAATCAAAGGCGCAGTGTATTCTATATATTTATATCTATAAATCTATATACAGTTTTTTTTCTTCATTTAGGCTTAGTGTTTCGACAATTATTCTATTCTATACTTACCAAAAGGGAGGCTACATATATATATATAAATAAAAAGGTTAAATTTAGAAGCTTGGAAAAAATCAGACCACTACAACCAATTAAATAAAAATATATAAAAGTGGAGTTCAAGACTTCTTTCTTGTATTTTCTCTCTCCAAAATCCGACAGTTCCCTTTCCGGTTTTCTGATCAACTAACATTCACCAACCTAATTGTTAATTGCCATGAAGACTGCATTATTTGTATCCATGGCAGCCGCCGTGTCTCTCGTCATGGCACAGAATGAACCGAGAGATGCACCATTCTATTGGACACAGCCTCAAAAATTCATGTCCCCTTACGAAAAGACCGGCAAGATGGAACAGTACGGTCGTACTGGTGTGGCAGCAATGCATGCTGTCTTGCTAAAGTAAGGACCTTTTTTTCACTTCTTTGAAGAATTTTTTTTTTTTATTATGCAACCAGAATCTAATCGTTTGTTCATTCCATTTCTTTTTTATTAAAAAAAATAGTGAAAAAACTGTCTTGATTATCGACAAAGGTACGGTACACACCAAAAAGAAACAAAGCAACAAACAGATAGATATAAAACATATATAACCAACATTTCTATTTGTGGTATCTTTAAAAGAAATATACATGCATACATACATATCAATAATTAATTCATTGTTGTTATCTTTTTTTTAAAATAAATAAATAAATGAACAGCTGAATGGAACGAAGCTCAATTTGATTCTGGACAGAGTGCTTATTCTGTTCAATACGATCTTGAGACAAACGACTACAGAGCTTTGCCTTTGGAAACAAATACTTTTTGCTCAGCTGGTGGTTTCCTTAGCAACGGTACATTTATCAGTACCGGCGGTGGTGAGAAGCGTGGTCGTACATGGAAGGCAGAGTCGGGATGGCAATCTATCCGTCACTTCACACCTTGCACTGACAACACTTGCGAGTGGAGCGAATACAAGACTGGTTTGATGCAGAACAACAGATGGTACCCCACTGTCGAACAATTGCCAGAAGGAGATATCATCATTGTCGGTGGATCTACAAAGGGTACTGCGTTTAACCGTGACGAGATCAACGTTCCGTCATATGAATTCTGGCCACCAAGATCGGGCGGTGAAATCCATTTGCCTTTCCTTGAAGAGACCATGCCTTACAACTTGTACGTATTGTACTAAATAATACTATAACAACCAAAAGAAGAAGAAGAAAGAAAAAAGAGTTTTTTGCTGTGTGTTCAAACTAAACAAATGGCTAAATTAACGTTTTTGTTTTGTTTTTTAAAAAAAAGATATCCCTTTGTATTCCTTCTTCCAGATGGCAATCTATTCATGTTTGCTAATAACCAGTCCATGATCTTTGACTACCACAACAATCGTGTTGTGAAGAAGCTTCCTGATATTCCCGGCACACCAAGATCCTACCCTCTCACATCTGGCGCTGTCATGCTTCCTCTCGACCCTGCAAACAATTACAATGTCGAGATTCTGATTTGCGGTGGTTCAGAGAACAGAAAGAACAATGCAAAGGCTGATGACACCTGCGGCCGCATCAACCTTGGCGACGAAAACCCACAGTGGGAAATGGACACATTTGTCCACCCACGTTTAATGCCCGATGGCGTCATCTTGGCCGATGGCACTACCCTGTGGGTCAATGGATGTCAGCGCGGATGGGCCGGATACAACAACCGTAACCACGATCCTACCTTTGACCCTATTATCTACGACCAAGACAAAAAACTAGGCAACCGCTGGACCACCGGATTGGCTAACACTGACATTGCACGCATGTACCACTCTGTTGCCCTGACCCTTCCCGATGGACGAGTCTGGATTGCCGGCTCTAACAATGTCGATCCCCCGGATCTTTTGGCCGAGTACCCCACCGAATTCCGTGTCGAATACTTCTCGCCACCTTATCTGTTCAAGGGTTCTGTCCGTCCCTTGATTTCCAATGTACCCAAGGTGGTTACCTATGGCGAGAAATTTAACATTCTTTTGAACCTTGGAACTCTTGCCGAAGAAAACCCTGTGATGAAGGTTGCTATCCTTCGTACTGGTTTCAGCACTCATTCTATGCACATGTCACAACGCTATGTGATTCTGAACCACAAGGTCTCGGACGACATGCAGTCTATCGAGATCGAAGCCCCTCCAAGAGCCACAATTTTCCCTCCAGGCTCTGGCTTCCTTTATGTATTATGCAATGGTGTACCTGCCAAGGCCGCCGAGCTTTTTGTCGAAAAAGATATCAATGACTTGGCGATCTAAATAAGAAGACATTTTGTTCTTTCCTTCTTTTCTTCTCATCATCTTTAATACCTCTCTCTCTCTTTATCTTTGTGTTCTCTTTCTATATTATTATTACTATTTTCCTTTTTACTTATTCCCCAAATATCTATTCTGTAAACATTACCTACACATTTTTTTTTTGTTTTTTGTCTTTTTTTTTATTCTTTCTTGTTTACATACAAATTACCCGTAAATAAAGAAAACAATCATATATCAACTTTCTCATTGAAACATACTTTATTTGAGCTCATACAGGAAACTATAGCCATTTTCAGGCCCTTGTTTCTGTACTTTGTTGAATAAGAAACCAACTTTTTTATGTTAAATGTCATTAAAAACGGCTTTGAAGCCGAGGTAAGTCCGGGTTTTCTTTTATATATACATGTACAAGGTAGACCAGTAACCCCAGCGGAATTGCGTAAAGAATGAATAGCACGTTTATACAAGTTTATGAGGCTTTTTCAAATTTTTATAATTGTCTTGATAGCTAGACATGTAGAGAATCTGCAAGAAATTACATTACAATTACTTTTTACGGGCCGTTTAATGTAGGCCACGAAATGTTTTCCAGAAAAAAAAATCGCCTGCAGCGGTTACATTTCAGGCAGCATTATATACAATTGGTGTGGATGGACTAAAAAGTTCAAGTGACTCTTACTGGCTAGTCTTCTTCCATTGTCAATTGGATTGAGAAGAAGATCGTACTTTTTATGGAAGAGATTGTTCCACTGGTTACAAGGTCTAGAAAACCCACAGTAAAATATTTTCACTTGATTTAAAAAATGGTATTATGAGCACTTCAATTGTTATCTAATATGCATTTGAGCTGATTTTGAGCTTTTTAGTCTGTCCACACCAATTGTATATAATGCTGCCTGAAATGTAACCGCTGCAGGCGATCATAAGACAAGAAAGATTTGGAAATACATGATATGTTTGGGCCACTGGAGTTTTGAAGACATACTCAACGTGTCCCTACTCATATGCTACTCATACCCTACTCCTATACGCTACGAATGTGCTATAAGTGTTCTACAAATATGCCTTAGGATACTTATGGTCAGGTATATTGGTAAGAATAAAGTACAATCAGACCAAGAATATAGTAATACTTTTTTTTAAAAAAAAAACAAATAAATTAACGAGAAATATCTAACATGAGTATTACTAGCCAGCAGGTCGAACTGTATTATGGCAAAGTACCTTCCTGCAAAATATATTAAACCCCGACGTTCAAACAGCTTGGAAAGATCGAGGCTCAAAGAAGAAAATAACTATCAAGCGTGTAAAGCAGATATCTTGACACAGTGATTCCTTCTGGAAGTTATTACTATATCCTACAAAATAGAATCAAGCTTTTTTAAAAAGACCCTTCTCTTGTATTTTGATATATCCTATATTGTTCAATATTAAAAACTGTACATATTTTTTTATATATCATATATAAAAGCTTGGATATTATTCTTGTAATAGTCAAAACTCTCTTATATTTCTAAGAAATCGATCAGGAAATGACTGTATGTCCATAAACCAAGTACATTCAAGAGTTCAACAATTTTTAAGCGCGTGTGAATTCTGTTTTTTCCCTAAAAACTCTTGCTTTCTATCATGAGTCGTCGTTAAAAGGATACGCGAATCAACATCGGGTGTCAGTTTGAATGAGAAAAATAGAAAATTGATCTTTAATGCGCAATGTCCTGACAGACTCATTTCTGAAAGAACATGATGAGAGTTATATATAGGCTAATGAGTTATCCACATGAATAGAATTGTAGTTCTTGATGGTAAATAAGGTTTCGCATCGTTGTCGCTCGTCTTTTTCTGTTTTTTTTTGCGTCCTTTTTTGTTTACTTTTGCTTTTTTTTATGGTTTTTCGCTTTGGTAGTCACATGCATGTTAAAGTAGTCACGCATTTTTTCCTCTTGGTTTTTTTTTGCAGGTGTACACGTCAGCGATGAAAGAATAGAAGAGATGTGTAAAGTAGATGGAAGACTCCATTTACTTTAGTCCTCTTCACTGAAAAGGAACTCGTGAAACTCAACTCCGTTAAAGTAGTTGAAGTGACGATTGACGTTCTTTCAAAAAAAGAAAGTGGGTGTGTGTGTTAGGTACCACCACACTCGTCTGTTTTTTTTTTGGAATGGGTTTGAGTTTGACTGCATTAAAGTTCTGTTGATATTTTATAGAGTTAGAAAGCTCAAGAAAAATGAAATATTTGTAACGACTCTTAAAAGAAAGAAATAAAAGTCCAGTAGTCTATAAGAGAAAAAAATGTATATAGCTTTTAAAATATACCTTATACAAGTGCCGCTCGCTCTTCAAGCTTTCCCTCCATTGAGATGAAAATACATCCTATATGTAAAGAAATAATAACCAATGAGTTTAGATTTATATTAATCTTTTAGCTTAGATTAAATTTATTTGATATGCTCATATAAGCATATTTTATATTTTGGTAGTATCTGTGATTCAAGCTATCAACTCGTTACTAATAAAATAACTGACTTAAATGTAATGTTATATAAGAAACATAGAAAGTAAAATACAAAAGTTTCACGAAAGAAACTAGGATTTACTCAATATAATTGTGAGTAGTCTATAGCCCAGACCTCTATAGAAGTTAGAGAATATTTTCTTTATGCTGACTATATCTTTTTGTACTCTTCCATGTATATTGGTAGATTTGTAGAAGACAATTTTATTAAATTTCCCAATAAAAAATACAGGTCTTACTTCTTATAAAGAAGAGGTGTTGAGGAATACACAAAGTGTGCAGATAAACAGTAAACTCATGAGTACAAATACAAAAATAAATACAGGAAATACAGATAATAAAAAAGCAAAATAGAGAAAGAAAGTACTAGTCTATGAGATGGAATGACTGAAAGAGAGATTGTAGCGATTTGTTCACAGAAGCAACTATATTGACAGAAACAAAAGACATACCATCAAAGAGTATATATCAGTATGCCTTCCAAACCACGAAAAGTACGCCATTAAAAAAATGATATGGATCAATATTTTTGGGAAGAGGGGTGTGATGTTGAGTGCATAAAAGTTGCAGAGAATTGTGGTTCTACTGATGAGATGCCGTCTAATCCACCTGGAAAATATTATTAACCAAGCCTACCAGACAGGGGGACGTTCAGCAAGGAATTTTTCAGAAGTTTGAGTGGAGGAGCCACAAATACGACACTCAGAAGATGTAACAAAGCTGGGGACAATTACATGAAGGATAGAAGCAGAGGAAAGAAAGTTATGCAGTGGACATTGCCAAAGATAAAAAGAAAAGTCCTACTGGGAAGGGAGCCTTTGTGAGATAGAGAGGCTGGTGCGTGAATCTGTGGAGGTGAGCATAAGAATTGAAATGAACATGTTGAAGGTTTGAAATACCTTATGAAGGAAGCAAAAGACAGCGATATTCCCATAGAATCGAAAGTGCCATATGAGCCGTCTCTACTATATCAAACTTTTTCTGCAATGAATCAGGCTAGAAGCTTTTTAATGAACAAGGTCAATCGACTTGGCTATTAGCAGATTTTTTTTTTTTTTGGTGAACTTGACTCATACCACGGTTCATTATCATAAGAGTACTCAACATGATATTACATATAGCTTTAAAATCAAGAAAGATATATTTTTTGATGAAATCAATCTTCATCTAATAGAACGCTACTGGTCCTCACCATCTCTATTAAACTAACTGTAGTATAATGATAATTATAAATCGTTTGAGACCAGGTATAATTATTTGACTTTGCATAAAGGCCACATTTAGGTAGTCTGGTAAAATCAAGATGTCGGTTCCCTAGGATTATCATGAAATTATAAAAGAACATATAATTATTATTTTTGGTCTCGTTTGTACAAGCTATAATTTATTCATTTTTTTTAAGAAATTTATTTATATAGCTAGAACCTGCAACATGTAAACCTGGAACATGCAAATCTTGCTAATGATTACATTTAAATACAATAAGAAAAAATAAGAAAAAAATCCTGGCTGTCAAAACCAGTAGCCTATTAGGCTTTCCAAATAAACTGCGTAGCAAAGGTGGCAATCTGAATCTGGAGGTTTAAGGCTATATCAGAACGTACTTGAATTTGCTTTATTATATTCTACACACAAGATTTTAAGCACTTTTAAAGCAAGTACTACTGCCATGTAGACCTTGCCTTTGTATCTATCTTGTAATGTAAGGCAGCCTGATTACTTTTACGTTTAGTTTATGGGGGGAAAGAGTTTAATTCTTATCTCGGACTAAACGAATTTAGTTTATTTATACGGAGCATTATCTAAAAAAATATTGTCCACATCAAGACATTCTTTAAACCCCACCCTAATATTATTATTATCTTTTTTGGTGTTTAAGGATGTCCTGAAATGTTTTTAGATACACGACTAAAGAACAGAAGTACCGTTTTTAGCGATTTATTTCAAGTACTTCTATTACTAATATAAACTTAACAGTAATGAAGCCTTACTGTAAAGTTCCCAGATTATTGGGAAAAAACCATTTTCCTTTATATTAACTGATTCGACACATGATCGATAATATGTTTACTCGGAATACACCAAGAAGTTACATTTCACAGATCTTCTTCTTCTTTTCTTTAAAGATGAACGAGCAAAACAAATTATATGTATTTCCACTGTTTTTATTTGCATTCTCTTATACTTTTATTCGTTTGCCAGCACAGAAAGTTACTTAAGACTTGATGTCAGTCAATCAGAATGTCTAATCTATGAAATATTAAACGAACTTCCGCTAGTTTCACAAGAATCTTCAAGTACAAATCAAATGTGCTACGAGATGTTCTGTTACAATGTTCTTTTTTCCCACAATTTTTAAATTTTAGACTATCTAATTGGGGCTGTATATAGACAATTAGTAACTCGCACTATTAATTGGTAAATATGACCGTCGCGTGTCTCTCCAAATTGCAGATTGTATACACTGATCCTTAGATACGTACTCACAAAGTTTGATTCAAAAATAAAATAAAAAGACTTTGCACACACACACACACACACACATGTATATGTGTATATAAATATATATATTGAAATATCGCTACTAAAAGTACACACATTGCACCTATAAAACATATGAAATGCTATACCAAATCAAAATTCTGATAAAAATATTATCAAAAGTATAATTCAATTCCATAATATCGGACTCTATGCACTATTTAGAGCTATAAACGGAAGAGATATTGGGGAAGGTTTTGAGCTAAAAGACATTTTGGAGATGCTTTGGAATAAAAAAAAATCAATCGATCAACCAAATATTAATCTGCTATATAATACTCAAATAGATATTTCATATTTTATCCATTCATCTACAGCTTTCTTGGTTATTTCGGATTAAATTACTTGAGCTCTACACCACAAATACGTTTTGTTTGAAGAATATTTGGCTATTTTTCTTTCATGTTGAAGATATTGAATAAAACACTATCTCAAAATTCCCTATGGGAAAAAATGTTTTGTATACCATTTATTTTTACACAGCTAATTTGTTGCTATACCGTCTCTTAAATAAATTCAAAACACGCACTTTTGATTTCTCTTTGTCTCACACAGAAAGTCATTTCTGTTACACATTAGACGTTTAAAGTTCCTACTCGGCCATGGAATCTAATTTGCAATTGTTGGCATTAAGCCTCTCGTAAGTGTAGTTTCAACATTTAAGGGATACAAAAATACACAAGAAAGACATATAAGAAAGTGCTGTTATGTCTGGTTATTCAACATTGGTAGACTAGGCTCTGCCCGTCATATTAATTTCACAATATATGGTGCATCTTTACGCCGCAAAGAAAAACTCATGAAATTGAATAGAAGATAAACGTTACCACTAGAGAAATGATTCAAAGTTATTCTACATTTCAGGTTTTTAAGAGCTGGTTGGATCTTGATAGAATGTGCATTAATATTATTGGGTAGATTATTGAACGTGACTTTCTACAATCAAAACTAAACAAAATGCGAATCAATACTTGGAAATAACTTTCAGTCTACCGATTTTATTCACTCTTTCCTTCTTTAGTGGACGTGCGGTCAGTCTACAACTCCTCTCAGAATGCACTGCCTAAACTCATCACCAAACATGTTGTTCCAAGCTGGTCAAGAAAACAGCAAGAGATAAATGCTGTTAACCCAAAGGTAAAATACCTCTGACACAATATCGTACAAGCCGTTATATAGACGACTCCCTCATTCTTTTTGTCTTTTCTTTAGCCTTTTATTATTATTTTTAGTAATATAACAGTGATTCTGTGCTAATGGTTTTCTATTAGCATTATACCAGATAACAACAAACACACTCAGATAGATATGCGAACCTCTTAGTATTGCCTTGTAACGCTATATCTATATTCTGTGCACTAAATTTTTGGTGTTGTAATGTATATATCAGTACATTTATTACTCTAGATCACTTTATATTTACGCACATAATATTATATTCTATACCTCATACATATATCTGCAAGCGCCCGATACTTTGTCCGTAAGTTTATCACCATCATCTATCTAACTTATACATGTATATTACACCGTGTTATCTTAACCAAAAAATGTATATTCGGGAAGTATAAAATTAGAAGACAGCCCCGACTTCTAGCATTTATTTAGTTCACATATATAACCCTAAGGATTGCTTTTTCTGTGGGGTGATGAGAAAAATGTTATTGATAAATAGGATACACATTGCTTGCCTACATGTATGCTTCGATGAAAAGCGCGCCAAAGAAGAAAATGAAGCAATCTAAAGAGATGATAAAAAGTTAAATGTAGTATTACCTTTTCACTAAAATCTTCTGTGCTGTACGCGTTTGGTGGCTTGATGTATATTACTTTTGGAGGTAAGTATGATATTTTTGATATAGAACGAGTTTTGGCTTAGAAAATTGACCTTGAAGGAAATCTAAAGTAGATTTAATCAAAGGATATATTAGATATCAAAGAATCTATCATAAAATAAAAGAAAGCACTGAGACTATATACCATTTTTGCCTTGGCACTCGAAGTACATATCACATCAAGTATTACGATATTCTATTTTGTTTGTTGTTTCTAGAACTTTCAAAAATAATCTTGAGAACATCTCTTCATTAGCCGAGACTTCAATTTAACTTTTCTTTTTATACTTTCTAAATACTCAAATACAAAATCTATGTGCATACATGATATATGAGCTTCTAGGAAAGTATTCTTGCTGTAAAATAATGATTATATTGGTTTTACAACGCGTGCAGATATTACCAACTATGGGATAGCTCTTTATGACGAACGATTTAATGTTAAAACAACACAAGAGTTTTCTCTAAACGTATTGATTTTTCTGATATATTACAAAACAACAAACATTATTTGAAGAATAAAATGTCTTTGTAGAAAAGGAGAGGGATTAAAGAAAGAGTGTTATTAAACAAAAGTATATAATCATAATGAACGGGGTTTTGTGGATAGCAAAGAAGCTTCTATAGTAAACACATATTATATGTACATACATTATACATTTAAACATGGAAATTATGCCTACTCAGTAAGAAATTTTCAAATAATAAGAACACTGCAATATTCTGTGTTGGAATAGACTTGTAAAAACGATATAATCTGATACGTTATATATATGTCAATGTAGTTTTTCATCATAACTCTTCTGCTAGATAAAATATCACATTAGTAAGATTAAACAAATCCGATAGACAATATATCACATCAAGTACAGTTTCTATTTCATATCTTCTTTTTATAATTTTATTAAGTTGGGTTGATTTGATACAAGGATTATAATCAGAAGTAGATTGCTTTGGTTGATTGAATCTTGTATATACTAAAAAAATGTATAAATTTAGGTTTAATGGCTTTACAAGATGTGTGTGTGTGTTCCTTCTTTTTTTTATGTAAAAACATATATAAGGTCAAGATTTATAGCAAGATAATTGCGAAGAAATAGAGTATATTTGGTAAATAAAAAGAAAACATAATAAGTGAATATATCAATTCTTTAACAGCATTGATTAAAGCTGAAAATAATAATTATACAAGGTAAAAATATTTTTATTAAAATTGATGGTTATTTTATTAAATATACAATTAATATTATATTAATTAGTTCAAAGAGAAATAGCAGCAACCAGAAAGAATTCTTTTAGCTTAAAGAAGTAAGAAAAAAAGTATGATCTTTGCTACATGAATATCTTTTGCTAAAGGTAAAATATACAAGGGCACTACAGTGCTTTTTATAGAAAATAGATCCAAATTGAGAATAATTGTATAAACTAGTTTTTGACAGGATTTTCCTTTGACTTTTTCTGCTTATAAGACAGTCTTCTTGGTGCTTTGTAACTGAACATGTAAGAAATCTTCGTATGTTTTGAGCTTTCCCTTGGAGTCCGCGATAGTCTTTTTAAATGCTTGAATATCCTTTGGGTGTCTGCGCTTATGATTAGAAAACCAGTAAGTGATACTTCTGGGTGAAAGACCAGTATTCTCTTGGAGATCTCGGCGCTGTGTCTTTGAAAGTTTGTTGGTTTTGCTATATATATTGTAAAAGACTGACTTGAGATACTTTGTTGTCTCGGAATCGTATGATGTCGCAGTTCTCTTTACGCTTGCTACAGAATCTCGGAAATTGTCTTTGACAGCACAAGTAGGAGTTTTCTTTACGGTTGGTCTGAGGAAGAAGTTTTCATTTTTAAAAGTGTTTTTGAAACTCTTGGGTTTGATGTCAGCTGTAGGTAGTTTTTCTTGTGGAGGAAGAGACGAGTGAATAGAAGGACTTTTGCTCTCCTCTTTTATGACAGGCTCTGGATCAAGTGGGATAGAGTCATTAACTTTACTCATTTCAGCATTTGCACAAGGTTGAAGACAGGCTGAAGGACTTTCTGCTTTGCAGCACTCTAAATTTTCTGTTACATTTGAGAAGTTTGACTGAGATAACTGGTCCGTAAAATCTTCATCAAAGAATGTCTTTTCTTCAGAGCACGATGAAAGGGAGGGTACGCTATCTACAAGTGAATTTTAGAAAAATAATGCGTTTCAGAGTTAATATATATATATATATATTTACCAGAGTAGTCAAAGGGAATAATTGAGAATTTATTATCCTCCCAGTATTCCAGTGAGGTGGGGTAGAAGCAAGTATCTTTGAAGGGAAGAATGGGTACATTGTTTCCTGAACGGAGGATCATATTGTCGTTTTCTAGAAACTCTGAAACATGGTCGGTACAGCACAGTCTCTCCTTGGCTTGGTTTTTAAAGAATCTATCGTCGATGTACATGTGCCCAGTTTCTGGATCGTCGGTCTCCGGAATCAGATTGGGTGTAGATGGCTGGAGTGGTAAGTCAATTGTGCTTTCTTGAGGTAAATCTTCATTAATATATGGAGTGACAGGGAAATACGATTCGAGAGTTGAATTTTGGGATAAGTAAAGTTGGGAAGAGTGAAGAAATAAGCGCATTTTATCAGAAAGATCGGCCTGAATCTGTGCGTCAAATAAGATAGAAGGAGTGTGTCCTAGAGTGATTTGAGACGAAGTATTATCAGTGATTCCACAATATAAATTGTAAAAATGAGTAACACTCATAAAAAAGCAAGGAAGAAATGAAGATGACTGTACCTAGTTAAATTAACTTTAGCTTTTTATTTTATAAGAAATTTTTGTACCTTTAAAATAAAGTAAAAAAAAAAAAGTCTAATATAATATGAATATCTTTGAACAAAATGAATTGACAGTCCGGTAGAAAGCAAACAAGCAGACAAGTGCATAGTACTTGACCAGAAGGATACTTATTTCTCTTTTAATTGTTCAATATTAACTTGTTTTTCATGGCACTTTTTATGACAATATAGTAATTGTATCTCTCGAATTAATTACTGAAATATCTGGCTAATTGATTTATTTTTTCTTTCAATGTAGTTTAGAATGTTAATTTCTAAGATTACAAGGTACTGGTATTTTTGTGATGCTTCTTGAGTTATGATGATATATAATCTACAGCACTGGTTATTTTTAGTAGAGCTATGGTCATATTAACCCAAGGAAGCTTAAATATAAAGATCGTTTACATACCACTGAACCAATCAGCAATGCACAAAGTCTTCCGGATGCCGATACACGGACGGACTGCACATTCTAACAAATAAGAATTCATGAAGACGTGGGTCGACCCGGAGTAGACGTTTAAGATTGTTTGTTTATTTTGCATGACATATTAAACGGTGGTTTGTGCAGCAGCTTTGTTTTCACTTTCGATTCTATTAATGGAAGTCATTTAATTCGAATTACTAAAGACACTACCAGCTTACAGCATATGAAATAAAATAGAGATTAGAGCTTCCGCTAATGAAAGTCAATTGAAACAATTCAACATTGAAAACATGCTAATTGTTTTACTTGGCTTCAAATTATCGTATGTTCGATTATTTTATTCACTATTTTCAATTATTGTCCAAAACAACGAATAGCGATATGTCTTAGAGTTATATTTGTACTTATCCTTGGACATTTTGAAAGAAAACTTACAAAGCAAAGAGAAAAAGAAGAGAAAAAATACGGCTACAAAGAATGACAGGACGTCTTCCACTGATCATTATATAAACTAACTAGAGAAACAGACGTCTTAGTTGGCTATATCTAATATTAGCAGCTTCGTTGTCAAATCGTATTTTTATTTTTATTTTTCCTGATCTGTCTCTATTAGTTTAACCATTTTTGTTTGGAGCTTTGATCAGCAAGAGAACGTTCGTGAGAGTGTGTGCCAGTTGCTTTGTCTCAGATCAATGATGTACACTTCTTTCATTTATTCGGCAAATAGCTTTTGTCAAATTTGGTAGCTTTTTATTAAAGAGCTTACCTTTTTTTTCTTCCCTCTTAAAAAAAACAAAAAACAAATGAACAATTGTCTTATTAAATTATTTTTCAATGTATATCTAGACCAATTTGAATACATCCGCTTGCCACTCTATTGTAAATCAAGAGCTAGATATACGGTATATGAATATAAACTTAGACTTTGATAAATTATATTTTACTAATTCAATAACAGATAAGCATACCTGCACACAGAACCCTGCCCTGAAAATCCTAAACATTCCATAGGGATCGTAACTTTGAGTGCACTGATTAGATGGTTGTATACCAAGTAAAAAGAAAAAAAGAAAACTATTTAATCAGTCTGTAGAGTTTATTTTAAATGAAGTTGCACAAATAGAATCCCTTGATAGAAGGCTAAAAGGAATCACCAATACATGATGTTTTCATTGATGTTGCCACTTCTATTTCGAGTACTTCTAGAAAACACTATATCTTTCATGACATTTGTTCTATATACTCGATAGGTACAACCGAATGTTTGTTTGTTTGTTTGTTTGTTTATTAAACCAAGTATTTTACAGCTCAAAATGTTTAGATTGTCTAGAGGTCTTGTCTAAAATATGTGTCCTCGTCACAGAGTGCTTTGTTTTTAGGCTTCCGTTTCAATATTACGAAGAGGTATAAATCGACCACGGCCTTGATTTCTGTTGCCAATAATACCAGACAGGGCGCTTAAATTACCAGTACGTTTCGTCTTTGCAAAGTATACGAAGCCAATGCAGACAAAAGCAATAATGATCACGAAAAGATAAATATGATTAATTGAATAACCATCATCATACTGATCCTCATCCTCATCGCCATCTTCGCCTTCATTCTTGTTGTCTGTCACAGGCTTATTTGCTGTAGAGTCCCCCTGTTCCTTCATAATGTCTTTCATAACCTTTTCAATAAGTCCAGTATTTGCCTTTGGCTTATATATAGGAGATCGGTATATCGAATCCTTTTTGGCAAGAAGTGCCTCGACATCAACATTCTCGTCAAGGAAAGAAGATGGCTCGAGGGATCCAGACAAAAGAATACTGTTGGCAATTGCACGATGAGCACCTAAATAAATAAATAAAAAGAAAGCGACAACAAAAAATATAAGCACTTAAACACATACATTCATACACACACACACACATATATATATATATATACCTCCTGTCAACTGAGTCTTATCCCACCATACATAAGAATCCATCTTATCCTTGCATTGCCCTTGGCATGCATCCCAGTAAGAATCCTTGGCATTCACAAACCCGAAACTAGCCGGGTTCTGGACAATATCCCTTAACAATGTGTGTACATGGATAATATCTAGTTCCAAAGCACTGTGGTGTTGATTTAATAGAATGCTATCCTTTTCAAGAAGCTTGTTAAAGCTCTTAGACGCATCTCCCCACTGTTTCTTTAAATCTGGATCTTGAAAATATGGCAAAAGATCCAACGGCGGTACACTCAGGACAATCATTCGATTGGCTCCAAACACCTTGCGGATATTTCGCTGAAGAAAGAAAAAAAGGAAGAGGGGGTTTTCTGTTAATTAAAAACATAATAATAAACTGATGGTTCTTTAGGAGCTCACCATTTGCTGGCTGATACAATCTACAACCTTTGTGAAATCTGGAGGATTTTGATCTTTTGGATCTGGGTTTGATAGATCAGTCAGGATCAAAGAAAAAGAATATAGTACAGTAATCAAATTACAGCAGCAATATATGTATATTTACCGTGATCTTGTATTGTCTTCTGGATATCACTAACACCGACCCAGAAAGCATATACAGTCTCAAGAGGATCGTGATTCATCTGCTCTCGGTAGTACATCTCGATTTGATCTCTGATGCTTGGAGGAGTGTCTGATGACACATTAGAGTAGAGCTTATTGTCGCACAATGCACCACTAAATGCAAAGTTATTAAGAGAGGCATCCCATCCCACAGCAAGATCTTCATTCCAAAGAGGACCGTTTGTAAGCCGTTGCCGATTCCCTGTGTCTGTGCTTGATTATGAGACTTTTGGTCATTATGATAATCATTCTACATACCAGAGTATGAATCACCAAAGACAACCAAGTGTTTGACACCTGAGGCTATACAAGCTGGTAGACACAAGAGAGCAAGACACACAAATGGTTTCATATCTAGACTAAATGTGATGGCAAGGGAAGGAAAGCATATTCATTACTTGACGTTCCTAAAACAAGCTGAGGCTTCACGTGACTAATACACTACTTGAGAGAATTTGTGGTTGAGGGGCTGTGCAAAAAGAAAATTCTATTATTCTCTAACCCAGTGTTCAACCATATCGGCTTAGTCGAATTTCAGAGGTTCACAACCTTATAAACAGCCATCTGATAGTACCACCCAGGATTGCCTTAATAGTTAAAAAAAAAGATACCTATAAAACAAAAACTGGGAATTAAAGACAAAACCTAATATTCTTATTTATAACCAGAACTTGTTTGTTGATATGTAATATAGAAGGCCTTTATTATTACCATGGACAATAAATTACTTTGAGTAGTCTTGTTAAAGAAAATATTCAATATATGATTTTATCATTTTATTGTCTTTTACTTTAAAGCGCCCCTCCTTCTACAAATTCAGCTAGTATCTTTTGAAAGGATTGCTATTTCAATAAGACAAGCAGTGCCAAACCCCAATATATGTTCCTGACCTGCGGTTTCTTCCAAAGATACAGATCTACAATATACTTCTCTGATCGGAAAAACGGAAATAAGTAAAAGAGATGTATCTAAATAGTAAAAAAAAACCATAATCCAAATGTGTACTTTTTAATACTCAATATAAACTTAGTCAGACAGTTCAGTTGTATTGGCTCGAGCATAATTCCCCTCTAGATCACTCTTATCCTCCACTTGCCTTTTTTTTTTTAAAAAATAATAATAATAATAATAATTCTTAACACAAACTACAAAACTGGGCATATAGTATCTCCAAGATACTTTTGTACATATTTTTAAAATGAATAACTGATTTTCTATAAATTTGGAGTCTAATTTTAACCTATTGGCACAAGCAAAGAAAAAAAATGAAATCCATCATGCTTCTTTATTTTATTTTATTTTATTTTATTTTGTTGCTATTCCCAAACACATGAACACACACTTCTTTAGTAAGTTGGCCGAAAAACGACATTGAATTATCAAGAAGTATATAGATATGATATGTAATATAAGCTAGTAAGAATATAGCAATATTTAAGTATTAATCGTTCGCATGATTATAAAACATTCATATATCAGTCAATGGTTGTTCTACTCCAAGTTCTTTTTTCTTCTTCTTACAAGTAACCCTTGTGGTTATTATTTAAGGGATTTAAAATTGATAAATTAAGCACCCATTTGGAATAAAGAAAATAAAAAAAAGGATCATTTATTTGCCTTTCTACCAATAGAATGCTTATAAACGAAATAAATGCTATTAATTGGATAACATTAATGAGAAACTTCTATAAAATTAACAAATGATCTTCCTTGAATTGAGCAAATATCTTTATAAAAGTACAGTAACAAGCAGAACAAAAATAGACCAGTTTATGGGTAATAGGAAATAAAAAGAAAGACAAAAAGGATAGTAACGTAAGACAAAAAAAGTTAGTAGTATTTCCGCTCAAATAAACCAAAAATTGCTAAAAGAAATACTCCAGTAAGAGAAAGAGCGAAAAATTTAATCGAATTATTGCTTTTCTTTCTCTGTTCTAAGTTTGTTCTGGACAATCATGAGCTGCGATAAATCTCATCAGAATTCTGATGGGCCATCAATAGCCATTGAAGACAACGACTCAAGGAACAGACAGAGTCTCGACAAGTCTTTTTCTATTCACACTGCCTCCGTTTCACTGGATCAAAGTCTGTTTGGCGTAGTCCCTGAACAAAATGACCTTTCTGTATCGAGCTATACAAGTCGGGAAAAGAAAGCACCCAAGGACCCTTCTTGGCAATTGAAGACCTTGGTTTTGATGTGTATGCTTGCAATACCAGGCAAGTAAAGAGATTAAATAAACAATTTCATAAAAGAAAAACAAGAAGAGAGAGAGAAAAAAAAACTTTGAATATCTGAGTTACCAGGTATTTACTTTACTTTTGTTTTTCGCTGATACAGTCGGATGTCATTATTTGGAAGCAACTGTGGGCACATTGAAGACCAGCCTCAAAAATGTAGGTACAATATATTAAGATTATTGTTTTCCTTAAATACCGTGCTCTAACACATCTTGTAATTAGAGTATGAACATCAACAATACACAGTTCAGTATCCTCCTTTCATCTGTCACGCTTGTCAATACAATTCTACCTCTTCTTGTTGGTAACCTGGTGGACGATATATCATTCGTTGGATCTATACGATCTACGACAATTGTGAGCACCATCATATTTGCTGGAAGTGTTTTGGTGTCCGTTGCATCAACTTACAATAACTATGCCATGATGGTCACCGGTCAAGTCATTTATGGCCTGGGCGATGGAATGATTGTAACGATGCAAGAAGCTATTCTTTCCCGATGGTTCAGAGACCAACAGCTTTCTATCATCGTTGGACTTATGCTTAGCGTTGCCCGTCTAACCAAATGGGCAGCCAAGATGGTCAGCTACCCAATTATAGAAGCAACGGGGTCTAAAAATTGGCCCATCTATATTGCTACAGGGTTTTGTGGCCTTGGTGTTGTAATGAATTCCATCTACTGGTTTGCTTTATACAAATATGGATATGCTACAGCATCAGGAAGAGAGCTCCAATTGCATTCCAAAGTACATGCCATTCATCCAGAGCCCCTCGAAAAAGATGAATATTCTCGGAGTCTGTCTGTGCCATCCAATCTACCTCACTCAAGACACAACTCCCATACATCCTCAATTCTCTCTCAGCATATCGTAAACTCCAAAAACCTCAAATGGACAGCTTCTTTGATCTTTTATATTCCAGGAATATTCTGGATGGTGCCTTGGGTCCAACTGGTGATGTCGAGCGTATTGAGTAGCTTTAGTGATATTGCAACGTAATTAAACAGGATAAGCTACTTGTAAAGGCGATCTAAGTATGTGCCTTGGTATCTAACAAAACTCTTGATCGATAGTGAATTTGTCCAATTCAGATTCGGCACCACGAGTGTTACAGCAGGTGTAAGCAATGAGATATTCCAAAGACACATTTTCACTCGGCTCACTCTATGATTATCATCATTGTGGTGACTTTCTTATTATTATTATAGTACCAAAGTAGTCTTACTCAGGTTGTACCTATAGTTGCTGCCCCGCTTATGGGTGTTGTTGTTCACCGGTACGGAAAGCGTTTGTTTGTCTGTAAGTTTCTCCATTCCATCTCCTTTTCTTCATACCAGTATCTTATCTAAAGCTTTTTGTTGTTCATTCTATACTTCTCACGTAGTATTTGCTGGTACACTTGTGCTTATTACTGCCTTGGTTTTGCTGGCTTTTACAAATGCGACTCCAGAAGTTGGACTCATCATGTTCTCCCTTGCTTTGGCACTGGGTCCAATCGGTTTGCTGAGCTCGACGCCTCTATTGCTGCCCCACGAGATGATTGGTACGGGCATGGGCTTACACAAGAGCTCTAACAATATCGGAACCACCATTGTGTCAGTATTGGTTGGCTATGTACAAGACTTGACTTTCCATGATGGAGATTCAAAAGACAACTTGACCGACCTGGCTTCAGAATACGATGGTGTGATGGTGCTGTATATTGTTCTTGCTTGCTGCTCTACCCTGGTGGCCATTATATTTTGGGTATTGGACAGAAAATTCTTGGATGGCTGGCTCCAGATTAACAAGAAGAGAAGAGAAGAGCGTTTGGACAGAGTCTATGCTGAGCAAGACGGTTCGAATGATATACCCGACAATACAACTACACCAAAACCAAACCCAGAGTGCGATGAACACAAACACACGTCCTTGCAGAGAATTGGGAGCCAGTTGCTCAAGAAGAGAAGCTTTGTTTACGTTGGAATATTTTTATTATGGCTTTTTATTGCTTGGGTTATATTCTTTACATTTGCACTAATGCCTGTGTACCAAAAGTACAATGTTGTGGATTAGACTGTAATGAATAAATAAATATTTATAAAAAGAAAGAAAGAAGACTAGAGTTGAAAGCTCCCCTGGTTCCAAAGCTAGAAGTCACTGTGAAGAAATAACCCCCATGTATGGTGTACTTGCTTAATTCTGGGTTATCTAACAGTTGATTGTTCATCATGGTCATTTAATCAACCTTTTATGATATTTTATTTGTGGTACATTTCACAAGGCACTTCATCTTTTATATAAAAAAAAACCTAAAAAAGGGTATATTTCTTTATGAATTATATTTTTAAAGTCCCCAATCATCTTTGACTTTTGAATGAAGGCTTTCTGGGAGCAAATGGCTACAACATTTTAAGCCCGTCTCGATCTGAGAGGAGCCGAAAAATAAGTCACATTTGTGTGAAAGACAACGAATTCATAATCGATACTTCTCTCATCATTGACGATGCAACGGCCATCGATTGTCACCTTGACATTAAACGACCTCGATGATCTTGATCATCTCAAAGATGAATACGAAATTCAGCACAGCCAAAAGCAAAGCATACAAGATGACTTGGAAACTGAATTCTATGGTTATCCTTCCTCTCCAAAAAATTACAGCAGTCCTCCAAGGGATGTAAAAAGGGACTTACCGGAACCTGTTAGTAATACAGAACCTGTTCAGTTGACTCGCGCCCAACAAAGAGCCTTGGATACAAAGCGTAGGATGGGTTTTATATAAACACGCCAAATATATATCTCTGCGTTTTTGACTACACCCAAGCAAAGCAAGTTTCTTCCTTCCTTTTTTTTTTACGACTCTCAGGCACAATTATAATAAAGACACAATATTGCTGGTTTGAAATATAAGCACAGCTACACATAGCGATATAAATGTATAGATTTCGCCATATTCTGTGACGCTGGCGTCATATTTTATTAAATTTTGCCTTCAACCAACAGATTAGATTAACATAGTTCAGGTAACCTATTTTTGGGATTCTCATTTTGGTTATCATTATTTCCCGATGAAGGTATTAAAAAAAAACAGATAATTAAAGCGTGGTTGTTGAAAAGGCCGGCAAAACGGAAATATCTAAATGCTGTGATCATGTACTGCGTGGCAAAAAAAAATAGGGCAAAATTATATACTTGATACTATATTTTGAATATTGGATCTGAAGCATCTTGCTTATTTGCCTTGAAATGCTTAACAATTTTCATGGCTGGGATTCGCATTGGACATTAATTTTGTTGGGCCCGTACCTTCATTGGACCAAGATACGGAGTCTATTGTCCGTAAGACTGGTATTTACGTATGTTTCTTCCAACGTTAGATTCATAGACTTGGTATTTTTGATGGTCCGTGCCAATACTTCCTATAACCTACTTTTGTTGAGTAAATGCCAAAAATATTGTAGCACTCGCAATGTTCTCTTGCTGATCGTTTGCTATAGAGTGAATTACTTGGATAGCAAAACTTTGGGTGTAAAGTAATATTACTCTAAGCATTTATATTTCGATGGTTAAGCGCTCCCAAAGAATACATAATCAATATTAACAATAGTCAGGACGAGATCCACCACCACCTTTACTAGGTGTCTGTATATTGTGTGGTAGAACACTCTTCATGAGTTGTTTTTACAGCTAAAAGTTAGACCGCATAAGACAGACGACCTTATCCTAAAACCAAAATATATCTAGATTGTGGTTGTAAGCTTCTATATATTCGTATGTATTAAATAAAATAAACCATCTGTGTATACACAAATATAAGCATTGATGGTAAGAAGACCTTATTCAATTTTAGAGGGTAAAGTAGCCCTTGATTTCAAGACACATAACGCTTATTATTATTATTTTTGGAATGTGCAACAGGGATGTCTTTACAAGAGCGACATCAACTTTTTATTTTATCTGTATTTGAGACACTTTATTTGGGAAACACGGTTTATGAGATCATACTCAACAATAAATGTACAACGTTTGACAGATGTCAAAACGATAATCTTTATTCGTCATATTTGCCATGTCTTGGCAAATATTCTATTTATTTTTATGATTCTTATATTATACAATCTTAAACGCTTACATATATAGCTCTTTAAGAGGTCTTTATTTTAATAGAGAAAATTATATCATGTTTGCGTGCGTGCATTTGTGTATATGTGCGGTAAAGGCATAGATCACATAACACGAGAGGATGCGTGGAGTAAATCTGAGATTCAAGAAAAGACTGGATCTTCATATTCCGTTTATCCATTGACCAAAGAAGATCTATTTGAATAGGTTGGTGGTTCAAATGATGAGTAAAATAAACAAAATAGAAAGCACTATGATAATTGCTCAATATTTCAACGAAAAACTTAATGGCTCTTATCTTCTTTAAACAGCTCAAAAGTAGTATGAGATCAGATATTATGTATTTCACCTTTCTATTATTATTGCCATAGTGATATATCTCTACCACTCTGTAAAAGACTCAATATGATGTCACAATAAAATCGAATATTGGATGCCCTCCTCTTATTCGCATTGTATTCACTGTGACTTGGGTCCCTCTCATTTATTTTTTTTGGGTGCTTATAAAACCAGATCATTTGCATTATGATCCATTATCCCTTTCCACAATTATTGTTAAAATGGCAACCACAATATTCTCTGTTTTCGAAAACAAGCAAAACCTGGACAAGACAGCCGTCATCATTCCATCGTCGGCGCCTATCCCTGCTTCTCTTACTTACAAACAGCTTCTTGATGTTATCTACGATTTTGCCAACAAGTTGTCTCAGGCTGTCCCTGCCGAGGCATTAAAGCCCGGAAGCTCCATTTCTATTTCTTATATTAACTCTCTCGAGTTTGTGGTTGCTTTTCTCGGTGTCGGCTTCATGCGTCTGATTGCCTCCCCTCTCAACCCAGCCTACAAGAAAGACGAATTCAACTTTTACTTGGAGGATGCCCAGAGCACAATTATGATTGTTCCCGCCGGTGCCTCCAAAGACCCAAAGAATGCTGCCGTGTCTGCTGCCAGAGACAGAGGTGCTCTTGTTGTTGAGATCCACTGGAATGGAAAGTCTTTGGATGTTGAGCTTGTTGGTGGTAGCAAAGGTTCCGGAAGCCACCGTAAGATCGAGTCGTTTAAACCCCAGACCGAAGATATTGCACTTTTGTTGCACACCAGCGGTACAACGGGAAGACCTAAAGGCAAGTATCGGCGTAAAGGAGAGTGAGCATGTGAATGCGAATGAAAATGAAAAATGCAAATACAAATGAGGATATGGAATTGGGCGTGAGCGTAGTCATAGATGTTAGGGTTAGAGTTAGTATTGGTGTGGATATGGATGACTAAGTTCTGTGAAAAAAAAAATAGGTTATGCTAATTTACTTTGTTTGGACTCCAATAGGTGTTCCTCTTACACAGCTCAACTTAGCTACCTCTATGAACAACATTGTGCACACCTATGAACTGAATCCCAAAGACAGAACCATGCTGGTTATGCCCCTCTTTCACGTACATGGCCTGGTCTGTGGATTACTGGCCACTCTCTTGGCCGGTGGCTCGGCTGTAATTCCTCAGAAGTTCAGTGCTTCTCATTTCTGGAAAGACTTTACTGATACTGGTTGCAACTGGTACACTGCAGGTAATTTTTCATTTTCTTTTTTTCTTAAAAAAAAATAAGATGTTTACTTGTTTGGTTGCTTGCTTGCTGGCGCGGAAAAAAGAAAGAATAACGAAGCCTAAACTAAACTAAACCCGACACCCATTTATCATTTCAGTTCCGACAATTCATCAGATCCTCTTGAGAAACCCACCTGCTTCGGTCCCTAATATTCGATTTATTCGCTCCTGCTCATCAAGTCTGGCCCCTGCAACTTTCCATGCCATCGAAAAGCACTTCAAGGCTCCTGTACTGGAAGCATACGCCATGACTGAAGCATCTCACCAAATGACTTCTAACCCACTTCCAAAGTTCGGACCACACAAGCCTGGGTCCGTAGGTTTGGGCCAGGGTGTTGAGGTTGTGATCCTAGACGACGAAGGCAATCCCACAATTGAGGGAGAAGTGTGCATTCGCGGTGCTAATGTCACCCATGGATATCTCAACAATGTCGAGGCTACCCAAAAATCGTTCACAAAGGATGGTTACTTTAGAACGGGTGACCAGGGTAAAAAAGACAAGGATGGTTATCTTGTGCTGACCGGTCGTATCAAGGAACTGATTAACCGTGGTGGTGAGAAGATCTCTCCTCTTGAACTCGATGCCGTCCTTCTCAGCCATCCAAAGGTAGCTGAGGCAGTAAGCTTTGCTGTTCCCGATGATATGTACGGACAGGAAGTCCATGCTGCTGTTGTGTTGCGTCCTGAGGCTTCCAAAGAAACCCACAGAGCCATTGAGCGTGAATTGACCTCGTACATGGTTACAAAAGTGGCCAAATTCAAGGTACCAAAGCGTATCTATGTAACTGAACATATGCCCAAGACTGCCACCGGAAAGATTCAGCGTCGTGTTGTCAGTGAAACATTCTTCAAGCCTCAACAGCAACAGGCTAAGCTTTAAAAATATAATGCCTTTAATTAATCGACACCAGCAACGGTACCGTCAAAAGCAACAAAAAAAAGGGTCTTTATAATACGTAGAATACTGTTTCAAAACACACGTTTTTTTTTGTACTTTATATACTAGATATTCAAAATATATATACTTCCCCAGCATCCATCCTACATTTTTTGTTCTTCAAGAGAACTAAAAGTAAATAAACAGCCAACCAAACAACAATAAGATCAATTCTCTATTTAATTTCTTTTTTGAGTGGCTATATAATATGATTAAGAATCTCTTTTTTTTTTGCCTTGGTTCATATAGACTATTGAGTATTTGATATAAACTACCATTGATTACCTACAAACCCACCATTTTCATTTAATAATAGAGCAACAGCCAGAAATCAAAGCTGTAAAAAAAAATGCTCTGAATACGACTTACGATCAGTCCATTTTAACCTTTTATTTTATTTTTATTGATTTAGAAAGGTCGTATTTTAAAGTCGATAGCAAGCAGTTCAAGGAAAAATGCATTGATAAAATTGTGCTGGTGATATAAAAGAGTAGTGGATATATTAATAATTAAATAGTTGATATAGATACAGAAATAATAATAATAATAAGAAAAAGTTAAATTTGAAAGACAATGAGTTTTCTTTAAGAAAATAGTGTTAATAACTAGCCTTCACTCCCTATATTATATGCTTTTAAAAGTGTGGTAAAATATAAATCACGTTTTTTTTTATATATAGAAAGCTTATCATAGCTCTGAATCAAGCTTTTCAGTTTCAACACCATCACACTACATTCAGGCAGGTCAAGATTAAACTGATCGACTGGAACTAATTTGAATCTGTCATTGTATTCTGTTTTATTTTATTTTATACTTTTTGTGTGAAGCTGTCTATGTCGTTTCGATCCAAACGAGGCACAAGAGTTTATATTACAGTCAAACTAATGTCATGCAACTACAATTCCAAAAAGTCGGTTATGGGAACTCAAAATCGACAACTTGTTTGACAATTTAACTTTACAGTTAAGATATTATATATACACTCACAATCAAAAACGTTTCGACCCCCGCAAAAAATGCCTAAAAAAAATCGAAAAAATAAAAATAAAAACATTGTTTTCTCCCAATATTATTAATCAAATCCAACATGCAAGACGTAAATTCATCAGAAAACACCCACGGATCATATGAAAAGGCCAATCCCTATAAATACGGATGCATCATGTACATGCATTTAGCAAATTACGGGGCGACCCAGATTTCATTGGTGGTTGGCATGAGTCTGTCCACTGTCAAGTACATCATTAAGAGAGTGGACGAGACAGGATCGCCCGAGCCAAGAAAAGGGTCCGGACGACCTAGAAAGATTGACGAGAGGACAGAAAGACACCTTGTTCAAATAGTTCGTAAGGACCCCTTTGCCTCATTTTCTAGGCTAAGGGCTTCCTTAAAGAACATGGAGGTATTTGTCTGCAGAAAGACAATAATCAGTTGTCTGAAGCGTTTGGGCTTCGGATCATATATCGCAGCTCACAAGCCAACTTTAACCGAAAACCACAAGAAAAGAAGGCTGGAATGGGCCCGTGAGCATGTGAATTGGACAGATGACCAGTGGAGAGGTGTAGTGTGGTCAGATGAATCACGGTTCACAGTTGAGGGTAATGATGGAGGAGCTAGAGCTATCAGGAAAGTCGGTGAAAGGTTCAAGGAAGAAAATATCATCGAAGGAACCAAGTGGGGGAAGGGTAGTGTGATGATCTGGAGTTGTTTCTGGGCCGGTGGTTTTGGCCCTTTGGTGTTCCTAGATGGTAACGTAAACCAAGACCAATACGTGAACACTTTGGCTCAGAACTTCCTCCCTTGGTTCCAAAATCTTTCGCGGGAACAAAACAGGAGCTTCGTGTTCCAAGAGGACAACGCCAGCTGTCATACTGGGTCGTACTCGAGGTGGTGGAAAGATAGCCATGAGATCCGAGGTTTTGACTACTGGCCCGCTCAAAGCCCGGATCTCAACCCCATCGAGCATCTCTGGTGGGCTCTCCAGAGGCGCATGAGTGACGAGAGGGCCAGTATTAACAATGTTGAAGATCTGAAGGTTGTAATGCAACGAGAGTGGCGAAGGATAGGTCTCGAACTTTCGTCAACTTTGGCCGGAAGCATGCAGCATCGATGCCAGGCTGTAATTGAGGCCAAAGGAGGTCATACAAAATATTGATCTTTTATTTTTTTTTATATTTCAATAATAAACATATATATAATCTTTTATTTGAAGTTTGAATGCTTTAGCTTTTATTACTGAGGAGCAGTTGCATGTTGAATACATGCCATGATTTCTCTCATGCATTTTTTGGGCTCAGAGGTCGAAACGTTTTTGATTGTGACTGTATATATATATATATATATATATATATATATATATTGGGGGCAAAACAGGAAGCTTTTCTTAACAGATTTGACCAAGTTACTCGTTTCTGGCCTATGAGAAATCAACAGTAAAAAAAAAAGAATCTCGATATGTTCCTTTTGGTGTGTCTTCTTTTTATATGGTTATGAGGTAGACTGGTTGCCACCATTGGGACAGTTTAAGAAGAAATAACCGTTTGTCTAAGGTTATTTAAACATTTGATATTAAAACAAAAACAAACACAGCTCATAAAAAAATTGAAAACCTTGGTTCGAATAAAACAGCAATAATTGCACTTGTTGCTTAGTTTCTTTTTTCTTCATTTCGTATATTGCAATATTTGTTGCTAAAGTTTCTTATATGCTTTTTATACTGCTATCAATTTAAATATTCATTATACATTTGCACTACCCATTTGTCTAATGTTATAAAAGCCTTTGAAATTTCTATAACTGTCTTGATATCCAGAAGTTTTCTCGTGTAAATTTAATTGCTGTAAGGCATGTCATTTTATCCCTAACTTTACCTAATTCTCTACTGCCTATTTCAATTGGACACAAAATTACTATCGACTATAATATGTGCAAGATTCAGATATTCCCTTTAAAGTTAAACAATTACTATTGTATATAGTATATTCACAATAATCTATATATGATGGTGACAAGAATGTTTCTGATACCATTGAATTATTTAAAACCTCTAGTGTCTTTGAAGCCATTAGGGTCCTTATACCCCTAATAACCCTTATAACCCGAATAGCCCTTTAAGCATCTAGAATCTTCCAAGCCTCTAAAATTTTTTTAAGTTTCCAAGGTTTTCAAAGCTATTAAATTCTTTGAATTATATGATGCTTTTGATACATTTTTCTTAGTTGATGTGATTAAAGAAACAAAGAAAGTGAAAAAATTAGAGAATCTTTAGATTTCTATGTTGTTAGACAATGCCATTAGATCCTTCTTAAATAAAGAAATATTTTAGTCAGTAAACTACTTTGTTCATGCCTTTCAAAAATTCATAAAGCCATCTCTTGTAAAATATCAGGCTAGTCTAAAGAAGATTCTTGCCACTTTGCTTATTACTATTGCTCATCTCAATTGGAAACACAATTGCGTCGTGAGTTACCTGTGCTAGATTAATTCATGAACTTGTTTTAAAAATATAAAGACCAAATGCAAGTCTTGCGGAGATATATTTCCCTTTCTTTTCAAAGATATATAAGATGGGGTTACTTATAATTTTATTGGGTTTTCTCTGATCATATAGAGTATGAGAAAAATAACAAGAAGAAGAAGAAGAAGAAGAAGAAGAAGAGTTTCTTTAGAAAGAAAGAAAAATAGATGACCAAGGAGAAGTTAATGAATACACATCATTGTGGAAGGAGAGTAATAAACATAATATGCATAGTAGTCGAATACACAAGACAAAATAAAGAGAGCAATTCGATGATGTATGAATTGAAAGAAAAAAATGTGCCTGAGAAGTCTCATCCCCGAGAGAAGTGCTGTTCCCGAGAAGTCTTGTTCCTGAGAAAAGTGTCTTTCTGTTGTTTTTGTTTTTGTTGACAATCTTACTTTTGATAACAGGATTTAAGTTTTGTTTGGCTTCCTTTCTTTAAATTGATCTACTTTCTACCTGTCTGCTTATCTACTTATCTTTCTATATATATATGCATATCCATGTGTGTTTGTATATTTGAAACAAGTAATACAACGAAAATAATAAAATACTACATGCGCACATTTAACATTAATGATAAAAAGTACGATAATTTGAAGGTCACTATTCTTTAACTTTAGTGCAATTGGATAATACCCAATGTTCAGTTGTCTTGACCTTTTGTTTGTTTGTTTGTTTTTGGTTTAATAAAGAAGAAGGCTAATGGTTTATTGAAAGCAAATGTGATTTGTATTTATACTTTATATTTATATCATATGATAATGGTGTATTATCTATCCTTTTTGTTTGTTTGTTTGTTTGATTTTACTGCTTTATAATATTCATGCTTTGTTGTTGTTTTACTTTGGGACGGAGCTATTGGTAATTGCCCATACTACTCGATATGGATTACTGCCTTGGGCCGATCATACACAAAAAACTGAAGGAAGATCTGTAATGTTTTGGGAGGATTTGATAGCGATTAACATATACACATGAGAAAAAAAAATGATATTGTGAGGAGCTCTTACAGTAAAGTCAAATACTAGAGTACCGCAGCTTCCGACTATCCAAGAGAGGTTAATGAGAAGGTAGTCCGGATCCAATGAGCGTAAGAATATGGACTATCAATATATATATTAAAAAAAACAGTAACAACAAGAAGAATTGAGTATAGGTTAGACACACATAGAGACATTTTTATATGTAAAGATGTATATGTATTTTAGTGTCGGTTTCAACATATTTATGAATATCACAAATTCGATCAATATAGGTATATATATATATATATATATATATATATATATACAAATACTGACGGACATCTTACCAAAGTAAACAAAATATTGCCAAGGACGGCGCAAATAAACATGCCAAAACTAAGTCCTTCGGTGCTCTTGTTACGCCAATTCTTCACGATCTGGGGGATTCTACTTCCGACATACAACGCCGCACTGGTCCATCCCATCAATTGAGGAACAATTGACCAAGAAGGCTGATTCTTATTTTTGTTGTTGTTGTTGTTGTTATTATTGTCACTACCAGGTATTAAATTGGGTGCCCAGTACGCACAACATGACAAGATGGTAACCAAGGTAATTGAAACAAATCCAATGAAATTGATTGTATTGGAGGACTTGGCTGCCTTTGTATCTTTGGTCGCGGTGATGACGGTAGTGGTTTCCGGTAGTGAGGATAATTCAGGTGTCGTGTGATAATTGGCTTGGTTCTGGCAATTCAATGACTGATGCTCATCTTCATAGACCGCATGTTCAGTAATCCAGGCACGACGGTAATGAAGGATTTGCCAGACAAGACCAATATCAGCCACAGTGTACCACAATGCTAGAATAAACTACTCATATTCAAAGATCGAAATATATATTTTATATTTTATATTTGTATAAAGACATTTGTATATAAGAAAAATTGAATTATTTTTGTTATCTTTTCAAGAGAGAGAGAAAAAAAAAAGAATGATCAAGAATCTAGGTGAAATGAAGATCGGGATGTAAAGAAATAATGTCAAATTGGTTTACCATGGTCGGCAGGAGATCTTGCATAATGACGCCAGCGAGATTAAAAATGTCGCCTGCCAACCAGATGATCAAAAAGGTCATTGAGAGGCCTTCACCACTTTTACGAGAGTAGTTTTCATATAATTGACTTATTTTGTATACAATTATATTAAAATATGATGTGGTGTATAGTTTAGATAGATAAATAGGTGTACAAGTAGGTTTAGTCGCGTTTTCAAATAGTGTCTACAGATTATTATTTATTTTATTTTGTAATAAACCTTACGGGGCAAAAACAATAAGCCAGCAGAGAATTGAAAGATAACCACACACACTGTACGCGGGAAAAGATTCCATTCTTTTTTTTTTTTTTAAAAAAAAATGTCAGTAATATAAAGAACAAGAACAAGAAGCCAACAATATTATAAGAGAAGAAAGAGAGAAGAAGAAGAAGAAGAAGAGAAAAAAAAAGGGGGAAAAGATGAGGAAATGAGGATGAAAATGCCGATGAGCTAACTTGACAGGCTTAGTTTTCCGTTGTCTTTTATATATTTATATATAAATTTATATTTATATTTTTATATATATATTGTATAGAACCCAATTTACTGTTACGCCTACACAAACATGCTTATTACATATTTGTAGTGTAGTGTGTGAGAAAGTTTCAGCCATTTTATACTCTTTTCCTATTCGTTTGCTCTTCGTATCTTTTTTCTTCTTCTTTCTTATTCTTCTGCTGACTATTATACACAAGGTAATTGTTTTACTTGATTAGATTCCACAATCACCACACCCATTTGACAGCACAGTTGCAATAAATGACGTGTAATAAAGAGGCCATTTGTGAATAACTTCTTTAACCAAAAATAAAATAAAATAAGAGAGAGATGAAAGAGAAAACATATTTTTTTTTAATATCTTTCTTTAAAGACAAATAGCATGTTCTTCTTTCCTTCTTTGTAAAGTCTTTTCTTTTTTGCTTTTTTGGGTGCAAGACCAAAGAAGAAGTAAAAGAAAAAGGAAATAAAACCATGAATTTCTGATAGAAGAGGGGGATTTGTTTTTGTTTTTTTTTTGATATGAATTGGTTTAATATTCTTATTATTATTATTCTTATTATTATTTTTTGTTGAAGATCGATTCTTTCTAGACTTAGAAGTAAGAGATATCGCCGAACTTCTCCTTGTAACCGGGGATGGTGAACTTGCCCTTCTGGAGCATATCCTCGATGTTCTTGGTGATCTCGGGCTTGGCGACAACGATATCATCAACCTAAAAGAAAACAAAAAAGAGTATTAAATAGATGATTTATATATTTCATTTCCATTTTCTCTCTCTTTATATATATATATATATATATGCTTAAAGCTTTATGGTTTCCATTTTCTTTTGGGTTCCAAAGCACAATTATAATATATATTCACTTTCAAAAAGTTCACCAAAGTCCACAAGTATAAATAAATAAATAAGATAAAATAAGAGAAACTTACAGTAAGCTGCTCAATGGGTCTGGAGTCCTCAATGTTGGTGAGGGTGGCATGGAGGTCCTTGAGCTCAACATCAATCTGCTGGACGGTGGTCTGAGCCTTGGCAACCTATATAATTATTTCCAAGAAAATAATAAATAAATAAATAAAGAGAGAGAAAAAAAGAAAAGAAAAGAAAACAAGGACGCGTAAGATAAAAGCAATAGAAGCACAATTATTGTCCATATCGCATTGTAAAGGAATCTCAATTGTCTTAATGTTCAATTAAGACAATGTTTCTTTTTGTTTCTTGAAAAATAATAATAACAGTAATAACAATAATGTAAGAATGACATTCTTAAAAAGAAAAACTTACAGCCTTGGCCTCGAACTGGTCGATAGCCTTGATCTGGGCATCGAGGTTGTAGGCAACAGGCTTGAAGCCCTTGAGAGCCTTCTCGGCCTGGTCAATGACGGCCTGGTTCTTGAGGGACTTGCGGTAGACAGCAAAGTCGACGGTGGTGGACTGAGCCTTCAACTCGGCCAACTGGCGCTTGACTTCGTCGTTGCGCTTACGGAAGGCGGCAAGGGAGCCAGCAGTCTCCTTGGGGAGGCTGACGCTCAACTTGGACCAGTCAATTTTCTTAGCAACTGCACGAACGGAGGCCATGTTGGTTTTTTATATTTTGGTGAAATAGAAAGAACTTTTTTTTTTAAAAAAAAAAGGAGGGCGAGTGAATTGGAAAACCAATAATAAAAATAATAATAAAAAAAAAAACACACACACACACACACACACACCGCACCGCACCGCACCGCACGCACTCTAACACCCACACACACACATACACACACACACTCTTTTCATTCATTCACACACAAAAAATTCCAATTCCAGTGGCTATAGTCCAATAAGATCTCAAGAAAACAAAAAATAAATAAAATAAATAAAAAACCGCTCCACACCCCCCCCCTACGCACCCATTCAATCTTTGCGGGTTAATCTTTTGCGACTTTCTAAACCCCACCCAGGCCCTAACAGGGGTACAACGCATCAAAATTTTGGCAGTGCAAACACGTCAGAGGTGACGTCCTTTATTTATAATTATATATATATATATATATTTTATTTTATCTAATTTAATTTAATTTAATTGGCGGAAATAACCCAGATATCTCTCGAGTATTTTATATATTAATATATATATATATGTCATTTATATGTTATATTGAAAGTGTACAATATGTGCTTTTTTTTTTTATTATTATTATTACTATTACTATTATGTTGTTGTTGCTGTTGTTGTTAATTAAAAGGCCACTTTAAGAGTAAGAATCTGGAAGGGTGTTAGTGACAATTGAACCCCCTGAGCTTGTTGGCGTTGCTGTGCCTGTTGTTGAAGTTCGACCACATCATCGTCCAGGACTCGGAGATTGGTACTAAACGTCCGGTCCAATTGTGTGGATTTACTCGAAGAACTCACAAGTTCGATATCATCTTCAAGAATATTACACCGGTGAACAGCCTTGATATGTAGAGAGCTAACAAAAAAAAATTAATTAATTAATTAAAAGGTAAATAAATTCTCTTTTGTTAATATTCACCTCACAAGTCTTGCTTTGGCATGTCCTCCATATGCTTCATACAATCTGATAATAATTTGGTTTGAATCTTCTGCCTTTTTGATGGTGTCCAGTACTACATTAGGAGCATCTTCAATATGGAATCGAGGAATTCCGGTCGATAAAGAGTCTAGTTTTGCTCTAGGGACCACTCTAGATAAATGTCGATAAAGCAATACACAAACATATAATGAGTCTATTGAACAACTCAATTGTGCAAATAATCATCATTTTTTTTTTCTTGTATTTTTCTTACCTGGTCAGCAATGGGACATTAAAATTGAATCCTTCACGGACCACATCAGATTGTAAAAAGTGTCCTCTGTGGGGATATATGGCATATTTAAATACGTGGTGTCCAATATCACAGTTTGAATCAGGCGCCTTTGTTTTAATATTTAGAAAAAGGATCAATCAGATTTGATGACAGTAATAATGATACGATCTATCATTAACATTGCTATATTCTTTTCTTTCTTCTTACCTTTGGTGATCGTATAAGAGATAGGCGAACTATATTGTCGTGTGCAGCATATCCATATTTACAGTCATTTAGCAGAGCAACACCATAACCATATTCTGAGAGATCTGCAAACTTGTGGGCCACAACCTCGAACTTGGCACTATCCCAAGAAGTGTTGTAGTGTGTAGGACGTTTAACAACACCATACTGGGTTTCATAATTCACCTATAGGAATGTACAAAAAAAAAACACACACACACACATGTGAATATTAAGTATAATCTAATTACTATTTAAACCAAAAAGTTTTCTTTTGGATATATCTATTTACCGTATCTGCCATGATGTCCCAAGCAAACTCTACTTTCTAAAAAAGAAAGAAAAATTTAAAATAAAGATGTCAATACCCCCCCGTTCATTGATCCATTAATTTCATTAAGCATATTGATTTATGGTTTAGTTATCAATATCAGACAGATTAGTTTTTTTATTTTTTTAAAAAAAAGAAGAATTACCAAGAATTGTCGGTTTTCGTTCCAATCGACTTCTGTCTCGAAATCAATGCGGCGTGAGACGGCTGTCATGATAACAATCTGGCGTAGGCGACTGGTGGCCGAGATTCGTTTCTCGACCAACAAGGCCGCACGAAGAGGTCCTTGCTCAAGAATCTGAACAGAGCCTTCTTCAACCACACGTCCTTTTTCAAGATGGTATATTTCAACTATAGACAATTAAATGCACAACAAGGTTTTATAAACATAAAAATAAATATAATTATATATAATTATATATATATATTTAAAACAAACAAAAAAAAAAGTAGAAGAAGTGTATACTCACCATCCCATGCTAATAAATAGATAAATAAAATGTATTAGTATGTATATAAATGTTTCTCTCTTTCCTTTTTAAGAAAGAAATGTATTTTCAATATCCCTGCTATTACAAACTAACTTACCATCCCAGAACAAAGGCTATTTTGTAATCAAGAGCAACAACAAGGATACATTTATTTGTGTATGTGATGGTTAGTATTGAATTTTTGACATGCAATACAAACCCTAGATGTTAAAACAAGTTCAATTACGTACAATATCTTCATACATTCTGAATACATTTCCTCTTTCGTCTGGTTTGATCAATTCTCGCCTAAGATACCAATCGTTATCGTCATCGATATTAAGCTTAATAGTATTTATTGCCATTATGTAGAACAAGTTTTGTTTTCAATTTTTATTATTGTCCTCACATACCTTTCTTCCTTGTCATGCAGTCCGATCAAGTGGCCTGATTTGTCAAAGGTGACTTGAATGTATTGGTTCTCCATTACGATATTATTCTTCTGGTCAGTAACGACCTTTACAGGTTCGTACTTGAGATCTTCCTCGAGAGAACATCCCTGAACACTCAAAGGAGGAACATTGCTAACTAGATATTGAAATAATTAAATATTTATATACATTAGCCAAACATAAATAAAATTATGCTCGTTTACCAAGTGTATATCCTGTACGTCCAAATGCAGAATATTGTTTCATTGTCGGCAAGTCTTCATCCAAAGGAACCTCGATCACTTCTGTACGAGACCAAGCTAGTGTATTAAAGATCGAAAGTGCTAAAGAAAAATAACCAAACAACACAGCACAATAAATGGCATGAATTTTGATACGAGTGTTTGTTAAACCTAATTGTCTTGATATACGTATTATATTCAATTGAACACAATATAATAGAATAGAATACAAACCTTTTTTGGATGTTGGTGGTGTAGCAGCAGGGTCCAGACCCATCAATCTTTCTAATAGATCCTCTCGCATTTGCTTTCCCATTGAATCCACCTTGGCATACATCTATAGCCCCAAAGGTTAGGTTGGTATGTTGTTGTCTTATGTCTCTATTGGTTTACCTGAAGACAATCTTCATAAACCATTTCAATCGAGGAACCTGAAATGACATCGTGAAATTGAATCAGGCAGATCATTTTCCAAAATACATCAAATTCTGCCTTTGGGTATCTGTTTTTTGTTTTGTTTTGTTAAATAAATAAATTCATATAGATGTTACAAGTTTTGTAGGTTTATTGATCAATTGGATAGATAACATTAGTCATGTATATTTACTTACGTAAATTGGGCTGGATCCATTATGTGAGCAAAGGTAGCCAACATTTCGACATCACGTAACAAGAATTCACAGCTACGGTTGAGTTTTTTACACAGGGCATGAGTGGTATAGATACCACGATGCAATTCAAAATACTTTTTATATACATAGTAAATACCAATTGTACTTGAACATGGTTTCTTGAAAGAATTTGATCTGTTTCTAATACTTTTGAACCTTACCAGTTCACCCTTCCATGTGGTCAATTCAGGAGATTCGCGTTCGATCTTTTCATAGAAATCTGTAGGTGTACTCATCTCGACTCTTGGTAATCCATCCTTTTGTACCAACCAACCAACCAACCAACAAAAATTAATAATAATAATAATAATTTGTTTTTAGATAACTATCTGTTTACATACCACATCTCGCATACGTTTTAACCGTTCAATCATACTCGAAAGAGGACCTCCTCCTCCATCACCATTACCATAGACCAACAGACTAGTATTCGAATATTCCTTATCTCGATGATTCTTGACCCTAATAGATAGAAATACATAGATTTATAGATTTATATATTTATATACATAAATTAAAAAAAAAAGAGCAAGATCAAGAATAACAATCATAGTAATAATGTCATTAAAGATATTGTAGACTTGCGTTCTAATAAGCTCTTCTGGAGTGCACTGAGCATTGTAAGTTTCTGAGGGAGCCATGTGAGTGAGGGCTTTTGACCCATCCAGACCGATCCACCAAAACGTGGTCAATGGAAACTTAATATGATTGGCAGGAAATTAAATATATATATATATATATATTGATATTGATATTGATATTGATATTGATATACAAAAATGTATTAAGAGAAAATATATAAAAAATAATATATATATATATATATATATATATATATACACATATAAATGGCTTATTAACCAGACTCTTATCTTATTCTTTACCTTGTTCACATTGTTCCATGACAATTTTTGTGTAAAAAAGTACTTCATACCTGCCAACCTCATTAATTGTGGTAGCTTAATACCCACCAATAAAAAAAAAAAAAGAGATGGTTAAAATATTTATCTTGTCATTTAATTTAATTTATTTACCTGTGAAGTGTAGCCAAAAGAATCTGGTAACCAAAACACCTTGCACCGTTTTCCAAAATGTTCTTCAAAGAAGCGCTGCCTAATAACCCAGTCAAATTATATATATATATCTATTGTGTAAGATTGATTATGTTCTTGTTACCCCAGCAGGAATTGTCGACAAAGAGATTCACCATTGGGCATATTGGTATCCATCTCGATCCAAGTCTATTAATAAATTTGGGTGCGTATATATATATATATATATATTTACATGCGCATAATCTATTCTTTTTAGTTACACACTTATAGACATACATCTTTTTGTATATATACATTTGAAACAATATTGAAGAAAAAGCATATTACATAGCCCTTCTCTCTTATGTATGTACGTGTTTTCTATCAAGTTTTTTTTTTATATATAAAAATAATAACTTACACCGCCTGTCGGAAGAAATTGACCCATAGCATTCTTTTCTCGAATCCTGTCCCACAATGCAGGATAATTATCTCTCACCCACTCATATTGTTGTGCTTGTGAACAAATGAATTTGTAGTCTGGGTAACGATCCATCAATCCGATTTGTGAAGACCAACTACGGGCAGCCTTTCGAATCGTTTCCTCAAAGGGCCAAAGCCAAGCAGTATCTTCAATTATTATTAGTAGTAATAAAATGGATACATTTCGCTTTCTTTACCTATGTGACAGTGACCCAATGCATGGATCTCATGTTGTGCATCTCCATTCTTAGCTTTCAAGAAATCTGCTGCGATTGCAAGACAGAGTGGTAAGGTACTATCGTCTCCTGGTCGAAATGCATTGATGATCTTGTTGGCTGTGTAGAGAGCCTGGGCTGCACGTGTTGATTCAGCGTGAAGATCTTTGGCCATACCCAATATGATTTGATAATCATAGAGTAGATCCCAAGCCAACTTGTTTGGTACAGCCAGATCCTGGTATACAACAAATCATAAATAAATATATATATATATATATATATATATAAATATATATATATTAAAGTATTTACCAATTCATTGAGATTGAAGAAACGGTTCGGATCTGGTGGACCGATCAACCCATTACCAGCACCAAACATACCGTTGCAAGCCATCTCTATATAAAACTGAGTAACCTCTCCACCCTGAGCTCTAGATGTCAAAAGATAATCATGACGAGCATCACTACCAGCTAAATAACCAAAAACAACAACAACAACAACAACAATAAGAAGATGATAAATACTAATAATAAATATACAATCATTACCTCCACCTGTCAAACCCTGAAGAGGTGCACCATCCATACTCCACAGAATTGCCTCATTGTCTGCGTTCCAGATAAAATGGACTTCTTCGCCCGCAAATTCATTTGGGATCCGTAACTGAACATGAAACCAATGTGTTGACTAAGAAAAATGGTACACAAATCAACAAAGTATTATTATTATTATTATTATTATTATTATTATTATTATTATTATTACCCATGAAGGACCAAACCATTCACCAAGCCTAGTCGGTCTAAATTCTTGTTGAATAGCTTCTTGGAATGGAATTCGTTTAAGATCAGGTACACTATGGACCAATAGAGATATGTACTCTTCTGTGAAATTATCAACCAAATTTTATTTTATATATATATATATATATATATAAAAGAACAGAACAGAACAGAAAGGTTAAAATAATTAAATAAATGAATAAAGGAATAGTGATATTAATTTGTATTACCAGAATTTGTACGTGCTTTGTAGAGTTGAGACAATAGATTGACATCGTTGCCATTGGCGCCTCCGCTTGTAAAGTTTGAACATCGATCCATTGTAATGCTTCGGATCAGTTTTGGGGTTGCAATGGCTGCCGGTCCTTGCGGGTGTCCATGTGAATGCATTGGATTCATCAGCTTTGATTTTTCTTTATTTGTAATGTGGAATTCAATTTATACAAAAAAAAAAGAAAAAGAAAAAGAAAGATGTATATAAAATAAAATAATCAAGTAATAGAAATATATATATATATATATTTGTTTTTCTTCAAAAAATTAAAATAAAAAATAGGTAACAGAGAGAGGGTATTGAATGTCATTTTGATATCTAAACTAGGGAAATATTAACCAACTAATCCAACTGTGTAAAATTGAGGTTTCTTCAGGTTCAATTCAGCTCTGCCCAAACCAACATAATTGCTTCCTATATCTTTTGTTTTTTTTTGCACTACAGTTCATATGGTATTCCCACCCTATATTGACTTGACAATCAAAATAATAATAATAATAATAATAATAATAAAAGTAAGCCGTTTTTGGTAAATAGGTTTGGAGAAGTAATAAAATAATAATAAAAAATAAATCCTCCTATTCCCCTTTTTCCTTTACCCAGATTATTAACATTGTATATATATATATATTCTTTTGTACACCAGACCACAATATAGATCTTCCTTTTCTTCTTTAAAGTGACCAAAGGCCAAAGGATATGATTTTAAACAAAAGAATGAAAATAAAAAAAAAGTCTTTTACAGACTATCTGTTATTATTATTATTATTATTATTATCATTCAAACTAAAATAGATATATAAAAAAAAAGAAAAAAGAAAAGAAAAGTAGAAGCAAAAGAATATGAAAAGAAAGAAAGGATATATGAGCAATGAGTTTTTTTTTTGTTTTTTCAGTTTAGGTAATGACGGTGGGTTCTTCACGGCCAGTGTATTTGACAAGTTGTGAGATCTCAAGAGCAACGTCAATCAGAGGCTGGAGAGCCTTCTGGGTCTCGAGGGGATACTCTTCAGGGTTGTTGGAGTACTTTTCAACATAGAGACGCACAGTCGCGCCCTGGGATCCGGTTCCGGACAGACGGATGACGATACGTGATCCATCCTCAAAGATGACACGCACACCCTGCTTCTTGGACACACTCTGGTCAATGGGATCCAGGTAGCTAAAGTCATCGGTCTTGGCCACCGTGAAGCCGCCAAAGGTCTTGCCGACCAGAGACTTGGTCTCGATCTGTTGTCTGAGACGCGAGACCATTTCATCCGCACGCTGGCCATCGACCTCCTCATAGTCGTAACGCGAAAAGAAGTTGCGGCCATAGATCTTGTAGTGGGCCTGGAGGACGTCCTGGACACTGGTGTTGGGGCGTGTGCTGTTGACATGCGCAAGGATGCTCAGCCAGGACAGGACGGCCCAGAGTCCATCCTTCTCGCGCACGTGGTCCGATCCGGTTCCAAAGGACTCCTCGCCACAGATCGAGCATCGGCCGGCGTCCATCAGGTTTCCAAAGAACTTCCAGCCAGTCGGGACCTCAAAGAACTCGAGGTTCTGCTTCTTGGCCACCAGGTCAAGTGCCTGGGAGGTCGGCATCGAGCGCGCCAGGCCATTGACGCCGTTCTTCTTGAAGTAAGGAATGGCCTCCTTGGCGTAGTGGGCAATGATGGCCACACTGTCGCTTGGGGTCACGAATGCCTTGTAGCCGATAATCATGTTCCGGTCACCATCGCCATCAGATGCGGCTCCGAAATCGTACTTTTCCTTGTCGACGCGTTCGACAAGGTCGTGGGCGTATGTGAGGTTGGGGTCAGGGTGGGCGCCGCCAAAGTCAGGCAAGGGCTGGCAGCGCATCACGCTGGATTCGGGCAGTCCGAGTTCGCCGACAAACAGACGGTGTCCATAAGGACCGGTCACACCATTCATGCCGTCAAACAAGACTTTGAATTTGTTGTCGTCTTTTGTCAAAAAGGCACGGATGGCATCAAAATCAAAGATGGTCTTCATGTAGTCCACGTAGTCATCCACACCATCGATCACCTGGACAGTCAGACCCTCGATCTGGTTCGTAGCAATCTTGGAAAAGTCAACGGCCGGAACATCGGCCCAGCGCAGTTCCTTGATGGTCTTTGTGATCTCATAGATCTTGTCGGTCACACTCTCAGGAGCAGGTCCTCCGTTGGACATGTTGTACTTTATGCCAAAATCGTTTTCAGGTCCACCAGGGTTGTGTGAGGCAGTCAGGAGAATTCCACCAGTTGCCTTGTTCTTGCGAATCAGATGGGATGCAGCAGGAGTCGAAAGGATACCGTTCTTGCCAACAATAAGCTTGGAGACCTAAAGAAAAGAATGCAAAAAAAAAAAAAGAAAACAGATTAATATTTTTTATTTTTTGTAAAGTGGTCGATACAATAATCACACATTTAACATTTATTTATATTTATACTTATACTTATACTTACGCCAGCGCCAATGCTGAGACGAACGATGATTTGAAGCACTTCATCAAGGTAGTAGCGACCATCGCCACCTACGACAAGAGTCGCTCCTTTGGCACCACCTTCAGATTGGGGAATGGCCTCAAGGATGGCCTGGACAAAGTTCTCTGTGTAGTTCTTTTGTTGAAAGACCTTGACGCGTTTGCGGAGACCAGATGTGCCTGGCTTTTGTCCCTCAAATGGAGTTGTGGCAGTAGTTTGGATAGAGACCATTGTTTATGTTGTCTGATAATCTTCTTGTCTGTGTTACTTTAGAGCAAGTCAGGTTTAAGAATGAAAGAGAAGAAGAAGAGTAGGTTTGGTTTTGGTTGCTTTATATCCCAATTATATGAAAAGATATAAAAGGAAAACAAGGTCGAATTATGTAACGACAAAAGTACGCAACTGAAAAAAAAAAAAAAAAAGAATGTAAATTTGATTACCGACAGCCCAAAAAAAAAGAAAAAGAAAAGTGATTGCTTACCAGATCCTGCCGTCAGTGAATTGAATCAACGATCAAAAAGCAGGCTGCCCTAATTTGTATATATATATATATATAAATAAAAGAGGGAGGGACCATGGCTCTAAAGCTACGACTATGATTGGCCAATGATCTTCCCCGATAACCACTAGAATGCACAAACACAAAGCAAAGATCTGTTCTATTATAATTTTGTATATAAAAATTATATAACTGACAAGGCTGTAGATTATGTAGATTGTCCAGACTTCTTTTAAAAGAACTTCTTTACTCATTTTTGTGTGTATTTTCTTTGATGGTGGGAAAGCTGACCAAAAAGAAAAAGAAAAAAAAGAAAGACAAAAGCCGTGACGCAAGCCATTGGATCAGTCACATGCCGTGAGGTACGTGAATTCTCTATTTCTTTTATATATATGTAAAGTGTGTATTGTGCCTATGTGCCTGTGCTTGTGCCTGTCTGTGCCTTGAATTTATATATATATAAAACAAAATCTTCTGACTTGATAGCTCTTCTTTTGTTCCTTTCTCTTACTTACTTACTTTCTTTCTTATTTTCTTCTTCTTCTTCTTCTTCTTCTTTTTTATTGTTATTAAAAATAAATAAATAAATAATGTCCGTTCAAGACGTGTACAACAACCTGTTCTCTACATTTCACTCTATGCGAGAGTACCTGGCACCTGTACTCAAGAACTCACGTTTCAAGGATACTGGCTGTTTGACACCAGAAGAAGTAAGCTTATCAAATCAAAATCAAGCAAAAAAAAAGAAAATTATTATTCCCCAACCTACCCCAACACAACACTACACAACACACATAGCACACATAGCACAGAGCAGGATAATATAGTGCAACCCAATATAACACGACACAATGCGACACAATTCTAGAAAGATTTTCTTTTGTTGTTGTTGTTGAATTCTAAACCTTGAATTCTGAATCTAACAAAAATATTCATATGCCTATATATATATATAAATAAAAGTTTGTTGCTGCGGGTGAGTTTTTGGTTTACAAGTGTCCAACATGGTCTTGGTGAGTTGAAGAAATACGCAATCGATGGATTGGTCAATCAATCAATCAATCGATCAATCAATCAATCAATCAAATGAAACAAAAGGGATACACTGTATAACTTTATTGTTCATTAATGAAAACGATGGGTCAAGATATGAAGAAAAGGGAATCTAATGATCTTTACATAATAATAAAGGGAGGGTGGACTGGATGACAAGAAGAGAGATTATTTGCCATCAGATAAACAATTTCTGGTCACAAGAAATGGTGAGTATATATATAGTGAAGAGAGGATTTTGGGGTGGTTTTGGGTGTGAATATAAAAATAAAAATAAATAAAGAGAGAGAGAGAGATTGGATTGTTAATTGCAAGTGATGAATGTGTCTCAATTTCTAGTACCTTGTTTGCGTCGTGCTGTGCAGATGGAGTACACAAATGATGATGTCGAGACTCAGTTGATTCATAACCAAGATACAAACGATGATGATGGCTGGATGTACACTCACAGTTCAAGAGGTAAAATTCGATCTTATTTGTCCTGATTTGTTTATCTTGCCGTGTTGTATTATAGTTCCTACTGTAATGGCTGACATTGCACACACAATGATTGGAGATGAAGACGAAGAAGAAGAAGAAAAAAAGGAAATGCAGAGACGATTAGAGAACCTGACAGTAAAGGACGACAAAGAAGAAGAAGAAGAAGAGGAGATTCCTGATTTGGATGATATACCAGACATGGAAGACACATTTGAAGAAGATGATCCGGTAAATACCCATTGCTTTGTTCTGTTCTATTCTTTATTAATGCATTTTTCTATATTTAATTACTCAAGGCCCGTGCAGACACCCATGAAGTCAAGTAAGTTCAAATCATGTGGTCATATTTGATATCATATCATATATGTTTAATGTGTGTGTGTATTTTTTTTTTATTTTTTTTGGTAGTGACAAGATTCTTCAGGTCAGAACTTACGATGTATTTATCACCTATGACAAATACTATCAGACACCTAGAATGTGGCTCTTTGGATACGACGAAGTATGTAGCATATAATGATTTAAGCGTTTTGTCGTTTATTGATTGTTACACTATTGTGAATTAGGAACGTCGACCGCTGACCTCACAGCAAGTTTTTGAGGACGTTACACAGGATTACGTCAAGAAAACTGTAACCATCGAAACACACCCTCACCTCAACCTTAGTCTTGCGTCTATTCATCCCTGCAAACATGCAGAGGTTATGAAGAAGATTATTGAGCGTATGGGAGATGGTGTCAATGCTGGTCTGGCATCAAATGAAGACACGGGTATCCGTGTAGACCAGTAAGTACAATCATTTGAATAGACTTATCTTGACCAACCTATGCATTGTGTGTATGTCTGTCTGTCCAATCTGTTCTAATAATCTATCTATCTATCTTTAAAAAAAAGGTATTTGATCATCTTTCTCAAGTTTATGAGTTCAGTCGTACCAACAATTGATTATGACCACACAATCAGTGCGTAAAAATGAAAAATTGAAATAATCAGATTTATATTATATTATATTGTAATGTAAAATATATATATATATATATATATAATATGTATGTATATGAAACAAATGCTTCTTTATTATTATTATTACTATTATTTACAAAAGAATGAAAGGATAAGAAATACAGGCAAAATGGTTATAGAAAAGATGATGAGTATGAGTATGAGTATGAGTATGAGTATGAGTATGACTATGACTATGATGATGCTTATGATGATGATGCTTATTATTATTATTAATGATAGTAGTAGTAATTGAAGTAGGGTCATTGGTTGTTGGTATTAAAGAGGTGTGTGCGGTGTGTGTTCCAAAAGGCGAAATAAGGTCTGTCGTACGGAGAGAGGAGAGACGGGTTTACTGATACAGCCATTCTATTATTACATATGATAAGTACATATTTCTGTAATACATAATATATATAATTTTACCATTCCAGCTTTGATGTATGCAATTTTGTCTTCAGGTGAGTCGTTTGTGGTGACGGCAATGATGGGAATTGTTTGGTTGGACAACAGGACGTCAAACGTATTGGAATGTCGGATGTGTTTTGCGGTATCGATTCCGTTTAAAAGTGGCATGTCAATATCCAGCAGAACAAGATCAAAAGAATGTCTGCCGAGGACTTCGAGGGCCTTGACCCCACTTTTTACAAGGGTCATGTCTTTCACAATGTCACCCATATGCAGTCGAAGCAGACGAGACAACACCTGGAGGTTTATAGGGTTGTCGTCGACCAGCAAGACTCGCTCTAATCGACTAGGCCGAATATCCGACACAGCAGCTGAATGGTGCCGTCTCAGCCGATGGCGCACATGTTTTTTCTCGACCGGCAGTGGTGATTCTGGCAAAGGTGCGCGCGAACCTGTCGAGGCCCGGCGATGGTTGCGAAATGAAAAGTAATCCAACGTGTATAATGAACGAGAAATAACGGTCAAGAGCAAGAGTCAAGGAACCAAAGTAGTAGTAGTAGTAGTAGTAGTAGTAGGAGTAAGAGAATAAAGAAAGAGTGAGAGAAAGGGCTTTGCAATTGATTAGATATATAATCATGCCAAAAAAATAAAATAATATAATATATATAAAAAGGGTCCCACGCCAAAAGAGATATTAGATGTAATCCAAAATGTATAATGGCCTTGTACACCACAAGACAAAATAATAATATTTTTCTTTTTCTTCAATTATCCATTATTCCTATGTATCATTTACAAATATCCTATTTACATACACCCTAAATTTTTACCCTTTTATATAAATAAATAAAGATATATAATAAATATTTCTTTTTGAGTACAGGAAATTTGCCAAGATTTATGGTTTTTCCTTTATCCATATACCTAATACGCACGTACACACACACACACAAGCAAGCAAGCAAGCAAGTAAGCAAGCAAGCAAAAAAGGGGTCTTCCAATTCAGTCAATAAGAAATCTAGACTTTTAATATATTTAATTGTAAATCAAGATACGTATATATCCAATTAGAAACAAATAAACAAAAAGAAATGCTACTATCCTAATATTCTGTTGTTGTGTCCTTTTGGTTACCCTCCCCTCCCATCACCACCCAAAAAGAGTAAACCTATAAGCGTCATTGTTTTTTCACATAATAATCTGTTTTTGTCAAGATTTTTATGGTCTTTTTTTTTTTTTTTTTTTTTTTTTTTTCTTGCTTGCTTGCTTGCTTAAGCAGACGACACGGCTGCCAATAAAGTATTAATAAAGACTACGCCCAGTATCATTTTCAAAATAGACATTCCTCCGCCATCATAAGCAGCAGGAGAGAGTTGACTAGGTCCAGGAACCTATATTTGTATATTTGTATTTATGAGATCCATAATGATAAATATATAAATATATAAATATATTATATTATATTATATTCAAAACTTACTATTTTGGTCATTGGCACACTTGTGGATGGTCCACTCCAGCCATTCATGTATTCAAAGTAGGATGCTAATGGCGATCCAGGACCCTTTGTTTTTGTTTTTGTTTTGTTTTGTTATTCTTTGATTTATTAAAGAGCCCAAGTAGATGCCTTTCGCTTATGAATCTACTTACAGGATTGAATTTGGAAATGGACATAATTATTATTATAGAATTGAATAAAATAAAATTATACCGTAATTGACAAGCAATACAAAAAATTGTTATCGCCGAGACTTCCCCACACGTGATATGCTATTTTATTACATATATGCGTCAATCGAGGTCTTCTCTCTTGTATTCGTGTCTCGTTTTTGCGATTTTAAATACCAATCAGACCTAAATATATTTTTACCTTTAATAAACATTAGGGAAAACAGCCCCTCTTCCCCTCCTCCTCCTCCTCCTCCTCCTCTCTTGTATTTATATATATATATATATCTCTGTGTGTGTGTACGGATAATTCTTTATTATTATTATTATTATTATTATTATTATTATGCAAAGGAGGCTTTTATTTTATTTTTAATTTTCTACCTATTTCTATTATATTAATACTAATAATTATAACACATGTAGTTTACTGAGCGTGTATGTGTGTGTGTGTCTAATATTGCGCCACCTCTTCCTATTATGACCTTTCTCGATTCTACAAATTTGATCTTTTTTATTATTATTCTTCTTTTTAAATCATGCATTATTCTTAACACGATCTTGAACCGAATTGAAATTGGCTCATTTAGTAAAATTCAATTATATATACATATACATATTTGTGCGTTTGGGTGTGTTGATCTAGATTATGGGGTGTGATTTACAAGTAATTTAATGGTAACTATGGTAGTGGTGTAAATTATATAAAAGAAAAATGTGTACATCTTTTATTTTATTTTATTTTACCATGTCAAACAAGTGAGTGTAACATAATCTAATCGATGCCAGATTCCTTCCATAGCCGTCTTGAGATCCTTATCTGATGCTAGCAAGAGAACAATTCCTGAAGAGGAGCAAGTATCAGCACACGTCGGTGAATTTTCTGAATCTGATGATGATGATAATGTTTGCGGTGGTGCTGGTATTGGTATTGGTATTTGTGGCTGTAATTGAGGACTAGAAAAGTATCCGAATGAACGGGAGGTGACCATATTAGCCAAGGATCTCATTGACACACTGGGTTTCTTTTGGTTCAAGGTGAGCGTGTAGAGTGCCCCTTGTCGATCAGACTGATCCAGATGGTAATACGCCAGACTGGAGGACGGAGGTAGGAGACTTAGATTGGCCAGGGCAAGCTCATGGTCAAGCGCTGAACGGAGCTCGGAGAGTTTCCAGTTTCGCTGCATATGAACTGTCACTGAAGTATGGCCGAGAAACAAGCATACTTGAATAGAATACCCACCAGTCGACGATGATAATGCCAATGAAGATGAAATAAGAGGTTTCGATGGAGCCTGAAGTGACCGAGTCGAGGGAATTGGATGTGAAGTATCGAGAATGATTGCTGGTGGATCCGAAGCTTTATCTCGAGACGGAGGCGAAGGTGAAGATGAAGATGAAGATGGTAGTAACAGTGATGACGAAGAAGGTAATGATAGTGATACTGATGGCGATAGTAATGGCGATAGTGGTAGCGATGGTCCGCATACTGCTGGATGATGATCAAAAAAACGATGTACAATCTGGGATTGCCACACAGAAGGAGACATGACAGACAACTGGAACAGGTATCGGTCCAATCGATGCTGCTTCTTTCGCTGCCGAGATTTTTTGGTGCACCAGGACTGGTGACGAGGTAAAGGTGACAGAACTGGAACAACTGATCGAGTCTTTAAAGCCGAGTTTATTACATTCTGGTATTTTCTTCTCCAACCAGCTGTAGTCGTGCTTGCGGTTGTGCTTGCGGCTGTTGTGGTTGTGGTTGTTGTTGTTGTTATGGGTTCATGTGGAGTGTACAGTACGCACAATTCGTCAGATAGTCGTAAAAAGTCCTTAAATCGTCTGTGGACAGTGTAGGTAGGGCCTTGGTCAGGTTGAATCTGAATAGCGTACCAGGTTTCTTTACCTCTCTGTTCATATGATTCAACAGAAGCACTAATTATTGAAGACATTGGAAATGCCAAACAAATAAGAAAGAATAAAATGAAGATGAAGAGCAAGAATTAAAGTAAAAGAAAGAAGAGGAAGAGGAAGAGGGATACAAATGCTAATGGTAATAAAAAGGGACCACCCATTTACTTTAATCCTCTTAAAAAAAATAATGATATTAAATAAGAATACTTATATGAATATGTACATGCACATGTATATATGAAAGATAATGATTATAATGTTGTTGTTATTGTTGTCGTTGTGTACAAGTGTGTGTCCAAGAGATAGAGATAGAGATAGATAGAGAGTATGTATATATATATATATAAGGTGCTCTTCTGGTTCATTGTATTTCATACAGTTCAAGTTGCCTTAAAAGTAGATTGTCCATCAACAGCCAAAAAATAATAATACATACATACATAAAATTCCTCCCAAGCATTCTTCAAAACAATTTAAGCACAAAATGTGCCTGTGCTTAAGTGAACAATCAAACAAGCAAGTAAGCAAGTAAGCAAGTAAGCAAGTAAGCAAGTAAGTTTCCTTTTTCTCTTTCTTTCTTTTCCCGTCCGAGTCACAACCTTCTCTCCCTCCCTCTCCCCCCTCTCCCTCCCCCTCTTTCTCTCTTTCTTCTATTTCTTCTAATTAAAGCACACGAAAGCGCTTTATCTTTATAGAGAGATATATACATATATCTGCTTCATTTTCTTCTTCTTCATTTATATATATAGGTATTCTACATAATCATAACGTTATACACCTTGGACCTTTTCACTGGCTTACGACAACACACTTATTAACTCTAATGGATAAACGTAAGTAAAGGAAATAGAAAGGAATCGTAGTTGGGTTAGCTATTAGGAAGCTATCTTGAATACATTGATATTTATGCTTGTACAAATCATTATAGCTAATCTTCATTCTCGTGGTGGACCACCTAATGACTATGACTGGCCAGTCACTATTCTAATGGTGAGTGTTCTTTTAACTGAAATTACAACCCTTACATTACTCTCTTTTCTTTCTTTCCTTCCTCTTCTTTATATTTCTTATATAAAATATAAAAAAAAATCAAAATAAAAGTAAAAAAAATAAAATTCTCCATTTTAGTATGTCTTGATGACACTTCTAGGTCTTGGCATGTGCTTTTGTCTACGCAAAGCAAACCGGCTGATCCCAAACCGGCTCAGCTTTCCATTGGTCTCAACACAACCCAAAGACATTGCTGGAAATAGAAGAGGAAGAGGCTATGATGCTTCGGATGTTGAGCAGGGAGATACTGATGCTCACCAGGGACTTTTGAGTGAATATCAACAAGATAGTAACGATGAGTATGAAGAAGGAGACAACCAAGACGATGGGTTCCCTAGACCACCTCTACGTGGAGTAACAATTGCAGGTCACAATAATGACAATAATGATGACGATAGTGCTTCATTTGATGAAGAATTTGGTGAACTACAGGCAGCCGAAGACGAATGGCAAAAGAACAATGAGCCTAGAGTCACGTGAAATGGCAGCACTTCCCTTTTTTCCCCTCTCTCTCTTTCTTTTACTCTTTTTCTTTTTCTTTTTGAACTGTATAAATACATTTACATATAAATCCACATATCTTTATACATGAAATGTATATAGAAGAAACGCATATTGAAAAGAGAAGTTGGCACCAAAGAGAAAGAGGATGAGAAATACAAAAGAAGAGGGATTGTTATTGTTGTTACCATTCTCGGTCAATAAGAAACAATGATAGCAATATATATATATATATATATATATAGAACCTCCAAAAAGAAAAGCTTGGTTTACTTATAGCCCTCATCTACTGTATGTAATTTTGTATAGATATCTGTACAAATATAATGTTAAAAAACTATGAAAGTAATACTAATGGTTTAAAGCAATAAAGCCTTCCTTTTCTCCCATCGACCACTTCTTTATGTTTCTATATAAAGGTAGTCAGTCTATGGAAATATAAATCATTGTGCCTATATCCTTTTCTTCTATTCTTCTGAAATGCTACTGTGCATATGATAGTGAGAGTTGAATGTCTTTCTTGGCACTGAATTTTAAATAATATATATATATACTCCGACAAGATAAAACATCGTCACTTCCCCAGAAATACACCTCTTTTTAGAGCACACCATTTTTCTTTTCCTTTTGCAGAACCTTTTCTTAAAACTAAATCACTCATGTCATCAAGAAATACAAGAACCAGAAGCCCTTTAAAAAGATGTGAATTGTCAGAGTTTGAGCGTGGTGGCAATATTTGGCTATATAAAACCAAAAATACCCCAACTGAGATCGCAAACCACATGGGTATCCCTAGAACGACAATCAACACCACTATCAAACGTTGGGAAGAAACTGGTACTGCAAAACCAAAGACCAGACCTGGGAGACCTAAGAAACTTAGTGTCACGGATGTTAAAAGCCTTTGCTTGAGCGTGAGGCGTAACCCTTTCGAGAGTTATGCATATCATCAAAGGAATATGGCAGCTGCAAGTGTCATCATCTGTAGAGACACAGTTATCCGATACCTTAAGGCCAAAGGCTTTGGTTCTTACACCCCTGTTCCTAAGCCAAACTTCACCCGTGAACAGAAGAAGAATCGGTTTCGTTGGACCAAAGCTAGAGCCAGCTTTGGGATTGAGGACTGGAGTAGGGTGGTGTGGTCAGATGAGTCGAGGTTTATGCTGAAGGGCAATGATTCTGACCCAGCCGTGATTCATAAGCGAGGGGAGAGACACTAGGAACGTCATACACTAACAACAGAGAAGTATGGAAAGGGTTCCGTGATGGTGTGGGTTGTTTCTGGGCTGGTGGTCTCGGACCGTTATCGTTTCTCGAAGGGTCAGTAGACCAAGACGCATATGTCAATTGTTTGTCTAAGGACTTCAATCCCTGGTATAAGAAATTGAATGATGAACAGGACACTATGTTTACATTCCAAGAAGACGGTGCTAGTTGCCATACTGGGTCTTATACGACGTGGTGGAAAAACCATTGGGAAATTAAACGTTTTGACTACTGGCCATCACAAAGTCCAGATTTGAACCCCATCGAGCACGTCTGGCATGCCCTAAAAGCCAATGTTCAAGAGAGAAAGGCCTCTATAAACAATGTCGAAGAGCTCAAGGCTTGTATTCTTCATGAGTGGGAGAGACTTGACCCAGGACTTCTTCGTACTCTTGTAGCAAGTATGCCGGATAGAGTTCAAGCAGTTATAAAAGCTCGTGGTGACCACACCACATATTAGACCCTATCTTATTTTTTTATTTATATAATATATATACTTATATCTATAATAAAACGAAGTTTCACTTTATTTAGTCGAGTTCTTTAGAAGATATAATGTAAAGAAGTTGATATGTAGTTTATTCGGGACTAGAAATCAAGGAATCTGACTGTGATTTATTCTGCACGAGTGTATATATATTATTTTTATTATTATTTTAAAACACATCTTCCTCCTCCTATTTTTTTCTTCTTCTTCTTCTTCCTCTTCCTCTTCTTCATTACTCCTGGTGTGTTTCTCGTTCATCAGTAAAGTAATTCACAAATAAAATAATAAACAATCAAGTTCAAAGAACATCATTCCAATAACATTTTTATTTTATTTTATTTTATTTTATTTTATTTTATTTTTTAAAAAAATTACTTTTTTATGTAAACCAATTAAAAAAAAATAGTGGAAGATATTAGCAGTGGATCCGATAGTGAATACGTAAAGTACTGGATTGACTGGTTTCTCGGTATTAAAGGAAATGAGTACTTTTGTGAAATCGATGAAGAATACATTCTCGATCGATTCAATCTGACCGGCCTTAATGCCGAAGTCAAGCAATATTATCTCGAAGCACTCGACATGATCACTGACAATCTCGGTAAGTGTAGAGTGCAATGTGTAAGAGTTATATTCCTAATTCAAATTTATTTTTCTTTTTAAAAAACCTCCCCCCCACACACACACACACATATATATATATATATTATACATAAAATAAAGATGAAGAAAGCTTTGATGAAAAGGCTCGAGAACAAATTGAAAAGGCAGCTCGTCATTTGTATGGCCTAATCCATGCTCGTTTTGTTATAACTTCCCGAGGATTAATCCGCATGGTAAGTAAATATGTACAAATATGGATATGTATGTATTATGTGTGTCAGTGACATATTGAGAACATATGTCTCATTCTTATATTTCTTTACTTTTTACTTTTACTTTTCTTTCTTTGGTTTCTTAGTTGGAGAAACACAAAAAAGGAGACTTTGGACGTTGCCCTAGAGTGTTGTGCAACCTCCAGTCATTGTTACCCGTAGGTCTAACAGACGTTCCAATGACCAAGACCGTCAAGCTTTATTGTCCACGATGTGAAGATATTTACAATCCTAAATCTGTACGCCACGCTGCAATTGACGGTGCTTATTTTGGCACATCTCTTCCCCACATGTTATTCCAAATTCACCCAGCCTACCTGCCATCAAAGACCAACGAACGCTATGTACCACGTATATTTGGGTTCAAGGTACATGAGATTGCAGACCAGCACAGATGGCAAGATAAAGCACGTCTGGAACACCAAAACGGTTTGGCTGCAGTAGAACTATCATCATATGCACCCCGAAAAGCCTAAGCAAATATATTTGTATACAAAATACAAAATACAAAAAGTACAAAAAAAAATACACAAAACACAAAAGAGAAATAAAGTAAGAGCGAGAGTAAGAGTAAGACAGAGGCACTGAGACGACAAACGAAACGAAGCGAGACGAAGCGAGACGAAGCTAAACAGAGCTAAACGTACAATATGATACATTGCGATGGGATGCGATACGAAATGGAATCCAATGAAAACAAAAAATAATAATAATCAGAAAGAGAGATGTAGATAAAAGAGAAAGAAAAAAAAACGACCTCTTACTTGTGTGTGTGTGTGTTGAATGATGATAATTGAGGTGAAATCAATTAATGAATTAATGAATGAAAGAATGAACTAATTAATGTGGACGAAATGGAATCAGAAAACAAATGCTTTTTTCTAACAAAAGAAAGAGAGAAGAAAAGAGTTTCAGTAAAATTTAAAGAAAAAAAAATTACTAAATAACTAGATAAAGACGTATAAGAGAGATATAAACATCTAGTATATATGTAGTATGTGTGTACATAGAGAGACAGGAAGAGGATAGTAAAGATTAAGCATGTACAGAGAAAGTAAAACAGGAAGAAGCAAAAGTTACGAATAAAAGAAAGTCTAAGGGTGGGATGTGTCTCCAACGACATTGGATACAACAACTTGTCCCTGATGAGTTAATACCACAGGGCGGACCATTGGTGTTGAGGTATCTACGCTAAAGTGTTGACGGATCACATCATCTCGGTGTTGGTGAGCAGATGCATACACACCTAGACCAATATTCATATAGCTAGGTTGATAATGGAATACAGGAGGGGCTTGCTGTTGATGTGATTGTTGAGCGTGATGCTGGTTCTGTTGTTGTTGTTGTTGTTGTTGTTGTTGGTTTTGGTTTTGGTTTTGGTTTTGGTTTTGTTGGTTTTGCTGGTGCTGGTGGTGATGGTGATGGTTATTCTGATTTTGATGTTGATGTTGATGTTGATGCTGATGAAGTTGTTGATTTTGCTGTTGGTTAGATGTATCTGTAGAGGAGTCGATAGTCGTTTCAGGCCACAAAGAATACATCATTGGATCATTATGTGTGTTGTGATTGTGCCAACTGGATCGCATCATTCCACCTGCCCGGCGTGCTTTATTTATCCCTTTATCCATGTGTGTCACAAAATCTACAAGATGATTGTTGTTGGCAGAAGTAGCCATCAACAGTTCCCCTGGTGTCCGTGCATCAGTTCCAGTGCGATCAAACAAGGATCGTGCCTTGAAAAGATAGTCATCAGCACCAACACTGGCAGCAGCCGCGGATGAGCTGGCAGCCATGTCCACAGACTTAACCCATGAATCATCATCGACCGTTAAGAAGTCAAGAGGGTTAGACGATGGAGCAGTGGTGAGATTCGTGGTCGGTAAGCCTGGCGCAGAATCTGACGCAGATATGGAGACGGAAGCAGGTGCTCGCCAATGAGGAGGATGAAATGTGCAGGACAGGACCTGCGCTGCATTGATTTCGGCATCATGAATGTACACGCAATCTTCCAATGCAGGAGATAGCTTTTGTCGCGTAGTTGATGAAGTATTTGCATTATTATTAGAAGTATTAGAGGTGGTAGCAGTAACAGTAGCAGTGGTAGTAGCAGCAGATGGATGTGAATGTGGAGGGGGGCTTGGAGTTTGTTCAGAAGTCCAAGTGATGCCTGTCATGTCTTTTGGGGTAGAGATATGTTCTTGAACAATTAGTGAGCTGTCGAGAGAGTCAATAAAGTGATCCATGTTTGTGTCTACCCAGTAGCGAGAAAGGGTGAGCAGCGATTGGAGAGACCGTTTAAAGAGTCTAGTAGCACGACGAGAAATCTCAGGCCGAGTATCAGAACAGTTGCGAAGGTGAACTTTGGTAGCCAGAATAGTAGCATTACATGCCAATGAGAATGAAAATAATAAATTGTGCTGGGCTGCAAGTAAGGACGTGAGCTGAGTCAAGCTACCAGCAACCACTGTACATCGCTGATGGGCGGTCTTTGCTAGACTGTATTCATCCGGCCGTAACAGACTAAGTTCGACAAGATTGTACACTAGGTGCAAATGTCCAACCATTGAGTTAGGTGGTGCCTCTGTTGGAAATAGTGCAGCGTGAGAGGGCAGAGCATGAGAAGGTAGCGGGGTCCATTGGAGCTGTGGAGAAAGGGATTGTAACCAAGACAAGAGCTCGTTATCAAAGTTCACAACCAGCTGTTCGTGTTCCTGGGTGCGTACTATGGCACGGACAGTTTGAGACGGCAGGTCTGGCTGCAGCACTCGCTCAGCAATGCGCATAAGTCTAATGTACGCCACAAATCCTTCCAAAACCCGATGCTCTTCCACATCATCACCTGGCTGAAGTAACGGCATCTCTAGTTCGATATCTTTAGCTCGCATCATCCACGGCTGGCCCGTGCATATGTTCTGCAATTTATCCAGACAATAGCAGCCCCAACACACGCGTTTCCTCAACTCCTTTTCATTCTCACTTGTTTGTTGTAATTGCTGTCGTTTTTGTGGTTGATTGTGATATGTCTCGGCATAAGAACGTTTCATCAATCCAAGATCAGCACTCATTCGTACTGCCATTCCGCCATATATAGATGCACGATTTTCATTGGCGGTGGTAGCATTGTTATTATTATTATTATTATTATTATTATTATTATTATTATTATTATTATTATTATTATTATTATTATTATTTGTAGTAGTAGTAGTAGTAGTAGTAGTAGTAATATTAGCCTTGGATTCGTAGAGCGCCAGTAAACAAAGTGCTACGACAGTGCTGAGTCGAGGTGCATCTAGAAAATCATCAACAAGAGATTTGGTTTGCTTAAAAAAAGTATTGGACCTCGACACTCGTTCTTCGTCCAAATGCTGAGCTGCGTGGGCAAACATGGCACCAAGTAGCAATGGTGTCACAAAAGATGCCTTGCTTTCCAGCAAATCAAAGAATGTTCGTTTTGGCACAAATGGCATAACAGCATAGCAGTGCTTAAAATAAAGGTGTAGTAATTGTTGTTGCATAGCTCTCGACACGACCGGAACTGACCCTTGATAATGAGGTGGGGGTGGTCGATTGATATCTTTTTCAAAAGTTTTGGACAATCGCCATTTGTCGACCAGGCTGTTGTTGTTTTGTTCGACAATTTCCAATATAGATGCAATTCGTTTCGATGTTGAGATTGGTAATAGTGTAGAATCTTTAGATGGTGATGATGGTGTACTGGTTGGCGTATGTGTCTTTAGATTTGGGGAGTTTTCCGGTGGGCTGAAATCTGAGTCGTGATCGTCTTGTTCGGTTCCATCTTTAGAGAATGAGCAAGGACGTCGACGGGCTTATGAATATAGAAATGGATATTGTTATATAGAACGATTAAGGTACTGGTGAGTCTCATTGCTGCTATTGATATTATTATTATTTTTAATATAGTTATCATTATATAATTTTGAATGTATGTATTGTTTTCCACTTTTCCGATCTACCTTTACACTATTGCGATGGTAACAAATTTAAGCATGAGAATAAAAAGAAGAAAGAGAAGAAGAAAAAAGACATATATTTATAGATGATGAGTACAACCGAGATTCCATATCCTTTGTTAATCAATAAATGAGCTCATCCATCTTCTGTCGCTTATCCTATTATTACTATTATTACCTGCATGCATGGATGAACGCCATCGCACTTGAAGACAAAAGAATGTTTAATGATTAGCAAACCACACAATAATTTAAATTATCAAAAAAAAAATGAAGATTTATATATAACTATAATTTGGCTAATAATAATAATAATTTGTGTACCTTTATCTTCTTTACACGACAAGTATAGCATGCTCTGCCAACCTTGAATCGTTTTTGGCGAGGACCAGGTTGGGTAGAGTGCAAAAGGTCCTTTTGATCCTTGGGTTTGATCAATTCAGTCTGAGGGGACATGAAGAATATAAGATAGTAATAATAATAATAGTAAATATATAAGGACCTAAAAGACAAAAAGGAAAGAGAAGAAGAAGAGAATTTAGGGAACACAATAAAATAAAATAAAAGTGCGTGGTTGGCACGGATCAATTGAAACAAGATCAATTGCCACCTAAAAATAGAGTGCCCTATTTTCTCTCTCTCTGTGTGTGTGTGTACAAGAGGAGTTTCTATAGAAACATATTATTATTATTTTTATTATTATTTTTATGAATTTCGTGATATATTCTATAAACATTATGGTGCATTTAGTTGATATCATTCATCTCAAGCTTGCCAATAAACGTACTGTAGATACTTAATAGTCAAGATCATTGATGGAGACGGTATAGATAAGCTGTATTTTATATGTTTCATACAAATATACGATTTTTTTGAATATATAATATATGTATATAAAGATCTTCTTTATGTTTTTCAGTTTTTCTCTCTATATCTCTATATCTCTGTCTCTCTATCTATCTTCACTTCTTCTTTAAAGGGAGTGCGATAAGCAGAATATATCTAAAAATACATGCAAAAATACAAAATAGAAAAAAAAGGTGTGTGTCTGTGTGGATTGCATGCATGGATCATAGTATTAAACATATTCTTTTCTTTTATAGTTCTTTTTTTTTGTCTTTTTTTTTGTTTTCTTCCTTTTCCTCCTTTTCCTCTTCCTTTTCTTATTTTTTTTTATAAGTATTAAACAATTAGAAAAAAAATGCGCTTATATTATTAAAGAATGGGCTGGCTCGTGGGTGGATGGTGAACCTGCTCAACAGGAGAACAGTCGCCGGATTCTAAGATGAACTCTTGCCGATCAAACATAATCTCGTCTGGTTTCATAGGCGCCACAGGCGGTAGACCATCCTTTTCAGCTTGGTTCGGCTGTAACGGTTCGTCGGGTTTAGAAAGATACGCCATGGTAGGGTCTACTCTGACCAAAGTCCACGGAGAAGAAATTACAGGAGAAACAAAGGGCGCTGGAGGTACGAGTGTAGGAGCTGCTGACCATGGAGATGCCATACCGCCTGCAGATTGTGGCGACGAGGGCACAGTATCGAGCGTACCCTGACGATTGCCTAGTGGTGATGCACCGACCGACGATGAGTGTCTGTGCCCGCGCGGCCTGGCTGGTGCGGGCGGTGCGGTTGGCTGATCAAGAATAAGAGACATGCGCTTGTCAAAAGGGAATCCTTTGCGTCTGTCAAAAACCAACGGTCGATGTCCTACTGAAAGCGAATATGTGTGTCCAGTAGACAGTGCATGTGTCTCTACAACAAGCGGGTCGTGATTGTGGTTATCGTGGTTATTATTTTCCAGCACAGGTGGATCAAGAAGTTGTTTTGGGTAGAGTGGAATATCTCGTTCATGGTCAGATTGAGAAAGGCTTCGGCGTTTCCGGTGGCGCTTAAACATGTATACGGCTGTTATTATTAGCAAAACCACTGCTAAGCTACTGATGACAGCACCGGTAATGGTTCCAAACGAAGTCGGTGTATTACCACCGTGAGCTGTTGATCCGTTGCTTTCGTTGGGGTGACTAGGATCACTTGCAAGGAAATCGAGTGAAGGCGTGTATGTCGAGGTCCAACTCCAAGTATTTGTATCCAAAACTTCGATATCAGACATTACTGATAGAGCAGTAGCCACTCCTAATAATCAAATATATATTTACACACACACACATATATATACATACAAAAAATTTATTCAGAATCTTATCAAGTTCAGTTCTTTTGATTTACCTGTAAACCCAAAAGCAACTATCATATTTGTGCCCACCATAGTTGCTGTACGCAGTATGCACATACATGTATTTAAATAATAACAGTAACAATAGAGATCATTATAATGATAATTATGGTGACAATATTAACATAAAGAATATAAATAAGAATAAGAATAGTAATAATAGTAATAATAATAGTAATATCAGTAATATTAGTATTAGCAGTGATAAAATGGCATTAATTAATAAACATGTTACTCAATATAAGCTCTAAACAAATATATGCGCTACTTTTTCTTACCTGTGTGCTATGAACAATTCGTGTATTCGACCCAAGAGATATAAACAAAAATGCTTAACAGTTTTCTTCTTTAGACAGTAATACGTTTATCTGTCCCCCCTGTGACCACTAGATTACTTACGTCGGCTCTTCCTTGGACAGCTGCATTGGTATTCTTTACTGTCCACGCCCATGTTTGAGTATCTAGCACCGAAACATCATTATATACATGGTAGCCATCGTAACCACCGTACCTATATATTAAATGGGTTAAAATTTCAGTCAATTAATCAAGCAATTTAGCAGTTTATCAAATTATCAATCGATTAATTAACAAGGAAAATATATCAGAGTAAAAATACATTTCTGTTACTTACATTATGATTGACACTCCGTCTGGCATCAGTGTTTGACTGTGACTACTACGATTCGCAGGTCGATTATCACTATCTAGTGTAGCATTTACTGACAGCCAAAGACTGGTCTTGGTGTCAAATACCCAAATGTCTGTCATGGATACTGGATTTCCACTCATGCCATCAAACCCGCCAAGCACCACAATTAAATGGTCGTCTATTATTGTTTGTTTATGGGCATATCGAAAAGGCGGTTGTGGGCCGGTTAAAGGGACACTATAAGAGTTGGTCTGGTTGATTGTGTCGATTATGTACATATCCGATGCAGGCTGGGCTTTTTCTGTCGAGCCTCCATTGGTGTGTTTTCCTCCCCAGATCTACAAGTGAAAAAAAAGGGCCCGTAAGTACATATAAATCTGCGTGTGAGTGTGTGCGCGTGTGAGTGAGTGAGTGAGTGAGTGAGTGAGTGAGTGAGTGTGTGAGTGTGTGGGTGTGTGGGTGGGTGTGAGTTAACGTGTGGAGATGTATATGTATATGTAGATTTATGAGTGAGTACAATAGAAAGAGAAATAAAGAGAATACATATGTGTATATAGGCTTGGGTACATTTCTTCTTTTTTTTTTTTATCTTTTTCTTCTCTATGCTTACATAAGCTATACCATGAGATGCTACAGCACATGCTGCTGCTTGGCGACTTAGATGATTTTCGGGTGGAAGGTCATGTTGATGCCATTGTCCAGTATCACAGTTATAACTAAAGGCTACTGGTTCCTGGTCTCCGATACTGGGGTCAGGTCTCGGGGTCACTCCGCCCACAATCAGCATTTGTCGATTGTCAGATCCACCTGCAAATGCAATATGCGAATACACCATTGGCCCGCCATGTGTATGTTGTGGTCCTGACCCAGACCGCCATGGTATTTTTGTTAAAGTGTAGTGAACATTAATGGGTATAATAGCTAAATCCGATATCCAAAGAGGTGTTGGAGCAATCGAAGTAACTGAAGTATCCCCTCCATAAAAGTAGATACTGTGTTTGTTTTGATGTTTATTTTTCCGTCGTCGATGTTTGTATCGTCGTAATCGTAGTAACAACGGTATTAATTATTCGTGTACGTTTACGTATACATGTACGTGTAATTGTGCGTATATATGTGCGTGTGCGTGTTTGTGTGCGTGTTAGTATGCGTGTTAGTATGCGTGTTAGTATGCGTGTTAGTATGCGTGTTCGTATTCGGATGCGTGTTTGTGTTTGTGTTTGTGTGCATGTTTGTATTCGTATTCGTATTCGTATTCGTATTCGTATTCGTATTCGTATTCGTATTCGTATTCGTATTCGTATTCGTATTCGTATTCGTATTCGTATTCGTATTCGTATTCGTGTTCGTGTTCGTATTCGTGTTCGTATTCGTTTTCGTTTTCGTTTTCGTTTTCGTTTTCGTTTTCGTTTTCGTTTTCGTTTTCGTTTTCGTTTTCGTATTCGTATTCGTATTCGTATTCGTATTCGTATTCGTATTCGGATGCGTGTTTGTATTAGTAGCCATGTTCGTATGCGTGTTCGTATGCGTGTTCGTGTTCGTGTTCGTATTGGTAGTGATGTTCGTAGTCGTGGTCGGAGTCGTGGTCGTGAACATAGTTGTAGTTATTGGTGCAGTTGTAATAGCGTTTTTATTGAAAATAAAGAGTAACAAGAAATCTTGAGAAGTCGGTTATTTGAGTACGCAAGATAATTATTTTATGTTTTACCTATCCCCAACGAGAACAGCAGAGTGGCCAAAGCGTGCCACTGGTGCGTAGGCCTGACATCGAAGCAACCAGACACCCAAAAGGGCCGTAAGGAAGAGATACATGATGGCTAAGCTTTAGGCAGGCCACAATGGTATGTTAAAAAGAAGAAAAGGAAAAAGAGAAAAGAGAAAAGGAAAGGGAAGGAAAGAAAAGAAAAGGAATGTAAATAAAATAAAGCGAGCAAGAAAGAAAACAACCAATCCTTGCGTTTACTATCCCATCTGACAATCGTTTCTTATCCATTCTTTGGAGCAAAGTAGTACGCATGACTGTCATAAAGGAGATGGCTTGACAATTAAAGAAAAGAAAAAAAATGGCCCGGCCATCATCCCGCTAATATTCATCTTCTTTTACAGTCGAAATCTAAACACTAACAACACCTTTGAGAGGGTGCCAAGTTTGTATCAACCAAAACTTTAATGCTCCAAACAAAATTAAAAAATGTATATATAAAAAGGCCATTGACCGAGACCAAGGAATATCCCGCCCTTAAAAACTTGTTTTCAATTGCACTAAGCCAATAATACACACTCGCCTCTCTCAAACTCTTTATATTTCTCGATTTGTTTTTTCAAGTTGAATATATACATATAAATATTAATATCTACCCTCCCCATCCAAAGCACACACACAAACAAACAAAATGGTGGTAGACAACTTAATTGATGAGACACAAAAAGAAGAGAGGAAATGGAGTTCATCCACTGTCCAAGTCTACAATAAAAAGAGACCTCTTTATCATTATTATTATCATTATATTTAAAATTGATTTTTGTTTTTGGTGACAGAATGGGAACCATGATATCCATCAATTGTATGTCCCAAATTTAAGCAGCCGTCTAATGAAGTGACAAGAAATAAATTGGAGCAAATAAGTATTAAAGTTCACCAAAATATTAAACACAAAATCCTTCAACAAACCTTCTGGAATCTGAATCTGGGGGGAGGAGCACGGTTCTTACGGTCCTTGACGGAACGAACACGGACAACGCGAGCGTGAATAGCGCAAGAGATGCAGTAGTGCAACTTAACGTACAACTTGGGGATGGTGTACTCCTCGTAGATAGAGGCTTCCTGGAGATCGCGGACGGCAGCAGCCTCAACCATGTTACGGATGGTGAAACGCTTGATGGCCTTATCCTTGGGGCAGCACTTGGAGCAGTTGATGCAACGGACAAACTTAACGTGTCCGCGTCCGTGCTTGTTACGTCCGTTGTTTCTTCTCTTGCAGGTCTATGTAAATTAACCAACGGTTAAAAAAGTTGTTCAATTTAAATTCAAACATGTATATATTTAAATATGCGTGTGTGCCTATTTGTATATGTATATACATTTATTTGCATAGATTTATGTGTATGTATGTATATACATATACTAGTACATGCACACACACACACATATATATCTGCATGTATCAAGAATTGTATATGTATATACAAGTATATATATATATATATATTTAAATATATTCATATTTGAAAATTCTAAAGGCTAATCTCTTTGGCCATCCATCTAATGCATCATTCATCACTATTTTTGTTGGTAAAAATATATATGTATATATCCACTTGAACAAAAACTCAAGGTTGAGATCGCAATGTCGAGTGTTGTAAATAAGGTGTGCGGATAGATGGATAGATGGATAGATGGATGGACAGAGTGTGTTGACCGAGGATTGACGTTTACCATGATGGATGGATGTTCCGCTTTCGGCGAGGGTGTCTGAAGGAAGGAGTTCGATACTGCCTTGGCTCACATTGCCTTTACCCTCCCCCTGGTCTCAAATCCCCCACAAGCTCGGTAGTATCACGTGAGCGTCGGAGTGTAAACACAAGAAAAAATGGGTAGAATAAGAAGTGAATGAGTTTATTGAAAGTGAAAAGGGTGGATTTTTTTTTAATAAAAATATATGTATATAATGTGTGTGTGTGTGTGTGTGTATGTGTTTCCTCTCTGTTTATTTTTAATCCAAGTTTTCTTGTTGAGGTGCTTCTGCAACATAGGAGAACGACTTTTCGTTGGTTTCGTCATAGCTGAAAAAGTCAGCCACATTCAAGGGTCTGATGTCGATATTCTGTGTGGTACATTAGTGATAATTCAATAAAAAAATAAGCGTATACATATATAGAAGTAAAACTTACAGAGGTATCGAGGTGCATCAAGTCCTTGCTGGAGTCGCCATTATTTACCAATTTTGCAGATCGAACATATTCACGAATAGGAATCATAGCTGCATTACGGCATACTTCCTTGAGATCGCTTCCAGAGCAACCTGCTGTACGCTGGACCAGCTCAGCCATCTTGAAATCAGGGGCAAGATTGATATCGCGCAAGAGCTTGAAATTATCACCAAATCAAAATATATAAATAAGTAACCTTGATATATATATACATATATACATATATATTTAAAAAGAAACAGCAATTATCTTTACCAGTTCAAGAATGCTCTTCCTCTGCGATTCTGTAGGGAGTCTAACGGCAAATCTTTTTGGCATACGACGAAGGATGGCAGAATCAATGTCGTTGGGCCGATTGGTAGCACCCAAAATAACGATCCGGCTGTCTTCGCCCGTGGTCAGACCATCCCACAGACTCATAAACTCAGCCTTCATCATGCCAGTTGTCTCGTGGTCATTACTGCGTCTCTCACGCAAGAATGAGTCGATTTCATCAATAAAAACGATCGATGGCTGCAGCTTACGAGCTAGAGAAAACACTGCAGCGACGAGCTTGTTGGATTCACCATAATATTTGTCAGTGAGAGTTGACACATGGATGTTGATAAACGTTGCTCCACTCTCTTTGGCTAAAGCCTTTGCCAGCATAGTCTTGCCACAGCCAGGGGGACCATACAATAACACACCGCGAGGAGCCCCCAACAATCCGGATGCTGATGTGAATAGCTCGGGATAACACAGAGGGTAAATAACGCTCTCACGCAAGTCCTGGATAATATGATCTAAACCACCGATCTCTATATAGAATATCAGCTTGAGATCCTTGGTTTCTTTCTCTTCTTCTTTCTCTTCTTCCTTTTTCTTCTTCCCTTTTTTTTACATACGTTTAAAGTTGACTGTAATCTCATCAGCATGGATGACTTCTGCTGCAATAATGTGCTCGTATTCATTCAACTTGATGTCCTTGGCCTAAAATTGGTGATTATTGAATAAATTGTGGTGGAATGAGATTAAAAACTTTTGTTTTAATTTAATTCCTATTTGACATTTTGTAACCATTGTCGTTTTCTTTTCCTAAAACAGATATGAAGGTATTTTTACCCCTAAGCGGCCGAGGACTTGTGAGCTCTTGTTCTTGGCTTCTTGTCGTTTAGCTTTTGTAGGATCAATCGATCCAATAATCCATTTGAAGGCAAAGTAAAAGGCGACTTGTGATAAAGCAAATACTGCGACTATGTACGATTTTATGTAACCATTTTACATTAGAATGTTGCATTACTTTTTTGATGCAGGCATTGTTTTGGATTAATATGTATTCTATTATACATGTATACATGTATAATTTATGTATATATTTATGAATGAAACAAATCTGTACCATCGGCGGCATACTTCTTGGCTTCAGGTCTTTGCATCCATGATTTTATCATTGTCATATTATTATTATCTCCACAAAGGATTTATGACTTTTTGTGCGTGTATTTTTTGTGTCCTGGCAAGTAAAGCCGGACAGTAAAAAAAAAAGTATATATGTGGGGGTGGGGGGTTGGTTGAGTAGAAGGCACTTAAGCACGTGAAGAGTGACGTGTATAGTCATTGGTAAGCGTTAAAGGTACCATTTTTGGTACATGAAAAGCTTGCGTTGATTTAATATACAGTCAAAGCTCAATTTAATGAGCCTCCCAAGCCTAATAAAATGCTTCTTACAAACAAAAAATCAATTTAGTGAGCTAATTGGGAGATGCAAAATTTTATCACTATCACTAAATCGAGCGCTGATTGTATACATATGTTTTGCGCTTTTATTTGTGATAATATTGTTTTTTTTTGCGCAGTTGATTTTAGACATTAATTTTTTTTTGTTATATTTATTTGTCGACTACAATGCAAAGCACTGATCAGTTTGTGCAGATATTAGAGAGGGTATTGAACTATAGAAGAAGTATAATATATTACTGTAACGACCAAAAAAATATATATTAAGTGCTTAACACTTCTGCATGTTATAACAATAATTTATAAACATTCCATAATGTAATACACTCTCTATCTACACAAAGAGAAATAAAGAAATGGTTTTGTTACAGACCTTGTTCTAACAATATATTTAAATCAATAAAACGCATAATATATAATACAAAGAGAAAGAGAGAAATATTAAGGAGAGGGAAATTAGGGTTGTAGAATGAATGCGAATTTAGTCTGCGATAAAGCTCAAAACGTCCTTTAGCAAAAAGCCCTCACACTTACTCTTTCTTTATTTCTGTTCTTTCTTTCTATAGACTGTAATAACTATGTAGGATGCTTGTGTGTGTTTTGTATTATTCTGGATCTATTTAATCCCAGTAGATCGCACGGGCCTATCCAATACGTTATATAAGACTGGTTGCTCAATAACTGAGATCACCAGAATATTTTCAGCTTTACAATCTTCTGTTTTCTTTTCTCTTTCTCTCTCTTGAGGCGTAAAAAATATTTACTATATAAAATGATTGATAATGAAGGACGGACTCAAGAAACTTCTTTGGGTGATGAAAATCCCTCATTATCTCACGCTGCTACGAGCGGACCAGTATTGACATTTGCTGAACCTTCACGTATTTACCATCGTCGACAGGGGGAATATCAATATGAAGCTCAATATCAGGATTCAAGCGATGATTGTATAGCACAAATCAGACACTTTTTCTATCAATGCAAAACAACCTTGAAAACATTGTGGTGCTGTTCTCACAGTAGACAACGTTGGACAGGTAGGTCTTCATCTACTGCAGAACTTCCTTTTCTGGTTGCTGCATTTGGAACTATATACGGCACCTTTATATTAGTACGTGCACTCGGTAAGCTAACTTCAAAACAAGTAAACAGCTTGTACTCAAAAATATATCTCATCATCATTATTATTAAAAACAGCTGTGGATGGGTGGTTAGTAGATCACTCACAGTGGGATGGAAAGGGGCATGCGTACGACAAAAATCCGATTGAAATTGTTGATAGACTGGAAAGATGGCTGGTCATTGTAGCCTTCCTCTGCGGAATTATCAACTGTCTTTTGTTAATTGCGAGAACCCGTCTTAGATTTTATACAGCTTCTCTGTTTTGCAAATGGCTTGCTTTTATTCATGGTAAGCCTCGTAGGCTTTTATACTTGTCTGTATTAATTGCCTTTTATTTGTTGTCCAGCAATCGGGTGTCTCTGTGCTGTATATTTGTTCGCTGATCGTGTTTCTCCCCAGCAATCGTATCCTGTATATGTCTATTCGCGCGGCTTTTGGAGTTGTCTTGGGTCGGGATTATTGGAAACTGTGGCTGTACTAGGATTCACAATAGATTGGATGTTATCTTACCCTTACTCTGATCTTTCCCTTGTACTCAAGGGTCTTGTGCTTCCAAGTATTATGGCATGCGTTAGTATTGCCTTGGGGGCCCTTGCCTTTATGAAAATAGAGCAATGGACTTACAACCAAGCGGTAGTATTCTGTACTACTGCCCTGACCACTATAGGTACAATCTTCTTTAAAAAAAAGCCTCTTTAATTACTAGATTTATCAAGTTATTTTGGATTAATTACCTCATACATTTTCTTTTCTATTTTCGTTATAACAACTATTTCGACGGTTTTATTCGATTAGGGTATGGAGACGTTGCGCCTATCACAAGCTTAGGTCGTCTGTTCTTTCTTTTTTATGCCATTACAGGTGTGTGTGTTATTGGTTATTTTCTTCTATCGATCCGCGCTGTTATGACCGGAAACACGTCTCGTATTCTGCGTGTAAATCTTATGCGAGTAGAGTCATTTCACAATCACATTCGTAAGCAGCGCCAAAGACATGCTGCATCAACTGCAGTTGATTCAACAGCTTTGGATTCCCAGCTTGAGCCGCATGTACTCAATGGCATAAAACCTGTATCGTCCACATTCGAAGCTTCAAGGTCATTTCCCCGGCGCACCAGGTCTACATTATCGATGTACAGTACTGGAACACTAGCTGATATTGTTAATGACAAAGATCGAGAGGTCCTGGTCCAAATCATTACACGTTCTGGTATTGTTCGTATGTCAATCATCCTTGCATTTTCGTGGTTTGGGGGAGCAGCTGTATTTTGCTATCTAGAGACCCAATGGAATTATCTGGATGCACTGTATTTTGCTTTTGCAACCCAACTTACAATCGGATTTGGTGATCTTGTACCCCAGACGGCAGTAAGTATTACTTTTTTGTAAACTTCAATACAGTGTAATATGTTGTTAATAATTCGGTTGTGTATTGTTTTCTATAGCTCGCCCAAGAATTCTGGTTTATGTACATTGTTTTTTCTATTGCTATTGCTGCTTATTTCATCAGTCTTTTTGGCGACGTATTGGTAGAGAAATTTCAGCTACGAGATGAAGATGAAAATGAAGAATTTTATGAATCTACAACTTCTGGATTTCTTGCTCTTGCTCGATCTTTAACAGATGAATCAGATGATACATCATCCAACCCATTAGACAGTCTTCCAATTGAAAATACAAGAACTAGAGGGGACAATACAGCTGGGACTACACACTGTCCTGAATGTCCAATTGGACTACACCGATATCTCTATACACCTGTCACAGTTCATGGATCATACACTTCTAAAGAACCCTTAAATACTTACCAGCTACGAGGCCCGCCTATTACACATAGACCACTTGGGAAACGAACAATGAGTTTACCGATGACAGTGTCTTCTCCTGATCATCAATCTGTAGAAGTATCTAATACATTTAAAGATACTATACAATTACCCCATTACGGATCTACGGACATTGCTTAAGCTTTAATATCTATTGACAATAAATAAATACTTTGAACAAAGATATATTTAAAAGCGCATACAATGTAATTTGATAGTTTTAAGACCTATCTACTTCAAATTGTATAAGTTAAACATCCTCAGTATATAATCAAGTTAGTATATACATACATACAAAACAATAATAACACAAGGTGTATTTTCTTATCTGTAATTTGTATGTTAAAGGCTTCTGTATATCTTATGATTAAAAATAGATGATTTTAGTACGATTTTTCTTTTGCAAAATACATCTAAGTATGCATTTTTTACCGTAGAGATAGTGCAAGTTAGATTAAGTATTTTTTGGTTTTAGATGCAATTTCAATGCACTAGTACAAAGCTCTGACTTCTTTTTAGTATTAATACACCAATTGATTGAAAGAAAAGAGAATGAAAGAACAGGCCCAGAGAGAAATTAGTCTTTTATTCTTTAATAAATAGACAAAAATATTAACACCAAATTATCTTTTTTCTTTGAAAATGATATAATAATTTTATAATATTTTATTATCTATAAAGTATAAATCTCGCTCGGGTAACTGCTTCACTTGCTTGTAGGAAGCATTACAAATATAACCTTGGCTATATATATATATATAACAGCAAATCTTGCTGATATAGAGTCATCAATATCATATCCAATTAATCAAGTCTGTTCATAAATAAGATGGAATCAGACTTAAGTATGCAGGTGTATTTTGATCCTGTTGTCTATAAATACTCCAAAGTATTATATTTCTGACAATATTGGCAGTAATAATCTTGTTTCATTATTATTTAAAGGCGAAAGAGCAGATCTAAAAGTTTAATCTTCTGCGTCTTTAGAAATAAAGGGAGATATTTCTGCGTATGATTTACATTTGGCCCTTCTATACTTTTAAAACAAGTTCATGAATTACTTGCACAGATGACTTACGATGTGATCATGCTCTCAATTGAGATAAGTAATGGAGACAAGTAAACAATTAACTGTGAAGGGAAGCTTTGAACCCCACACATAATATAGACAATGGTAATTGTACGTCTAATTGAGATGATTAATAGAGACAAGTAATCATTTAACTTTAAAGGGAATATCTGAATATTGCACATATTATAGTCAATAGTAATTTTGTGTCCAATTGAAATAGGCAGTAGAGAATTAGGTAAAGTTAGGGATAAAATGACATGCCTTACAGCAATTAAATTTACACAAGAGAATTTCTAGGTATTAAGACAGTTATAGAAATTTGAAAGGCTTTTATAAGATTAGAAAAATGGGTAGTGCAAATGGGTAATGAATATTTAAATTGATAACAGTATAAAAAGTATATAAGAAACTTTAGCAACAAATATTACAATATACGAAATGAAGAAAAAAGAAACTAAGCAACAAGTGTAATTATTGCTATTTTGTTTGAACCAAGGTTTTCAATTTTTGTATGAGTTGTGTTTGTTTTTGCTTTAATATCAAATATTTAAATAACCTTAGACAAACGGTTTTTTCTTCTTAAACTGTCCCAATGGTGGCAACCAGTCTACCTCATAATTTATTAACATCTTTGGTATATACTTTACAATTTTCCGGAACATCTAATCTACACTAAATAGTCTGCAATAGCTGGCTTGTCAGTGCCAATTACACCTTCTAATAAAAGGATAATATCCAATATCTTCATTAGTATTCATTTGTTAATTTTTTGTATTTTTATTAATATATGCTTACTATTCGTACCTAAGCCTCTCACAAAGAAAAGGCTGGAAATATATGTTATGTTTCACATCATAATTATCTAACATATGGTATAAATCACTTACATTCACCTGAGAAATCATCTTGATACTTTCAAGTATTGATAGAACTACATTTCATTAAGACTCAACCTGAAATTCAAAATCCCGGTACCTGATGTGATGGGATCTAGGCAATATGCATAAATACCTTTTGCTTAATATCGCTTTTAAATGTGCGCATGTTTACTTTATAATGACTATTGGGTCTCTTTTGTGTTTATTTATGCAAGCAAAATAAAAAAAACTTTCTCTTGTGCCCTCGACCAAAAAGTGCACAGACCACTTTAGAGTAACCTACAAATCGCTGTTATAGAAACGTGTACTCCACTTTGAAAGTTATTGCTACACCGATCAAAACCGAACCTTTCCTTACTTCTTTGCTTTTTTGCTTTACTTTGCTTTACTTTGAAAAAGCCATCTTCTCTAGTAATCTAATTCAATATTATTAGCTGTCTACTCTACCTTAGAACAGTTACACAAACCCAATAAAAAGAATATATAGCCATATCACGTTTGCTCTGACGTGGACATCTAAGACTGACAAAAAGCGCAGTCGTAAACTTTAATCGCAGATGAAAAAAATTTCTGTTACTTATAGACCTCCTCCAACGCGCGTCGTTTGTTTTCTCCTTGAGCAACAACAGTCCCGGTTTCATAGTGAGGCGTCTCTTGCGACCGTTGCAGGGAGATTCTTCCATGCTACAAGCATCGGAAAGTGAAAGTTGTTACTCGCCAGCTCAGTTAATTCTGAGAAGTCGTGGGGCATGGTCTCTTTTCATTTTTGGAAGGACTACTGTGTACATCGCATCGCCAATGTGGAATCATGATGCTGGGGGGAGGGAGGTCTAACCTGTGGTGAGATGTGCTGGCTCTTCACTGCAAACCTGACTGAACTCTTTAACGGCTGACGGTGAAGCTACTGGTAGTCGAATGAGCTGGACCTTATCACCTAGTGGTAAGTTCTCTGGCGAGTTCGCACCCACATTACTCGGTGACGAGATGTGGGGCTGGATGAACGGGTGCTTTCCGTTGGTTTGCCACCATTCCAGCACCTCCTTCGCTACCAAGTCAGGTTTACGTCCTGAAGGAGATTGAGCCGCGTAATGCGGGGACAAAGAACTTGGTGTCATGCTTTTTATTCTTTTACTCATGTAAAAGAACATTAAGTGAAATTCAATCAAATAGAATAAAATAGTTTCTTTATGTATATACATGTATATCTTTAAATAAATAAATAAATAAAGTCCTTTTTAACTAGTATTGTTTCCAATAAAAAAACACGCTTTTAAACTTTTTTTTTATTTGATTGATGTCAATTTTGTAATTAGGAGAGCTCATTTATAAGAAGAAATTAACTTAGTCGAATAAATTTGAAAGATAAAATAAAACACTATTTGTATATTTTAACGTGACACCGATAACCATGTTTAAATATATATATACTGCTTTTGTTTATAGAGTATATAAATTGCAAAATAATGTTTGATAATGCCGAGGGCTTGAATTGTATATTGCTGACCTAGGCTAATCTGGATGGAGATTATGAATGGCATGAATTGGAATGAAAGAGAGAGAGAGAGAGAAAGAGAAAGAGAAAGTATTCGTGTATCGGTATCTATTATGACAAAACAAATGACTCGTTTACTGGGTAAAGAAGTATTTTTAAAATAAGATGCCACTCCAGAAATAAGATAAGAGATGAAAAAGAATAAAGAAATGTGTGTTTGAAAGAGAGGTAGAAAAGGCGTGGGGAATTAAATACACAAGTAATATCCTTATTGTATTTATAAATACTGAGAGGAAAACCCATTTCAAAGGGTTTGTTCCACAATCATTCAGATGCTGGGATAAATGTCGAAACAAAGAACCTATGTAAATAATCAATAATGAGTTCATCAATACTAACAATCTAGCGCTAAAAGTTATGTAACCAGTAATCAGAATTTTTTTTAATACATGCCATACAAGAAAGCTTTGGAGTGTCGCTTAAATGAATTGATAACGTATGACACAACGAAAGAGGAAGAAATAACCTTTTACACCATCTTACTCCAACATTTTATTCCAAGACCATTTTCTCATTTTTCAATTTCATTGTGTGCATTGCTTAAACGAAAGAAGAAAGGAATGGAAATCGTAGAATGAATGGTCATTTTTTTATTTTGTTAGTATATAGTGTGGTCACCACTAGCTTTGATCACTTGCTTACACGAGTATGGAGAGCTTTTTGGGTCAGATATCTCCCACTTCTAAAGAATAAAAGCCTTGTTTTTGGGTAAGTAACACTATTTTATTTTGACGAGGTTTATGTTTTAAAAAGATGTTTTTTGCAGCAGTTTATGAAAATATCAATTCTAGAAAAATATTTATTTGGTAATAAAATTTAAACAAAAGGAAGTTTACTCTGTAAAGTTTAAAATATAGTTTCTTCCTGTAGCTTGGTTGGCTATCTATTCTAAGAAAGTCTTTAAGGCATGATTAATTTGCTCACACTCCAATAGTTTTTGACTAGAAGAAGATCCAGAATATGCTCTGCACTTGGATCTGGTGTCCATCAACCAATTCATATACTCATTCTCCAACAGTTGGGCATCGACCTCGTTCAGTAACTGGAAAATCACCAAGGTATCGTGACGTAGCATCGCAATTCGCTCACGACTGAACAGGAGCTCTACAGCAAACTGGTGGTGGCGTTCTCGAGACCATTCGTGTGTATTTGTTTCCCTTCCTGGATTAGTTTTTGTAGCCAAGAATGCTCTGAAGCTATTTTGGTATAAAAATAAAGTCAAAATCGATTTGGGGGAAAAGACTTGGATAACTCTTTTTCTCCCTCTTACCTTTCTGATTGGAGATAAGCAGGCTGTAATTTTGATTTTAATAAACCGTCTTCCAAATCACGCAAATAAACAGCGCGCGACGCAACCGAGCGATTGTTCGACATTGGGGAACATTGGGAAACATCTAGGGAATGTTTGCTGGGCGAGCCTGCGCGCAACATTATCCATATTATCCAAATAGTAACCACACCAGCAATACTGACACCAACATAGAATGGTATTTCTGTGACCACATCCATCACGGTACCAACCACGTCCTGAGCCAATTCCATCCACTTGTCAAGACCTTCTTTAGGTGCCTCTACAGCAGCTTCGGGTTTCTTACGCATACTGTTAACACGAGCAGTGCGTTTAAGACTAGCAGTTGGTTTAACACCATTAGCCTTGTTGTTTTCTTGGGCAATATTATTAGCTTCCTCTTCCAAAAGGGTTGAGAACATGGCAATGCTTTCACCCATTCCTTTAAGAGCTGCTTTGCTAATCATGCCTATACATTTGATTTTAATAAATATTATATTAAAAAGATTAAGTAGGCCTATAAACTCACCTTTAACCATGACACTCTTTACAAACTTTACACCCATATGGAAGACTAGTTTACTCTCAGTTGGGCTGATCCATGATATGCAATAACGCACGGAAGGAATAAATGCATCTGCGTAGGGAAGTTGTGCAGTCTTTGTAGAAATCTGAACAACATAGCGACTGTAATACATAACATATTAGATTATAAGTTCTCTTGACGAGAATAATAAGAAAGTCTTACATATAATCCTCTTTCTTGAGAATAACCTGATTTTCAACGACTTCGGCTTCTTTAACTTTCACTAAGTAGAAAATTATGTCAGTATAATCTTTAAGCGCCTATTTTTCAAGTGGCTATATAAATATACATTACTTACCCATTGGATTACTAACAGGCATAATATATTTGAGTACACGTTGCTGATGTCCATCCACAGACTCCCATGAGCTGACCCGGTAATCTTTTGTTATTATTATCATTAATAAAGCTGTATTATAGCAAGGTCTAATATTATTTTTTAGCTACCGTGTATTACCTTTGCTGTTACTCTGGACTGTCTTACGTTCCCAGATACTATTATTCGCTGCAGGTCCTGTCTGTTCTTCAGAGAACATAAGATCATACAGACGTTTTGCAGAAATTGGAAGGTCTATCTCAGCTTCTAACTTTTCCAAATGGTCGGTACACTCGCACGAACAAGGTCCAGAAGGTGCCTTGATGTGCGCTGGTAGAGCATCTGCTTGATCTTGGCCCTTTTCACCTTCTACAGCATTTGCATGTAAGTCATCTGTTGACGCCTTTTCAACAGTGCTATCCACGTTCAAGGCTGGGGTTTGCTTGACCTGCTTCTGAGCTTCTTCTATACGTGCCACTCGATTAACATCAAAGAAGCCGTTGCCACCTGCTACTGTAGCTGCCATCATAGCAGTTGCCAATGCTCCTGTTTTGGCTGGAAATATAGGTCGTTTATCAGCAGCAGTACTCTTGCGGTGAGCCCTCTTCTTCTTCTCAGCCTTTGTTGGCTGAGGTGAGTTGGATGGTTCTGGTTGGATAATGTCAGGCACAGGCACAGTGGTAGAGAAATCAGGGCTTGATGCTGATTTGACAGGCTCCACCTTAATTGTAGTGATTTGGTCATTCTTCTTCTTCTTACTAGTGGCTGCAGAAAGATGGTGCAGAATGTCGTAAAGTGATTGAAGAGGGAGAGGCTAATATAAAAAACACGTGTGGTAAGAACCTTGAAAAACTTATATTTAGTTATTTTCTTACATGAGAACTCTTGGCATTGTCTACAGCAAATCGCAAGCGTTCAGAAACCACCTCGATATCATCCAATAGAGCAGTGATTATCAAAGGACCTTGATTATCAAGGCTGCTTGTGGATTGGGCCAAATCAATAGCAATTGCAATATGTGAAGAAGTACCCACGTTTACAAGGGATGGGTCACGCACGAGTCTGATTCCCGAGATATCTTTCAATCGTACTGCCACCTATTTTTCATATTTTCATATATGTATATAAAACTGAGAAAATATATCCTGGTAATTGTGTTAATATATACTTACGGTGTTTACACATGTCATCAATACACAGCTGTAGAACCAAAAAGTTTCTTGGGTAATGAAAGCACGACCAGTATAAGCAAAGCCAAAGTCAGAAGTTGGTTTCTTGACACTATCTGTCAAGTGTGTATTGAACTCTTGTTCTAGTGAATCCATAGGCAGAGGTGAGATTGGGCATTCGAGTTCTTTGATGTCTGCGGGTTCTTCAGGGAGAGCGGAAGGTTTCTTTTTCAAAAGACCAGTAAATGCTAAAACAAAATAAAAACCAAAAGCAAAATAAAAAATACGCCCAGAGTTGTTACAGTTTTGTATTAATAGTTACCATCCACAACAACTTCATGAGTTGCCACACCACCAAACAAGCGACGAAGTTCTTTGTTCTTGGTTTCAAGCTCAGAATCATATCCGGTAAGATCTACCTTTAGTGAGGCAAGGTCGTCAGTTTGGTTGGGCCAGACAACCTGATGACCATCGATATCTGCAAGAGTAGAAGGAGCGGCCGATGCCGGGGCAGGGAGATGATCCGAACCATTTTCATCTGTAGACTGGAACATACTTGGGACGAGTGCCCATGGGATTCCCCAAGAAGTCCCTACTTGTGAATCTTGTTGAGGTTCTTGAATAGGTTGGAAAGATTGCGAATGTGTGGGAGCAGTTGGCGATGTGGGAACAGAGAGACTTCCGGCTGTATTACTTGCCATCTGGGATTTCGCAGCTTCCCAGACCAATAGAGGTGTAAGAGATGTGGCATTGGCAAGGGTAGACTTGTCAACATTGGCAGTGGTTGAAAGCATAACTATAGCTGGGCTAGTGGGATCCATTTGGGTAGTTCTGATTTCGTCAACAATTTCAGGTGCATGTTCATTTTGGAGCATCAAACGCTTGCTTCTCTCAAAAGCAGCTATCCAGCTACGCATTTCTTCCTCAGACTCTGCTTGCAATACAAATGAAGGTCTTTTTTTTTGGTAATTGAGATAATTAGAAATTTCGCCTTTTTCTTTTGTTGGGGTTAGAGTAGTATTATTTTAACTTACTGTTGTGCACACATAACCTCAAAACAGAACCGACGATCGACATCGCCCAAAGGCTTGATGTCGCACAGTAATACTGATACTCGCTCCGACATAGTGATTGCTCCCTTTAGTTTAATAGATGGGCTGACATGACATGAACCAAAGTAACCATCATACAGAAAGTACCACCGACGGGACCAGGAGCTCCGAGATCCTCTTACAAATAAATAACCCCACTTGTAGCTTGTATGTCCCTGTTCAGTCGGTGCTGAGAAATCAATTGAGTGGCGCGTTGTAGTGACAGCTGAGGGAACATAGCGATCCAAGTCACGCGGAGGCTGTACTTTTTGGATAAATTCATTCTCAAGGCCTTTTCGGGTAGCTTGTAAAGCATGTAACTGGAAATCGCATGTCTCTTTGTCCTGTAGATTCCAATTGAATTAAATGTAAAGAATACGCGGTGAGACAAAATGCTTAAAATATCTAGATTTACGTTATTACTTACGTCGACCAACCATTGCTTCCACGATGCTAGACTGCTATCTAATTTCTGCCAAACTCGAGTTCCTCCGTCCAGATCCGAGAGATGGGCAAGTGTAGCAGCCGAGAAGTGCTCAACGAGGCAATGCTCCAAGATGGAGCGGAAATGTAAAATACGCAATACATGCTGTCCCGACATGCGGACGTATGATTTTCGGGCCTCATGCAGCCGAAATGCTTCTTCACGTACCGCCGAAGCTTCTTTGGTTTTGCTCTGTGCAGTGTACTTGGCTAGCTGCGCCTCGTACCTCTCAAGTGATTTTTCATGTTGACGCCGGAAATCCTATTTTAAACAAAATGGCTTAGCTCACCACGTTCACACGTTACATATATCTTTTTATGTCGAACACAAAGTAACTATCGTGCTTCTACTCAAATTACAGCCTTGGGTGGGAAGTCCTTATAGTATATCCTTTAAGGCCACCTTATACCCCAAGGAACATTATATTAAATCTTACTTTGAATTCTTTAAGGTGTGTCTTTACGAATTGCTGCAATGGTTGGATAAAATTATCTTCGAGGTCAGTTACCTAAAAGGAAATTTATTTAATCAGCCATTTGGTTGTTGATCAACAGGACAAGCAAAGAAGTAATTACCAGTTTGGTCTTAAAAGCCAAGCTAGTCTGTAGTGCATCTGAAAAGCTTTTTATGACTGCTCCGGTGAAGTTACAGTCTAATGGATGTGAAATATGGAGTTAATGATGTTGTTATCAGTAACTATGGATTTTATATCCATGCCAGCATACCTATAAGTGTATCATCAATACCAACAGGGATAGCCTTTTTACAGACCAGGTTTGTTTCAAGATTGAATTCTAAAAGGTAAAAGTGAGTTGTGATTTTAGTCTGGTGCTATATATATAAGTATGTATGCTTACTATTGAGTCTATCGCAGTAAAGCTTCATATGTTTTGATAGTGTTTCGAGCCATCTTTCCAATAGGTCCAGTTGCTCGTCAAAATGGAGGATATTTGCACGGTAGACAGGGGAGTCAGTAATAGCATCTTGTAGAGTGATGAGTGTATTCCGTGATGATGTTGGCAATGGCATGTCTGCTATTGTCGTTGGAATCAACCAGTAAGAAAGAGAGGTAAACAAGTTCTCCTTTATTTCCCTTCTTTAATGGTCTAAAAGGACATTAAACTTTCATTAACAGATTAAGACACCGTTCAACAAGCGGTGTGTCTATGATTGGCCCAAATAGGCTTCTCTTCTCTCCTCCTACCATTTTCTTCCCTCTTCCCTCTTACTTTTTTTTTGGTTGATTTTCTTACCCAATTTTCTATGGCTGACCTCGAGAGACAATACCAAAAAGCACTCCGACTCTTTTTACTCACACGGTATGCGCAGGCCGCTGCCTCTTGTCTACAGGCAATCGAGCTTCTACCATTACCTCAGGAATCTCTTAATGGCACAAAAGTTTGGGCGCTTTACCTAACGATCGGAACCACTCTCCTGAATCGTCCCGAAGACCCTACCCCAAACACCCTTAGCACACTCGGGCTAACACAATCTGTCTCTGATAAACCTATTTCCAAAAAATCTGCTTGTTATGGCTTGTGGACAAACTTGACAGACTGGTACCAAAACCTCAATTTAGTGGATCCATCTCTTGTCACTTCTGCGTAAGGGTATCATTTATGCTCAAAGTCGTAGAGTTTATTGAAAAATCTAATAAATATGTAATATATATGTATAGAATGGTGATGTCTCTCAAGCTTAATGTTCCTGCCGTTGGTAGACAGGTAGTTGAGGAATGGTACTCCAGTCTCTCAGAAGCAACTGTGGATCATTTGTCGGTTGCAGGAGAAGATGATGGCGTGATGAAACTATACAGAGAGACAGTAGATCTGTATGTGTGTCGTGTCTTGCCTGCACTGAATGATTATGATTCTGCAAGGTCATTTCTTGAGTATAATTCATTCTTATCTCCCAGTGCAAAGACAGTAAGGATCAACTATATAAATACTTGGATACATGCTAAACCTTTATTTAACATATAGACTCTAGAAAAAAGTATTACTGCACATCAAGAGGCAGCTAAACGGCAGGAGGAACAAAAGGCTGCTCAGAAAGAGAAAGAGAAGGAGCGGGAAAGAAGGGAACTAGAGAAGAAAGAACAGCAGCAACGTGAGAAGGAGCAGGAAAAGAAAGAGCAACAGCAACGACAACGACAGCAGCAACAGCAGCAACAGCAACAGTTGCAACAAAAACAAATAGAGAGACAAACAAGAACAAAACAGGCTGAAATGTCGTCTTTAGAGTCAAAAAAGGCTACCGAGGCTACTTCATCAAGAGCCTTACAAGACAAATCTCCTCGGACATTGGCTGACTCTAGTCTGGCTACATCCATCAGGACTTGGCTTCTTCCCCTTACCCAAAACTCAAACTATGGTGTATTATTTGTATTGTTTATTCTATTTGGTCTACTGCGTTATTACCGTAGCCAACTCTCGCCTGCTTTTAAAGGATTGATGGCGAAATTATGGCAAACAGTACAAATGGGTACCAAAGTCACTTATATGTAATCATAAATACTAAAAATCAAATATAAAATAATATAAAATAATAATAATAAATAATTCAAAATAGTAAGCATGAATCAAATCGCTTATTCCCATCATCCGTCTTTGTCTGACAAAGAGTCACATGTCATCAATCCCCACAATGCTATTCACACCCACCCCGCATTTCGTCAATGCTCTGAAGACTATCTATGAAATCTAGTCTTGTCTTTGCCCAGCGTCCCTTTAACCACATATTAAAATTATGGCAACTGAGCAGTCTGATATAAATGCATTGGCACAAACACTTTCTGCCAGCTATACTGCTCTGATGCAATACAAAACCCTTGGTCAGGATGAGGCAAGGTGGAAAAAACTTAAAAAAGAAATGAAATAAAGATTTAAGACGGCTTGAGTATCGAACTAACCATTCATTGCAGATCCTCAATCACCTAAGCCAACTGTCTAAACATAGCCAACATCTTCCATTGCCATGGTTCACACCTTCATTTATTAGTATATGCTTCAGCCTACGGGACCAATTTATCTCTCAATCATCAGTACCGGAATGGGGTGGTCTTGAGTCTATCTATAGTCTCTGGTCTGTTTGGGTACGCCGATTGTCAGGAGCACCATCCGCAATCCCTGCCGCAGAGTCAGATCTTGTTCGGGTACTGGAATCTATGCATTCCTTATTAACTTCACAAAACAAGCCTCCCCCAACCGTTCAAAAAGAAGCCTGGATAGGGTTGGTAGGACTGGCGGGGCGTGCACCTTCGGTGTACAATGACGTGCGAATCCTGGATGATATGTCTGATGTGATCGAACACCAGAATGCAGATACAGATATGGCTGAATCAATTGAAGCAGGCGTAGCACATGCACTCGCAGAGACCACTGCACTGAATGCATTTGAAATTGGATCATGCGAACGCCTGGTAGAGGTGTATATACAACTTGTGTCTCGTATTCCAGACCATCGTCTAAGACCAGTAATCAACGTGTTTGAACACAGCGTTGACAAACGATCCAAGGAGACACCTGTAACAAAAGCAGTTGCCGATCTCGGAAACCTGATCGCACTGACAAAGACAGTCGTGGAACCAAGAGAAGAACCACTCAAGGTGAAAATGACCCGAGTGGCAGTGCTTGTAGGCGTAGTGTAGGTTTTGTGGATACTTTTTTAAAGAAAAAAAAAGTATAAAAAAGGGTTTTTTGCTCACGTGTTGAGGGGATATATATGTAGACGCATGTTACAGTTCAATCAAGGTGCCAAAACGTCAAAAGTTGCTGATTTCCAAAAGCAAGTTGAAATCCTATTCGTCAATGCATTTGACAATGTTGTTACAGAAACTGTCAGCAAAGAAGAAGTCTATTCATTTGACAAACATCAGGGTAAGTAATATCAAAATATTCCAGTACTTAAATTATAGTGTATATCTCACTTTTACTGGCGTATATTCGAATATAGATGTCATTGCTCTGTTTGCTGGACAGTGCCTACCTACATTGTCTGTCAAATTGATTCAAGGAATGAATCTTAAGGCTATTTTGAGCTGCATTGAATCATTTCTCATTACAAGCAAATATTCTTGGGAAGATGGGAAAATTATTGAGAACATATCAAACGAACCTAAAGATGCCGAACTGTTGAATAAAATTATCCAGGATCCTCTTCACAAAGACATAGGCAGAATCTCCAGAGCTGCAGCCAAGGTGATACAGGCCATATTGACAGTTGGTGACCCCATATGCATAGAATGTGTGGAGTCATTATTAGATAGGTATACAGGAAATAAGAAAGATATATACGGCTACGATACTTATTCTATGTGTCATGCAGGCTGACAGGATTTTCTTATCGGATATTTGTGGACTGGGACCGATTTGTAGTTCGATATGGTAAGTTAACTAACAAGAGTGATCTTAAATATATTAATAATACAATACAACAAAAGGTACCGATGATATGAACAAGGATCTCAATACTTCTATCTGGTCCTTCTTCAAAACGCTTTTGTTTGCCACTACTGTCATTTTTAAGGCTGTGGCTGTTGATTATCCTAATGGTGAAGGACTAGTACTGGTGTCTGGAGCAGGTAGGGTGTTAAGTATGGTATTGTACTGTCCTGGATTCAGTACTCATCATCATTTTTTGTAGCCCAAAATGCAATCAACCTTTATGCCAACCTCCATTTTATTACCGAACATCTGGGTACAAATACAGGATTTCAGGCTTACCAAGACACGTTAACAAATGCAGTGTCATATTTGACCCACGAAGATAACGTGTGCAAACTAAACTATGTATTGAAAAATGCTTACAAAGACTATGGTAAAGTTAACAAACTCGTTTGTAGAATCTTCTCAATTAACCCTCTATTATATAGCTCCTTCTCAATATGTAATCGACACAACCCATCCTGTTCAGCTTCTTTCTACAACCCATATATCCCGCCTTTTGTTCTATACAAATCTTATTGAACAAGTGATGACCTACATTGAAGACCAAATTTTGGAAGATGTAATTTTGCCTGTTATTTACCCTGTTCTCAAATGGAAATCAATTCAATCAAAAGACCTTTACGAGAGTGTTCATGCTGCTATATTGAGTCTCTTAACTGCCAAAAAACCCGTATCCCGTGAAGTAGCGGGTGTTTACGCCAATATTCTCATCAGTGTGAGTTTACAAATAATATAGAATAACATCAGGATCCTAATAATATAATACGCCGTGTTTTTTTTGTAGAGTTTCCCCGAGAGAATTAATTTACAGCAGCTTACATTTGGTTACTCAACTATGACTCAGGCTTTATGTGATATGGATGATGCAATTGCATGGCTTACTGTTGGACATCTCTTGGATAAGATTGATGGATTGACAGAAGAGTCGCAATGCGTGGAGAGGTCACAATATATAACTGTTCTTATCGAACTTATGAAACCACTCTCACTTGGACCTTTCTATGCAGTCTATCTGAATAAGCTGAGGACATTGGTGCTTAACTTGGAAACACCAGGTATGCAAAAAGCTACATTGAAGTTATTGTTTGAAACTGTCAGCGGGACAGGTATTTCGGATATGCGACGAGTAGAAACTGTAGGTTGGTTCTTGGATTTGAAGAACCAGGTGGGAATCTAAGTACAGCTTATAATGTTAATCTAAATTCAATTTAAACAAAAACAAAAAATAAAAAGCAGAAACAAAAAAAAGAGTAGGTTGATTAGCCAACTACTTTTTAAGATGGTCCCACTGTTCCATTTTTTCTTAGAAAAAAAATCAATTGGTATTAAAAATACACAAAACAAGAGCTACCAAATATATACACTTTGTAACTGTATTGATTTATTATTCACAATTCATAACTTGATATTAATAAACGCTTGTTTATATCTTATCTTAAATGTGAGATCTATAAAATTATTTCTTATTCTTTTGTTTCTTGTTTGCCATCAGGCGCTGTTGGATCTTTTCAAATTCATCATCAGTAGGTTCGATGTAATCAGAAGTACGCTTGGAAGAAGACTCGGAGGACGAAGCTTGTTCTTTTTTGGCTTTCTTTTCTATAGAGTCGAGAGTGTGTCTCAAACCACTTTGTCGGTTCTGTTGTCTCGCAAGGATCATAGCCTCGAGTGAAGTGTTATCGCTCTCATTTTCCTTTTCTTTTTGATTTTTGCTTTTTTTCATTTGTTTCTCGAAAGCAGCCTCGTCTTTCTTCGCTTGCTTAGATCTTTTGGCATGGGCTTTTGAAGTACTTGTAGCCTCAAAAGCTTTGCGTGATTTTATAGCCCCACTCTGAATATGTTTGTTGACGATTTTCTCTAGGCGAGGACCGTCATGAGCAGTAGAACATTCAAGGTGACCAAGGATAGAATCTAGATTGCCTTTGAATTGCTCATAAAATCTCAGGACATCTTTTTCCTCTTCCTCGGATCCTAAAAGGCTATTGATTTAGCATCGTATTCTTCATGTTTTGTGCAATAGTTTTAAGAATACAGATAATACCTCTATACTTTTCTGAATGGGCTTCAATGGTCTCTGCACTAACAATTCCTGACCACAGATCTTTAAAATAATCTGACCATGATTTATCACCGTCATTCAAATTATCTGTGCTGATGTTTCCTGTAGTATCATAATGTGATTTTTTTGAGGGATCGCTCAATATTGCATAAGCAAGACCAATTTGCTGAAATGTTTCGGTGGCTTTCTGTTTTTCTTCCTCAGTTGAAGTAGTAGGTTGCTTATCTGGATGATGTTTTAAGGCTAGTTTTCGATAAGCTGTTTTGATGGCAGCTTGATCGGCATCTTTTTTGATCAAAAGGATCTCATAGAGTGACTTTTTTACAGGCAATGGAAGGGACATTAGAGAGTTTGTCTGAATTGATTGTCAATAGTCTGATTATCACGGTTTATGAGTTCATAAAGACCTGTCACATTGACGGCGTACCTGGAGTATTCACGTCACTATGCTTTATGAAACAGATGTTGAGTATATACTTATATTTACCCCGCTTGTTATTTTTGTATTTTTTTAATGGTACAACATTTCCATATATACATTTAGTCCTTCACAACACAAAATTTGGAGTCAACATATGCAAACTTGAAGATATGGGTGATATTATTCCATAATTCTTTATCTTTAATACCTTTAATAATATATACTTGATGATTATGTATCTTGAATCAGTTCGTTTATATACCTTTTCTCTTAGGTTGATATATATGAGTGGTACGATTCTTTTGGGTAGATCCAAAGACATATCCCAATTATCAAAGTTGGAGAAAGCTCTTGATGTATTACTGAAACCTTTGTCCGTAAAACAATAGCCTTTTTTTTTTATTATCCGAAGCCGATTTTATGGATTTTATTGCTCTCCGCCAAGTTGTGTTAAAGTTTGTGTGTGTGCGTGTGTGTGGGCATAATGAGAAAAAGTGTCATCACGTTTATGCAAACTGAACATCTGGTGTATTTGTATTTTTTTTTTTTTTGGTTTTCAAAGTCTTTATCAATTGATTTTATTCTGTCAAACTATCCTTCATTATTCTCATCCGAAATGAGAAAGCTGTTTTAAAAGAACATATATAAAAAATGCGTAGAATTTGCATAGTTAAAAGGAGCTTAGAGTATAAAAGGGCAATAAGAAAACTTACATATACAACTTTCAACAATTGTAATCAAAATTATCTCTTTAGATAGAGTAGAACACTCATTCTGTTATAGAAACCTAAAGAGATTGTAGTCAATGTATATAAAGCACAAGATATAATAAATATTTACTAAATGTTGTTCTCATCGTTTTGGTCATTTATAACTATTTCAGTTTGGTCAAGACTTTTGGAATATATATATATATTAAAGAAAAATGATGATTGATTATTAACTCGCAAGGGCTTTATAATATATATAAAAATGTTTATTTGAGCAAAAGAAGAAATATATGTCTGTCCAAAGCAGATTTATCGGCTGTATTTGTTAAATAATAGTAGTATCAATAGGAATAAACTAAAGGAGTCTTGGACTACGCGCATTTTTGGGAACTTTTTCACCGTTTATCATTAGATAGGTTGGCTCTGGTGCAGCAACTAATGCTTCGATTGATGCGGTTTCTATTACTGAAGAATATTTGACATCTGAAATTATTGATGAGCGTGGGCTTTGAGCATATTCTGTTGAATACTGAGGCGCGGGAAAGATGTAACCATTGCTGATCCAGAGAACAAATGCAGCCACCATCACAAGGAAGACGACTAGTCCGGCCATACCCAGTATGCATCTACCGCAAGCAGATCCTCTTTGGCGACGGTGGAGCCAGGCCGAAGGTTTTTCTGATATGGGTTGTCTGAAACTCAAAAGAGTCGAATCTGATCCTAGGCTTGACTCTGATCCGATTACTGTGCTAGATGCCGAGGATACATAACCAACACTTGCGCGGGTGCTACTTGTTCTCGAGAGTGTGCTCTCAGAGGGATCCATACTGACCGGCCTACTACCACCATGTATAACAACTGCTTGTGGTGGATACACCGGCTGTAAGTCTTGCATCTCTTCAGCGATAGGATGTACATTAGCTGGTCGGAATGGTTCTGGAGCCAACATTGGTGTGTTCTTCTTAGTATCGTTGTAATTTGGTTGCATGTTTGTTTGTTTGTTTGTTTGTAAAAATAGAGTAAATATCCCAAAGAGAAAAAAAGGTAGCGATAGAAAAAGAGTATTTGTTGATTTATTGGCGATCTTAAATATTCGGCTCGCGTAATTATGTAAAGCCTTGTAAAAGTGCACTGAGTAATTGTTTCACTGTGTTTGTATTCATCTTTTCTATCTTTAAAAATTTATCACACAAATCAAATACTTTTAACAACCAACTCAATCCGCAGGTAAGTTTAGGAATAGATATTAATATATATAATAGCTTATTTGCACTTCTTGAAAGTATGTATGTCTTTATTATTTCAAACATTTCATAAGATTATGCTTTTGAAACCAGCTTTTAAATTCCAAAAATATTAATGTACAAAATTCCAATTTAGAAACAAGGTGGACTTCTAAAAAATATACCCTTGCAACAAGATGAATATTTGAATCATTCATTTCATTTTTACATGTTTGAAAAAGAGATTGAATGGATATATAATGACATCAGCTTCTTACTTTATACACTAGTACATGTATAAAGTACCCCCAGGCTTGGTATAATGTTTTCTGTTGTTTTTACTGCGGATATAAGCATTGTTATATGATTACCGTATAATGTCTTTCTCATGGTTCAAAATGAAATAAAAGTCAAACACAAGTACATTAGATATAATAGCAAAACATTATATTTATTCGCATGCATTTATTATGATAATTTTCATAATTTATTCTATAAAGTAGACGTTTTTTGTTTTGTTTTGCTTTGCTTGGATTGGACACATAAAATGAAACAGAGGGAAAAAGAAAGATTTGTAATTTATCATGCTGAATTGGGCCCGGCTTCTTCGTCACCCGAAGAGGCAGAAGGAAACTGTGTCTCCTTGCGAGATTCTGCGAGTAGCTTGTCAATTCCCTTTTCTTTTAGAGTAATCTACACAGAATGTTAATAAACAGGAATCAAATATTGTTGCATGATCATTCATTACCATGACACAAGCGCGGTAATCTTTGAACAAATCTTCACATTCTGGTGTCGTGTCTCCCTTTAAGAACTTTTCAGAGTACCACTTGTTGAAGCAGGTGTCATATTTTTGCTTGAGTTCTGTGCAATGAGCACCAACACTTGAAGACATGGTGAATAAAAAGATGTTATCTAGTGAAGGGATTGGAGGAGGGAAGTTCTGTTATCGGTGACTTGCTTTCTGGCTGGGCTTAATGCGTCAGACAAGCCAAAGAAGCGTTGATGAGCTACTTTTTGGTTTTGATGGCATTGATTTTCTTTTTGTGAAACTATATATACTAATATGCAATTCAAAAAAATCACAAAGAAGTTTACTGTGGGGATTTGGTTTAAGAAGTGATATTTTGGACCATAAATGTTATATTTACTGTTTATGTGGATTTGGCTTTGATTTTTGACTTTGGCTTTGAGAGAAATATTTAATGTTAGTCATCTAAATTTTTAACATCACCGTTTAAAGTTTATAACTATTAAGCTTAATACATTTTGGTCCATTTTAATATGGCTCCAGGCTTTTTTTGATGTTTGAATTCCACAATTCTCCTATGAGAAATATTATCCTTTTTTTTAATGTCTTTACAAAACATTTTAAGAATGAAGATTTAATCAATTGGTGTTTATAGTTCAAAAGAAATTTTAATCATATAATTTTCCAATAATTTAACAATTGCATAACAGTATAACTCAGAGTATATTCAATCTTGATAATTCTAGCCAACATTGAAGACTATGTAATTCAACCGATCAATTAGTAATAACTTATATATATAAAGTCAAAACAGATAAAATGATTGAATTGTTGTGTATTACATTTAAAAAGAAAAAGAATAAAGAACTGGTATTGAGCTAATGATAATTTGAATTCGTAGACTTGTTATACTGTTTGAAAAGAACTCTTAGGAAATACAGAATAATTATAAGTCTTCTAGTGCTTTAAAGCCTATTGTAGCAGGAATGATCTCACATTCTTCAATATACATGCAAAATATTTAGAACCTCTCGGGAATATTTAATAGAAATATGAGACCGACAAGTCAATTTCATTGTACTTATTAAGCTTATTTATTTATATATTTTTGCTTTTGTGCTTTCAAAATACTTTAATATTCAAAACGTGTGCTTTCTAATTCATTTCTCGGTGATATATATATATATGTGTGTGTGTGAATTATACACTATATCTTAGTGGACTTTGATTTTACAGCTTAAGTATACTTGATATACTTTTCAATATTCAAAAATATTATAATTCTATTACTGTCAATGAATATATTATATATATATATTAAAAAGTATGATAATAATAATAGTATATTAATGTATTTACATATATAAAGCACATGTATATCGTATTATAACATTCATCTGATAATAAAACTAATTTGTTTACGAATCCAATAATTGAGTGACTTGACCAACACCCTTGGTGCGCCCCTCGCGAAATATCTGTAGGCGCAGTATTAATTACAGTTCGTTAGTTATGTAGAAACTTTTTTTTTAAAAAAAATAAATAAATTATGCACTTACTAGGCGTGCACCCTTGGTCAGGTACTCAGGGTGCTTGACAAACTCAAATTGCTGGCATTTGAATTAATACCAATCATTATTCACTATTATTCATTATTACTCATTCAACCTACCACTGTTGCACGGTCTCCTGTCCGCAGCACTTGCTGCTCCATTGCTACTATACTGGCTGTCTGTCGTACAGCTCCACAGTGAACCATAGCTTGGTAACGTTGTTTGATGGTAGTTGAGTGGTACAAGATGAGTATCTCAGCCTCAAAGCGTCTCGATGCTTTCGGCATTGGTTGATCCTTTTCATGCGTCAGTAGCACCATACCCTTTCGTAATCCACTTCTCCGTACGTGCTTAAGTGCAAATGTTACACTCTGGCCTGCTTTGGCAATCGGCACAGATACTCTTTTACGATGTATTCCTTTTATTACAGTCGGAACAAATTGGCCAGCATAGTTGGGACCCACTAATAATTTATCACCAACATGGATCACTCCACTCATAACAATACAGCTGACTACTGTGCCCACAAACGGTACTGAATAGGTCTCATTAATTTCGGCCTGGAATGGCTGTTCTGTGTCATAATGAGCAAAAGACGGCAATATGTTTAGAAAGCTGCGCAAAAGATCAAGACCTTCGCCCGTCACATTGCTGATCTTAAAGACAGGGCAGAGACGCTTAGTAACAAAATGTTGCTATTTGTGGAAACATTAGTAAAATAAAGAAAGAAGAAGGAGAGCAAACACGACTATCAGCTATACTTACTGCGGTCATTACTACATCATCTTTGGATTCCACAAAGAGAGGGATCTTGCGACATGATTTTCCTTTGAGGATCTTAACCAGATCCTGGACGGTACTCCGTAAGACATTTTCAGGACATCGATCAATTTTTGTAATAACAACGAATACGGGAATTGTTAATGAAAGAGCTAATCCAAGATGTTCTTTGGTCATGCCAACAAGGCCAGAGTTTGCTCCAACCTAATGGATTTGTTAATTATACAATAGAAAAGTAAATAATATTAGATCTTACCATGAGCATTGCAAATTCCGGTGCATTTCCTGTCATACCAAATACGGTTGTCTATAGAGAAAATATTAAGAATATTAGATAATAAGAATTGGTCTATTAATTTACCTTGAGATATTTTTCGTGGCCAGCTAGATCCACAAAACTCAATACTTTCGCTGATCTCTGACAGACTTCTTCCCATGTTAACCGCCGCCCCGCATGGTTAGGTTGAACAATCGGTTGAGAGTTTGCATCGAATCCCATTATTTCAGCTCCCACACTAGAAGTTCGGCCAGAGTCGATCTCATGCTTGTGTCTATCGATATAATGAGAAGGAAGATTCTCATGATATATTTGTATATATGTATATATACCTGAACAGGTTTAACCGTGCTTTTCCTCTTCCATCATCCAGTAATCCTTTTGTAAGCACTCCCAAAAGTGTCGACTGTATTTTATTAATATATTTGGTTCTTTGAACAAACCCCCCAAGATCCCGTTCAAAAAATCCCCATTACCTTGCCAGCATCCTATATTTTAGTTTAGTCAAAAATGGCACTAAATATATTGTATTGTCTTACTTACCACATTTCCGACAACCGCTATCCGAATTTCTAGGAGGTCTTCGACTGATGCAGGTTTCTTTCGAATCATGATATGAGTAATTTCTCCATTACATGCATTCGGAGCCTCTGGGTCTTCATCCAATTCGCAGTAAGCGGCATCGAGATCCTTAACTATGACTCCCAAGGTTGCTTTACAGACACCATATTCTTGGAGAGTCAGTCCCATAGGAGCACCATCCTCTATATTGACGATGATTCATTTAAGCAATTGATTTTTTTTAATTTTAATGACTTTGGGATACTTACCCTCCACACCAAGCTCCAGGAGAGTTTCTCCCCGCCCTTGTTTCATTCGTTTTTCAAGAAGGTCCTTGAAATAAGCAATATCTTCGGGTGTAGAGTGTAGCCATCGATCCTTTATTTATACATATACATATTAGTTGTTGTTGTTGATGTAATATCGATATACGTTTCAACGTTGATTTGTGTTTCTCAAAAACTAAAAAGCATATTCGTGTACGATATATACTTTAAGAGTGCGCTCTATTGGCAAGTCATTTTGACATTCAAACATGTCCATTGTGGAATTGTCATCAAGGGAAGCATTCAGTAGTTGCAATGCCAATTCAGTGGCAGGGTCTGTTTCTTTGGAGTTTGTCATTGATAAAATAAATTGAGTTATTACAAGTGGAAAGAGAAATAACGAAATTAAAATAATGGCGCAGCAAAATTAAGTGGGCCTCTATATACAAGAATGCAGAAAAAAAATGAGTCAAAGTGAGAGAGGTAGGGGAATGATAAGAATAGTAGGAAATGAAAAAAGAAGAATAAGAAAAAGGAAAAAAAAATGTATACTCTAAATGGCATATACATTATGTGGATATGCTCGTCAAATGATTACGTTAATTAAGCTTATCTAGAAAATGAATATGGTGGAGGGGGTTGCATAGGTGCTCCACCATTTTGGCGAACCATCATCCATTCTTGCCTTCCTGCCTGTCGACTCTTCTTCTTAAAATCAAGGTAACACGGACAAAGAAAAAACCCCGGCTTTTCTAATGTGTTCTGGGCATCGACCATGGGGTCGCTCAATGCTTCTTTGTAGGTAGGCAATGTCGCAAACTCTTCCTTTAAGCGACAGTCTAAGATTGTGATGGGTGTATCGAGGTGTATCTGGACCCTTTCAGAAGAATCTGGGACGGAAAGTTCGATATGAATCCGAAGGTTGTGATTAAACTTCATCTGAGAAAAAAAGGTAGTGTGGTTAAGTGTGAGGCAGTTTGGCAAGGTAAAAATAAAGCGATGTTGGAAGGGATTTGAGAGCGGGATGTGAGCATTCTTGGCCGCAAGTGCTCTTCTAAGGTGTGTCAGTGGTACGTCGGAACATGGTACAAGCCCATTCAATGCCAAAGAAGGGTCCTCTAGGTTGGTCACAGACGTCAATTGGAGTTTGTAATCGTGGGATTCTTTGCGATATGCATTGAACTCCGGTAGTTGATAGACTCTTCTTTCAGTTAGGACAATTGCTATTGATTCTAGGTGAACATGTTTAAGATGAGGTGCAAGTATAACTGAAATAGGAAACTGTGTTCCAGATGAAGCTATCGCTTTATCGATACAAATTGTGGCGTCACAGGCATCAAATTTACGATCTACTACAATCGAAGGACTTGGTAGAGCGTACGAAATGAGGGATGCATCTGAGGATGTCAATGTACGGAGGAGCATGATGTTGCGTCTGCATCTTATATTTGTACCCAGCCCATTTCGATGAACTGTCGCATTAACATAATAATATACTTTTGCTATTTCATCTTCGATCGTCTCCACCATTGTGTTCGGTAAGAGAAATGTGAATGGCCAACGATTCAATCCGGCCGGGATCATGACCGATTGATCTTCTGGTAATGTCTGGAGAATAAGGTTTTGCTCATGAATAGTTTTTTCATGATACACCTTTCCGCGCGACCCGAGACCTGCTTTACGATCAGAATAGCCACCAAGAAAATAACCACTTTGGAAATTTACCTTCTGGCCACAGCATATAAGATCTACCTACTAATTGGACTATCACATCACAGGCATGTATAGGTTTTGATAGAACCAATTCAACTTCTCCTCGGAGAACATGAGTAGCTGGATCAGTGGGTGGTCCTCTCAAAATTGTTACCGGCTCAGCCAGTTCGATAGTGAGGTGTTTGCTGGCAGGGAAGAACGGCACCGGCATGGTTTTTGTTGGGTAGTAAGCGGGTAAAACAAGACAAGGAGTATCTTACTATGAATAGAATTGCATGGTAAATACACCTGTCAAATGAAAAAGCCCTTTTTATTCGGAGCATCGAATCTCTTTTTTTTTTCATCTTTTGCAGTATTGTACAAGCCTTCAACTTCCGTTCTTCTACACGTTTCAACTTAAATGATATTCAACTTGTGCTGTTCACATGTTTACTTAGTGCGAGGAGTCTAAACTAGAAGGCTTATTGAGATGAATAATTCCAATATGGCAAATTTAAATGGATTTTTTTTGGGCGCTTTAAAAACCAAACTTCTTTACCCACATGGCGGTTTACAGTTTTGAGCAGGGTTTTAATATTAGAGGATGCCATTGAAAGAACGAATCATTTATAGATTATCTGTAGAGCTGTATCAAAAGTAACTTTGTTTATGAACTCCGAGTATTCTTCTTGGCACACTATTGTTTCTTTTCTTGTTGTTTTGAATTATATAAACGGGATCCCTTTCGTATTTTAACAACAAAGAAGTGATTTATTGTGACAGATACAAGATACGTATATTTTCTGGAAAATATATAAATAAACATTATGAACGAGCGATTCAGAAAATCCCATTGATCATTGCTAAGATTTCCTGATACTAGAATATCTAAATACATACTATTTTTTTGTATAAAGCAAATATAGAGCAAGACCAGTACTGGCAAGAGAAAAAAATTGTCTGGGAATCCCAAGACTTCTTAGTTTAGGAGGCAAATGGCATATTCGGAAAATCGTAATAATTAAATTGAAATTAGCCTTTAAAAGAGAGTGTGAAGGAGTTTTTAGAGAGAGTGTAGACTTGTAACAATTCTTTATTAATTTTCTTGGACGTAAAAAAATTCTACATGGGTAAAAGACTTTTCGTCTAATGATATTATCTTTGGTACTTTAGACTATACATAAAATTTTGTTAAAGTACCCCTATGGTAATGAATCGTGGTGTAAAGCAAGTTAACAAAAATTAAATCTGATAAAACCTGGTTCATTAACCATCTTCTAGCCCGCTTATAGCCCGCTTCTAATCCGATGTACTACAGCCAAAGTTCAGTATAGTAGAGAGGATGTAGACTTTCAGCAAAATTTTCATCAAGCTCAATCAATATATAGTAGTGGAGTAAATTTTTACAAGTCCATACCCTCTCCTTTGAAGAGATGGTTTCCACTCCTAATTTTAGAACGTACTGATTGTAATACTTTACGCAGCTTTGAGCCAAATAAAAAAAAAGTATCATATCGGCAAAAGACTTTCCTGACCCTGAAGAATATGTCTACACGACATAAATAGATTGAAACAAAAAACGAACTAGGAAGAATGAAAGAACGTGATTTGGAGCGGCGAGTCTCGGCTTCCTCTTTTAAAAGAAGTGGGTACAAGCCTGTCTGGATAAAGGCTGGTGAGAAGCACAATAACGACTGCTTACAGCCAGGTTTCTCATGAAATATATGATCGGTAACCACATGGGAATGTGTCTGAATTGGTGGTGGTGCTTAACCACTTGATTTTATAAATGATAACATGTACTGTGGACTTGTAAAAAAAAAGAAAAACAGGACTTTAACCCATCCTATAGAATATGGTTGTACAAGATCTCTGAACTATTATTTTCAAGAAGACAACGCAAGGCTTGACAAAGTTTTGCGAAAATGGCGCAATAGATATTTTAGTATAAAATTTTCTTGGGGCTCCGTCGAAGATTCAAAGTATTGGAATGATAGATATCATATATAATCTTTTGAATTGTCGTATGTCCTCCAAAACTTTCTAACCCACAACCTTGAGATTTTTTTATTAAAAAAAAAAGAATCTCTGTAAGAGGAGTAAAAAGCTATTAACATGAATATATGCAAGAGGCGTTGTTCTATCAAACGTAACAAAGCAATGATTGTCAAGATAGCATAAAAAGACGAAGAAGAGGCGAAGTTACTTGGTTTTAATGGATAAGTCACGTAGCCCAAACTTTATAGTGAGTTAATTGAAGAAATACTAGTCGTATAAGCAAAAAAAAAGACTAATATAAGTTCATGGCATTCATTTCCATTTCTCTTGAGGAAGGTTTTTGGATATCTCTGTGTATTTGAATAAGTACATCACTCCCTTTGTATGTGTGTGTTTAAAAGCCTTCAGGGACACCATACATACACACAATCTCTCAGAGAGAGAAAGAGAGAGAGAGAGAGAGAACTGGAAGAAAGTTTTAGTTCCAGGAGGATAAGACTAATAATCATGCGAGTGATAAGTCAATGGTATTTAAGTTTAACTAAGTACACCTTTTAGGTAGCTGATCATCTCAGAGTCCAAATATCAACCAACTAGAGCGTTCGTTTTTATATGTCAAAAGAAGAATATAGCTGTAAAAACACCGTTTAATAATTACTTATCATTTGAGTCATTTGACGAAAAGGTAATTTTTAAAAGTCTTTTAATTGAAGAGATTTTTTCTTACGTCTTAATGTGAGCAAACAGCACACCTATATTTAATATATATATATATACTCATTTTGATGTACCTGTTTTATTCAATTGTAAAGAGAAAGTGTATATTTAAGAGGAAGAAGATATTTAAAAATAAAATAAAGATGAGACGAGACGATACTATACGAGACTTTATTTTACTGCGCACTGTACCATTGAATGGAATCAAACACTACTATTAATTGATATACTATAGATTTAGTATAAATAGACTGCTCATTAAATGATCGCTATATTTGATAAATATATATGTCTTTAAATTATATGTATACCTATAGATTCCAATTCCAATCCAAAATACCATTGCTCCATAGGCTGGACATTTGTGTGTTAAGCTCGTTGCAACATAGTATTTAGCATATAAACCAAAATATCTTATACTTGTAATAATAGAATGTGTCAAGGTCAAAATTATCTTTATTTATATCTCTCCTTTTTTTATTTGTATATATTTATTTAGTGGTCAAGGCTGTTCTTGGTTCTCGTACCCCACAGCTAAAACGATGTGGGCTCTGTACGACACTGGTGACAAGGTCGATTGTTTAGAAACCGCAGTCATACCTGATTGCACTTTATATATATTCTTTCCTTTTTCTTCTTCTTATTTTTAGCCCAAAGCAGTATTAGATTCCACATGCCTTGGTCAATCAACAATAAGGCTATATAATCAATGCATCTATAGATTAGGGATTAGGAAAGGATCTAAAAAACAGTAGATCTCAATGACCTTTCTATTGAATCTGCAATAGTTGGCACAGAGGTTAAATAGCTTAACAAACTTTCGTGACTGTTGGCAGCTTTGTTCTTGTTCTTGTTCTTGTTCTTGTTCTTGTTCTTGTTCTTGTTCTTGTTCTTGTTCTTGTTTTTGCTTTAGGAAAAAAAGTCTCTACAGGTAGATATGTATATATAAAAGTACAGTTTTTTGGAGTCAATCAATATATGTATAGTTATATCTTAACCTGCATTTATTAATGAAAATAGATATATAGAAGGTGTATTTTTTTTGCAGGATTTAGGCTCTGGTCAAATATAGGATTCTTCCTTCTTTTCTTCTTTCTATTCTTTTCCTCTTTCTTTTTAGTAGTAGTAACAGTGTTATTCTTATTCCTTTTTCTATTGTATATCTTATTTTTTATTCCCCTTTATTCTGTGGTCATTGTTTTTCTTTTCTTTTGAAGGACTCCCTTGACTATTCGTTTTCTTCAGGGATTTTCTTCTTTTATTTATTTCTGTCAAAATCTTTGAAGAATAATATGTGTGTTTTGGTAGATAAGCCGTGTCTTACAAAGGTGCCAATCCTGGTCTTTTGATAGAATCATTGCATGCACTTAAATACTACCAAATAAGTCTTTTTAAAAGAAAAAGTAAAATTCATAAAGTAAAAGCCCCAAAAAAAGCATAAAATAAAAAGACTTTATGAATACATAATATAATATAAAATGGAATGAAATGAAATGAAAATAAAATATATACACACACACACATGTATATATATAAAAGAGCGCGGGTTTGCATAGTTGAGATTACAATTAGCACTCCATTGGTAAGACCATGTTAGTTTTAATGCAACAGACAAGGCTTTGCTTTGAAAGTCAAATGGACACAAAGGAGCCTTTGTTTTTTATATATATTTTCATCGATTCTTATAGCTTTATATCCCCTAATGTATTCATTCGTCAAGAACATACCCCTCTCTTCCTATCACTTTTTGGCTCTCCATATATGGAGAGTTTTCTCTTTTCTTTTTGCTCTTCTTGCTGTCTACAGCCTGAACATTTGACAAAAAATAAATAAGGGGTGGAAGGGGGGACAGGTTGAAGGAGGAGAGGGCCCAATAGACCTTAACTGACTACCCACCTACCAACCAACCAACAAAACTATCTAATTGTCTGTATGTCCGTATGTCTGTCTGTCTGTCTGTCTGTCTGTATATATGTCTGGTTGCCTAGCTACCTAATTACCTAATTACCTATCAATATACCTACCTATCAACCTTACTTTACCTGACCTGACCTGACCTGACCTTGGCCCTTTCTATCCCGTCACTTTGCTGTGGGTTGAGTTTCGTTTTCTATTTATTCTTCAACTTATATTCTCTATTTGTTTTCCTTTCTCTCTTCTTCTCTTTCTCTCCCCCTTTTCTTCTTCTTCTCTCTTTTCTTCTCTATTTATTATGTCCAATTCAGGAACGCGTCATACAAGTCTGGCTGCTCATGAAGAAGCCAGCCAGATAATAAAGAAGCTTAATCTTATAGATCCATTGACTCTTTTCCCAGAAAGCAAAAACACCACCGTAAGTCTATCATTTTAAGAAACACGCCTATAATTATCCTTAGCCTCCCTTAGGACAGCGTCTATTATCCACACTCACCAATCTCGTCACACTCTCTCGTCTTGGCCATCCCTCACAACTAGCCTCTCATCTCATCACACTTTCAACTGCCTCAACCCTGCTTTCATCACTTATCAGCACCCTATTAGCCCCTCATCGATCAAATAACCGTCCCACTAAGCTTTATGGATCTCTCGGACGTACCTCCCAGTCAATCTCATATTCTACACCACAGGCACTCTCTAGTGTCATTCAACGCGAAACAGACGCAATCCACAAAGAAATCGAGAGACTTGGCCGACGAGTGAATTCAGTCACACGCACTTCACTACCACTCACTCACCAAACATGCCAAGTAAGAAAAAAAAAGAATTGATGATGTGATGCTATTATTGTTTGTAGAGTGCATGGCCTGATCCGTCTTATTTTCTTTTTATTATTGTGATCGCCAAAGCTTTCAGAAGCAACCCTTTTAAGCCATCTACATAAATTAACTGAAGCACTTTCGAACCTTCAATTATCCATCACCCGGGCTCATGCCGCAATCCACCGCAAAGGTAAACCTCGACTCTACAAACGTCTTTCTTTCTTATTTCTCATATCTCACTTTCTCTGGTACATCATCCGTGCACTGTTGATCGTCCTTGTACAACCCAACCCCTCCCCAACCCAACCCATGCTCAATTTTATTTTGTAATTTTCTACGCATTTCTGAATTACTGTCCAAAGTACACGCACCATTACCAAGTCTATCTAGTTCATCATCCCTAGGGACCCAACACAGGGATCCACCATTGCTAACTTCCCGTAGTTGTTCCAAAGTAGAAACACTGTCTCCTTGGAAAAAGTACGTTTAACATAGTTCAATATAACCCTCCACAAAATATCTGTTCGAACCAAAAAACAAATACATATATATATATCAATACCTTGATTATTCAATCTTCAAAAACAAAAAAAATGCTTTTGCTTTTGCTTTTTATTTTATCTTATTTTGTAGTGAACGGTCCGATTCAGGTAAGCGTACAAACCCTTTGGATTACACGTGGAAATCTGTGACCAACGACGTTGCATATGTACAACCCCAGTCGGAAAGAGACTTATCCACAGTCTAGCAGCCTTCAAGACCCGGCCCACTCCCCTTCCACAAGTACCTACAAAAGCATCAGAGAAGTCAGAGAAGCCTGAGAAACCAGACCAGGCAGAGCAACCAGACCAGCAAGAGCAGCCAGATAAACCTTTAAAAGAAAAGCTCTTTGTAGATTCAGAAGACAGTGATACGTCTGAATCATCTGGACTAATCCACAGAGGCTCTAAAAACAATACATTTAAGCAACTCTTTCACAGCAAACGCGAAAAGAAAACGAGTGGAGGACGAAGTTTGAAAGAACTTTTTCACATCTCCGCGGGCCATAAAGAGAATATTGAACAGGCTAATGCGGCTAAACGAAGAGGGACCATTAATACCTTTTCAGTTAATCAGGTAATTAATTAGACGGCGTTGAATGATATATTATCGTTTGATTTATTGTTTGTTTTTTTGGTCATATAGTGTTCATCAAAGGCATATCCTTCAAGGACCCTGACCTTCCACTCATATTCATCAGACACAAAATCCCCAATTACAAGCCAATCCGCCGAAACGGCCCGAAGACCACCCCAGACACATACTCATACACTCTTTTCTACCTTGCGCCACACAGCCACTACTCGACGGCCAAAGAAGCGAGTGGACCATGTACTGTCAATTATCTCAAAAGCGCCTCAAATGTCGGCCAGCAGTGATATACCACCCCAAGGCCAAGACTTTGACCTAGACCTTGATCTTGACATGGCTTCTTCAACGATCTCGCTTGAAAGTGATCTAATATTTTTGCCGGCGTCATCATCTATTACATTAGCTAGTTATTTAACTGGTCCCCTAGAACCTAGCACATCAGAACCAACAAGTCCTAGCCGTCGTATAAGTCAATGTCCGACAATTCGATCTTCTGGATCATCATATTTCTCGGCTCGTTCTTCTCACTCCACCTTACACTCCTTAGCTAGTGAGCCGTGCGAATTGAACAAGTACAGAAAGGCAATCGATTCAGAAGAAACTCTAGGTGAGCCATCTACACCTACGCCCACGTCTACACCTACGCATACACCCACACATACACCCACACCTGATCCAAGCCATACACCTTTGTCATCCACTACTCTTCTGCTAGATCGGCCCGAGTTTTTACTTCAGGACTTGCCCAAATCACTCCACAGTCCTGGATCAAACACACCAAAACCTGTGTCTTTTTCGATACCAATACCAAAAGGCGAGACAGTTAAGGAAAAACAGTTTTCTCTATCTCTTGGCTTCCCATCGGATCTTTCGCCATCTCGCGCATCCCAGACAAGGACTCGAAAAGAAGGCGAATTGTATTTTGTGTCAGAGAATGGCCAGGACGTTTTGGTGTTGAAGAAAATATCATGTAAATTGGATATAATGGCTGGTACAGTTGACAAATTGCTTGATAAATTGGCAGATGAGACAGCTCAAGGTAAAATTATATATACTATAATTGATGCCAAAAGGCTTTAAGAAAATTGAAAAAAAAGACACTTATGATTGAAAGGAGTTATTTAGATCTTGATTATGTGGATACGTTCTTGATGAGTTATGCGTGCTTTACAAGCTCCATGAGATTACTGGATAGTTTAATGAGACGATTCCATCCACCTACACTGGTCAACAGACAGGGGAATATTCAAAAGGTACCAAGGTGTATCCAGGCAAAGTAAGCTGATCCATATTTATTATCACACCTTTGGTTAATTATTATTTATTTATTTATTATTTTTTCATTTTTTGTTTTAAAAAAAAAGGGTACTGAATGTCATCTCTCGATGGGTTAAACTGCAGTGCCAAGATTTTAAGCAAGCTGGTTTGCGGAACAGACTTGCTCATTTCATTGAACATGGAGTAGCACATGCTGGTTTTAGTATAGAAGCTGGCTTAATACAAGATGCCTTGGATGTCCAGGTAAGGTCCATTGTGATGAACTTTTGTCTTCTCCCTCAGAATGTAAAACCTGATCTCCTAATTATACTGTATTGTATTATGCTTTTTGATCAATAGCTCGCCCAGCAAGCCCGTAAACGACATTCTCTTGTGGCATTAACATCTCATTCATTAAGTTCGTTTGGAGCATGGTCAATGCCAATACAGGATGGTTCTAGCCCACCTTCGCCCTCTTCCTCGATCCCCTTTTCAGCAAACTATCGTCCGTCCACCACACCAAGTTTACAGTCATTCGTATCTTTTAATACCAGTACCCCGCCCGACTCTCCAACTTTCATGCCTCCTCCTAGTGGGTTAACTCTTATCCCAGGTGTGCTGACTTTGAAGGCCAAAGATATCGCAAGGTACCTTACCTTGGCGGATTTTTATATCTTTCGGTGTATAACTGCCTACGAATATATGCATGGTCCCTGGCGAGACCCTCACAATACAGCCAATGAGCCCTTTGACCCGAATGACTCAATTAGCTTGCTTGCTCAGAGAGCTAATATGGTAAGTAAATAAATAAATATATACATATATTTATATATAAAAGAAGAGAGGTATAGAGAAAGGAACCAAAGGAAGAAAAAGAAAAAGGATATAACCTTTAGGTTTTTTTTTATTTATGTATGTATATGTATATATATTGGGTTTCATTATCGTCAAACAGATAAGTCATTGGGTGATTCATGATGTATGTACATCTCAATCAGCCAAGCAAAAGCGTAATATTATCCGTCGATTAATTGAAGTTGCAAAGGTACAATATATATATATATATATATATATATATACTATACAAAGAGTATAATTTCTTGTAGGTTTAATTTTTTTAAAGAAAGATAGTAATGATAATAATTCTAATAATGATGTGTGTGTGTATATCGACATATAGTTTTGTTTGGATTGGAACAACTTTCACACAAGTATGGTGATTACTATGGGACTTTTGAGTGGAGCTGTCCAACGTCTTGAAGATGCCTGGCAATCCCTGCCTCACCGTGACACGCACACGTTTGAAATCCTTCAAAAGAATCTAGACGTTTGCAACAATATGTCAGTGTATCGTAATGCGTTGCAAAAGGCAAAGGCACCCGCGATTCCCTTTTTTCCGCTTGTTCTCAAAGATGTTACTTTTTTTATGGACGGAAATGCGACCATGATGCCGGAATCATCGTCTTCTTCTTCGCCCGGGTTGATCAATTTTGGCAAGTTTCGATCACTGGTTCAGTTTCTGGACTGCACAGTCAAGTATACTAGTGAGAACTATTATTTTGCAGGCGACCTTGAACATCTGCCATTTTTTCCTGGAGTAACATTACACAGATCGGCCCATGTTGCTCCTCTCGATTGGGTAGCAGAGGTAGTAGAACGACGAATCCAAGCAGTTTCAAGGTGTCATCAAGATCCATACTGTGAAATTTTGAAGTAACAGAAGAAAAAAAAATACAGCCATTAACGACCGAATTTCAATGAAGGCGCAGTCTCGTATACAAAAAAAACAAAAACAAAAACACACGCACATATACACTTACACTTACACATACAACATACAACATACAACATACAACATACAACTCAAAACATGTTCCCCTTGCTCTTACTCGCTCTTACACACACGCACTCTTTCTCCTTGATTATTTTTTGGTGTTTAAAAGAAACACAAACAAAAATAAGGAGAAAAGGGATGGTTCAAAGCCAATATTTCTTTTATTTTCTATTCTTCTTCTTTTTGGAGGAGAGATGGTCTTTATACACACATATATATACATATTCTTGCATATTCCTCAAACATCTTGCCTCACCAAGACTTGGAGTAAATGCCAAGAAAACAAGGTGGACCAAAAAAAGACTATAGGAATCTAATTTTTCATTTTGCATAGAAGCATACTACCGTCTTATATGTTTGTGGGCGGGTGTATGCTTTACATTTTTTCCCGTTTGGCAGAAAGGATTCCCCAAAACACAAGATGTAAGCGCTTGGAGAATTCATTCAAGTCTATTGTGTCAAAGGCTTCATTTTTCTTTTTCTGTATGAAAGTTTCTGTATATAGTAAATTTTATTATTATTATTTTATTCTTCTTCTTCCTCTTCTTCCTCTTTGTATCGAATTAACAGACAAACGTCGTTAATGACATCTGTACTCTACAAGTCATATCTTGTGAATCGAGCCACAGTAAGCAGATCCTTTCCTTTTTGTACCCCCCTCCTTTTAAAAATAAAATAGAATGAAAGAGAAAGCATAAAAGGTATATTTACCTAATGCATGCAATAGGGTAATAAATAGAGGCTACTAGTATGTGTCTATTTCAATCTATGGAGCCAAAATTATTAATATCCATAATATTTAAAGATACAAAGTAAACTTGTGGGTTTTAAATCGATGTGTCTAAAGACAGTAGAACATACATTACCTTGTCATTCTGGAGAATGTGTAGGAATCTGACTCTCTTCATCTAGGGAAACAAAACAGGATATATTTACTTTATTTCTTCACTGATTGTACTCTACTAGATCATATAGACCCAATGTTGATCTTATTTTGGTTGAATTTTAAGGATTCCTTACAAGACCATGTCAAGACCCTACTGCTCTCTGATTCTATTTAAACCCAAGATCCTGCAGACAACAATGTAACCAATTTGTAGATCATAGGCGTACTTTGTAGCGTACAAGCTGTGTCTTATGAATATAAATTCAAAGATATTCGCTAAAAATACACCTCATCTCATCAAAGGAAAGAAAGAAAGAGATATTTCTAAATGCCCAATTATATATACTCTTTCTCCTTAACAAATACCTTTTTTTGATATATACAATAACGAGAGAGAGAGAGAGAGAGAGAGAGAGAGAGCTAGGATCGTAATAATATTTGCTACAAACTATGAATTAAGTTATGTATTTACCCACCAAACCTCCTTAACGATACAAGTCTCGAGATCTTGGATTAATGTATGGAGAATATACTTGGTCTTTGTAACCTAATCTTTAAAGTCTTACAGAAACGTTCAGAGATCCAAGGTAAGCTAATCATTTATAATATTGACTATTATTATTATTATTATTATTTATTTTGGAAAGGTGTACTAGTTTGCTTTTATCAAACCACCAACACATTAGAGGTCAAGCCAAACATCTTTTGGTAAATATCATTGATGAGCAGTATTAAAACAAAATGACACTAGAGGAAGTACTATTCGTTACTTATGGTCAGTCAATCAACTTTCCAAAACATGGTGATAAGATTTATCCAAGTTTTAAATTATCAAGGATTATATTCTTCACAGCGCAATGTTTCTTATTTAATACCAACTTTGACTACTTTGTTGTATTCACAAGCCCAGAGACAAATAAATTCAAATTGCGTTTAATTGTATGTTGATATAGAACATATATATATGTTAAGTCTATAAGTATTGCTTTGATCCATATAGTTCTCTATTTCTTCAGGTGCTTTAATATATATATGTATATGAGCACATTTGATTAACGAGATACAAGACCATCAATGTAAACGCAACATACATATCTTTGGTCACACTTGGTTGATAAGAGAGACATTCCCTTTTATATATATGTGTATATGTATATATCAGTCTGATTGTATCAATATCACGGCCTATAAATTAGAATGACAATACAATTATGAGGTATTAAATACTTGTTTCTTTATATGACTTGTCTACTGAGAACCAATAAATATAAAGCTAAATTCTCTTTATCAAAGATAGCTGTTTAAGTATTGGTCTCTAAATGGGTAGGTAAGATAAATAAAATACATTAGAGATAGAGAAAAGATGTAATGAGTTCTAATTGAGCCATGTCGCTTTCGAACATGGGTTATCCAGAGGCTGGATATGACAGTGTAAACATAACCAAGCCATCAAAGGCTAGGTTGACTGTTGTTAGAGATATCTCTTGAACGCTCGATCACTTGGTTACATGTGTATTATTTGGCATTAGTACGAACTATACAGTGATTTAGATGTTTTAATACACTGCCTATTCTTTTTGAACCTTTTTAAAGATGAAAACAAAAACAAGTGACTTTAATAACATAAAGAAAACATATTGTGGTTTCATGTGAGACTTCTGTATTGATCCTAGTTCCAGGGTTTTAACAGCAAGTGCTAAATTAAGAACAAAATAGATACACAGTAAAATGCTTTATTCTGATAGATTGCCGAGCACTCTGATTGGAAAGCAGTTTGAGCTTCGACTATCTATTATTTATTTTTATTACTTAAAATATATGTATATAAAAAAGGGATATAGATTGATAGAGAATGCAAGACAAGACAAGGCAAAGTAAAGAAGGGGCGGATTTATGAACTTCTTTCTTTTTCTTGTTCATAAATGAATGTACAAATATTATTGCTATTATTACTTGACAGATTTGTTGATTGTTTCAGTGTTTATCATACTGAGAACATTCTTCTATCTTTCATCAAGAAGAAATTTATAGGTGATAAGAAAGAAGGGAAGATTCACAACATAGAGTACCTTGCTGTTGTGGACCATGTATAGTATACACCTCACATGCTGTGAAAATACCATTAAAAGGAAATTGTTTGATAGAAGCAAAGAACAAAACAGAGTTTGGGGGTTTGGTTTTTTTTCTTTATTTTTTTCATATGGGTTTTTGCGCGTGTGGGTTTATGTTTGTGATAAAATCAGTCAAAAAAAGGTATAAAATGAGATCCAGATAACTAATACTTGCGCTAATACTAAAAGAAAAGAAAAGAAAAATCTAAAATATACACAGAGTCACTCTGCTTCGATGCTACAGACCCGAATATATCTAGTAAATTTTTTGAAGGTGGAACAGATAGTCTTTTTCTTAAAATAAAATAAAATAAAAAATAAAATCAGGTAAACCTTTATGTAATTCACATTGAGGCGGGAAACATCGGAAGTACCGTTGTATGACTATAGGCGTTCTTATCTTTTTAGACTCCAAGTCTTTACAACCACAATACCAAATATAACATTAATCTTGAGTAATTGTTGTTTTACGAGATTAGATGAGAGAATCTATTGGTAGAATCTTGTTGTTGTTGTTTTTTTTTTCAAAGTCTTATCTTATCATGATTTATTTTTATCATTCCCAATAGTCTGTACAATAATTAACCATAATACTGACTCCCCCCAAAAAAAAGCGCAATAATGAATGAACGAATGAATGATTTGTAAGATCTATAGCATTTCCAAGATATCTCATCTTTTCTCTTTTTCTAATCTCGATTTACATCTTGTACTTTCATGATTAGGCGTGTAATTAATTTTACTAGATTGAACAAATAAAAGTATCCAATTACTTTCAAATTTCAAATACATTTATTATTATTCTTTAGAAAATATACTGAAATAGTAGTAATAATTGAATATTGTGCCTCAGAAACAATTCCACATATACAACAGAGAGAAAGAAGCAGAAAAATGGCTCAGAATACAGTCAATCGGTGCATTTATTTTTTTAAAAAAAAACACTTATTGATAAAACATATCCTCAAACCCACGTCTAATTTTCAGCTTGTTTCTTTAAAGATGTATTGAAGTTTGTCCAAAATTTAATTAGAATTAATTAATTAATAGCTAAAAACAAGAAATCATTGTAATATCAAGTGGCTGTTTAGTCTTCAGTACCTTTACACAGATATATTAATAATGCAGATTATTTATTCCTCTGAATGTTAATTTATTTACATTTTAATTTTAACTTTAGTTTTCTATTTAAAATAAGAAAAAGACAATAGCACGCACTACAATATATAAATACATATATATATATATTGAGAATAGCAGAAAGGAAGTGAAGAATTAAAATTAAAGAAAAAGAAAGAAAAAATAGCCTACATCCAGTGCAGGTTTATTATTATTATTATTACTATTATTATTATTATTACAGTCTACAGAGGGGAGCACACAACAAACGATGTCTGAACACCCATATCTACTTGATCCCAATGTTTTAACTCAAGCATAGATTTTACATCTCGCAACTCGTTTTCAAGCTTTAGGCGCAACAACTCTTCACGTTCCATCTCACTCTGATGGCCTACTGTTGCCTGAGCCATCATCTGCCTAAATTCTTTTCGCAACTCAAGAGTCCCGCTGTCGCCTCCGATACGCTTGGCTTGTTCGTCAGCAAGACTTCGCTCGCGCTCACGAAGTGCCTGTCTAAGTTCCGAGATACGATCTTCATACGTCTTACGTTCGTGCTTAAAGTCAGTCATATTGCGAGTCAAACGATCGTATTCTTTGAGAATACAGCTCAGTTCGGCCTCAAGGCTGGCCGATTGGAGCATATAGGCACCTTCTCTTTGCGAAAATTTCGACTGGGCATCTTGGAAAGCCGACCGGAGTCTGTTGAGTTCAGCATCAAGCACAGCCTTGTTGCGTTCAAAAGGCACGGCGGAAAGATGTATTGGTGCTTGTAATGGTTGCGGGGAACACGTCTGGAGATCCTTGAGTTGTTTCTGATAGACGTTCGATTGTTGAGTGGCTTCATAAAGAGCCTTTTTACTATTCGAAAGATTGTGCTCACACTCTTTCAAGGCCTTCTGGCAGTCCGAGTGTTCTGCCTGTACACGTCTATACTCTCGTTCAATCGTCTGTACTTGAGACTTTAGGCCATCAGCTTCGAATTCTCTTTCATACATCCTCTGATCACCGTGCTCTCCTTGCACAAAATACCCCACTGGGTTTTCCAACAATTCGTTTTGATTTATACCCTTGTTTTGTAGCAATGCCTGCACTGCATCATGGATTGATTTATTCGAAAGTCCTGTTGCCCGATCACACGCATCCAGCAACTCAGCTTCTTCTTTTTTAGATTTCTGTAGTATGCTTGCCTGACGGCTGATGTGGTTTTCGAGAGAATCTATATAGCTGTTCAGAGTGTGTTTGATATTCGACCCATTTTTTGGTATGTGTCTGTTTTCCAGTAGGCTCTCGAGGTCTTTTCTGTACCGTCTCTCCTGATCGAGCGAATCGCGTAATTGATCAATTTCCCGGCTATGCAGAAGGGCCTGATGTTGGTCCCGACTAGCGGTTTCCATCATCTTTTCGTTTGATGCCAGCTGTTGCCCAATAGTCTCTATTTTGTCTTTGATGCTGCTGATTTCCCACGACTCTTCTGATCTTGCGTACTCTTGGTCCAAGCGTTCGCCAGGGCTGTCCTCCACGCTCGTCACACTTGTCCTGACCGAGCTCGAGAACCGAGAGTCTCCAGAGATACTTCCATTGTCACTCACACTGCACACACCCAGTGTGGTCCTTTGGCTCTGGTGCCTCGGGCTTATGTAACTGTGGACAATGTGATCCAGTTGCCGCGATAGTTGACCAAGAGCCGATCGTAGGATGTCCAACTCGTTTGTCTGCTGGGCGGCAGCTGGCGGGCTTCTTGTGTAATCGCCCATCATTTGCTTGCGAGCAGAGACAGCAATTGTACCTGCAATGTGCTCAAGGTATCTTGCCCGGTCATCCGAAAGCTCTGAAAAGGCCAGAAACAGTTGCTCTGTTAACAATTCTGTCTGTTCGTCACTCTCGTTAATTTGTTTCATCAAGCTTGGATCCACATTTTCAAGCCTCAGGGAGCTAACTAGGGCAGATCTTATCAATGCTTCGCATTTAAGCTGTGTCTTTAGAACATTTAACCTAGATGATTTCTTATTATGTTTCTACAAAGAGACATATGTTAATAAAAAAATTGATATGCTTTTATTAAACTGTAAGAATAAATAAATGAATGAATAATATATATATTGATCCTATTTGATACTGATTGATATTTACCTCTTGTAGTTCCTTGAGATGAGTCATTGATGCTGTAGGGAATTCAGACGCAAGTGTTATCGCAAATGGACCGGCCAGTTGCTCAACTAGCTCATCAGCCTCAAACTTTGCGGGCGAAGCTGACTTTGCGGATGAGACTGAATAGGCCACACAATCTGTCCAAGGTAAAGCGATTCCTTCAAATTCAACAATCGTCTTGATCTCATTCGCAAATGACTCTTGTCTTCTAGATTCTTCCTGTCGGCTCCTTGTCTGTGCTGTTCTTTTGATGTCTGAGTGGGATGAGTCTGCCTTGCGCCGAAAGGAATGCATGTGCTGCGCACGAGAGGATATGGTCGGTGTGGCAGCCGACACCCGAGTCGCTGTTACCAGCACCGATTCTGTACTGTCGACTACATGGTCAGCCAAAGAAGGGCGTGGGATAGGGGGATGCTTTTGGTTTTTAGTTTCGTTCAATTGAGTCTGAGCGGATTTGCTGCTTTTGCGCTGACTAGAAAAAGGTATTTTTTTCTCAGGATTGGAACTTGGTCGAGACAGGCTATCTTTTCTGGATGCAATTGGCATTGGTTTCGTAGTGTTTTGTGTACTGGCTATTGGTTTTGTGGTCGGGGCATTCAATCGTTCTTTCAGAGCTGGTGATGTAGTTGTAGTTTTTGTGGTTGGGGCGTTTACGGGTTTGTCAACTTTACTAATATTTTCATTGGGACCCGTTTGAGTAATCGAGGTAGTGGTGGCCTGGGGTGTTCGTGCCCTGTGTATCGAGCTTCGTGGAACGATATTTTTCTGTGTTGGTCTGGATTGGCTTTCGCTTTGGCTTTGGCTTTGGCTTTTTACGCTTGACTTTGAATTGATAGAAAGCGTCGAGTTTTGGCTGGCTCTTCTTGGCCTGGCAGAGTTGTCAAAAAGAGAATTGTTTGAGGTGCGTTGAAATGTGGTTGAATTGACATGATTGTTAGCGATTGAGGATGTGTTTGACACTGGCGTTACTAGTGTCTTTGTGGGCGTGACGCGCTTAGGTGATTTTGGTTTGAGGTCTTGGTATTGTTTGGTGTTAAATTGGTCATTCTTGGATAGGTTTCCGGTTGGCGTAGGTTGCTTATAAATACCACGTATTCGCTGCTACATACAGAATTTAGAAAGTTTATTTTCTGTTTTCTACTTCTTCTACTTTTTTTTTATTTTTTGTTTTTTCTACTAAATGTCATTTCAGTTTTGACATCTACTCATTACAAATGAGTTAATAAAATGAGAAGTAAGAAAAGAAAGAAACTCACGGTCTCTTCTCGGCTCATATTTGGATGACATGTAATTCAATAAAAAAAGGGAAGAGAAAGAGAGAGAGAGAGAAAAAGAAAAAAAAGGAAGAAGATTTAAAGAAGTACAAAGAATTAAAGTGATTATTATTTAGAAGAAGAAAGAAAATAAGAAAGGGCGTTAAAAAGATGTAGAGTTTATTGTTCACTGTGTGCAAGAGCACATCATGTAAGTGTTGCCATATATAGGTGTTGCCCATATGCCAAATACTTCTTTAAATGTTGGGGATTGTACCACGAACAACGGCAGACAGTAGTTCTCTCACTTCTGGGTCGTCTGCCAGAATAGTTGTTTGGTTTGGTTCAAACACAATGGAAGCTTCCATGTATGATGGTAGAATAATTTTCTGGTTTCCTAAATGATCGCGTACAAGTCGTAGTGCTGCATATTCGATTCCGCTCTACAGTTCCATGATCAGAATACTATTCTTAATACAATTACCACCACAACCACCACCACAAAAGCTAATACAGCTATTACTACTATCCCTACTACTAATACTACTATAATTCTTTCTTTCTCTTTAAAAGAGATTAATATTAATTCAATTCCTTACCTCCTTAAGCCTCTTCATAATAGAAATGGCATCGACCGGTTGAATAGGGGTGCGATTGTCAGCAAGTGTGATTGCACGAGTGCTTGGGCCTGAATTCATGTCTCCTAGCACCAACTGGTTATTGTGAAGATGTAGGGATCCAGAGATAGGTAGCAGGTAACTTGCGGATCCAGGTGCCTGTGGCTCTAGCTGAGACAGCTGTAGACTGTTACCCACCTAGTATATAATAATAATAATAATAATAGTAGAAATAACAATAAATTAGAAATAATCAATAATCAACTATTTCCCCTGTTCTTTCTCTTCTTCTTCTTTTACATATATATATATATATATATGTCTGTGTGCATATACCTTTTCGGAGATTGTGACTTTATCCCATTTACGTTTGAGGTCAACGTCTAGAATGTCACCCGATGTGTATATGTGAACATCTGCTCCTTTTTGCCTCCAATCCTCCTGAAATTGAGTGGCTCCCTGGCATTTAGGGATAATGATGTGTCGCGGAGAACCATCAAGTTTACGCATCCAATTCATGGTTAACAGGCGGCCCACTTCAGTTAGAGTAATACGGGTATCCAGAGGGGCTCGTAAGACTGTCATTCGACACCCTAAAGGTACATCAAATGAAGGAACTTCAGGATCTGTAAAAGAGAGAGAGAGAGAGAAAAGATGAATAAGCACAGGTCTTTCGGCATACATACATATATATATATATATATATCAGGTAAAAGTATGAAAATAAGATCACTCACCAACAACGATACACACATTGTGCTCTGAGTTTCCCCATTTCTTGAGAAACCATGAAACCGGTCCATTTGTTGGGCATGCATAATCGCCAGTAAACACAATGCATGGTTCCTTAAAGTCTTTCTTTGCCTTGACATCTAATGAAATTGACCCGACAGCCTGAAGTCCACCTGATTTGAGCAAGAGACCATGAGGAAGAGGCATTTTCGGGACATATAGTTGTTCCTGTAATTCTGGTGTCATCCTACACAAAAAATCGCCACAAAAAAAAGTGCATAGACGTACATACATTAATAATGTGTGGGTTTGTTTCTATTCTGTACTCTCACCATTCTCCACAGATGTTTGCATATTGTAGACTTCGATTTGCCATTGGCCCAACCATGTAGATTGGTATTTGATGAGTTTCGTGCCCAATCTCGACACCTACTGACAAGAGGTAGTTGCGAATCTCACCGATCAAGTCAAATATAATACCCATTGTTGGGATCGGAAACAATACATTGCCCCTTGCTTGAAGAGCTCTCCCTATGATTTTTTTTTAAAATAAATAAATAAAATAATAATATTATTACTATTAGCGTTGGCCCAATTGTTAAAAAAAAAAAGAAATGAAATGAAATTAAAAAGAAAAATCTACATGTATTGGGTTTTATTCTTCTTAATGTTATCTTTAGTTTGGCATACCTATGTAGGACATCATCTTGGCTTTTGAGCGTTGGAAAGAAAGATCAAGGTGAGATTGGTTTGTAAGATCACTGACGTGAATCACATCCGCATTTTTTAAAACAGAAGTGTCAAAATCGAGAGGGTGGAGTCCGGTGACCAGTGATGAAGAGGACAAGAAGACAATCTTTTTGTAACTTGTTTCTAGTAACCAATTTGCACTTCCCAAAGAATGGCCTGAGCTGTGTGCTTCGAGACGTAGTGTCGAGAAAAGAGTCTTTTTACAAAGCAAATATCAATCTAAATATTATATATATATATATATATATATATATAATTCATCGTTTTTTTTTTTTGGTTGATTGGTTGGTTGTTGTTTGGTGGCTCACCAATGTCTCTGTAAATCTGACGGGTTGGATTTTTTCAATGCAAGAAGCAATTTCTTTCATAGTGTAAAGTGAGCGCCATCCTTGTTCGATACAAGATTGTCCCATTGCACCCAGTTGAGAAAAGTGGGTTGAGGATTTCGGGGCAATTGATGTTATGGAGTGTCCATGATAGGAAACCAGTTCTTCCATACGATATCTTCAAGTGTACATATATATATATATCATATACATTAAATTATTCAACAAGATATCTTAAAGATACATATATATATATAACAAATGTGGAAATGGAGAGCCTTTCTTATTTTATTATTATTGTATTTTAATAACTCACCTTGCAAACTCAATTGTAGGCTCAGTAGCAATGATTTTTCCTTTATATCCAAGATACTCGGTCAAAAAAGGCAGACCGAGCATCAGTTGCGAATTAGCAATGATGACTAGATCAATGCTGTGAACATCTACAAGACTAAAGTCGGCTATTCTGAATACGCATCGATCCTCACAATTGTCAAGTTGTGAGCTAGCCAGAGAATAGTTTGTGTCGTTTGCACTTTTTCTGGTCTCATCATAACTCGACAGGATTGACGAGAGTGTATTTATGGATGATGGTGGTTGTGGGTAAAGAGGTTGGGTAGCTGGACGTGCAAATGCACTCAGGGCAGTACTTTCGAGAGGACAATTTAACAGGATTGTGTGTTGTCTAATCTTTACTAAGAATGTATTTTGGGGTGCTCCCATGCGATCGATGCATTGTATCTTCATTATCCTACTTTTCTCCTTATTTCTTCTTCTTCTTCTTTTTATTTTACTTTCTTTTTGTTTTGTTTATCTAATGTCTGTTACTAGTTTTATTGACTTGTTTCACTTTGAGTATGCAATTTATATTTGCATATTAATAGGAGGGGAGAAAAGGACGAATGGTTTGCATGGCTGGGTGGCTTGTGAAAGGGTGAATAGAGTCACGCCAATAGAGATTAGAGTTAGGTTTGACATCTCATTTGATAAGTCTGCCAAAAAAGAAAAGAAAAAAAAAGTAAAGCAATTCTTGTTAGATCTTCATCAGCCATGTATTTGATGTACTATTTGAACCCCCAGGGCGAGCGTGTCTACACACTCAAGGTAGTGTAGAATTTATGTGTTTTATAGAAACCAATATATATATATATATATATATATATATATAACGAACTGGAATAAAACAGAAAACTGGTCCTTCTGGGTTCCCAACAAAGTCAGCACATCCTGCTCGCTTCTCTCCTGATGACAAGTTCTCCCGTCAACGCATTACAATCAAGAAGAGATACAACATCTTGTTGACCCAGCTTCCTGCCCGTGCTATCTAAAAGGCGCTCGTTCTTTCTTTTCTCTATTTTAAATCAATTGTCTGTCTAGACAAGAGAATCTTCACAAAATAGCAATAGTGCAAGACCATAGAAAATTTCCTTTTTATTTTATTTCGTCTTCAGTATATAGATAGATATATAGATATGTACTTGTATTATACATGGCTTATAATTAATGTTCCTGATTTATTTATTATTATTATTTTTGACGAGTGTGCGTATATATATATATATATGATGGTATCTACAGGTTTGTATACATATTTAATAAAGAAAATAAAATAAAATAAAAAAGAAGAAAAGGGGTGGATCTTGGTTAATGCTCTCAAGTAAGATATATGTGACTGGTAAGCTGTGTCAATCCCAAAGGTTGTGTGTCTGTGTGTCTGTGTAGTAATGTCTGTGTGTGGTAGTTATTTTTTATTTTATTTATTTATTTTATTTTTAAAAAAAAAGTAGTCTTTAATGTACTTGATCTCCTAAACCATGGCCAACTCAAAGTATGAATATGTACGCCATTTCGAGACTGTGGACAAAGTTTTGCCCAACACATGGCTAGTTGTGCGAATTGATGGTCGAGGATTCCATCGGTGAGAGCAAGATATTCATTATTTTCTTTTTTTATGTATATATGTATATATAAAGCTTAAAAAAATATTCAATAACAACAATAAGATTTTATTACTATTGCTTTGGTTATTGGTTATTAAATTAAACAAATTCAAATTAGATTCTCTCAGACTCATGAATTCCAGAAACCCAACGATCGAAGAGCATTAGAGTTGATGAACCAATGTGCGATTGAGGTTATGAAAGATATTAAAGATATTATTCTAGCCTATGGACAAAGTGATGAATTTAGGTAATAAAATAAACTACAGTAATAAATAGTAATAGTAATAGTAATAGTAATAGTAATATATAAAAATGTTTTAAATTTAATTTAAATTAAATTTAAATTAAATTAAATTAAATTAAATTAAATTATATCTTTATGTGCATACTATGGCTATGTACATATTATGTGTGATATTCATGTGGTAACTGTATCTAAGTATATGCCTTTACTTCTATTATTATTTTATATAGTTTTGTTCTTCCAAAGTCTTGTAACTTGTATTCACGAAGAGCGAGTAAGATTGCTTCAACAGTGGCTAGTCTGTTTGCAGCAAACTATGTAATGCACTGGGGAAAATATTTTGGCGATCATAAATTGCAATATGCACCTTGTTTCGATTCTCGTGTTGTGTGTTATCCAAGCGACCAGAACCTACGAGATTATCTCAGCTGGCGACAAGCAGATTGTGAGTATAAATATTAAACTATTTTGATTCTACTTTATACTGAAAATATCACTCTATATGATTACAGGCCACATAAACAATCTATACAATACAACCTTTTGGGCAATCGTTCATTCTGGCAAGACTGAAATCGAATCCGAAGAGATCTTGCGGGTAAGTTTTTTTTTTTTTAGATTGTTACATTCTTATATAGTATCTTTTGTATTGGCTGTTTAGAAAGAACATTATATATAGAATGCATAGACGCCATTATACTTTTTATTTATGTACAAACATTCTAGGGAACATTCTCAAAAGATAAGCATGAGATCCTCTTTACCAACCACAATATCAATTACAATAAGCTTGAGGATATTTACAAAAAGGGTTCTACAATTATTCGAAAAAAGGTAGAGTTTTATTACGATTTCGATCACAAATGTAATTGTGATTATTGAATGCTGGATACTTTGTTGCAATATAACTAGACTCTGGTGACATCCATTTCTCCAAATACTGGAAAGCCGGTAGAACGTACAAAGCTTGTTCCCTGTGCACTTTATGATGATATTATTGGACAGGAATTTTGGGACACCTATCCAGAACTGTTGAAGGAGCGTTAGAAGAAAAAATAAATAAAATAAAATAAAATAAAAGAAAATTTACATTTACATTTACATTTGATCCGTCCTGTACGTAAAAGATATATATATATATAAAAAGACTATTTAGGAAGTCTCCTCAAATATCTGGGAAACTGTCGAGGATATAGCATGCATGAACTGTAAAACTTGATTACGCAAGTCTTCTATTTAAATACAGCATATACATTTATACATGTAAATAATAATAGCAGAGAGAAAGACTTGCCTTGACTTTCTTCCATAATTGGAATCTTATCAAGCTCATTCTGTACTTGTTCCAGAATCTTCCTGTCGTTCTCTTCCAATCGTTTTAATAGGGTTTCTTTAAAGCTCTCTATAGATCGAATAATAGAATCCATGTTCTCTATGTACATGGATATATTATATATTGTTGTTATTCTGGAAGCACAGTGAAGATATAAACCATCTACAGAAACTATGAAAAAAAACAATTATGCCTTTGATAGAATCATTTCGCTTCTTGATAAAAGATTCGACCTGGGTATGCAAAGCAGCCAAGTCTAGGCGTTCCAATTCGTCCGTTATTGATCCATAAGGTTTTTTGATGGATTCTTCTTCTTCGTCTTCTTTATAAGTATTAATTAATTTATTACGAGAACAAATATCTTTTACAAGACACAAGCATATATACATATATACATATATATATATATATATATATATACAGTGATAAAGTGCTCACCATTCATGATATACGTGTGTGTGATATTAATAAGAATATTAGTAAATGAAGAAAGAAATACAGAGGATTTATTAAATAAATTATTAATTAATTAATTATATTATATTATATTGTATTGTATTGTATGCATGTATGTATGTATATATGTATATATGTATGTATGTGTGTATGTGTGTATGTGTGTATATTTAGAGACTTCTGCTGCCAGACGGGCCAAACCATTGACTGCTGCTATTGTGCAGTTTACTGGCTTTGAGCACTTCACGTGCCATGGTCACATCGCTCATGTGGCTCGAGGTCCGGATACTGTTGCAGTGAATGACAGTAGATGCAAATTCTGAAAACGGTCTGTCGTCTTCTACTCCGGGTTCAGAATTTGAGCTACCAGAAGCCTGCTGTTGGTCTATAATGACAACAGTTTCGTCCGATCCGTTTGATCCGTCCGATCCGTTTGACCCATGCGACTTCTACCCACACATATACACAAAAGGATATAATAAAGAGAGAGAGAAAAAAGACAGCTATTTAATATTCTTTACACAAATTACACTCGTACTCGTATTCGCACTCGTACACATAAAGAGAAAGAGAAGAAAGAGTAGAAAAGATGGTCCTTTATATATATATATATAATTGACTAATTGTGGCTGTGGATAATGTTTACCATTATTGGACGTGAATTGAGTCTTATTGTGGTGCTTGAGTCTGGATGATCTTCATAATTTGTTTGCATCTGGCGAAGTCTGGAGAATGTGGACGGCCCTGCATCTGGCGACTCTGGATAGTCTTTTGCCGGGAATCTCCAGACGGCGGAATGTTGCTTTTGCTTTTGCTCCCAGAGATCAACCTCGTCCACGCCTCTTCTGCGCTCGGGGTCGTTGAGAATCTCAGCTCGAGGCACCAGTGTCAGGGGCGATCGATCCATGGGCACAAAGGTTGATATGAACTGGATCGACGGGCTTGACGGAGACGCCGTCTGACCCGATCTGTGTAGCAAGCGTGATATCCAGCTGTCATTTAGTATTTTGTTGTTGGTGTTGTTGATCGTGTAGGTTTCCTTGTTAGCCATAAGATCTCGAGCCGAGTTCTCAAACGACAGTGTCTCACGGCTGGTGGCAGACCGGACAGACAGCCAGGGCAGAATACGGGACAATGGTCTTGCTGTATTTCCTGGTGTGGATTTTGTGGTGTGTGGAAAGATGGAATGTATAGTTGGACTGGGTGGGTGGCTATTATTGTCATTATTATTATTATTATTATTATTATTATTATTATTGGTATTATTGGTATTGTTATCGCTATTGTTTTGGTTGTATCTGTGGCTGTTGATGTGGCTGGTATTGTCATTGGCTTCTCTGCTCTTTGGGTGGTACTTGCGCCGGTAACACATAAATAGACTGAGAACAAGACCGCTCGTACAAAAAAGCATACCCAGGACAGCAAAGATCAGTAACAATGGCCAGAGATACCTTGCCTGGTCCCAGCTCTGGAGTGGGAAAGGTAGCCTCGCATTTGGATTGCTTGTCTGAATCGATGATGGTAGTGATGATGATGATGATAATGATGATGTTGTTATTAGTGATGAGTGGTGTTGATGTTGATGTTGATGTTGTGATATTGATTTTGATATTTCTATTGATTCTGATTCTGATTTTGATTGTGATTTTGATTTTGATTTTGATTTTGATTCTGATTCTGATTGTGTTGGTAAAAATGACAAAGATATTGATGATTGTGAGTAGGTCGGCGGCGGCGGCGGTAATACCGAAATTACGGCAGATGCAGTTGAGTGAGGCACAGTGACAGTGGTAGAGTGTGTTAGAGTAAGAGTGACAGGTGTAAATGAGTGTAGAGATTGACTGGTTAAGAGCGGGAGGAATTCGTCAAGAGAAAAGAGGTTCTCAGTGAGAGCCATGAGAGCAATAAATGAATCTAATGAATGTAATGGGATAAATGTTTGGTTTGGCTTGGCTTGGTTTGACTTGGTTTGGCTTGTTCGATTTCTTCGTTACTTGTTTGCTGTTAAATGTATATACTTGTATAATATTAAATTACAAAAAAAAAGAGATAGAGAGAGAAAAGAGAAAAGATTGGAAAGAGATGTTCTCACAGAGGGAACTTGAACTTTAACGTTGCGATTATGCCTGAAAGTTGAAGATAAATGTTTATTTGAATATTGTCATGGAAGAGAGATATTAAGATGCAGATGGGAATTTACAATTATTAAGAATGACGGAATGCGTTGTCTGACTGGACAAACAATGTAACAAAAAGGTTACAATAAAAAAAAAGAAATAAAGGTTGAAATACAGGGAAAATAAAGAAAAGAACAAGGTAATGAAGAAGAAGTAGAAGTAGAATAAGTAGTAGGGTAAGGTAAGGTAAAGATATATAATATATAATATGTATACAAATGCTATTCTCTATGACTTTGGAACAGACTTGCTGCTCTCAGGTGTTGGATCGGCACTCTGGTCGGTGATGGGTTGTGATTGAGGATGAGGTTGTTGAGTTGTTGTTGTAGTTGTTGTTGCCGAGGATTCGGTGGGGGTTGGTCGCTTAACACGAATGAGTTGAGGAAGATCTTCCTTTTCTTGGAGATGCTGGCTGTCATGTTTTCGTCCTACTTGAACGTTACTCTCGGGCTGGGACAGGTTGTTGAGATTGACGACCGCGACTTCTTTGTTTTCATAACCAATCGCAGGCTGCTCGACAAGGTTGGGTAGGCCGTTGAGAATGGCACGGTCGTTATTGGCCTTTAGGAATCGTCTAAAGTGGCCCAGACTGCTCTTCTTCTTTTCGGGCTGGGCTGCAGAATCTCCGCCGTGGGTTGCTTGTGGGGATGCACTGACATCGCTGCTTCCGCTTGCAGAGCAGTTTTGTCCAAGCTGCTCTTCTTCGAAAGGAAGGTAACCGTAGGCACGTTCGCCCATTTCTGCCCAGTCAGTACCGATCAATTCGTCTTCGTCGTTCAATCGAAGGCGGAGGAAGGGAGTGAGGTTGATGACGATCAGGATAATGTAACTATTAAATGATTTGTTAATCATATATATATATATATATGTATATATAGTGTTCAACTTACGTTACAACAAAAGACCAGGCAGAAACAGAGCCGATTGCAGCAAGTTGGATGGGAACCTGCATCCAGTGACCATCTAACCAACCACCCTTGGGAAGGGAGTCCCAGGGAGTGTCATCAGGGTAACCGAGAGCAATGATTGAGCGCTGGGCAAAGATACCAGTGAGAAGTAGACCAACAAGGCCACCGATGTAATGCACTAAAATAAAATAAAAAAAATATTGGTTTTAATTTTAATAAAAGAAGCTTAACTAGATAATAATTCTTTGATTGTTATTTACCTGCAAATACATCAAGTGCATCGTCGAATCTGTATTTGTGTTTGTATTGGACTGCAAGGTTGCAGACAATGGATCCCAGAGCACCAAAGGCAAGGGAACTGCTTGGGGAAACAAATCCAGATCCTGGGGTGATTGTTGCCAGACCAGCCACGGCACCGGTGCAGAGACCAATGATACTCCACTTGCGAGTGTGTCTGTAATCCATGAGAACCCAGACGATTGCACCAACGCAACCCGAAAGATGGGTATCGATTAAGGAGTTTACACTGCGGGCATTTGCGCCCAATGCACTTCCTGCATTAAATGCAAACCAACCTATATGTTTTTTTGTTGTTGTTGTTGTTGCTGTTGGTTACTAATGTATATAATATATATATATATATATATATAAAGATTTTTTTTTTGGTTTGAAGACTTACCGAACCAAAGGAGAGCCATTCCAAGAAATACAAAGGAGACATTGTGAGGTGTATTAACGTTTTGGTTGTAATCTCGACGTTTGCCTAGAACTACAGCATATGCGACTATTGTAATAAACAAGTTTTTGGGTTTGTTTTTTTAAGGTTAAACAAAACAAATGCGTGTATAAATATAAATATAAATATAAATATAGTTGTTATTTTTATTTTTATTTACCTGCAGCTAAACCACTTGAAATGTGCACAGTGATTCCACTAGTGAAACAAATACCAAAAACAAAAGAAATAAAGGTTAATTTTATTTTATTATGGTGAGCTATTTAATATTTTCTTACCCTGCATAGTCCATAACGCCCATGACAGCTAACCAGCCATTTGGAGACCATACCCAGTATGTGATGATGTCTATTGAAACAATAAGAAACAAATTAATATACAATATAATATTTAATGAATCAATGATTTACCATAGACAAGAGTAGTCCACACAAAGATAAAAAGCATAGCTGGTCCAAGCTATATATATATATATATATATATATATATATATAAAGAAGGTTTAGAGATTATGCTAATAAGCATGTGTTTTTTTTTGTTTGTTTGTCTTTCTGTACAGCAAATATTTAAACTTACAGACATGCGCTCTGCTGCAGAACCAAATGCGAGGGCTAAGATAAAGGTATAAAATAAGTAAATTAATTACTGGCTGGACTAATACAAAAGGAAGCAAAAAAATAACAATGCAGCAGTAATGGTTTGTAGACTGCATTGGTTCTATTTATTTATTTAAATCTATATGTATGTATGTATGTATGTATGTATGTATGTATGTATGTACCTGGCGTAAGACATGCGAACATGGCCTGAAATATCATAAAGGCTGAGGCTGGAATTGTGTGCGATGCTATTTGAGGAAGTTCTCCGACTCCACGAAGTAAAAAGTGAGCTATGTAATTTTTTTATTTTTTTAAAAAAAAACGTAATTTAGTAATTGGTGCGATAATAATAATAATAAAAATATAGATAAATAGATAGATCGACAAAATTTACCTGAATCACCAATAAAGACACCGCCAGTGTTGGAAAATGTGAGCGAGTAACCAATCAAGTACCACTACCAAAAAAGAAATAAACGGAAATCTGTTAATAAATACGTCCAATAAAAAAAAAGTTTATATATATATATATATATATATAATAAAAGGAGAGTGCTTTACTTGAAAGGAGACGACTGCTACTGATAGGACGGTGAGGTACATTAATGACAATGCGTTTTTTGCTCGAGCGAGTCCAGCGTAAAAGAATCCTAGTGCAGGTGCCTAATATATATATATATATAAATGCTTAAAAGTTTAATACATGTATTATTTAAGATATTTATTATCTAAATAAATAAATAAAAATCTAACCATCAAAAAGACAAAGGTAACGCAAACCAAGACATAAGCTGTGTCGCCCTTGTCAAGAAGCATTGAAGGAGTGGGATCAGCCATTTGAAAAGAAAAGAAAAGGAAAGAAATGAAACGAAATGAAATGTAATATAAGATAAATGTAAATTGATGTAAAGAAAAGAAAGAAAAAAAAAGGGAAACAAAAGGGCGCCTTTATAAAGGATTTCGATATCTGTTTTTTTTTAATAGAACGGAGTTGGGGGGTGGGGGGTTAGGTCTGACAGACAGAGAAACAAAAGAAAGAAACCTTGACAGGCGATTATCGCTCTTGCTTAATTCGTATGTTGCTTGAGATAAGAAAAAGATAAATGATAACGAAAATCTATGCAAAAGATAGGAAACCCGCGGAAACCTGAGAAGGGGAATCAAGGTTGTAGTCTGTGATTGGCTTGCACCTTTGCTTTGGTGCTGCTAGTCTTCAAATTTTAAGGACCAGATTGAACCAACATATATACACACATTTTGTATAATAATCTTTAGAATAAGAAAAAAGTTGCGCTTTTTTTTTATTGTATTGATAAAATAGACAATAGAACACAATAATTAAATTGTCGATTGTCGATTATCGATTTATTACTATTGATCTTCTTTAACTCGTATAATATACTATATACTATAGACTATATATTATGCATTTATTACAAGTCTTTTGAAATGTCAGTGTGATGAGCCAGGGATGTAGACACAAAGCTCATGAAACGCTTTCCATACACAGCTGGTTTCACAGACGATATCGAGTTCTTGTCTTGGGTCATGGCCTTGAAAAAGTGCTCCGATTTTTTCTTGATGTCGTACGGTGTTAATATGTCAATGATGCCCATGAAATAAAGAGTGGGTAGAGGACGGTTAGACTCATCTGTAGCCTGGAAACCACCTTCATTCGAATAAAAAACACAGTTGCTACGTCTTTAAATTCCATTTATTAGATACAGCAAAATTATTTTTATACATTTTTATATTCAATCAATCAGTTCACTATAGTTTATCTTATCCTAAAATACATCTGTAATATTATTTTGTGTAGATAACACTTACTCATCAAACAGGCCATCAGGCAATTCGGATACATCCAGAGGATCTGGGTTTGCTTCAGCGATCACTTTACGGAATACGTCTGCCTTGCTCTCCCTTCGTTTCATCATCGATGCCCGTCGCTCAGCAGACTTTGTGTCTGGCTATATAAATAATTAAATATTTAAATAAATATTTAATTTTTATTAATAATCTCATTCATACCTGGAAAAACTGAAGTGTAGAGTCTCGTACGTTGTCCTTGTTACCACGGATCATGTCATGCACTCCAATCAAAAGACTATAGTCCATTATATTCAATCCGACCAGCAACTGAGAATAATAATCGTAATCATAAAACAAATAAGATAAATTAATTAGCTCAAATAATAAAGGCACAATGGGTCAACCGAATCCAAAATCAAGATCAAAATCAAACCGAACCGAACCAACTCAAATAAAAATATCAATTGTTATTTGTGTGTGTATATTGTTCAGTTGATCAAATAATAATACTAATAATAATAAAAGAAATTATCGGTATCGGTATCAATAAGATTGTTAATATTTATCACCTTGACATCTCGTAAGAGTTGAACTACAAACATTCGCCGCTTGCTAGGTCCCAACTGTAGCTCTTTTGCACGCTTCTCCCAATTCAGGTCCTTCATGACTGCGTATGGGTTCTTTCTTATCTCTTCTTCTGCCAAAAACCGACCAAATGTTGAACCCTTGTTTTTTTGGAATTGTGATATATACAGAATTGACAAAAACAGATTAGCATTTTTTGGGGGGGGATAAGGAAAGGGTTTAAGAAAATTAAGAAAGAACCAAAAACAGGAAAAATGCCTCTGATGAGATAGTATGAGAGATGACTTTGGCTTCTTTTGGTCTGGTTCTGGTTTTGGTTTGGATTTTTAGCTTTTTAGATTTTTAGCTTTTTAGCTTTTTGGCTTTTTGGCTTTTTGGCTTTGGATTTAGCTATAATTTGTGTTTTGTGCTTGACTATTTTTTATTGCATTTCCCTGGTCATGATTTCTTCCCTTTTTTTTTCTATATATATAAAAGAAAGAAATGTATAGAAATGTATTAAGGTTCTTACTTTCAGGTCATACGTTTCATGAATGTCCTTGTTTGGTGGGAACACATTTCCCATGACTACAAAGTGAATCTTCCTTCCATGAGGGAGTTTGACACGATGAAGGCCATAATATCTGCAAAGAAGGGTATTTGGATTTCTACACACGTGCTGTAGAGTGAGAGGTTTTTTTTTATTTTTTTTTAATTGTTATCGATTGTCATTTAGTAATGATAATAGTAATTGAGGTAAATAAACGTAAGAAAGTATATCATCTTACATCATGATACTGCTTCAAGATCTTTCTCATAAAAACATGCTCTGTACGATGGATCGTCTTGATTATAAACCTGTAATCGCGTGAATAATAAAAGAAGCTCCCACTCTTTCCAGGTGAGCCCAGTTCAGATAAGATGTATTTGCTAGTCAGGGATATCTAATCATTACCAAAACAAGAATATTATAACAACCAACAAAAAAAAACATTAGATCTTTTTTTATTTATTTTATTACGACCAAGATAATCTCTCTTGTGTTCATCGATAACAGATGAAGACAAAAAGGAAACTTGGATACTAAAGAATCAAGAGCCATAAAAAGCAAAAGAGAAAAAAAAAATGTACAAGAAAATGTTTGTATTTATTTATTTATTTTTAAAAACAAAACATATAAACTTTTCTTCTTTTCTTCTTTCTCATTTTTATTATTTTTATTGCGATTTTTTTATTTTTACGATTTTTTGTTTGTTTGTTGCGATTTAAACTTCTTAAATAAACGTAGAATTTCCAATACAAAAAAAAAACGTACCAAATAATCAGCAGGGTCAATTCCAAACTTTTCTCTCAAATGTCGAAATGCCCAAGGTGCATAGTCTTTAAACTTGAAATCATATTTTGCTCCAGGAGTCAATTCATCACCTGTACTAATCTTAGAAGAAAAAAAAAGTATCAAAAACCCAATTGAAAGAAATCATATCTTTGATTTTCATTCCTCTTTGATTTTCTTTTTTCTTTTTGACAAACACAGAAAAAGACTTACACATCAAATGCAAGTTTATGAGCTGCTTTGAAATCAACGTCTTCAATTGGCCGACTTGTCTTTGCAGACACTCTTCCAACTGCAATCCGTATACCGGTCAGCATATTGTACATCAAAACATAATTCTGATGTCCCTCTGATATCCTTGTCCCCATCATCACCCTATCTCCACCTCCTGTTCCAGCTCCAGTTCCTGTTCCTTCCCCGTATTCTTCATCTTCATTATCATCAGCATACAAGGATCTGTGGCGTGACCATCGTCGGAATGCTCTACGCCGGGCACTAAGCTCTCTCTCAAAGTCTTCAGACAATCGGGAACTAGTCGTTGCAGCAACATCTGGTCCGATAGTGTGGTTACGGGAAAGCTGGCGGGAGTGACGTTGGAGGAAAGAATGGGTAGAATTACGCTTGGGTGTTCCATTACTATTGTTATTGTTGTTGTCATCAATTGTTCGGATAGGCTCAGTATGTGCCCTGTCAATATTATGTTCCCTAGGTCGGGGAGCCAACTGGTTGTCTTTTAGACTATTGAGCGGAAATGGTCGATTTGGAACGGCTTCTGTTTGTACTGTTTTTGGTGATTCCACAGACCAATCGAGATTTCCATTCTTTTTATTCTCCATTCCAATGTCCATTGTGCTGGATGACGCATGAGAAAGATGATCGGCATGTAATTGATCCTCAAGCATTGTGGGAGCTGTCTGGACGTAAAGCGACATAAAGAAACAGCCGATAACAGCTATTACTATTGCTATTATTATATTTCTTGAACAACAATAATGATAATCAAAGAAGTTGATCGTTTATAAAATAAAGACTAATTAAACCAGGTGCGCCTCTCTTTCTCTTCCTTCCTTTATATATATATATTATATCTTTGTGTGTGTGTGCTTCTGTGCTTGTGTGCGTAGTATAATATAGTATATTATGGTGTGGTGTAGTGTAGTGTAGTGTAATATGTATCGAGAGAGATATTTTTCGTTCTGTTTTTACAAAATAAAATAGAGAACAATAAAATGTATTACGGGTTAATAATAAATGACAAACAATATATTCAGCCTTGTTGATTAGAACAAAGAATAAGACCAAGGAGAGGTAGAAAGGATAGTGTAGTCGAGGACAATAAGAAGGTGGATTGACAATATCAAGAGAGAATACACAGAATAATAATCAGTCTTGTCTTTCATCCACGTGTCGAGTGGACATATAGGAGGGAAGACTATAATTTTTTTTTATATAGCGTGTGTATGTATTTCTTTCTTTCTCTCTCTTTTATATATATCATTATCTGATGTCTCTCTTACTAATATAAAATATATAATATATATATATAGTGTGTGTGTGTGTGTGTGTGTGTGTGTGTCTTGTTTTGGTTCAAAGGATTATCTTGTTAAAGTGCACCGATACGATGGGCTCGCCATGTTTGGTATCCAGTACGACGATAGAAATCAACAGCCTCAACCCAGTCCACAAAAGATCTCTTGACTCCGCGCGCCTTCAGGACCTCATTTGCATAAGCAACAATCCCCAACCCAATTCCACGGCCACGAGCCTCTTTGGCCACTCCAACACACGCCATTCCTCCACTTCGGGCTCCAAACAGACTGTCATCCGTCCAGATCAGATCAGACCGCAGCGGGTGAGACACATTTGTCGTATTCAGCACCAGAGAAGCTATGATAGGCCCTTGGCTATCCTTCTGCCGCCCAACAATCAAATCCTGGAAGTCGCCCAGGTAAGCATGGTGCTGGTAAGTCGACACCCAGAATGGAAAGTACTTCTCCTGAAACCCAATCAGGGCCTCTAGCTGATCTGGCAGGATGCGCCCAAACCAAATGTCTTCAGAAGCCATGCGCTCCTTAATCGCTTTTGGGGTCTCGTAAGTCTCAAGCCCATCCATCATAAGATCCCACACGATATGTCTAAGCTTCCATCCGCGGTGCCCGAAAAACTTCCGGCTTTTTGGCCCGTCCACATCCTCCTCCTCAGGAACGCCAGGGAAAAACCGAGGATATGTCGATCCAAGGCGAAAATGCGTCGCTCCTTGCTGCGAAAGTGTTGCCAAGGCACGGTCGTGAAGACGACTACCGATACCCCGCGACTTGTACGGTGGTAACACCATCAGCAATCCCAACTGGCCATCATTCGTTGCTCGAATGTATTGGGTTGCCACAAAGCCAACGATCTGTTTTGTCGTGCCATCCTGGCAAACAAAATGAGCCGGATCGGACATGCGATCCAGGACGTGCTCAAACATTGCACAGGAAAGCGGCAGAGCTGCAAAATTGGCATTCCACATCTCCCAAATAACCCCAAGATGATCACTTTTTATATAGGGGCTCACATCAAATTGGGGGCTAGGAAGGGTAACCGGCATTGTGTTTGTGGTTTGGATTTCGCCAACCAGCAACTTGACAGCTGCCTCAAGTGCGGGCGGATTGTATTCAAATGTAACCACATACGTATCGATATCTGGAAAGACAGTCAGATCATATGGATTCATTGCTGCAACTACCACAAGTCGTTTGGAGAATATGTAGGCCAGCCGAACCACCTTGGCCTGGAACGGATAGAGATTTGCATTTCCAGTCCCAACAATCACCAGATCAGCTTGTTTAATCTTGTCTGGCAGATCAGGAGGAGTTGATTCGTCAAACAGGATACACTCTGCATCCGGAAACCGCTTCTTTAGAGACTCTTCAAATGCCTTGAATGGTTCCTCCTCCGAGTCGATTGCTAGGGTCACTGGTACCTGAGCACCCAAAAAGAGGATTTTCTTATAAACATGGTTGGCTTGAAGTGGAATGGTATTACGGTTATTGCGCACCACAGTCGGGACTTTGTCGTACAATCTGTTGCTTAGTGCAACATGCTTTGGTGAGCCAACCACATCAATAGAACGCTTCTCGAGTACTTTGGGCCAAGACAGGTACTTGTCCTTCAAACTCGCGACTCGGTCGATAGATGCCTTTAGTAGCTTGGGATCAAGATCCTTTGATTCAAGGGCACCGTAAAGGGTCTCAAACGCTTGCTCCTGATACAAAAGTGTGTGAGAGATCATGGCCATGTCATTTCCGGCCTGGAGTGCCATAAGCGCACCCTTTGGAACTCCAATTGTTTCCTTGACGGCTTCCATCTCCAGACAATCTGTGATGATCACTCCATCGTATCCAAGCTGTGTCCGCAGCAAGCCGCCCACAATCTCTGGGGATAGACTTGAGACCTGGTTTGGCTGCTTGACAAGTTTAGGTAAAGACATATGAGCAACCATAATTGAGGCCGGTCGCTGATAATCGTTTTCTACTCCCCCTCCTTTTGATTTGGGCTCGATGACCTTGCGAAATGGCTTGAGTTCGAGTTGTTCGAGATCCCTGAGGGTCTTATTAATCACCGGCACTCCTGTGTGGGAGTCAGTGTCTGTATCACCATGGCCGGGAAAATGTTTAGCGCTGGTGGCTACACCGTGGCGCTGGTGTGCTTCAATTTGTGCCATGCCAAGTCGGCCTACGAGCTCCGAGTCTTCGCCATAAGACCGTACACCGATCACAGGATTCAGTGGGTTGTTATTGACGTCCAAAACAGGCGCTAGGTTCCAATTGATTCCCAAGGCCAGAAGTTCGTCGGCTACCATGCCAGCCACGGCCTGGGCTGCTTCTAAATTGTTGATCGCACCAAGAGCCATGTTACCTGGAAAATAGGTTCCGCTGTGGCCCAATCGCCGTACCACGCCGTTCTCTTGATCCATTGCTATTAACAGTGGACGTGCATGGTTGGCGTTCTTTGCGGCTTCTTGCAGCGCACGTGTAAGTTCTTGTACTTGATGAGGCGTCCCAATATTTCGCGAAAACAGAATGATTGCGCCGAGATTGTGATGTTGAATCAGATTGAGGATTCCTTTTGTCGGAGTCAGTCCATCGAATCCACAGATGAGTAACTGTCCAACTGCAGATCTTAAGGGATGATCAGTGTCTTTGGTCATTCAAAACAGTTTACTAAAAATGTTTCTTTTAAAGAAACCAAATAATGGTATATGAATCCTTGGGATATATCTTAATCAAGGTTGACTGGACAAGTCAGTGGATTTAAATAACAAAAAAAAAGATTTTTGGCTTTTTCCTTAATTGCTCTTTATATATATATATATAATTTAATGATTGCGTAAGCTAAACCTTTTCCTGTTGTCTGCAGACCCTGTATTGTAGAAAATAAGCCGCTTGGCGTAACAATGGGAGTCTATGGTAAGAGCATTTATGTACATAAAAAAAAAATGAAAAGGACAGGGTCAATGGATCTCATTTTTTTTTCTCTCAGAAAACTAGGCAGACATTTTTCCTAGGCTTTACTGTCTAACTATCTATTATTAAAACAAAAGAGGGTGAGCGTTTGAGGACCCTGAAAATACTCGGTTTGCAAGTGCTTACAGACAGATAGACAGACAGATGTGTGTATGTTAAGGGAATTTTTCATGATTAAAATTTTATAGAGATTGATCATGAAATGGTTTGTTCAACACAACATCTCGTGCAAGTATTCAAAATTCAGCGCTTGATATTGATGAGAGAAACCAGTATGATTAGCATACGAGTAAAGAATAAGGATTTACAAGTAAATTTTTGTATAGTTGTTGTATTTTGACATATAATATATTCACTCTATCCAATAAAATTTATTCTTTGTATTTACTGATTTATTTTTGCACACAAAACTCATGCATATATATAGTGACAAAAAAAGGGCGTTTTATTAGATTTCATGGTAAGCCATTTGTGCTTTAAGGTGTTGCACGCACACACACACAAACTGAATTTTTCTAAAGATCAAGATATGAAATTATATTTTGAGCTGATATTCGAAGTTGATGACAGTTTAATCCGAACAACACACACACACACACACTACTATCACTTCACCTACCACTCTTTCCCAGCTCAAAGACTTCTTTAACCAAAGGGAGTTGGTCTTTAGTCGGAAAACATCTTTAATCGTTACCATTGACATTGCATAATAAACCTTGAAAAAAAAATAGTAAAAGTATATCAAACTCCATTTATCGTCATAATTATAATGTAAACATAATGCCTTGATCCTCAATACACCAGTACTCTTTTCTTTATTTTTCTTTCAGCTCAAATAATAAAAGCTTTTCTTGATATAAACCATTTGTCAAGCCGTTTCTTAACACATACACAGTGAATTTGTTTTTTTTTCTTTGTTGTACTTGATAAGCATGGCAATAATGAATTTTATATTGTCACGGTTGATCGTAAGTTCCACTACATATACTGCCTTTGTAGCTGAGACCAATAAAAAAAAACAGAGAAGATTGGCCATTGTTTATACCATATTATTCATTTGACCTCAATCCTATTGAAAACCTTTGGGAATACAGTAAGAACAAGCTGTACAAACATAAGAAGCCAGCCGAGCCAACGAGAGAGCTGTGAACCCGCTTCCAAAAAGATTGAGATAGTATTTCAGAGGAGATCTTCCTGAATCTTATGGCACCAATGCAAAGAAGAATACATCGATGAATTTTGAAGAAAGGACATTTTATAAATAAATAAAAATACAAATACAAACATCCCTTACTGAAGAAAATCGGACTCTCGGTTTTTCATAATAACTTGATGTAACTTTCTATCAACATAATAATTATAGCTAATAATATAATATACCATACTTCTTTAACAGACGTCTTAGTTTGCCCAAGAACTACAAAAGATACATAGAAAAAAATGAATTTCTTCTGAACGGAGTCCGGTTTTTTAAGTGCACTATATAAGCCTGCTGATTCTATAGTATTATGGGGTACATGATAGCCGAAATAGTCCACGCAGAATATTACAGAAATTTGGTACAGCAGCAAATCTGTGGCTTCAAAATATATAGAAACCATATATTTTGATTGTAACATCAAATTATATAAATCATCTAACAATTATGTTTGAATATATGAAGAAGAAGAAGAAGAAACGAATGATATAAAAACGAAGGTGCCAAAAGAACCCAAAGTTATGGGTAATGTGGGTCAACACTGGAAAGAAAAATCTGTGTAGTGAGCGAAAATTCACAGTACTTAACTCGCTGTCTAGAGCAAAGATGTATGTATGTGTGTGTGAAAGAGCCATGGTGACTGTCTTAGTACACAGACACAGTAGGTTCTATTCATGTGATGACATACTTGTTGGCAAAGAAGCATGGGCTGGTCTCACAGCAATGCCGCCTGTAAGATTTGCTTCATGTGATTGGATATATATTCATTCCCGACAGTCTTGACGCAAAGACCCTTTTTTTGTCTTTTTGCCTTTTTTTTAAAAAAAAAATTATAATTCTTGTCTGAAAATATACATTTATTATTATTATTATTATTATTATTATTATTATTATCAGTATTTTGTGTTTATCAGATTAAAGCCTTTAATATTTCTGTTTTATTTTTTTATTACCTTTCTCATCACACTACATCACCAATCAATCTACATCTTATCACTAATGCCGGCAAACGAGCAAGGGCGTTACACACAGCATGCAAACAACAAAAGTGTTACAGCAAAAGACATTGCCAATCTCTACTCCAGTTTGCAATCTGTTATCAACAATGTACATAATACAAAAGAACCCAGACATCAAGATGCCGTTCCACCTGATCTCTTTTTGATTCCCACCAGCAACAGACACACTCTTCAGCGCTGCCTGACAGCTCCTTTGCCAGAGATCTCAGAAGACCATAATAGCAATAGTAAAAATAAAGAGATATCAAACGACCAATCAGACTGTCCATGCCATCATATTCTGGTTTCAGAGCATAGTATGTACTGTGCTTTGTGCGACCGAGTTATTCCAATAGTCGAGCAGTTGCAAAAGGAAAAGGAGGCAGGCTTGCGGGCTATTAAAGAACTCCGTGATAAGATCAAGCTAGAGAACGATCGGGCCAAACAGCATGAGATGACCATTCGTGAGCTCAGCACAGCGGCCAACGATCTCAGCCAGAGTGTCCAGGTGAAATCGCAAGAGCTGACTGCTCTCCGAAGTGATATGGCAAAGTTAAATGAAAAGTATATCGGACAGGTGGATAAGGTTATTGAACTTCAGCTGGCCAAAGACGCTGTGGAGAGTGAACTTGAGGAATTGTCCCGCAAGTTATTTGAGGAAGCCAATGGTATGGTGGCTAACGAAAAGAGAGAGAAGCACAAGATCGAGGTGGCCTATGAACACCTCAGAAAACAACTTACCGAGACACAAGAGCGCCTGTCAACTGAAGAACTCCAATTGAATGAACTGAGGACAATGATGTCGACTATGGATGAGCAGAAACCCCAAGAAGAAGACAAACCCCGCGATCAAAGCAACCCTGACCAGCGACCTTTGCATGATCCCGATCAGAGAGCTGTACGCGACTTGGCCGGCTTGTTTCCAGAGAAACTTGCGGTGGAGCCTAGTGAAGAGGACTCGCTTATGGGTGTGGATCCGATGCTAATGGACATGTTCGTTGAGTTTGTCGAGACTGCTGACCGTGTGCCTCTAAACAAAATCCATGTTGTACCGTTTCTAAAATACAGTCAGCGGGAGGGTGTTGATTCCTGTTTACATTTTGGACCAAACTCACGACTTTCGGTCCGGAAACTCAATGAGGCGATTGTTATGAATACGTGCTTTATCGAAGAAACCCCAGCAGGATATGCAGCCGAGCAAGCTGAACGAATGACAGATGTGCCACTCAAGATCTCTGCTTCCAAAACGATGCTGTGGGAACGTTTAAATGGTGCTGAAGTCGCTACTTTCCGCGGCTGTCAGGCGTGTGGCCGGGAAGACCCTCGCGTGCCATTGTCATACCGGTTCCGGGTTTCATACTTTGACGATTGGGCTTGCATCGATCGGTTCTGCCGCGATAGGCTAGTTGCTGTTTGTGAATTCTATGTTTTTGTTCGCAATGTGCGACAGGGATACTACAACAGCCGCTCAGTCCAGGATCTTTACCACGAGATGATTCGGCTCCGACTACAAATGTTTTACGCAAGGTATAAACAAATAAAAAAATATAGAAAAAAAAATCGGGTCTTGTATGTTGGTAAACAAAGAAGGGCACTAAACTTTATAATATACGTGTTCCATATTTTCTGTCAATTAGTATGGGAGCTTTGTCAGAAACACTGCGACAATTGGGTGTGACAGGTGATAGGATAGGAAAGGCTTCTGCACCAAAGATGAACATTCCTCCACCAACACAGGCACCCAGGGACAGTAGCGAGGTGAATAAGCCATTACCAGAATTTGTGGATAATTCATCGCGATCGTTGAGCCATGACGGAGAAAAAGATCCTGGTACAGTAGCAGGAGGAGAATGCATTGAACCAGAGAGATCAACCAGTGCACCGGCTGGAAATGGAAGACCAGTATGGGCATGATTTGTAAAAAAAACAAAACAACTATAATTCTAATCATAATCACAATCATAATCATAAGAAGAAAACTGATAATAATTATACTAATTAAAGAAGAAGCAGAAGAAAAGGATTATCGAGATTCAAATCTATTTCTGTACAGTCGAACCTGGAAGCTCAATAATTTCCCTTCCTTTCCCTTTCTCCAAAAACAAAAAAAAATTGCTCTCATCGATAAGCATAATAAAATTATATATAATAATATACATATACATATACATATACATATCATAGATTCGTTCTTGAAACTCTAATCAATTCTTTTGGACACGCTCTAAGCTTCTTGTGTTTATCACTTGATTAAATAGCACATACACACACTGAATAAAAATTATAAGCAATTAATAAGCACCTTATTTCTGAAATAGACTTTTGTATATATATATAAAAATGCATTTCATTATTTTACAAATACACACGAAATTACAGGTTTCTTGGTCTTTGTATGACATTGTTCCGATGGAGTGGGATAGCCATAGTACAATGTACTTTTTTCTTTTAACAATGGCTGAAGATGTCACCAGCTGTACCTGGGTGAATGTTCATGCCGCTCATGGACAGACTCGAATTGAGAATCAACGGGCGTTCATATAGGAGTTTAATTAAACGATTTGGTGTTTTATTATTAATAAATGACTAAAGTAAATCTATTATTTTTGATACACACACAAAATGAATAAACTTATGTATGCATTGATGGTGATTTGTTTATTGGACAGTCCAACCGAGGCCGTTTAAAACAATAAGCGTCTTGAGCTTATCGTGTATGACCATTTAGCCAAGAAAAGGAAAAGAGAACTTCTAATTGTTTCTGTCTGTACAAAGTCCATTGTGTAGGTTTCTCATCCTTGTGCCCATCGTGTACTACACGAAATGTTATTGTGGGTATTATCTTCTTGATCATTCCATAACCAGACAAACAACAAAACACACACACACACACACACACATAGTTTTTTTAAACATATTCTTATATTATATATTTATATCTTATGTTGGTGTTTAAAAGAACAATCTAGATCTGGAATGACAGGATATCACAGACCAAAAAGAAAACTATATTTTTATATATATATAGACACAAATGCATGTAATCTACCCAATCTCCAATTCATTTTCATAAATGTTCCACTACGGGAAAAAAAGAGGTGCTTCCGGGGGTTCACTGGGGGTCCGCTCAGGAGGTCGTCCAGTTGGGTGTTTTTCGCCTACCCACTTTTTCACCTCCTGCCTGTTATGGATTAGTTTATAATTCCGCTCTTTAACAAATAACCGCCAGAGAAATTTCTTGTGTAGGAATATAGATGTACCTTACATGCCCATATATAGATACAATTATCTGCGATAAATTCTGATCGAAATAAATCACGGATTTAAAAATGCGTTTTCAAAAAAAAATGGTTCAAAAAAAATTGTGTTTCAAATAAATTGGTTTTTATTTTTTGTTTCAAAGTAGAAAAAAATGCTAAGCTATAGCTACACCATATAATTTATGAGCAGAAATATATAATAAATTAAATCTAGTTATTCTAAGCTAAAGATAGGGTCATGGAGTCTATATCCCTTATAATTCTTGAAGACAAAAGCACCTAAGAGCACCCGTAATAGTGGAGTACAAGAGCAATCTAGTAAAATATAAATATGAATGAGTATTTCCAGTTTAAAAATATAAGTCAAATGAAAGCTTACCTTTGAGTTTGACGAGATGAATTTCATAAAAGTTAGAATCTCTACAAGTAAAAATGAATAAAAGATGGTTAGTATTCAATTACTTTGTAAACTAGGTGTGCAGGTATTACCTCAACTCATTTTGACCAGATGATGAAAAGGCTAATTGTCAGCTAATGAGACCCAAGATGAATAACTGCATTACAAAGTACAATATTGCTTTTTTATTATATATACCTCAAAAACAAGAATATATAGACACGTTTCCTAAAAAGATAATATACTATATGTAAACACACGTAATGAACAAACTTTTGCTGGTAAAGTAGAGTAAGAAACAACGCGAAGGATGTAATCCCACACTTATTCAAAATCGATTTAAAAAATTCTCATTGGTCTTTTGGCTTTTAATACCAATGGTGAAACTCGCAGAAATGTCTTTAAAAAAAATGCTAAGTCATTCTCTCTCGGTTTGCCTTATTTTTATAAGTTAAAGAGGTATGTTCTAATAGCAAATAATTGAAATTACAGCTGTAACTTATTAAAAAAAATATGTGTATATATTTATATCTTCATTGGGTTGAGTCGTGCCTTAGAAGGCTGTCTTTGCTAGACATTCTTTACTAATATTATGTAAGAAATAAAAAAAATCGTATATTTTTTCTTATTTGAAATTTTGACAAAGTCGTTTTATATGCTGAAAATCGTTGCCTTTACCAAATTTTAACAGAATTATTTTTTCATTACACAATACAGCCTCCGCATTTCCTTATTCAATGTTTTGTCTTACTTGAACAGCTTTTTGTTGTGATCAAAAAAGTTTGAAGTAGGACCAAACCTTCTTTCCTCCTTTATTTGGAAGAAAAAATATTCAACTCACGAAATTATAGAAAGAAAAATTCTCTAGGCCAATAATATTGTTTGGGTACCATACCCTACCATATTTGGCTTCCAATTTTTGTGGTGGTGGAATTTTCTGTTTCATTTTGATTTTTTGGTGATTTTTTAATTATTATAGGCCAAAAATGAAGTCACAATTACAAAAAACACCCCTTTTTCCCGTAGTGTTCTCTTTTATATCTTGACCCGAAAAACAGGCTTTACCACCTAGGCCAGGATTGAATACCAAGCTTGAATAATAATAACAAGCCCTTACTCCAATATATATATATATATATTAAGCAACCAACCAATGGATCAAAAAAGAAAGAGAGAGAGAGAGAGAGAGAGAGAGAAAGGAAGACTTGTTAGAGACACTAGGTTGCTGATTTATTTGACTACAGAATTGTCAGGTACAATAAAGCACTTTTGTTTGATATAAGCCCCTGGAAACCTTGCATAACTCCCTCTTCATATCCCTCCATTTTCCCTTTTTTATTCTTATTTTGTTTATTACACTGCAATTACTATTCTTGTGTACAATTTCAACTGTAAAAAATGTATACTGTTCATCCCTCGGCTTAAGTGGTTGTGTCGCGTACTCGTTTTATGATTTAGGCCGATGCGTCTCAACCACAGCCATGACGATGGTCGTACAACGTGCAACTATGAGCTACAGATCATGTTTACCACGTGACTGAATTCAGCTTGGTGGGCACGAAAATGCCAAAATGCAGGTTAAACCTAAAGTGAAAATAAATAAATAAATAAATAAAAAATAAATAAAAATAAACATATATAAAAAGGACTTGGTATATTACATGTTGAGTTTTGAATGGGTTACCTTGTCTACCATTCTTTCCTTTGTAGAGTAACAACGGCAACGACAACAAAAAGCGAAGAATCAGAAAGTTCGACTGCCTGATTGAATTCATTTTGTCTCATTTTACCTCATTCAATTACACATTACTGCACATTACTACGCCACAGCAAATCTCATCATTGTTACATTATGAATAACGGACCACCTCCACCTCTTGGACTTCCTAGAGCCAGTCGAACGGACACAAGATATCGACTTGGTAAATAAATAAATAGAAGTCTATACAGATATATAATTATATTTCTATACATTGAATTGATGAATTGATTATCATAATTACTATCATTCTTACTATTCGTTACACTAGTTGTAGTCCAGAATCCTATTCGAGCACGAAGCTGTGGATTCGGTGAAAAGGACAGACGTCTGATCGATCCACCCCCTATCCTTCAACTATTTGTTGAACAAGACAATGGAGAAATTGTCCGAGTCAGGTAATGGAATATAAAAAATAAATAGAGATTGCTAAAAATAATACATAAAATCCTCTAAGAAAATAAGAAAACACGATAGCAGTATTAAGATTGGGATTATTGACACCAATAATTTAGTCCATCAGATTCAATGTTCTTCCTTGTTCAATGCGATCTTTATTGTGAGAACAAGCTTGAGAATCGTAGTGTTGTGTATGCACCTTGGTCGGTGCCTCTTTCTGGTACAACACACCCATCTACTCCTACACAGGGAAAAGACAGAGAAATTCAAATACAAACCCAAACCCAAACTCCCGGCTCGATGTCGGGCGTTATTTCACTGCGCAAACCCCAATTCCTACGAAATCTAACTGGATCTATAAATTCCAACGCCTACCATCTCATGAATCCTAACAATGAAATGGGTGTTTACTTTATCTTTCATGACCTGTCTGTTCGAACAGACGGTAGATTTACACTCAAATTTATGCTTATGAACCTAGCAGCAGGGTAACAGAAATATATAGACCAGATCTTTGTGAGGTATATATTGTTAACCATGATTATCATATCCTTCTTTCTGGTAGAGAACCATTCACAATGAGTACAAATATCCAGACTGAGATGTATTCTAATCCATTTACGGTGTACTCTGCTAAAAAGGTAATAAATAAATAATATAGAAAGCCCACTAAGATCCTGTTCAGGAATCTAAACGACCATTAGCTCCATGTTGTTAATAACACTAACCTTTTCTTTAAATTACTCCTTTGCCTAAACGAACAGTTCCCCGGAATGACGGGCAAGTTTCGAAAGAAAATAAAAAGACAGATTATTGTTGTGCGAAAAAAAAATTGCGCAAATTTTTCTTTCTTGTTTACGGTGGATGATATATTAACCCTCTTCTTCTTTTTTGTATTCGAATTTTACAAATATTCATTTATTCCAATATCTGTACTTCATTGAAACTGCTCACTCTTTTAGATTCGACAGAGCTCTCGAGATGCTTTGCAAGACAGGGAATCAAGATATCAATTCGAAAAGAAAACTCTTATAAGAGAACGTCTGATAAATACTACACTGCGCCAAAGACGAAAAAACGTACAGAAAATCAAAAGATGATCGATACAGACAATATTGGAGATTCTGGTAACACCTGCTCCTCTCCTCAACTGCCACCCATTCGTAGATCTGTGTTTGGTTCTTCAAATGAATCTATTTCTACAAATTTCATTCCCTCCATACCTTCCATAGTGTCTATCCCTTCTATCCAATACACACGTATTCCTATAGCAAATGTGCTTTCGCCGATCGTTGACGACGATTAAGAATATCATCAAGAAACCAAAACATCTTGAACCTTGTACATACAGACGCACATATTCCTTACCAACAGCATGCTAATACTCTCTCTCTCTTTCTCTCTCTCTTGATGAATACACATACAAATGGTATTCATTTATTCATTTATTCATTTCTACTTTGCTTTTAGGCAAAATATTACTATTAGAATATCCATGTCTTTTATATATTATCATTATTATTATTATATTATTATTATTATATCATTAAAGCAAAAATAAATAAATACTTGTAAATGTTTAAAATTCTAACTTCTTTATATAAAAACATACAATTTATATCTCACTTTATATGTATGTACTATACACTTTAATATTAAGAATAAGAGTGGTATCTTTCTTTAGAAAAGTAAAGCAGCCATAAAAAAAAGGCTTTGGTTGAGAATAGCATTTTTCCAAATTAGGCGGATTGGTTTAAATATTCACATCAATCGACGCGATTTGAAATGCATATACATATATAGATATACATTTGTATATAATATGCTCATTTTTATCATCCAGTCATCTCCCTTTTACATTGTAGTAATTTCATTGGAGAACACATTATTTGTTCCAACGGGAGCCTGATAATCGGTGCAACACATGAATATTATATTAGAGAGCTGTTTAAAGTTGCCTTGTATCTACGCCCAAAAAAGGCACTTAAGTTGGAACATTTCTTTTAAATTTATTCTCCGATACACCATACGTGTACCATCATGTTGCGTCAACAATATAGCTTGTGAAAATATTATGCATGAGCTTCATTCTCTAACAACTTCTTTATTCTCAAATTGATCATCTAAATTCAAAATAAAATGACCGATCGTTCCGAATATAACATTAGCAATCACGCCCAAGTTCATCAACAAAGGCAACAAAGGCAACAACGACAACAACGAAGACAACAACGACAACGACATCAAGAACAGCAACAGCAGCAAGAGCAACAGCAGAATGAAGAAGAAACCATACCTCAAGAGATTAGAAGAGCCAGGAGAGCTAGATATAGCAAACTAAACCTAAATCTCTTGAGTGACGGTACTTGTATATATCTATTTCGTTTCACTTTGGGTGAAATTGAGAGAATAACAACAGCACTCGGATTGGATCATGTGTACCGTTTTTCAAGTATACAAGTCCGTAAGAACCTTGGCTTTGCAATGTTACTCAATCGGTACAGCTTTCCAAGACGCTTAGGTGACATGTCTATACTTTTTGGAATGAGTGAAAGCAATGTATCTGTAGTTTGCCGAGGATTTGAGAGCATTGTTATGAACCAGATTAAATGGGGACTTCAATTCAATATTAAGCAATTTCGCCCGGAAAACTTGGAAAGGTTTGCAAGTGCAATCTACGACAAAGGCGCAGCACTGCCAAACATTGTTGGTTTCATTGATGGTACTATGCAAGCAATATCAAGACCAAGCCAAGGTAATGAAGTTCAAAAAGCTTTTTACAATGATTGGAAGCACATGCATGCTTTGAAGTACCAGTCTATTGTTACTCCTGATGGGATCACAAGCAGCTTGCTTGGACCATATGTTGGCTCTAGACACGATCAGTACATATATACCATGTCCAAAACAGAAGCAAGAGTGGAAAAATATTAGAATTCTGAAAAAACTGGGCTTTATATAGCTTAATGATTATGCTTGCAAAATATCATCGATATTTCTTATTCAAACAAGAAAAATCAAGATATTCGACTTACTAAAAACAGATGTTTCAGATGGTTTTGCATAAATTAATTCAAAAATGGAAAAAAAGGGGGCTTGCATCAGATGAAAGGATACGCCTCAAATTTAAACAGCTCTCTATTATACATATATTCATTGTATATAAAATAAAGACTTTAATTAAATTATTTAATCCTAATACCAATAGTACATAATTTATAAGTATATACATCTTATTTGTATTCTTCTCCTGCAGACACGTTACATACATTTACTGCTCCTATTAAACTAACCAAAACCCTTGTCACTATCAATTGCTTTTATTCTTTCCATTACATCAGTTTTTTTTTATCTTTTAAAAGAAAGATCGCAACTGTATGGTATGACAAACTAAAACTAGTAGCAGAATATTCTGTCAATGTGAGAATTATTTTCTTCTTTCTTTTAACTGGACTATATAAGATATAAGTGTAGTATGGGTTCCTGGAAACCTTTGTATTAGTAGGATACCATATCGAATCTCATTCTACTGGTATAGATATTACTAAAACTGTCACCACTTTTAACGGAAGGCGATTTGATACTCATTGCGAATTTAGTGTTTATCTTGTGCTGTATATTGATAGCTACAAGCTCAGATACCAAAAAGAATAACTCGAAATACAATTTAGAATTGAATCCATGGAAACAAAGAATCTTCTTTGTATCTTTTTGCCCTGTTTTCTATTCTTCTTTTCTTCCTTCTCTCCTTTCTTTTATTCATTCTTTTATTCTTTTATTCTATTTTTTGTGGGTCAGTTTAAAAGTAACCTGGGGTTGTATGACCTTTATTTCGATTGAAAATAAACAGGAGTTTAGAATTATCTACAAACAAATGACTTTTAATTTATATAAAAAAAACACGTCTTCGCTAAAAAGTGAGCTTTATAGCGCCTTTGAATTTAGTTACCTATATTTGTAAATATTAACAAAACAAGAATAGAATAAAAGAACAAAGAATAAAAAAGAATTTTCAAGAAGTTAAAACGCCTTGTATTTGAAGTATTGAATTCTGTTTGGTATTTATATTATCTTTTCTTTCTTACAGTTTTAAAAAAAAACGTGCTTAAATCCTATTCAAGAATTTCTTGTCCCAAGAAAGCCACTTTTTTTTTGCAGTGGAGAGATGGGTAAATAAAAGAATACTAATAGCCAATAAACACTTTTTCTCTGTTTCTATACCTTATACTTCAAATTCAAATAGCACATCAATGCTGATTTTCGCCATTCGTTATCTTTTGGTCTATTAACTAACCAAGGAACCGAGCAACCGACGCGGTAATATCTATGCATATTTTTACATGTAGTTTATTTTTAAAAATATATATAAAACATTTTCAAATCGCATTTCAAGGTTTGTCTGTTTCTCGTACGATACACAGCCCCCATGTACAAACATTACCCTATGATAATCTTAAAAAAATATAGCTATACTTTTTCCTCCCCTTTCCCCCTTTATCTGTCTTGTTTTCCTACACCATACCTGTATAATTGATATAAAGTTTTACAAGCTTTAAACAATCTTTATTTGTGTATATATCTGGCTTAAAATAATATTATGAAAAATTACGCATTACTAACAAAAATTATCTTGCTTATTCCCTTAAACTAAATACAGTAAAAAACAACAACAACAACAACAGCAAAAATATTTTCAAGGCTTTGCAAAGATTCCAGAACAAAAACCTGAAAAGATAATCATGGACTTTATACTAAAGCTGGGTTGGTTTCATCTTGTGTTCTTGATACAATTGTTTTTGGATAAAGTATTAGTGTGAGGTTGGTTACCGTTACTACTATATTATATATTATTATTATTATAACTCTCATGACATATATGATATATCCCTATATGTATACATATTGTATACATCGGATACTCTTGAGGAACCTTGTATCAAGCATCATACCCAGGCCTGTGTTTACTCTTTTCGGCTCAACACACATATTTCACAAATCTAAGCAAGAGAAAGCAGAAGCGGTAACAAAAAGCATGGAACTTATTCAAAATAAAAAAATGACAGCACTCTTTATTCTCTATAGAATCATTATTTGGTGTTTTACGAGACTAACAACTGTTTCTTATTCGATACTAACATTTGTAGAGTGGTCAGTATAACGCCACAAACCCAGATTTGTATATTAGTTTAAACTTTATAAAAAGAAAAAGAAGACGAGGAAGAAAACTTAGATAGTACCCTACATGTCAACTTTTCTTTTCTTTTTTTAAACCAGATCTATGTTCTCACTGCTATGGTAATAAAGGGGGTGCGTGTTTTTATTTGCTTTATTGATTTCACACAAGATTTAAGATTCCAAAATTGAATCTAAATAGACAAATAGAAAATAAATATTATGCTATATTGTGTATTTGTATTTGTGATAATGGTTTACACCTTGTATATATATATAGGTATATATTATATTGATATGAGTGTGAATTTGTGATTATTATTAAAATTTACAAATCAAAACTAGCAAACCACCCCGAGGGTTTTATTACAAGGAGTATGGTGATATAATTGTAGTACATATATATATATATCTTAGAAGAAGTATTTGTGAACAAAGAGGAGCCTTTAAATATTACTTCTGATGTCGCTGCTAGCACTTAAACACTATTGGCTACCCATAAAAATTTTCCTATAATATTTCTGTTTGAAACGCAGTGGGGACAGACCCACATCTTGTGTACAAGTAAGGAAGTAAAAATCTATTTTTATTTACTTGCTTTAGGCACTTGATTTTGAATAGCCCGTTATCTTTTCTTCAAGTATATATATATGTCTTTGTGTTGTTATAAAATACTATCTACCAAGATGCAATACAGCACAACGCGAACATAAGTTATTACTCGTCAGTAAAAAAAACGTGAGTTACCAGTAGTCGTAGTATTAAGAATAGCCCAATATTTTTACACTATCGGCAAGGTTAAAGCGGCGTGTTTCTTCATCTCTCTTACACGAACTTATTTTTATTACCAAAATAAGTAAATTTAAAATTATAAAGGTGGTGTATAAACTGCTAGAAATTTCTTTCAGGTCGTAGTAATACTAACAGCATTACTGTCCGTATACAAGAAATTGACTTGATAAAAACACAAGGATACTTGTATTAATTTGGATATTTCTTGAAAATATTTTCAAATCTTATTGACGCAAAATAAAAATAGCGCAATAGCTGATTATACAGCATATCTAATAAAAGGGTATTTGTAGATTAGATGTTGTAATGTAAAATTCTACCAAACACAAGTAGATTGAGAGATAAAAAGAAGTATTCAACTATGAAAAGAATAAAAACTATATACTCGTGTTAAGACCCAATTCTATTCTATTTATTTATTTATTTTTAAAAAAAAAACTTTAAATCCGAGTCATAAAAGGGTACTTATAGTTTTTATATATAGATGAAGATAAAGTATATAAAGACACGGCTAATAGTTAACGTGAGAGAAGTTGGTGTCTAATTTGAGTTAACATACATTTTACATATCTTCTTCTGAGCATTAAGCAGGTTCTCCGCTTACAGTATTTCTTATCCGTGTGTACTTTTAGACTTGAAATATTATATTTTATACTTCAGACGATAGTAGTTTAATTATCTTACTTAATAATAGTCAACTTTAAGCCTTTTGAGTTAAACGAATAACTTTCAAGAAGGTAATATATATATTAAGAGTGTTGTTTGTTTAAGAAAGAAAATTATAGCTGTTTATATAGTAATTTGATTCTCTGTTTTAAAGAACTTTTTTTTTGTTAATGGCTGGGTATTACTTAGGGAATTTTCAGTATATAAGTACCTGTCATGTGTTACATTTACGAAAAGTGACCCTGACAGGTTCATTAGCAATGTTATAATCTAGTCATAACTGTGGAGTTTGTAGTTTACCCAATTGTAATATGTATAGCAAACATTTGACTACAGTTTTTAAAGCTGTTGATTGCACCATTTTGGGTAGAATATTGTGTGCCATCTATGACTATATATATTAGCTCATTTTTTTAGTCAATATGTATACTTATTTGGCTTAGGCAAGAAATTAAAAGAACCATAAATCTCCAAAAGCAATTCCCTCTTCTGCACAGAAGCAGCTTTTAATCACGTTACCTTTTATCCGACTATGTTTTTGAGACTATTTTATCTAGTACGCTATTTTTTCAATTATCCTTACCATTGAATTATCTATGGTTATTTTTTATTTTAGTACTGCATATATAAGATATGTCCCCACTGTTCCATTCCTCCATGATTCAATTGACACGCTAGTTTTTCCGTTTTAACCACATTTCAATGTAATGTATCTTTGTAATTGATTTATGTATAGTAATAGACATGAAAAGTTTGATGAAGACAGTTATAGGCTCCAAAAACTTATTATTTTGCTTCTACAACCGTTTAGCTTAATATCTCTACTTGTCAGTCTATAATAGTTTACAAAAGGCAATAAACTTATCACACAGACACTTGGTTTCCAAACTTTTAGTATTTGGCAAATTGGGTAATATTCTCAATAATACAATACAGTATATATATATATATATAGCTATATTATGACTGTTTTTATTATGCTTTTGCTTAATGAATATCCCTTAAGCACAAATAACTTTCAAGATGTTGAATAATCGATTACATCTGTAAATACATAGTATATGTATGTTAATGCGAGATACATATTGTAGCCAATCAACAATTTTGCTTAATTTTTAAAAAGCAAGCTAAACACGAATTTCTGGTTTGGTAAGGACATATCTGGATTTTTTATTTTGATTAATTAAACTTGGTGGACATGAATTATATGTAAAATTAAGAGAATTGTATATTTAGTCTAACACACCAGTGAAGAGGCCGAGAAACCCACCAGAAAACATTGTACAGCTATATAGGCCGGAGTACTTGCTTTCATATCTATATTTTACTTAAATTTGTTACCACTACGTGAGAAAAACAGATGTAAAAATGGATTTATAGAGGTTTCCCAGATGGTATTAGGATACAGTGGTCCCTTGATAATTTCAAGGCCAAGGCAGGGACTAATTGCCTTGAAGTTAACTTGCGGATTATATATCTTCCGATGAAAGTAGAGGGAGTGTCACAGCATATTTTGTTAGAAGTACTCTTATATACAATAAAAAAGAAGTTGTCAGCTAAGTATCAGCGTAACTTGATTGATTAATATTCTTTCTCGTTGAGGATTCAGGGCCAAAAATTATTGTGAAAGTGAAATTAAAAAGAGTCGTGAAAATTTAGCCCTGTTTTTAGAAGGGAAACTGCCAGACCCTCGAAATTATCGAGAGACCACTGTACAATTTATGCCAAATCTCTTTTTTATCACCATTAAATATAATGAGTGGTTATATATTTTCAATCTCAAAAATTTCAAGTTGAACTCATATAGCAAATATTTTTTTCTTATTGAAAGAAATCGCTTTAATTATTTTATAGCTATTACATACTATTGGTCGCGCTAACTTGCATTCTGACTTAATTGGCGACCACCCTTAGTAACATAGCTTAATCACAGATATTATTTGGTGAAAATCGATTATAATTTAGTTCGCTAATTATTAGGGCCCGACACTTTCCTCTCGGGCACGACGTTTCTCTGGAGTACTACGTTTATTTAATCTCCAACTCTTACCATTTACTAGTCTCATAAAAAGTGACTTGTGGTCCAGCACCCCGTAATTTTATCTTGTCCCTAACCATCCAAAGTAGTTTTTGTAAGTAAAATCAATTTATTAAAAGATAGATAACTTAAATATAACAATAAATTCTATTGTACACTAAATAGAGAAGTGCTTTTTTCATTAATTAAGTAAAAAAAAGAGTAGTACTCTTATTTCTATATGCAATATATATAAATTGTATAATTTGTAAACGTCGTGTTCGAGAGGTAAAAGGTCATGTCCCAAAAGTGGCGATATAATAAATGTGTAAGAAAACTATTGATGTAATATTTTGCTCATTGATAGTAAAAGCTTTTATAAATATAAATATCAGGATTTGTGAGTAATCGATTTGTGCTTTAATTTGAGACAGAAATCATATATTTAGATAAGATATGAATTCAATGAAAGTTTTATAAAAAACAAATGAGAAAAAGTGATTCTACAAGCAAATAAAGTATTTTCTTTTATTGAAAAATGTAGGTTTTTGGGATTTTATGTCAGTTTTCTCGTGATCAAGCCTTTTCAATTCAACAAAAACTCTTAGCACACATACATATACGTATTTAACATTTGGATCCAAAGCTATAAAGAGCTAACATTTGAATTGATCAAATAAAAAGGTACAAATGCATAACATAACACATCTGGAGATAGCTTGGTTCGACTTGTGTAATGGTATCCAGCAGTTATGATTTTTAACTTGCTGGATATATGTGTAACTTGTAGGGTAAAGTACTTCCCACGAATTATTTAACTCACGAGCGATAGATAGATTATGTTGACGCAAAGTAACAGATTGATAAGATTTATAAAGGTGAAAAAGAATATTGTCTAGCTAATAAAATATAATGAAAAGAATAATGTAAATAAAAGAAAAGTAAAAAAAGAAACTTAGCGTAAGACCAATTGGCTCATATTGCTCAGAAAGGATAAATATTATGGAATTTAAGCAATAATGCTTATTAAATTGTTTGAACTTATTCCAGTGGCTGTCAAAGTCATCAGGAATTTTGTTCCTGGAACAGCCTAAAAATAATGGTTCTGGAATGGTTGGCCATTTCCTCGAGATATTATGGGAAAGGTAAACTGTTGCCCAGCGGTTACTGTTAACATTATTAAAAAATCAGAGATTTTTTTGTGCTTTGTTTTGTTGTTAAGGGGAGTGAATGGAAGGAAAGATGTAGAGGGGGCGTTGGGGTTCTCTGAGTAGACGCAGATAAATTGTTTGTATGTGCCCGTAGCTATTTGAGCACAGTCGGGTGTGCTAAACAATACCGCCCGTCAGTGGTAGGGTTAAAACCACCCTTGACATTTTCTACTATCTTATGAGATACAGGAAAGTTGGGCTAGTATTTAACCTTCTTGCCAATAGAGGTGCGATCATCATATTAATAATCGTACTGAGCAGCTTCAGATATTTTAAAGCCATCTTTCTGGGGGTATCAACTAAAAGCATATAAATATAAGACAATATTTTCTCTCCATAGATTTAATTACATTGTAAAGTAAAAGCACATCTTACCTGTCCAAGAGGCCTTTATTTTGTTGTTTTGGTTGATTTGTTTTTGGTGGCATCGACTAAAAATACATGGAGATAAAAGAGAAGATTCATTCTAATAGATTCAACTACGCTTTAAAATAAAAATAGTTCTTACCTGAGGCAAGAGGATCTTGCTTGTTTTTGTTTTGCTTAGTACTTTTTGCTTATTACAGGCTTTCCTGCCCTTGTTATCGCTCTTAATCTGACCATTGCCTTAATGCCGGCCTAGAATTTCAAAATACATATTAGTTCTTTATTATGTTCTAATTTCTAGTTTTTTTAACATATATGGCTAGACAAAACAGTGATCTGTTTCCAATTTGTTCGACTAAAGTCCTTCGGAAGGTATCTTGGATGTGTACTACCCTTTCGTCTGCCAGAATACTTGTTTTTTTTTCTGGACCTTTAAAGTTGATAGAAGGGTGCCCAGTTTTGCCTTCGAATTCAGAAGTAAACTTATTGATCTTACTCAAGAGGTTAATCACTTGCTGGCTGCCCTCAAAAGAGCGAAATATTGCCTCAAGTTTGATGATTCCCTTTATTCACACCTTTGGTTTTTCATCAAGATAGATGTTTTCTTGGAAAGTATTATCCCTTGGTTTTACCACGCAAAGATCAATAGTCCACCTTTCGGGAATATCAGAAATACAGATCCCTTATATCAGGGAAATAATGACGAGAAGGTAGACCATACTGAGGCTTGTTCATACATTCACAAACAATACTGCTTTCACTATTCAGTCAAATCTCTTGATCTATCACCAGTAATGCTCGCTTTGACAGCTTCGCAAACATCATTGCCAAAAACTTATTTCGTCCAACAAAAGGGTCAACCGTCATATATTCCCTGATCTCCACATTTCGGTTGTCTCTTTCAAGCCTCTCGATATACCTTGCAATAGTTTCATAGGCGAAATCCAAAGAAGCTATTACAAACCTCTTTCTAAGGCTTAGTGAGCACTTTCCGCCCTTTGCAATGTTGTGCATTCAGAATATATTATCTTCTGAGTAAGATGACCCGCCCACTTATCTTGGCATGTAATTCACCTGTTATGAAAATATACTGAAACTGGTGCGTTCACATTACCATTGTCTACTTAGGAACCAGCGAAAACATCGCTGAGCTTATTCAGAGCCCAATAAAACTCCTTCTTAGTTTTGCTATCGATCATGTTGGATATATATCATGTCAACTTTTTTTTTCTTCTGTACCAAACCGACTTTTCCTGACAAAGCCTTTTCCACCCTATTCAGCATGTGCCAGTAACAGAGCAGTTTACTGTTGTTCGCGAACACAATTTCAAGAGCGCTCATCAGTGCATCCCACTTGTATGTCTCAAAAACTGTGCTAGGAACCTTGTCCCCACCTTGAGATGATGGAGGAACCAAAGATATGTGCCTTGCTGTTCATTATAGACCCAGGCAAAGGAAACTGGAAAAAATTTGAGGATTTATCCTCCGATCTTGTGGACACCTTCCACAAAAATCAGTGCCATAGACAAGCTTTTGGTAGAGTACGTAGCATTTACCACCATAACTCCTGAGAAGCGACGAGCTCTCTCCATAATATTTTTATTGGTAAAAAAAGACCTTCGACAGTCAATTATTCCCGTTTACATCATAATGTACCTAGTAGCCTTTTCCTTTCACCATCTTAACAAGTCTAGTAAATGCATTCTGGGAAACATGGGCAGAAACTCGAGAAAATACAGTCCTGATGTTGTTGATATCGCTATTATACAGCTTACGACTATCTTCTGTTTCATCTGGGACGGGACTTTGGATCTCACGAGTTTTGGCATTTGTCTCTACAAGCTTAGAGATCTGATTGGCATATTCAGTAGCAACTCTCAACAATCTGCTTTTCAGAGTCAATTCCAAACATTTATCATCAAGAGAATGATTATGGAAGTTATCTACATAGCTATTAGCTTTCAAAGGAAGATATCTTTTGATTCCTTTCTTGAAAGATATCTTTATAATGTAAGGATATCCGGTTTTCGAACTAGGATGAATTTTTAGACGATCGCAGACTTCAAACTTATAAGTGTTTCTATAGTGACCCCCCTGGTGCACTTTAAGTAAGCTCGAGTTGGTTTATGATCTTTGGTTGCAAGAGTAAAGTTGTTAGCAAGTGCATACTCCTGCATTTTAGAAATTGACAGTCATTTTGACATAGCCATTGGTTTGTGTAGTAGGAAGGTTTTGCTGAACGGGATAATTTTCATTTCCACCGATAAAAATTGATTCTTTATTGATAGTGCTCATGTTGAAGTGATTTCTCTCGAGCGATTGTTAACATCGTTTTTATAAATGCTAATTTATAATGGTAGAAGTAACGCTCTAATTTCTTCAGGGCACAACTTTTTTTTTGCTTTACGATACTTTACTATCATAGAAGGCCGGACCATAGTCACTTTCCAGGAGTCTGGTACATGATGAAAAGCGGTGTTTATAATATTTCTCGTACTCTATAGAAACGTCGTGCCCAAGAGGAAAAGCGTTGGGCCCAAATAATAGTTGTTTAATCAACTCGGACACTTTTAAATCACTTTCAGATTACAGTCTCGTCTTAGGAGACAAATTCACTCACTCACTCACTTACTCACTCAATTATATGCATATACTAATTTCAATCAGAAATATCTTTGGAAATATACAATAATTACATGTATATTTATGTCAAATTACTGTCCAAATAATCAATAGCAAAAAAAAGTGCAGTGAACCCATGTTATTGCCTATGTGTGTTATACGTGAGCGTGGTCTATCTTTTTAGTCTACATGCATTTTCATGCATTCAATACATTTTTTTTTCCAATTGAAAATTTTCTTGATTCTCAGCTCAACTTACACAAGCATAATAATTGCACATTTCACATTACACATTACACATTTCGCATTTCATACACGCGTATATTTATTATATATAATTGTATATAAGAAAATATTGTGTACATTGTCCCTGTGAGTATATATATATATATATAAAGTGAATAGATGTCTTTAAAGTATAATCCTCTTTTAATTTTCTCATATTTTTTTTTGCTTTTTTTGTATTACTTTTTTTTTGGTCGGTGCTTGGCCACGTCATTATCACCTCGTTCGCTTGTTCGCTCGCCTAGTTACTCACTCACTCACCCAATTTTAACTCGTTCACTCACTCGTTCATTCACTCACTCACTTACTCTAATCTCACTTTATTTATTTATATAAAATAAAATAAAAAACCCTTATTTCATTCAACCTCCGCCATCGTTTGAGACAAATACTCTTTCTTCTTCTTATTCTTCATCATCATGTCTGATATTTCGGATGACGATTTCCAGCCTCTTGAGCCTACTCTTAAGAATGTCCTTGACCAAGAATCGCTCAACTGGATTTTTGTAGGTGGCAAGGGTGGTGTTGGTAAGACATTTTTTTCCCTTGAGTCATTATTATTATTGGGAACACCTCCCAAAAAAAGCAAATAAAATAAAGTATATGTACATAAAGATAAAGATAAAGATAAAAAGAAGAACTTGTCATATCATACATATATGTACTTAAAAAATTGTGGTTTATAGGCAAAACCACCACATCGTGTTCATTGGCCGTTCAACTCGCCAAAGTACGCGAATCTGTTTTGCTCATCTCAACCGATCCTGCTCACAACCTGTCAGATGCCTTTGGGCAAAAGTTCTCTAAAGAAGCGACCCTTGTCAATGGCTTTGAAAACTTGTATGCCATGGTGAGTGTACACATTATTTTGAGTATAAAGTGTACATATATACTTGCATGCATACACACACACATACATATATATTATGTGTCTGTGTATGGGGAGGGAGTTTATATGCACTTGTGTAATTTATTGATGTGTGCATATGTCTCACTCTATATACTACTATACACGTGTATACTTCTTTCTTATGTCTTTATTTATTTACCTATTTAAATATTGTTTGGTATATCTCTAGGAAATTGATCCTACTTCTAGTATTCAAGAGATGATTGAACAATGCAAGTCAAGTTATAGCTTTGGATTTATTTATTGTTACCTTTATATATGTATAAAAACATTTGTACGGGAATTAATAATTTTACTATGCGCTTACAGCTGATCAGGGTAATGCTATGGGTGGAATGGTTCAGGATCTAGCTTATGCTATCCCAGGTGTGGATGAAGCCATGGGTTTTGCCGAAGTTATGAAGTAAGAACTTGCTTATATATATATAATTTGTGTGTGTATATCGTATTGGGAAGAAAAGCTTTCTTTTATATTATTTACTGATAATAATAACAATAACTTTATTATAGACAAGTCAAGACCATGTCTTACTCTGTAGTTGTATTTGACACTGCCCCAACTGGTCACACCCTTCGATTCTTGTCTTTCCCTACTGTGCTCGAAAAGGCTCTTGCAAAGATTAGTAATCTTAGTGGTAGATTTGGACCAATGTTTCAACAGGTAAACAAATTTGAACAATCTTGACTTGTCTAGATTATTCTAGTCTGACCTTGTATTGTTCTGTATTGTCTTGTGATTAATTGGTATGATTGTGGTTGATTGTGATCTATTAATCATGTTTTTTTTTATCACAAAATAAAGGTGTCTGGTATGATGGGTCTGAATGCAAACCAAGAGGATATGTTTTCCAAACTAGAGGAGATGCGTTCAGTTATTACTGAAGTCAACAACCAATTCAAGGATCCAGTAAGTGAATAATGTGAATGAAATATAAATGTATGTATAGGTTTAATCTTATTTTATTTATGTAACAGAACAAGACCACATTTGTCTGTGTTTGTATTTCCGAGTTCTTGTCACTGTACGAGACTGAGAGAATGATCCAGGAGTTGACATCTTACCATATCGATACTCACAACATTGTTGTCAACCAGTTGTTGTTCCCTAAGAAGGGATCAAACTGTGAGCACTGTAATGTGCGATACAAGATGCAGCAAAAGTACCTTGACCAGATCTATGATCTCTATGAGGATTTCCACATCATCCGCATGCCATTGCTGACAAAGGAAGTCCGTGGAACCGAAGACATTAAAGAGTTTAGTAAGATGTTGGTCGAACCCTTCCAACCTCAGGATCAATAATTATGACCAAAAAACCAAAAAACCAAAAAAAATGGTATCTTTCTCACAATATACAAATACACAACAATACACACAAACGCATATATATTTTTATATATAAACAAATATATTTACATACTTGCTTTTTTCTAAAAAAGATATATATAACAACAACAATAATAATAAAAATGAAAATGAAATTGAAACAAAATAAGAGGGAAAGACATTGAATAACTTCTTCCTAATTATTTTTATGAAAACCAAAAGACTAATACTAACACTAATAGTCCTTTTTGGCTTGTTTAATTGGTTACTGTTATTAAAAAAAGATGTGTAGTTGCGTGGAGTGGATTTCAGAACATTTGGTTTCAGGTTGGTTTTTTTTAGGCGTATTTATTACAAACACAATACAATACAAAAAAAAATTAAGAAAAAAAAATTGCTTAGCAAAAGTAAAACATAGTATGGCTTAGAATGTTCGGGAAAGAACGATGAAATTTTTTGTATTTTGATTTGTCCGTACCTGGAAAAAAAATTAAAAAAAAAAAAAATAACAACCACAGAAGCGGAATAAGTATCATTTTGTAGTCCACACCCACAATCCAAAAACCCTAACGCCAACCTACCTAATAAAATGGTCCACAGCCTATAACTCACCCCCCTTATAATAAAAAAATTATATATATAAATAAATTATTTTATTTTATTTTATATTATAATTTTTTTTCCTTTACTCATCAGTCTTAATTTTTTTTATTAACCCCTCCCTACCTCCCTCCCTCCCTCATCTTTACTCATTCATCATCATGGTCCGTGAAACCAAATTCTACGATGTCCTTGGCGTCTCCCCTGACGTTAGCGAAGGTGAACTCAAGAAGGCCTACCGCAAGCTTGCCTTGAAGTACCATCCTGACAAGGTAATAATAATTTTATTTTACTTTTATTTTTTAAAATACAACATTTTCTATATAAAATGTATTACGCAGTTTTGCAAAAATAAAATAAAAAATAGAAAATAGAAAATGGATGACTAAACTATTACTATCACTATCACTATCACTATCATAATGAAATATTAACCAACAAATACACACTTCTTTATCCAATTATGTTATTATTGCTACCTGTTACTGCTCTTATTACTACGCACACAAAAGAACCCCGGAGCTGGTGATAAGTTCAAGGAGATCTCTCACGCATACGAGATTCTCTCAGACGGCGAGAAGCGTCAGATGTACGACCAGTATGGTGAAGAGGGTCTCAATGGCCAGGGTGCAGGTATGGGCGGTATGGATGCCGAAGACCTGTTCTCCCAGCTGTTTGGTGGCGGTATATTTGGTGGTGGCGGAGGCCATGGCGGTCGTGGTGGCCGTCCCTCAGGCCCCCGTCGCGGAAAGGACATGGTTCACCAACTCAAGGTCAGCCTTGAAGACCTTTATGCAGGCAAGTCCTCCAAGCTTGCTCTCCAGAAGCACATCCTTTGCCCCAAGTGTGACGGCAAGGGCGGCAAGGAAGGCGCAGTCCAGACCTGTCGCAGCTGTAATGGTAATGGTGTTCGCATCGTCATGCGCCAGATGGGCCCAATGATCCAGCAGATGCAGCAACCTTGTGGTGATTGCCGTGGCGAGGGTGAAATTGTCAACGAGCGCGACCGTTGCAAGCACTGTGTCGGCAAGAAGATCATCAGCGAACGCAAGATCCTCGAAGTTCACATCGACAAGGGTATGCGTGACGGACAGAAGATCACCTTCCAGGGAGAGGGTGACCAGGCCCCCAATGTCATTCCCGGTGATATCCTGATCGCCATTGACGAAAAGCCCCATCCCCGCTTCAAGCGTCAGGGCGACGATCTGGTCTACGAGGCCCGCATCGATCTCTTGACCGCCCTGGCCGGTGGTCAGTTTGCCATCTCCCACCTCGACGACCGTGTCCTCTTGGTCAATGTTTTGCCAGGAGAGGCCATCAAGCCTGATTGCGTCAAGGTCATCCCCAACGAAGGTATGCCCGCATACCGTCACCACCACCACGGACACATGTTTGTCAAGTTCTCAGTCGAGTTCCCCCAGCCCAACTGGGCCACTCCCGAAGTCATCGCCAAGCTCGATACCATCCTTCCTTCCCGCCCTCAGATGCCCAACTTTGGCGACAAGCATGTAGATGAAGTTGTCCTCGCTGATGCAGAGGCTTACCAGACCCAGAACACACAGAGAGGTTATGAAGACGAAGACGAAGACCAGAGAGGTGGCCCTGGTGTCCAGTGCGCTCAGCAGTAAAGAAGAAGAAAAACTAAAATATATATATATATAAAATAAAGAAGTAGCAGCATCCCCCTCACCCTCCAAAGAAAGAAAGAATGAAAGAAACAAAGAAAGAGACAAAGAAATAAAGAAATAAAGGAAAGAAACAACTCCCAAAAAGAAATAATAAAGATGCCAAAAATCAGAAAGGCAGACCAAAAAAAAAACGTTCCTACTTACACACTCATACACTGAATGTATGTCTGTATCTTTAGCTTTATAACTATATCTCCCTCGCTGCATAGCAACAGCAACAGAAGAAGAAGCAAAGAGAAAATGAGAATTAGACAATATATTATGTTATATATATAATACAAATACTAAACAAAAATCACTATAAAAAGAAAGAAGAATAGTATAGGCATCTTGTTGTTATTTAAAGAAGTGTTCAAAGAAGATGTTCAATTCAGTTCAATATGTATGTTCCATTCCTATTAGCATGATCCTTCCCTTTGTACACCTCGTATCGGTAGTGTGTTTCTTAACTGAATTACTCAATTCAATTTGATCCAAGTACTACAAGTCATCTTTAATTTGACTTATATATATTATAAAGAAAATACAAGTGTATTCTTGATGTTGGATTTCACGTACAGATTATGTATGCAGCAGTCCCTTAAAATAGGGCTGCGTCATTGAGCTATCATAGTAGCATAGAACCTGTAGATCATATATATATAATATGTACGAGATAACGTATTTGCACAGTTTTTTCTCCCTTTCCTCCCCCTTGAATCGATACACGTAGAATATACAATTGTGCAGCTACAAAGTAACCATGTCAATTTATATTCCAGATAATACCCAACAACTGACTAATAATCAAAAGGTATGCTCTCTTTCTCTCTTTCTCTCTTCCTGCGCCCTTCCTCCCTCTCTTTCCCCTCCTTTCTTTTTCTTTTTTTATACACAAACACAAACTTCTTCAGTTTTTGCACTAGAGAATTATTTTGCCTCATTCTGCATTAGCAATCACTTGACCAATTCAAAGATAACAACCATCAGATTCACAATGCAAAAAACTCGAGCGCAAAAGCAAAAGCAAAGGCAAAAGCAAAGGCAAAAGCAATTTTGAACGTAAACAAGTACATGTTCCCCCAATTTTTTTCTGATGTAATATTTGGCACCACAAGTAAAACTGCTGCCAACTCAAGTCGCCGATCCAGCCGCCTGTCTAGCCAACACGACAAAGTACTGTCTTGCTCAATAAAACTAACCCTCGAAGATATCTACACCGGAAAGACCTCAAAGCTGTCTTTGCAGAGACACATTTTCTGCCCTGGATGTCGCGGCACGGGCGAGGCTATACAAGATAGTCTGGTCAGTAAGACATGTCAGAGCTGTAATGGATGTGGTGTCCGATATTTTAAGTACAAGTCAGGTTCCACAACAAAACAAATTGATCTTTCATGTGGCGACTGTCACGGCGTGGGTGAACATGTAGAACGAACCAATTGTGCCCAATGCGTCGGAAAGAAAACAATAACCAAGCACATGTTCCTTGACGCGAAGATTGCAAAAGGTGTGCGTGACAAACAAAAAATAACCATTCCGTTACAGAGTCTACACAACTGCCCACAACAACAACAAGAAAAAGATGAATATCGTGACGTGATTCCCAATGAAATCATTGCTGTTATCCAAGAAATACCCCATCATCGGTTCAAACGTCTGGCTGATAACCTGGTTTATGAAGCCCACATTGATCTTGTCACGGCTCTCTCGGGTGGCCAGATTGCTATCCCACACTTGGACGATCGCGTCTTGCTGGCAAATCTGTCTCCTGGAGAGGCAATGCGACCCGATTGTGTCAAGGTTATACCTAATCAAGGTATGCCTGTTTATAATTCCCACCACATTCAGGGACACATGCTTGTCAAGTTTTTTGTTGATCTCCCTCAAAACGAATGGGTCACACCAGACATCATTGCACAAATCAGCGCTCTTCTTCCCCCAGCTCCTCAAGTACCCACCTTTGTTAATAAGCGTGTGGAAAATGTTACTCTCACAGACTCTGTAGCTACCAAGCATTGGGAAGTCTGAAACTTTTGAGTTTAAGCCTGTGTAGTAAAATATAATATATATATGTATATGTAAGAATTGCGGTGAAGGGAGGGGAGGGGTTGAACTATTTTTTTTGGTTTTCTTTGGTTGAAATGCCTTGCTCTCAATTTATCTTGTAAACTAAATGGCTATATAGTAAATAAAAACAAAAAAAACAGCCATTGTCTGGTTGATAACAAGTAAAATGGTAATGCAGAAGTCAGATAATATAAATAAATAGTCGATAGTAACAAGTATACTTCTGTGATATAAATATATAACAGAATACAACTATTAGCAAATGGAATTTAGTCACAGAGCCGTATATTGCTGCTAGAATTACATGTAAGCTATAGATAATTAGATATGTCTACCAATAATGTTAATTATAATATTAATTAAAGATTAAATTATGATATATAAACTTATTGGTCATTTGTTAAGAGATATGCATATAATGTTAAGTTCAAATAAACTAATCACTTGGATTATAATTAGATTAGCAAGGTAGACAAAAAAAAAGTACCAAGCAGATTCAAATGCTTTTCAATTTTAATTCAACATTTTACAAAAAAAAACTTCCGCCCTATGAATTAGTTTTGTAATTCAAACCTTGTCAAAACGGTGCTTTACTACATTATACTGTAACCAATAAAGAATATTTATATATATTCCTTTTGGAATTTAATGCAAGAAAATCACAATTGTAATCATTGGGATCGATGAAGTTAAATGTACTTAATTCACACCAATGTTTATGCATGAACAAAACTTTATTTTATACCAATTTTTATATATAAATGTAATGTGTATTGGGTTTCTACAAAAAGCACATTGGCGGTCCCTCAAAATCGAAGCCGCGTCATTATCCCATTACGTAGCAAGAACCCTATCCATCAAAACGCGTATGCGGAATAACTCCTTCTTGGAACTCATCCACACCTTTCAAAATGTCCATCCCCGCTCAAGACAACACACTCCAGAAGATCCCCGATCTGTACCTGGCAGTAAGCTTGCATTCTATTCAAACCCAAAAAACTTATTATGCCTTGTTTAACTCACCAAAAATACATGCACTTACATCATCAACAACAACTGTTACTTTTTTTTGTAACTTCTTTCTTTTTATGTATTTATAATTTTACCAGCACCATCGTTTCATCGTCAACCAGGGACCAGTTGAACAACGTCAGAATGCAAAGAACGAACTTCTCAAGGAAATCGAGCAAAAGAGTGCGTTATTAGCTTATTATTTACTCATCCAAAGGAAGAAAGGGAAAAGAAAGGGGGACTGATGGAGTTATTCGTTTCTGTCATGTTAGACATGGCCCCTTTTTACAAGTTCATTGTAGAAGAGTTCAAGATCCCTTTTGATCAGCAACTATACACTCGTATGGAGGCTGCCAACAAGGAAGAACTCAAGAAGTTCGACGAAAAGGTTGTGGATGCAGAACAGAATCAAGGAGAAACTGAAATCAATGAAGCTTTGTTGGGAAAGGCTGATTATTATTCTAGTATTGGTGACAAGGTATTTTCTAGGCTATATATATATATATATAAGAGAGAGAAAGAGGAGGATACTGATGTTAAGTGTGGATAGGAAAGTGCTCTCACAGGCTACAACAATCTTTTGAACAAATCCATTACCTTGGGTACTCGTATCGATATTGTCTTTGCTATCGTTAGAATTGGATTTTTCTTTGATGACTATAACCTTGTACGCTCCAAGTTGGATAAACTCAAGGAATTGATTGAGCAAGGTGGTGATTGGGATAGACGTAACCGTCTCAAGGCTTATGAGGGTGTTTATCTCATGTCGATCCGTGACTTCAAGGGAGCTGCTAGTCTTTTTATTGACACTCTCAGCACATTTACTAGCACTGAGATGATGTCTTATCAAGACTTTGTCAAGTATGCTGTTCTCACTAGTGTCATTAGCATGCAGCGTGTAGATATTAAAAAGAAGGTATGGAGATCAACTGGTGTATATATACATTTGTGGAAAGGCAACAAGAAAGATAAAGTCCAGAAAGAGAAGGATAACGAGGAAGAGGAATGTATATATTTATTAAGAGGAGAACAATTGTAGGTTTTAGATGCACCCGAGATTCTTGAGGTGATTTCAGATATTCCTTATCTGGAAGATTTCATGACCAGTCTTTACAACTGCAATTACTCAGACTTTTTCCGCGCTCTTGGTGAGCATGATAATAATAAGAGTAGTACTAGTGGTAGTGGTAGTGGTAGTGGTAGTGGTAGTGGTAGTGATAGTGATATCGGTAATGAGTGTGCGGACAGAAAAAAAAAGGACGTGAAAGTTTATATGTGTATCTCTGACTTTGGAATTGTTATTAGCCAATGTGGAAGAAACTCATTTACGTACATCCCGTTACCTTTACGCTCACATGCGTTATTACACACGCGAGATGCGTATTGTTGCTTATGCCCAGCTTCTTGAAAGTTACCGTTCATTGACCTTGGCAAGCATGGCTCAGGCATTTGGTGTATCTGAGGACTTTATTGATCGGTAAGTTTACAACAACAGTAACAAATATTATAAGTTGTGAAATATGTGACGTAATGTGATGTGATTTATGGATGAAATGAAGCTTTTGAATGTATATAAATTTGTAACTTTATTAATTTAATCTATTTATTCATTTATTTTTGGGGGGTTTGTGATGGTATTTGTAGTGAGCTGTACAAGTTTGTCGCTGCCGGTCGTTTGAACTGTGTGATCGATAAGGTTAATGGTGTGATCGAGACCAACCGCCCTGACGCAAAGAATGCGCAATACCAGACAGTAGTGAAGCAGGGAGATTTGCTACTTAATAGAGTACAGAAGTTGAGCAGAGTTATCGATGTCTAAGTGTATAAAAATGAATTAATGGATAAATAAAGAAAGAAAGAAATAAATAAAGAGAAAATCATTGAGAACAATAAAGGACAATTAAACCGTATTTTTTTAAAAGAAACATATATATTATGATTGGTCTCTTGGTATTATATATATTTTGTGCATATCTACATATATAATGCTTGATCTTTGTTGTCTTTATCCATTAAAATCAGCTCTTTATAACCTAGCAACACACAATCAAGTATTTAATATCTTTTGTTTCATTGGGAACAAGTAAAAAAAAATGTCAAGAAAACCTAAAGGGTATCTGTCAATTTTTATTACAAATTAATCAGACCTTAATTGAATATTAACGGACTAGGAATTGATACCTCTTTATGTATAGGGGTTATCTAATAAAAACAACAATAACAAAGATACATGTGAAAGAGGGGTTGTTTAGACGAGTCGTTTTTGGAGCAGTATAGCCCCTTTAAATGTATCCAAAATGACTATTGTTTGACTTCACATTAAAGTCTTTGTATTTTTTCCATTTCCTTTCTTTTCTTGCTCGTTGGAGATTGAAGGAGTGGATTATTTAATGAAGGAGTGAGTGATAGTGAATATTCATAAAAAACCGTTATAGCTAAATAAATAAAAGAAATACTTTGATAGACTATTCTCTAGGAATACTACAGATTTGTGGTTATCTTTGTCTCATCATGCAGATCCAACTGATCATTGCGGATTTATAACAGACATTCAACTAAATAAAGTCTAAGTATGAGCTACAAAAACATTGATGTGCGTATGTAAGTATGTACGTATGTGCGTATGTGTGCTTGTATGTTTGTATCTATGTATACATTATATATATAGATATTATGGACTAGATGAGCATCAATATCGAAATATATGGCAACACCCTTCATCAGACATATATTGCAAGTTTAACTACGCAGTGGCGTTTATTATTTAGATCGTAGTTGTACTAAAACGACCAAAACAAAAATAACGATTTTCACTCTAAATTAGTGTTTTAAAGAAGTGCAAACCAAACAAACAAATAAGCAAACAAGTAACTAAGCAACCAAGTAACCAAGCAACCAAGACAAACGCCAAAATTTTATCAGCAATAAAAACAATAACAAAGAAAAAAACTTACCGAAATTCTGCAAGATATTTAACTAGTTGACAGGGTTCTTCAGCCTTTAGTTGCCTTGCTCTTTAATGCGATTGAGATATAGAATATAAAAAATTAAAAGAAAAAAGAGTAATCAATTATATACACTAAAATAATAATAATAATAAGAGGCAATATCTCAAGTTCTTAATTCTCGAGATATATATATATTATGCATATTTACACATAGAGCATAATCATTGTGCAGTGATAACAATTAACCCGTTTAGATTTCTGTCAAAATTAGGATTCTTCTAATACTGTTTGAGTTTCGTTTTCTTCGTTTTCGCTTTTGTTTTTTTTTGCTTGATTGAGAATGTAATACAGACTAAAGCCAAGACCACCAAAAGAGGGGCAAGCATGTTTTAGCGTTGCCAGTGGCTTGTTCTTGGAGAGGTAGAGAACAAGCAAAGTGGAAACAAGGTCAAAGCTAAAAGGGGATGATGATCCTTTAGTTTTCTTTTTATTTTATTTTCTTGTTTTGGTGGAAAGGTTCCTTTTTTTTGGCTTTTAAAACCCCCCTCCCTTCATCATCCCACTCCCCTCCCCCCACCCCAACCCCTCTTCTCATACACTACACACCCACACACCAAGACTTGCTAAAAATTGTGGCAAGTTTTCTTTCTTTATCTCTCTCTCTCTTCCTTCCCTTTTTCTTCCTTTATCTTATTCCTTTCTAGGCTGTCACTCTTCTTTTTCTATAAAGAAGACGGCATGCTCGAGGATTTTCTTGACTTAATCCTCTCATTGACGTCAATCTCTTTAATAATCTGATTCACTTTGAACAAAGAAAGTAGATCTCGATACAAATCATCAACGTGCAATGATCATTGTCACATTCTCGCTTATAATTCTCATAGTCTTTCTTCAATCAATCCTGGCTGACGACAGTGGGTGTGTATTATTGCAAGGCTCCCGTGCCTGTCCAGCGTTTCAACAGTTCTATGTTGGACTACCAGGACTGTCGACCCAATACTCATTCATAGGAAATGCGACAACGACAGAATCCTTCGACCAAAGCCTCTTTAACTATGTAAACTCGACAAGTAATTATCTCTTTCCCCTCGGCTGCCTTAGCTCCAACTATAATCCGACTGTCCCTTATGCGCGCTACTCCCTCTCCCGCCTGTGCGCCCTGATGATCCAGGACTCCGAAGACTCTCTTCCCTGTAACTACCAACACAACCTTATTCCACCTCCCCTCTGCCAGCAAACGTGCGATGATTGGGTCGACAGTATCAAGGAGATTACAAACGATCCAGCAGTATGCTCGTCTTCTCTTCAGCGTAATACCACTCTCGCAAGCCTCAGTCTACAATGCGTTTCGTGGCAAGGGTTCAATGGAACCGGAGACACCAACTGTGTTTCTGGAATAGCTAATGAGCCAGAAAATTGCGGTAATAATCATAATAAAAAAATGCGCCGAATCTTTATTAGAAACAATGAATTTTTATAATATATATATTATCTATTAAACCGAGTACTAGTAGTAGTAGTAGTAGTAGTAGTAGTAGTAGTAGTAAATACTTATGCACCAAAGGCTATCTGTAGGTTTTCAAGGTAATGTTCCCGGGGCCTGTCATTACTGCACCAACCACCGATCCGACACGTGTTGTGCAGCAGTCCATGGATGCAAACATCCACTTGCCCCAGGTGCAATTGCAGGAATTGCGGTTGGGTGCGTGGTATTTAGTCTGATTGTACTGGCCAGCTTATTATACCTGTGTATCCGAAAACGACGCACACCCTCACACTTTTCCAGCCCTGAATTAGGACCCGACCATTCTCTGGAGCGCCGTGAAGATGTATCGACCAGCCAACAAGCACTGGTTCATAGTGCATCAGCCGGGGTTGTCCCGCCAGATCTACCAATCCACAATATGCCACCAATGGAGGAGCGAAGCACGATCTCTCCTGTTCAACCTTTGACACTCAACGCCTTTCATATTGTTGTTCATCCCTATCCTCCTCAGGTGGATGATGAATTGTCACTCTCGATCGGAGATATCGTGTGCCTTGCACTGTCATTTGACGATGGATGGGCACTTGGGTTTAATATCACATCTGGTCGCAAGGGTGTGTTTCCTACTGTCTGTATAGCACCTGCGCCACAAGATCTACTGAACCGACTCATGCTCATGCCTGAAAACCCAAACAGTTACTCAAAGATCCAATGGGAAGACACATCCTCCAATCTTCCTGACATGGAAGAATATCACATTCAACAGCGAGATGCTTCAAACCATCCCCAAAAAGATGCTGTGTTGACTATGGAGCGACTTCATGAAAACTTGCAGCGTTCTATAAGTCTCGGTCTTTTTTCTAAACCAATTGCACGCTCCAGTCTGGTTTATACCCACACCATGCCATCTAAGAAAACCAGACGCACTTCATACTCCTCCGACTCCGAAAACCCCACCTCACCATCCCATGCGTTGTACTCTATACCTTATTCTGCATCCCAGTCTACACCAAAAGATTCATACGAATTACAAGATCACAATACATCAACGACCAACATGACCTCTCTACATCCTTCATCGCACACAAGCAACGATGTACGATCCAAACGAAGAGAGACATGAAATATAATACACATTACACATTACACATTATACACATAAAAAAAAAGTACTCTTTAATACCTAAAAATCGTTAATGTAATATACAAATCCCAATCCACAACACGATCAAATCCCCCTCCTACTATTATTACTATTACTATTACTATTATTTATTTTACCTTTTTTTTTAGTTTTCTTTTTAAAAAAACAAAACAAAAAAAAACAACCAAAAAAAAGGTACAATATTTGTTATTTATTCTTACTATATATAAGCTAGTGTGTCACAGCCTAATATGCACGAACGCACGCACGAACGCACGTACGCACACAAACTTATATTTATAATACATCCCACGCCTTGGACAACCCCAAGTCAACAATAGAGTGGAAGTAAGGAAATTGAAACTTACCAGATACTGGGATTTGTTCAAACTGAACACAACTCAGTCTAATGAAGTATAACTTTGGTCAAGATTCTTTTTCTTATTTATTTATTCCTTGGTTATTAAATTACTTTGTCCTTTTATTTTGCTTTTGTTTCTTTTTTGTCGTTTTGTTTTCATAGAATAAAATGCCTTCTGTAGTACCAATAGAAGCGTATCTTTTGTTATATATATATATATGGAACATCTAATTTATTTAATTTAATTATAAGAATATTCATCATACATAATCAATTTTGAATAAAGATTATTCTGATATTACAATATCTTAAAGTCGATGAAATCCACCAAATTTATGTAAGATATATATGTGTCAATATCATTCAATTTTTAACAGAATATTCATACATGTACATATATATACATATACGTATATATATCCTTCCCCTTTATCCCTTCAATATAAGCATTTAAGTATATAATGCATGCACATTCTACCAATACCTCTACGGGAAACCCCAAAAAGAAAAAGCTATATACGTTATATATATATCTTTTTTTTAATTGATCAGCAAGACATATCCTGAGCTTCATTTACAGATGTTCTTTATGTTCTTCAATGACACGTCACAGCTATTAAGAATATTCACGTGACTTGCGAACTTTTTTTTGTCTACTTGTGTTTTCTAAGTGTCCTAAGCTCTTTGGCAGAAGCAGTAGAGACGATAAAATAATACTAAAAAAAGCTGAAGGTGTACACAGCTTAGTATAATTATAATTATATTTATATTCAACAACATTAAATACATTCTAGAACATATTTTTTTTAAAAAGTGAGTTAATCGATCCAACACATTCCTCCAAACACACACACACACATCTTTGATCGTAACAGTCTCACTAAACAACCTTGTGTGCTTCTGTCTCCGTGTCTTTTTCTCTCTCTTCTTTTTTGCCACTGTTACTTTTATAAAATAGCCATGAGTGGATCAGAAATTGCCGCCGAAAATGTCAAAATCGACACCTCAAAACTCACCCCATTATCACCTGAAGTAATTTCCAAGCAAGCCACAATCAACATTGGTAAGAATATTCACAATTAAGGAAAATGAAATTCAAAGAGGACGATAAAAAAACCCCTACAAGGGATCAAACAAATAAACCAAAAAGAAGAGAGAGAATTGTAGACGATTTATTAAACGAATAAGGATGAGCTCCGAGAAATTATAGAAGATGGTTAATCTCTGTTGGAATATACACTAACAATTGTACAAATTGTAGGTACCATTGGTCATGTAGCCCACGGTAAATCTACTGTTGTCAAGGCCATTTCTGGTGTTCAGGTAATATATAAAAATATAGAAATCAACTAAATAAATTAATTAAATCTCGAGAAAAAAGAGAGAGTAAAAGGAGAGAGAGAGAGTAAAAGTCTGACATGTGTGGCTTTATTATAGACCGTTCGTTTCAAGAATGAGATGGAAAGAAATATTACCATTAAGCTTGGTTACGCAAACGCAAAGATCTACAAATGTGAGAACGAAGCATGCCCTCGCCCTGGATGTTACAAATCATATGGCTCCTCCAAGGAGGATCATCCTATGTGTGAACGTGTTGGTTGCGGTAGTAAGATGAAGTTGGTCAGACACGTTTCATTTGTCGATTGCCCAGGTCACGACATTCTCATGACTACCATGTTGTCCGGTGCCGCTGTCATGGACGCAGCACTTTTGTTGATTGCCGGAAACGAATCTTGCCCTCAACCCCAGACCTCAGAGCATTTGGCTGCTATTGAGATCATGAAGTTAAAGCATGTCATTATCTTGCAGAACAAGGTTGATCTTGTCAAGGAAAAGGCTGCACAGGAACAGCATGAAGATATTCTTGCATTCGTTAAGGGTACCGTTGCTGACGGCGCACCAATTATCCCCATCTCTGCTCAGCTCAAGTATAACATTGACGCCATCAACGAATATATTACCAAGAAGATTCCCGTACCTGTCCGTGACTTCACTGCTGTTCCCCGTCTTATTGTCATTCGTTCTTTCGATATTAACAAGCCAGGTGCTGATGTTAACCATCTCCAGGGTGGTGTTGCAGGTGGATCAATTTTAAAGGGTGTTTTGAAGATTGGAGATGAGATTGAGGTGCGCCCTGGCGTAATTATCAAGGATCAAGAAGGCAAGATCAGAGCAAGACCTATTCTTTCCAAGATCTTGACTCTTGCTGCAGAAACAAACAAGCTCGAATTTGCCGTTCCCGGTGGTTTGATCGGTAAGGTTTCTAGAGAATAATAATAATAAGAGTACATTAGCTAGATTGGGTTGGACTCCAGTTTAATTAATCTCTATTGCTTATGATTATTTTAAAAAAGGTGTTGGTACCCAGATGGATCCCACACTCTGCCGTGGTGATCGTCTTGTCGGTCAAGTTCTTGGTTTCCCCGGAACTCTTCCTTCAATTTACACTGAGCTTGAGATCTCTTACTTCTTGTTGCGCCGTCTTTTGGGTGTAAAGACTGATGACAAGAAGCAGGCCAAGGTTGCCAAGCTCACCAAGGGTGAATTGCTCCTGGTTAACATTGGTTCAGTCTCCACCGGTGGCCGTGTTGTTGGTGTTAAGGCTGATCTTGCCAAGATTGTCTTGACCGGTCCCACATGTACTGAGGTTGGTGACAAGGTCGCAATTTCCAGAAAGATCGAGAGACACTGGCGGTAAGCATTCAAATATAATTAATTTAGTATTTAGTATTAAGCATTATTTATTTATTTCTATATATATATGTGTGTGTGTGTGTGTGTGTTTGTTTACTGATCGATCCTCTTGTAATATTCTTTTTTTAAAATTATATATATATAGTCTTATCGGTTGGGGTAAGATCAAGCGTGGTACTGTCTTGGAGGCCGAGGCAAATTAAATATAAAATATTTTTTATAATTAATAAAAGCAACTTTCATTTTGGTTTTTTTTTTCTCTTCTATTGTCTATAACAAAGTATTGCTTTATTGAAACATATGCATGCTATATCAAATATGCTTCAAATTCTATATTAACTCAGCATTTTTCTTCTTAATACTCTCAAGGAATTTGAATCATTAATAGTACTAAGAAATAATAGCCTTATATTTTATGTATTTTTCCTTTTTTGTGTTGCAAAGTCAAAGAATGGAAAAAGTCCCTACTATTATTTTATATATACATATACACACGCATAGATGTAGGATATAAAGATCTGAAGCTGATAATAGTTTAGTTTGTACATGCCAAACGCAACAAATCTATCTAAAGATAACATTTGAAAAACGGGGTCCAATATCATCATCTCTGTTACGTCTTGGGAATCCACCTCCTGGGCCACCGCGACCTCTTCCTCGGCCTCCAGATGCCACGAAGTTAGGGTCCGGCTGCATAGTTTCCAGCCATGAAGGTACCTCTTGCTTAGCTTCCTTCAGAAGTTTGACCATTTCAGGTGCAATGTTTCTGTTGTAGCGGGTGAAGAATGCGGTAGCGATACCGGTATTTCCAGCACGGCCAGTACGGCCAATTCTGTGAACATAGTCATCGATCTCGTTTGGCAGATCAAACGAAATTACATGAACAACATTCGGAATATCCAGGCCTCGAGCAGCGACTGCGGTAGCAACCAATATAGGGCGTCTTCCAGTTCTGAAATCATCCAATGCTGCTTCTCTTTCAGACTGGGTACGGTCCCCATGAATGGCTGTAGCAGGAAGGTTCTCAAATGTCAAGTATTCACAAAGCGAATCAGCGGTTCGTTTGGTTTCTGTGAAAACAAGAGTCAACCCCTTTTCTTTGTGCTGACGAAGAACTTCGAGAAGCTTTACACGTTTATCATCATTCTCCACAAGCCTGTTATATACATATATCGAAAAAATGTAAGTCATAGAATATTTCATATTTTTTAAGCATATCAATACTTACAGGATTTTTTGGGTAATGTTTTCGGAAGTTGCACCTACACGGCCTACAGAAAGGAAGACATACTCTTTTAAGAAATCTCTGGCAAGATGTTGAATATTTTGAGGGAAAGTTGCCGAAAATAGAAGAGTCTGTCGTCCTTGGACACCAGGCATATCTTCGCCTTCGACAATACGTCTAATCTGGGGCTCAAAACCCATGTCAAGCATGCGATCGGCTTCATCCAAAATAAGGTAACGAACGTTGGCCAGTGAAATGCGTTTACGTTCCATTAGATCGACAAGGCGACCAGGAGTAGCTACCAGAATATCACATCCACGACCAATTTGTCTAATTTGGGCACTGATGTCGGCACCACCGTATACAACACACGGACGTACGTAGGATCTGTAAGCAAATTTTCTGGCTTCTTCGTAAATCTGCGACGTCAATTCACGTGTAGGAGCAAGAATAAGAGCGCTAGGGTAAGCCTTTCTGGACATGTAGCTGTCAGATGCGCCTTTAGGGGGATCTCTAGGGCCTTCTTGGAACATGGCCGAAAGAATAGGAAATAAGAAACCACCAGTCTTTCCAGAACCTGTCTGAGCGCAGGCCATCAAGTCACGACCACCCATGACAATTGGAATAGAATGTTTTTGTACTGGTGTTGGTGTTGTATAACGAGCACGTTTAATGTTGTCAAACAAGTGTTTATCGACGGGAGGTGTGGTGAACTAAAGGGAAATCAATGCATCGAATATATATGTATATAAGGTTGATATTTTTTCACATTAGCTACATTCTCTTTGCTTCTTTATCTCTCTATTCAGTAGTAAAAAAAAGAAGTGTATTTTCAAGACTTACCTCCTTTAAACCTTCTGGTACATCGACACCCTTAACTTCCACAGGAATATCTGCGTACTTTTCGAAATTTATACCAGTGTGTGTCACTTCTGTGGCTTCGGGAGTACCAAACAACTTGATCTCCAATTCAGGATTAGGAGCAGCAAGGACGTGAACGCCATTTTCCCAGTAACCACGACCATCCTCTATGCGTTGCTTCTCCAGCTTCTCCTTTGCTGCAGTCTTGTCATCTACCATTGACTTGGGCCACATATCAGCAAGAGATTTTTCTCCCCACTCGTTACCGCCGCCAGAATTAGAAGAAGGTTGGGTTGCCCATCTAATATGGGTTTAAAATATATATATATATATATAAACATACAGATAAAAAAAGCGAGGACAGCAGCCAAACGGCCTAAATGTAAAAATCGTATATTTACCTATCAGTTTCGGTAGTAGTAGTTTTGGATGATCCTCCCCATCCATCAGATGTTGTGACAGGTTTTGGAGTATTCCAGCTATCATTGCTGGGTGCTGTTGCCGCGGGTTTGCTGGACCGTGCGTTTGACTTTACATTACTCCAGCCATCATTACTGGGTGCTGCAGCTGTTGTCTGTGCACTTCCCCACCCACTATTGTTAGGTGCAGTTGGCTTTACACTATTCCAACCATCATTTCTGGGTGCTTGTGCTGCTGGCTTACTCGCCTGTGCACTTCCCCATCCACTATTGCTAGGTGCTGCTGGCTTTGCGCTACTCCAACCATCATTGCTGGGTGCTGGAGCTGCTGGTTTGCTAGGCTCTGCATTTCCCCACCCACTATTGCTAGGTGCTGCTGGCTTTGCGCTACTCCAGCCATCATTGCTGGGCGCTGGGGCTGCAGGTTTATTAGGCTGTGTACTTTCCCATCCTTGCTTAGTATTCGTTTGTGCAGGTGGTTTCGTGTTTTCCCAGCCAGCATTGCTAGGTGCTGCTCTGGTGACAGGAAGAGGTGCACTTTCCCAAGTTTGGGTGTTTTCTACGGGTGCGTTTTGTTGCGAGCTTCCCCAGCCACCGGTCCCAGTTGGTCTACCAGGATTTTGTTGCCAACTTTGATTGTGTCCAGGGTTTTGTTGAGCATTAGGTCGATTATGACCAGCATAGTTTCCAGGCTGACTTGGTCTCTGATTACCGTGACGGGATGTATTGTTCCTGTTATTATTCCAGGATGTGCTCACATTCTGCCATCCGATGCTAGCTGCTTGTTGGTTGGGCTTGTTTTCTTTATCATTGAATGACATCCCAGCTGTTTTGAGAATGATTATGAGACGATCGACATTTCATCTATGAATTGCTTTTGACAGTTCAACAGAGCACAAGTACACACATTCTTATAAATAACAGAAATTTACCCATTTTTTGGTTGAGTCCAGCAGAACGATTTGAGTTGTTACTCATGGTTAAATCTGTGAAAGAAAAACCGATAAAGCAGTATTTCACTGACAACTTTTTTTTAGGTCTCTAGCTTCGGACTAAGTCACATTAGTTATGTATCGTTAATCAAATAATCAAAAAAAGCAGGCTTAAAAAATATACATGAAAATCAAAAGTTTATTATTCTGTATTATTGTTGTGGTTGTTGGTATAATTATCATTAGTAGTAATAGTAGTAGTAGTAGTAGTAGTAGTAGTGAGATAATATAAGTATTTAAATGTGTTCAATATATATATACTTTTGTAATTAAAGATTAATGTAATCCTATATGCTGTAAATGCTTATTGCTTGTACTTCTTGGTTCTTAAGAACATAATTTTGTCTAATTTAGCTTTCTCTCCAACGGCGGCCGTATATTTGGACGAGGGGGATACAAGTAAAGTACAATGCAAAGTTGAAAATGGTAATCATTGTGCTATAAAACAGTGATAAATATGTAAGGATTAAGATATACAAAAGAGAAGAAAAACATTTATCACTTACTATGTCCAACCATCACCAAGACCATTTCTAATTGGAGCTGCCAGCAAGGAGAACATCATTCCAAGCAAATTTCTTGTAAAGTTACATGCTGATACGACTATTAAATAATACTATGTAAGTTTTTTTTGGGGGAGCATTTAATGCAGATAAGATATTTTACCTGACGCAGCACGACCAGGAAAGGTCTCTGAAAGATATGTGTTTGCAATTGTCATGGTAAACATAGTTCCAAAGGTGTCTATAAGCATTATATATATATATTAAAATTAATCAGCTTAGTTGAACTTATTAAGGAAAATGAACACTTACACATTGCGTATCCGATAAGAGGAGGGAATGATGGTGCGTGGAAATCAAGGAGCCAGCCATAAAGAAGTCCACCAAAGAGGAGAAATGGAATACCAAAGTAGACAGGTGTGAGACGGTACTCAATCTTGCGGATGTTATTATTGCGCGCGATTTGCCAAAAGTAAAGGCGATCTGACACTAAACCAGCCACAATACTTCCCAAGGTATTTCCAACACCTCCTGCAAAGAAAGCCAGCCCGACTGAACTTGTAGAGAAGTTATAAAGCCCGTAATATGTAGCAGGAAGAATAGTGACCAGAAGATAAAAGAATCCAAATGCAGCGCTCACAGGTAAGCACACCAAAAAAATATGAGGCTTTAAAAGCAAGCCAAGACTTCCGAACTATTAAAAAAAAACATGAATATTTTAGATTTCCGGATTGTCTTTAAAGCATAACAAAATCTCACAGAAAATCTATGGGTTGAGTCTTACGGTGGATACTTACTGGGTTGAACCTGATTTTTGAAAAGAATGATTGTTTGGTATCAGTTTGTGGCAAACTACCAGGAGGGATGTAAAGAGTCTCTTTGACGAAAAGGAACGTGATTATTGTCATAACTCCACCGATCATAGTCTTGATGTAAAAAATCCAACGCCATCCAAGATATTGAGTAATGAAACCACCGATCATTGGAGCAATTGCTGGACCTAGGACAGTTCTAAGAAATAGAAAAAATGGACTCAAATTAGATATTTACTGTATGTGAGTATAATAATGTAAGAAAGTAACTCACCCAAACATATAAAAGCTCATGGCTTTTCCTCTGTCTTTTGATTCAAACATATCAGAGGCACTTCCACCTCCAAGAGCCTGTCCTGCACAAGCAAAGATGGCCTGGAGAATTCGGAAGGTGAAGAACATCCCAATGTGCTTAGATATTCCGCAAATGATTGTAACTACTGTGTACATGCCCATTGCTGATATGTATATCCATCTAATATTGCTGCCCTGATTAACCAAAAGCGATTTGTGAATTAAACACTTGAATCAGACTTACCTTCTCCCTATACGTTCACTTAATGGAGCCCAGAATAATGGCTACACAAACGGATAAACTTTCTCACTTAGCGGACTTGAAGAAGAAGAAACAGAAACACAGAAACACAAAAAAAAACTTACACCAATACCAGTGAAAAGAACAAAGATAGCTACAGTAGCATTGATTGTCTGGAGAAGATCGTTAATATGAATAATGATAATAATTGTATCGTGTCAATTCAACTTACTATAACATTCGTGTCAAATTCAACTCGCATTATTGCAGTAGCTGGAAACTAAGCAAGATTATATATGCCTGTATTAGACGTGCGTACATCTTTATTAGCTAAAACAACAATAATATACTTACGTAGATCGCAGAAGAGAAGTATCCCATAAAAGCATGCATAGCTACAATACTCAGATTTGTCCACTTCTTAAGGGGAGACCAGTTCTAAAGCAAAGCATTGGGATTAAATGAAAATAAACTTATGTAAATACACCAGGTTATTAGATAATACCTTTGGATTATTAGGATCTTTGGCAGCATCTTCTTCAACGTTTGATTTGATCGTTTCTGCATACGCAATCTGATCTATTCCTTCTCCTATTGTCGATTGAGAGACATCGTTGATAAATTCAGTTTGTGTGATTTCTTGAATCACAATTTGGTTAGCTATTCATTATTCATACAAAGCGTATTTTTTAGTTTTATTTTTACCTTGTCCTTTCTCTAGATTCGACATTTGAGGAACGTCAATTTTTTAAAAATATAAAAAAAAAAGTAGAAAAATATGATCTGAAAAAAGGCAAGTGCTTTTATACCGAGATTTGGCTTCTAAGTTTTACTTTTGTGCGACACTAACTGTTGACTTTACTCTATAGCTTTGTACAAGCGACTTTTACGCAATTGACAAACAATTTGCGCAATTGATCTGCATTTCATTCAATAGCTCAGATAGTTTTACATAAATTAGATTAAATAGATAGTTGTGTAAGTTGAATTCTGCAATTAACTAAGCAATTCTATGTTCTTTTGATGTATAGTATCTCTTTGTGTTTGTCTGTGTGTGTCTCCGAATGACTCATTGGTGGGAATATGTCCTTCACATCTAATTTATATAAATCAGTATATATATATATATATTCATTATGACTGACATATTTTGCACCGCTCTTGCCAACAAGAATAATAAAGATAATTCAATCTAAAAGGCATGTAGGCCCTCCAAAAAAATAAATATTGGAAATACCATAAAAGGTTTTTTTTTAGTTTTAGACCCTTTCTTATAGATCAGATCTTTGACCGCAGTATTTTTTTATTTGGTTGTCTAGAGACGATTGTCTGAGTGTAAATTAAAGTATGAAAGCAGGATCATTTTTATATTTCTTATTTTGGCACAAAGAGAAAACACAGGGTAAAGGTGACTGTTCATGGTTGCACAAAGTAGTATTAAAAAAGAATATATTATTTTTAAGTATTATCTGTTATACGAAACACACCAAAGAAACCTTTTATATATTACTGGAAGCAGCATTGAATTCTGAATATCCTTCATGGATTTCTTTTTAATGTTTACAATTTTCCAAAAAAAAAAGAATAGCAAATATTTGATATATATGTATTATTGAATAAGTTTTGGTAAAGGCCAAATATTTACACACGGCCTTCCATGCTCTAATAGTATTTAGGTTGTTTTGTCTATTCGGGTGTTGCAATTAATGCACAATTCTCTAGACTAGTCTTAGGATCCACATAGTACACAAGTTCAACCTTAAACCCGTGTTCCTGAAGGTAACGCATTCTTCCAGCATCTAAAACGCGCTTACACTCATAGCCTATTTTTTCACGCTCACTAGAATCCCACCCAGAGTAGTGATTGCTGAGAAGAATCCAATACAAACGAGTAAGCAAAAAAATATGTCTTGTCGTGACGGTACTAAATATAGCCCTCAAAAGGTTTAATATGTATGTGTATGTATTTACCTGGTCTGGTCTGCATCCCCTTCTTCCTGTCCTGCATCTGCATGATCAGCCAACTCTTCTTCTTCTTCTTCCGTTAATGGTACATTTTCTGTCTCGGTGATTGATTTCTTTGGATCATACGTAGGGCCACTGGTAGCCCAGCTGCTCATCTTACTCAAACGGTCGAACTCAACCCTTGAAATGTTCGTTTGCTTCAAGTATTCATGATTAGGGTACATTTCATAGCGACATAATTGATGGCAGCATAAGGCAATGATTATACCCGAGATAGGCTTACTAAGAGTCACACAGCACCCACAATGAGTCAAACCTTTTTCATAAGTTTTAATCTCCTTTCCGTCAAGACCTACAGATTTCCTGCTTCTCTTTGGTTTGTCACATAGTTCATCAGGCATTTCAAGGTAATATCGGTCGCACTTCCACAGAGATGCTTGGAGAGAACTACCACCTTTTTCATCTCTTGGTTCTCGTTCATCAAAGCCTGAACCTTGCTCAGATCCAGATCCTTGATGTCAATAAGAACTCGCTGGACTACTGAGTGTGTGGCATCTGTACCTTTCAAGAATGGATCCAACTACTCGAATAAACCTTACTTAGTCGCTTTAATTTTGACATTTTTTTCTTCTTTTCGTGTGTACCTTGCTTTTCACATTTTTACGGTCGACCAGAACATAAGTAGCCTCTCCATTCTTTTCGTCCAATGCCTTCTTCAAGAAACCAGAGAGCTCACCTAGAGACATATCATATATAGTTGGTAAATATTAGTATTGGATGTGAATACAGATATGTTTGTATCTAATACCTCTGCCTGCACCAAACTCAACGAAACATGCCTTCTTGTCATCCAGCATTCCTCTTTGAACCATATGACCAAGCAAAGAAGACTAAAGGGTTTATCACAAGCCATTTAGAGTCATGCACTCGGTTATATCCACCTCTTGAACACTAAAAGTCCTAAACATTCTTTATTTTTTACCTGCTGATCAAGATGCTTAACAAATCTTTCAGCAGTGCTACAATCTCACGGGCGTAAGCTTTTATTGTGGTTGGTTGAAATTATATATATATAAGGTAATAACTTACCGAGGACTGGCTGTCGCAGGATTGGTCAGTATGACTTGTTCAATTTTTGGTACATATTCTTTATAAACCTTTTCTACTTTCTCTGCGACTGATCTCATGTCTTCTTTCTGCAATTTGCTGAGTTGAATACGGGCAATCCAAGGTAGAGAGTACATATTCTTGTGGGACTGGATTGTCTTTTGGAAATCAAGTTCCTCTTGTGTGAGAGCAAGAGTGCAGTTGACATTAAGCGAATAAAATTGTTCTTGCTCCTTTGGTCGTGCATTGCATCGTGTTTGCATGTGGTGCTCAAGATTAATTTCAAAGATTGTGCTTTTAAAATTAAACAAAGTCAGGAAAACAATACTAGTATAAAGGAAAAGAAAAACAGGAAAAGTCTTGATCACCTACTGTGAAGGATCGTAAGGACAAGGAATTCGACGTAAAGTCTCGGTATCTCCAGCCTTTTGTTGTTCTGCCAAGTGTTCACCACAGAATTTGTTAGTGCGTTTTGCTGGGAGACTGCAATATCTGCTCTTTCGGGCAACATAGAAATGACATTGTTGCGGTTTGTTTGGAGGAGGAGGAACAGGTGCTGGTGTTTTTCCAGCTTTAGAGGATCGCGATCTAGATTCTTTTGGCATGGTAGATGCAGGGACCTGAATTGCTAATCTCAAACCAAAATACTGTTTTTGTGACTTGTATTTGACCGAGACTTACCTCACTTGGAAAAAAGAAAATTGTGGGGTTTCTTTTTTTTAAAAAAAAAAAGTCTTTCTGTTTCTGGTCTCTTTGTGGTTATGTAAGCAAGTAACGTTTGAAAGAATATAACATTGTGATATTCCATGACATACCAATACAAAGTTTCAAAGCTGTTAGGAGATTCAGCTCTCAATGACTAATTTTTACGTCCTGACATAGCTATATTGCTAAAAATAAAGAACAAATCCTAGATTTTCAAAGGCATCTTTCCTGATTTATTTCCTTATTCTTAAAAAAACAGTGGTATTTTTAGAATGCTTATTTGAAATAAGCGTGAAAGTACTGCAGTCTTATTCTTCAAGGATTCAAAAAGTAATTTAAATCTTAAGGGAAAAGTTTTGTATGGCTAAGCTATTAAATTATAGGAGCATAACCCTGCTCCTGATTCCTTTATTCACAGCTTAAAATTATTTAAAGTAACCAGATTCAAGGTGCTACATGTGGAGAAGACCATGGAGAATCCCCACATTTTCAATAAAAATGCCCGATCTTTCCAGCGCTTCGGAAATCACCAATTCTGGTGCTCATTGGTATACCTATTGGTCTTTTATATATAATTTGATCCACAGTCAGCTATTTCCCTATTTATTAGTGGTATCAATGCCAGAATTATACAATTGTAGCTCGATAAAGGACGCCTATTTCAATTATTTATTCCTATAAAATAAATAGATTAAAAAAGGAGTGAAAATAATTGAAACATCAATCGAGGCTTTCGATTAGTAAGAACTTTTAAGCAATTTCACCTTGGACGGGTCTTCCTCATGCATACTCTTTTTCTTTCTTCGATCGCCACGTTACTATACATTCTTGCAATTCCTATATTTTCTCACGGATTTAAACAATTATCTGCTTGTCAATATCCTGTGAGATACCTTAAATAGAAGAAGTGTAACGATTGCTATCTCCGCTACACCAAAGCCAAGTACAAAATGTTATCCCCGGACTTTCCAAACTCATCTTCATATGATAACGAGCGTCACTTTCTCACTCTTGTTTTGAGTCTTGCTTATTTTTTTCCCGAAACTTCCTTTCCATTTTACACTTTTACTCTATAAAACCTCAGTTATTAATTAATAAAAATTATATAAATATATATATACACATTTAACAGAATAAACATAATGCAACAACCGCAGCAGGGACAAGAGCAACTCTCGACAACTCTCACAGCTCAACACAAACATACCACACCTAGGAATGCGCTTCAGCAAAAAGACAGACAGCAAAAAACCCAAAGTTTAGACTACGTAATCAGATCCGGACTTGCAGGTGGATTAGCAGGTTGCATGGTAAGCCATTAAACCATTAGCTTTGTAAATGACAAGTTACGAATGACGCGATTTAGGCAAAAACTGCGATCGCGCCATTAGACAGAGTCAAGATTCTGTTCCAAGCCGGAAACCCTATATTTGATAAATATGCAGGTAAGCTACAGAGATAGAAAGAGATAGAGTACGCATAGTATGGTACGCTAAGTATGGTGTGGTAGGTACATTTACTGGTGCATTCAAGGCCGGTCGTGATATATTTACCACCTCTGGTACAAGGGGACTCTTCCAGGGCCATTCTGTTACACTCCTTAGAATTTTCCCCTATGCTGCTATCAAATTTGTCGCATATGAACAATATAGAGCAGTAAGTATATATATAAAAATATTATAGCTTAGGAAGAGAGTAGAGAAAGAAAAAAAGTTGTGTATGTGAGTATGGCTAACTTTTTACTTAAGCTACTTATGCCTACAAAGCAAGCCGAAACACCAGCAAAACAATTCGTTGCAGGCTCTTTAGCAGGTAAAACCTATTGGCTGACTGACTTACTAGAGTAAAAAGTAAATCCCCTGACTAATGTAGTATATTTATTGACTTTTATATTTGCCCTTTAGGTGTAACATCCGTTTTATTCACATACCCGCTCGACCTTGTTAGAGTGCGCCTGGCGTACGAAGTCAAGCAAGATAGATCAAAAGGATCAAGTGTGATAGCAACATGTCGACAAATTTATCATGAACCTGCTGCTTCTCGGGGTTTTATGCAATTGAATATATTAAATTTTTACCGAGGATTTCTACCAACAGTAGTAGGAATGATACCATACGCAGGAGTATCGTTCTGGACATACCACATTGTCACTCAATTCTGCCGTTACAACCCAATTGCAACAAAGTACACACTCAAGCCTGATGTAGTCGATTTTGATCCAGCTAAAAGCAACCTTACAGTTCAACAACAACGAATTGTGGATAAACCACCCTTAAAAACATGGGCTGAATTGTTTTGTGGAGGTGTGGCTGGTTTGGTAGCTCAGACAAGTAGTTATCCACTCGAGGTAAGTTTTTTTTTGGACGATGAAAGAATACATATTAGGGACAAAGGTTTTTAAGGCTTAATGTGAAATAGGTAATTCGGAGGAGAATGCAAGTCGGAGGTCTATTGGATCCAACTGTCTTTGTTGGTTTTGTAAAAACAACCAAAGATATATTCAAGTCAAAGGGGCTCAAAGGCTTTTATGTGGGGCTTACCATTGGTTACATCAAAGTGATTCCGATGGTGGCAATTAGCTTTACTGTGTACGAGAAAATGAAATATGCCTTGAACATATACTGAGTAAGCACATGTAAACATAGATAAATGTTTATTAAATAATTTAAAAATAAAATTCTTGACACATAAGTCTCATTGTATATTCCAGGACCTCTACATCTATACACATATATTATACCGTAAAAAGGAAGAGATAGTCTTTTAAGTGCTATCCAATGGAACTCATAATACATACCACATAATCATATAGTCGAATTCTTGGACAACTTGTATAATAAGAAACAAAAGAAAAATACATCTATACAAGCTCTTTTGGAAACAAATGCATTTTGAGTAAAGTGCAAATTTAACGAAAGATGAAAATTGGCAATGAGAGTTGATCACTCGATCAATTACACATGAATTAGTTATATTGACAATGGAATCAATCTTCAATCATTTACAGTAGACACGATCTCACCATTGCGCAATTTAGAATGTCAATTACAATACATGAGGCAAATACTTTGCCAGTTAGGTTGGAATTTATAAAAGAAACCCCCTTTTTTTATACACACACACACAGTTCTTTCAAGTTTACCCAATGTAATTATTGAATAATCCACCAGTTCTATGGACAGATTACAAGGCGTAAGTAGCTTTGGAGACAAAAATGATATAAATATATGTATATATATATATATATTTATTCACTACATGTATAAAAACTACTAACTTATAAAAGCAAGATGCGCTCAATATATTCAGTACTATCTCTTCGCATTATATGTGCTTAAAGCTGGATTCTCTACAACTACTAATAATAGTACGTGCTCCCACATATACTTTATCTTACTGTATGTCGAGCTATGATAACTTATTGCAAGACATTATGCATATTTCAGCTAATGGGTGATATAATACAAAAGGCTATAGCTTTTTATAGGCTCCCAGCTTGAGATAGATAGATGAGATGAATACAGTCAAAGTTTAATATATTGATAATAGTGGGGGAAACGAAATCATATTGCTATCAATATATCAAGAGCTATAATGACTAATACATGACCCCCCCCCCCCCCCTCTTTTTTTTTTAGTAATTACATATAAACTCTAGGCTCTTTCACTTGACGCCACTACAGAGAGCAAATTTAGCTTGAGCAGAAAATTATTATACTTTGAATATTATAGAACTTACTACTGAAATGAATAATTGCTTTCATCAAAACAATAACTTACATAGAAAAAAAATCAGCTTTACATCCAAAATTATTACCAAAATTCTGCTTATATTTATAAGTAACTTTTTTTTGATACGTCAAGATCCACCATTTGAGCGTTATTTGACAGCGATTGCTCAAATGTTGATCAAAACATCCCATTTGTCCACTCTAAAATAACATTTACTAATGAGATTTTGGATATTTATACCATATAACGATGTTTGATTGCAAAGTTCCCTCGTGGTATACAACTAAAGAAAAATCGAGATTTTGAGATTTGGTTTACTAAGTAAAGCTGTTTATAAAGTTTATTAATAGCGGTCAGGCTTGCTTGATCAATATCAAACCAATATTCATATAGATCTCGATATGGATAACAGGTTTTTGAGTTGATTTCCAATAAAAAAATACAAAAAAAAGATAACAGACTTTATAATCATTTAGTACATAGTAATACCCTACTGTATTAATAATAGTTATACTAGGCTATCATATTAACATATTTACCTATTTACCGAACTATTTGTATAATTAGAAGAATTTATTATCGTACAATGAATAAACTACTGCCACCAAAAAGGCACGAAAAGAAGAAAATAATATTTATGAATTCTTCTAAAGTAATGAGTAAAGGCCAAATATACTTGAACAGTATAGAAGTTTTGAATAAGATTATTATACAGGTCTATCTGTACTTATTGTAGTGCATGTGATATCTGGGCATTTATTTTGTCGTTTGTATAAAGCATTCTATAAAGATTAAAGATACTGGGCATATGGCGCAATATTCTGCATACTTAAGCATACGTTAAATGCAGTATACAAAGATTCTGAGCAAAAGAACTATACAAACAATAAATAGTAAACAAAAGAGTTGTGTCACAATTCTTATCATTATTGTTGCAGAAAAGAAGGAATACTCTGAGTAAATCAAACAAATGAAATTTTAATGTTGTGCGATTTATAGTCTTGGAATAATGTATCCAAGCAAGACTTTTTTTATATATACTACAAATGAAGTATGTTTTGTAATTATTGGTACAGAGAAACTATTTGTATCAAAACAAGGCAGATTAAACGCTAAGAGACACACCAAGAATAAAGTATGGTGATTATTATATAATCATTATTTATCGTGTAATCAAACCTGAGCTTATAATAGCGGCTCCACAAAAAAAGAAAAGTAAAGAAAGGATCGACCATGATCTGCCCGTGAGAATATTATTATCCAACCAATGAATAAATGATGGTTTGGCTACTAGTGACAGACATGTTATTCTTTTACCCTTTTTTTGCGTTTAATGCTAATCTATGCGACATTGGGTTATAATGTATATAATCAAAATGCTAGATTATTTTAGATTACAAAAGAATAGTATATACCTGCAGAAAAAATTAAGCAGACCAGTTGGGTGGATAGAAGGTGCACTAATTAGCTGCTTTTACTAAAAAAAATAAATAAGCAGTACTGAATTACCGATTACTGATTATTGATTACCGACTATCAATTAACGGGTGAACGAAAACATACTATGTATTCGGTAATTTCCATTTTCCCTTACTTTTAAGATTAAATGTGTCTTACCATGGTGCAAGGGTAATTTTTGGAGAATACTCTATACTCATAACTGTCTAATTAACAATTTTCTCTGATCTTAACAATATATCTTATTTTTAATTTTGCGTTTTCAGTAGCATAACCATTGTAATAAATCAGATCTATATACATCAAAAGTAGAATAACATTTCCAGAAAAATATATAAGCTCAATAAGTCGGAGCACTGTATATTGCTTTTTACTAAGGTTGTTCCAATTACTGCTCTAGTTTTCTCATAAAATTAGATATATATATATGAATTACATTATACATCATTAAATACAATTCTGGAGTGATATGAATACCTAACCCGTGATCTTACTACAAATTGTTATGATCTTCCAAAAGTTCTTACAAGCTATAGACCAACTCGTTTCACAATTATCCTAAAAGTATATGATTCTCTAATGTATTCCATTCAGTCCAACATTATGATATTTAATATGGCTAAGCACTTGAGCCATTACAAATTCACATCAATCTACAAACAAAATTAAATATATAAATTGCAAAAATGAACTCGTAACTATTTTTAAATTGAAAAAAAAAAAGGTATTTAATGTTTTCTAGGTACAAGTTTCAGCCTTTTAGTCTCTTGGCAAAAGAAAATAAAGAATAATAAGGCAAATTTACTATCATAGCTCACATGAGCTATATGAAGCAAATGACTGTAACCAACTACTACGTGCTGTAGAGCAGTTTCAAGTGTATCGTACTACTTGTAATATAGTCTACTTTACACAGACAGACCTAGCGTCCCTGAGGCTGGAGCTATTATGGAGTAGAATAATGTGGTGTTCTGGTGTGTAAACGGTGTGACTTTTTAAGAAATATATGTTTCAAATGAAATACCTAAAAAGAGACAGAGTTCACAAAAGCATGGTTTTTTCTTCAAATAATAATAATGGTATTCCAGCTTTGTGTCACTAAGGATAAACTTCACCTCTTTTAGGTGTGTTTCATGCCAGGGGTTGACGCCAAAGTGTAACATGTCATGCAGTTGGCACAGTAGAAAAATAAATATAAGCAGAGTAGTATATGTATATCAACACTCTTTTTAAATAGTAAGATTAGCTTTAAAGATCGAGTAGAAATAATCGACAGACATGCCTTTTCTTTTAAAAAAAAAAAAAAAGTCATTTTCGAATGCCAGTTACTAATTTACATAAAGAGGTATATGAATAAAAGGTAATTTCAATGCAGCTGTCAGTGATCCTTATAGTAATCAAAGTAGCCGACTCCAAGAATCTTAGTTGGAGGAATAGAGTCGTGATGTTGATCGAGCATTTGCAAGTAAAAAGGACTAGATTAAAAGTGCAAAGCAATATACTTTTGTATTAATCATTTCAGAGCGGCGGTGATAATAATGTATTGGACCTGACACGGACAGCATCAGTACCCAAACCATTAGGAAATGTTGTTGACGACATTTTTCAACATTACCGTCTTTTGCTGCCAATGACATAAGATATATATATATATTTTGGCCGAGACCAAAGACCGATGGGCCTATCGCTATTACCCTAAGAGCGGAGACTCTTGCTGTGCCCCTCCATTTACTTTTCCTTTATATATTTTACCTTATCATGGATTCGAATCAATGAAAATGTATGATAGCCAGAAAAGACTTTTATCCTTATTCTGAAATTCGTTGCCTAATAAAGAAGTTATAATAACATAGCAAGAGTCTTTGCTAACTGAAGCATATAATGAAGAATAAAGAGTACAAATTTATTCAAAAAAAAAGAAAAGAAAGAAAGATTTCTACCAATCCGTAGAGGAGAGTTATCCATTATACAAACAAACCAGAAAAAACTTGAACTTTAACCACCCAGACTCCCACACTTTTCTAGAGGTTGACGAATGGGTGTTCATTTTTATTTTTTGGATTTTTTTTTAAGTGCGGATTACGGCTGTAATAAACCCGATTTCTTTTATAAGATATTCAAAAATAAATAAAATTGTTATTTAGGATACATATAAAAAAGAATGACTTGTCATCATTACCACCTACACAAACCTTTTTATGTTTTTATTTCTTAAAAGCAAATAAAGTCACTTTTCCGTATCAGTTGAAAGACATACACTCATTGACTTGTTTTCTTGGTCGATTGGAAGGCAAGGTGTCAACAACTGAGAGTACAAAACTTGTGTACATAAAAAAAAGTCACTTTGTGAGATCTTAAGCATTGGTATCTATTATTCTTCATTTGTTCTTTACCAGGAATTGTACCATACTCTTCGGCTTACAGTCCGTAATTGGTGCAAGTATAGTTTCAAGACATCGCAATACCTTTTTCTCACTCTCACTCTGTATTTTTATTTTTATTTTTAAAAAAATACAAAATACAAAAAAAGTATTGTATTTTTAGGTTATTAAAAATAGACACCGAAATTCTTGAGCATGGTAAGCGGACCGGGAGTTGAGAAGGAAAAAGGGGTCCAAGTCAAGTACGACCATATTCCATTGATCTTTTTTTTTTATAAACCAGCAAACTAAATTCCAGAACGCAATACAAACTTATGTCGTAACCGAGCTTGGCCTGCAATTTTTTTTTCTCTTACTTGGTCTTCGGACAAAATATATTTTAACACTCGACTTTCAAAAAAGTAAATTGTTTAAATTAAAACTTTTTGATTGGATAGTCGTTTTTTCAATAATTGTATGTTATTTTACTTAATTTGGACAATCTCCTTTATACAGTTGGTGTGGACAGACTAGAGGTTCAAAAAAAAGTTCAAACGACCCTGACTGACTAGTTTTCTTTCATTGCCACTTTGATTTTTTTTTTCTTTAAAAAAAAAAAAGACCATGCTTGTGAGGGAGAATATGTATCATAAGCTATAAGGCCAAAAGGAGAATTCTGCAAGAAAAGATTTTCATATGATGGAAGAGATGGTACTGTGAACACTTCATTTTATCTAATATGTATTTGACCCTTTTAATCGGTCTACATCAACTATATAAAAAAAATATGTCCAAATAAAGTAGGATATTTTTTTTTTGAAATTAAACATTGACTTTGTCCGAAAAAACAAAATAAAGTCCGACAGATTTTGGAAATGGTACGAAAACTAAGTAAAAAAAAAAAGAAAAGTAAAAAGAATGAGGGGGAAAATGGTAATAGGTGATCTTTGACACGTACACTTGGTCTGTAACTATTCAACCGAGACTCACATGTCTTTCCTAAACTTATCTAGACTCAGTCTGACAAGAGGTTGTGGAAATGAAGAAATATTATCCAAGGAAATATTATCCACTTGTAGGTTTTTTTATTTAAAAACATACAGATTAAATATATAATATATGTGTGTTTAATTTGATTTAATATGTATGGATTCTTGTTGGTAAATAGTACTATAAGGAATCTACATTTTGTATAAAAAAGAAAGGTCAATCACGATATGACATTTGCACCAATGTGTGGGTTGATTTGTAAGATATTGAGATGTGTATTGGTTACATACAATTATCGATATTCTCCTTTTACGTTTAAGTATCCGTATTTCAGTAAAAATAAATAAATAAATAAATAAAAACACGTTGAATTGTCATCCGAAATAGTGAAAGAGGTTCCGCGATTGAGCCGTCCGTTCATCGACGTATTTTTCATTTGGCTCCCAGAAATAGACCAAGAGATCCTATAATTGGTGCAAATCATTTACAAACGATATTTGTAACACTAATAAAGAAAGACGACGATCGATTGGGATAACAGTATAAATTTGCTATTTATGATTTTCACCCATTGGGTCTGGTGTACATTTAATGAAGTGTGACGAGTATTAAGTGGTAGGTCAAAATAATTTATTTATTTATTTATTTATTTATTTATTGGTAATAAGTAAATCAGTCAAGAAAGACCTAAAATACAATTAGAGAAGGGATCCCCTTTCTTGAAAATGAAGTTTAATAAGTTGTACAGTAGTAGGATGCTAGAGTAAAAGAAAGAAAGAAAAAAACAAAACGCTACGCGTTTAGAATTTTTAAAGGAGAGCAGCAACGGCAGCACCAACGAGGGCAATGGTACCGACAGCAGCAACGTTCTTGGTAGAGCCACTGGTGCCGGAAGCAGCAGGGGCAGCAGCAGAGCTAGCGGCGGCCTTGGTTCCAGCGGAACTAGAGGCAGCAGCGGGAGCCTTGGATCCAGAGGAGGAAGCACCAACGGGGGAAGCAGCAGAAGAGGCAGCAGGGGCAGCGGCAGCAGCATCACCGGAAGCAGCCTTGATGGTGAACTGACCGGTGTAGGACTGGTTGGGGGAGGTGCCAAAGACAAAGGCGTAGTCAGTACCGGCAGGGGTATCGGCGGGAATGGCCCAGGTGTAGGTACCGGAGGCAGTCTCTACATTGTTGGCAATGATGGCAACGGGCTGGAGAGCAGTAGAGAGACCCTGAGAGAAAACAATCTGGGAGATCGTAGGGACAGTAGGGTTGACCCAGGTGATGATGGCGGATTTGCCAGCAGTGTAGACGGTACCGGTCAAGGGAGAGGTGACGCTAATGATGTTGTCAGCAGAGACGGCGGCAACAGCCAAGGCAATGAGGGCAGAGATAAACTTCATGGTAAGGAGAGACGAGAGAAAGAGGGATGATCTTCTCTCTTGACCTGTCTCTCGAACTCCCTTTTATAAGAGTCATTTTCAACCACAATTCCCTCCACAACCAATCACTTGTCCGCGTACATTGGAAAACAATATCTGGCCCTTGCACAAGTGTTTATTGACTCCCGGGTTAGCTTGTGCAACCGCGTTCTGGTTTTACTTTTTGCGACCTGAACGACCAACATTGCAGTGAGATAGACTATACTACTGTAAGTTAGTTCTGATGATTGAGAATATTGTCCGGTACAAATCAATTGGAGATTAGCAACCTCGGTCAGGGACATTCACTTGGAACCTGTCAACTTTTAAACAGTTTCCATGGTAATATATGTATGTATATATACTTCTTCCAAATGCCAAGCAATTTTCAATTATTAGACGCTTAGAATAGTCAAAACCTCGGATGGCTGTCATTAGAACAAAAAAAAAACTAATGTCCTGTCCCCAACTGGAAAAATCCATCTTCTACAAATTGCTCCGGATCACGTGATCACACTTTTGGGTGATGCAATAACAAAGTGTGGCGAGCAATTCGATTCATGTATTTCAAATGACAACTGAGACACAAAACAGAACAATGCTTAATATGCAGGGATAATTCTGCCAATATTTGTTTTGTATGTAAGAAAATATATATGATTTTGATAGGCCTCTCGACCAGTCTTCTTGTAGTCTGTGCCCTGTTTTTATTTTATTTTTTAACCTTTTTATATATATATAATACACACATAAAAGCATATTATATTGTATTATATTATATTATATTATATTATATTATACTATATTATATAGATATGTATATACAATCTAATAATACACCAAATCACAGGGTTTCTTCATTATATTTTTCATAAGCTATCAACTAGTCCTTTGTCTATAGAGCTTTTAAAGGTTCTTTTTTAAGAAATTTAATAGTAATAAATAAATAAACACCCTTTTTGTGTATATACGTATTTCTATATATATATATATATGTGTGTGTGTGTGTATAGAAAGGTTTGGTTGTGTAAACTATTGCCATAATGTCTCCCGGTTTTTATATATATATATATTATTTTCTACTTGCACTGGTTTCAAACTGCGTCTGTTCGCTTTTTCCCTCTTTCCTTGCTCGTCTCTTTCTTTTCTCTGTTTTCTCTCTCTCTCTCTTATTTTTTAACCTTTTTGGCTGTACCTAATCACCCACTTGAGATCGATAGTGTGTTCATTCAACTCTAAATGACAATCCCAGTCGCAGTCGAAGACTCCATCTCTCTCCAGGATGAACATCTCGAAGAACTACAATTTTCCACTGAAGAATTCACAGAAGAAGACGTCCTGCCTTTTTTACTTCAAGCTCAAGACATCATTTCAAAGTTAGAGTCTAGGGTAGTAGAGCTAGAAACTGACCTTTCAGTAAGTGTAGTTCCAAGCAATACTAAAGAAATAAAAAAATGACAGAAACAATAAGCTTTCTATATATTTAAATACATTCAAGAATATAATATATATATATAAAAGTGGCTCACCCCACTTTATCTTTATTTTTTTTATTTTTTTTATAGACTATACACCGTAAATATGAATACGACCGTAATGATTGGCTAGTTGGTCTGTCACAAAAAGACCAATATATTCACCACCTATCAAGCAAACTCCAAAAGCTAGAATTCAATACCAAGGAAGCAATAGTCAACCTGTCTGACATGGTTGACGAAGACAAGCTATTACCTAACCTTGACCACGAACAGATGAACGCAACCATCGTCCTGTGTCTCAACTACCTCCGCCAGACTCAGCAGGGCATCACTCCGACTGTTGATGCCGTGTTTGACACCGAGGACCTTGAAGAGGGCGAACTTGAACGACGACAGGCAGCCACGAGTGAGTGGCAGCAGAACAAAGATCTTGATAACTGGAAGATGCCCCTTAAGCCTGTCAATCTTATGGATGGTCTCGAAGCCTCATCACACAACAGTATCGATGGCTCGGAGCTTACCGGCCCCACCGATCTTGACTCCTTCCATCCTACCATTTCCGACACAACCTCTGCCTCCTCTTTACCTGAAGATGACATCCCCCCCTCCTTGTTATTCCAACACCACCCCACCCTCCCATCTATAGACCACACATTCTGTCTCAACTGCAAACAACTCCTCACTCAACTCGACCAGCAAATTGAACAGAAAGCATACCTCAAACGAGACCTCGGCTCGCTCGCTTCCGCCCTCACCGAGGAAGAACAACTACGCTCCGACATTGAACAAACAAAACAAGCACTCGAAGAAGATGTCCAGGAGATCGCTACTGCACTTTTCGACAACCTCAACCGAATTTTGATGGATGAGGTCATGAATAGAGATGGCCTCGTCCGGATCAATAGAGAACTTAATGGTCTTTTGTTACCCACTCTCCAAGCATGGGATTCGAGAGAAACTCAGCTCAAGGAGATCAAGGAACTTCTTGTCGACCTTGATTCAGTTGTTCACCAGAGTGCCAACACTACCAGCAGTCTGACCGCAAGTGCAGACCGCTTCCAGTCTCTAGACCCTGATGTTCCCCGCAGTGGCCATCGTCGTCAACCCTCATCCTTGAGATTCTCAACAAATGGACCCCCTAACCTTGAAGATGCAATTCATGGTATCTCCAACAAGACAATTCGTATCGATGGTCTGATCTTCGATGAGTTCCAGCTTCATCTCAAGGCACTCTCTGCCACAACCCACCCCACCATACCCTTGACTGCGTACATGAAGCGAGTGATGGCTGAAGACATTGATCCCTGTCTCTTCCAGAATGCAGCTTCTGCCTGGTGGAAGTCACCCTGGTTCAGACGCAAGCTGATTGATGCAATCACCCGCAACAAGTGTGAAATCCAAAGCTTCCTTCCGAACCAGTCAACCTTCTCCTCATCCTCTACTTCGTCCTCTACTTCCCCAGCTGCTAGCCACATCAGCAATTCTTCAACCCCTACAACCACAACAGCCGTGTTAATGCCACCTAAAACAAAATGTGCATGCTGTGGTGTGCTGCGAGTGTGCGAATTCCGTATGCGTCTCCAACCAACCACTACGAGTCTGCTGGCTCAGAAACAGCCGCCATGGTTGCCTATTGATCGCTTCTGCCGTGACCGATTGGTGGCTGTTTGCGACTTTTATAGTTTTATGTCTTATCTGCGCCAGGCACTGATGCAGCACTCAGCCACTCTGAGCATGTTTAAGCAGTCGCTCCACTTCCGTCGTCGGATGGCTGTAGCCAAGATTGGCAGCATTGGTCTGTTTGACGAGACAAATATTACAGCCGCCAAACGTCGGTCTACCAAACGAGAGAGCATCGTTCTCGATCATTCTGGTAGTGGTAGTGATACTGCAAGTGTTGTCAGTATGAGTGACATACAAGGACTTGACGGCGCAGGACAGATTGTTATCGTCCATTAAAAAGAGACAAAACAAAAACCACACGGAAAAAAAAATCAACAAAAAAATGAAACCCAAATCACATACACACACACACACACACACACACGCACGCACGCAGACTCTTTATTATCCCTATATACACGCACAAACACACACAAACACACACAAACATCTATATCTTTATGAGAGCTTAATCAACCTTTTATTTTATCTTCTTCTTCTTCTTCTTTTTATTATTATTATCTTATCTTATTTATACCCTTACATAGTCTCTCTTCCCCCCATCTCATTATCTGATTATCTTGTCGCCAATAAAGCGCATTAAACATTCGATACTTATAAATCATTCTTATAATCTTCAAGCCCCCTCTTCTTCTTCTTCTTATTTTTTTCTCTTACCTCTCAAACTTATACTATTTTTTTTATTTTATTTTATATATCTCACTAAATGAACTGTTTCTATGTCTATTGTCTCAAATAATAATAATAAAAATTACCACCATTTTCACTTGAGATATAAGGTCTGTCAGCCATTAAAAGATTAGATATCATATCTTTTGTGTCAAGCAAGCAATCAAGCAATCAATCAATTTAATCTGTGCACCAAAAAAAAAATACTAATACAATCAAAATCAAAATCAAAATCAAATCAAAAATCCTTGACCGCAGCAATAAATAAATTAAATGCAAGAAACCACATTCAAATACCGATGTGACTCGTATCCTTTACCTGTTTTTTCTATTTTATTTCTTCACTATGAAAAAGGAAGTCTTCTTGGGATTTTTAATATCTCTTTTCAATTTATTCTTTCCTTTTTTTTTTAAAAAAAAAAAAAAAAACTCTTACCAAGTACACTATAGCAAAAACACACACATCAATGGTCAACAAACAGTCTAATACCCGACGTGGAAGAGGAGGACGTGGAAGAGGCGGTCATCGTCAAATAACTCCTTCTAGCCATGGATATATTTTCCAAGCTCAACCCAAGGACAATTTAGAAGAAGACTTTCGAGTTTATGGACAGTTTTCTGATGACGAACCCCAATCACCATTCAGACCTTCTGCCCACAAAGCTTCCAAGCCGGCTGTGGTTGCAAGCGCAAACCCTGACACTCTCCTGAGTAAATACGAAGGCATATACAACCGTAACAATAATAATAGTCGCAGTAAGAACGGATACAGCAACAATTATAAAAGACCTGGTTCCAGTAAAGAGGATTCTTATCAATCGAGCCATGGATCATCTAAATACAGGGAGGGTATCCAATTCACACCTTCGCGCTCAGGCATACCTTTTTCCACGTCTGATACCCCTGGTAAAAAAAATACACATATATATATATATATCATGGTCATATTGTGATCAATAGGCAGTACAGCTTTGTCTCTATCTCTCTAAATACTTGCATGTGTATTTGAATATGTCAAAAAAAAACAATTAATTTATATTATTTATCACTACACCTGTAGAAGATACATCAAAAGACGACACACCAGAACCACAGTCTACTACTTCGCAGTCAGAATCAAGTACTGGTCGACCCTCAAAAAATGCATCTGTGACAGAAATAGACACTGATAATGCAGAAATTGAATCTAGTTATGAGTAAGGTGTTCAGAATCTATACATATAACCAGATATATAGCTATATAAATTATTTATATTTATGTGTGTATGTATACATTATAGGAGTGATACATCTATTGATTTATTACATACCGGAGGATTCGTTCCCAAAGGTATAATGGATATAACATCTGACGACGAACGCAGACTATTTGGAAGCGCCGACACTTCAGATGATGACGAAGAAGAAGAAGAAGAAGTAATTTATGTGAAAACACATCTGTCAACAAAGAAATCCATCAATACACCTGTTGTGGATGTTAAACAACCATTAGCAGATGTTAAGCAGCCTGTTTCCCTTCCTACACCAAATCCAGACACCAAAAAAGTGGTTCTGGACAAACCTACCACTCAGACCATAACCAAAACAGCGGTTAAAACCATTCCTCAATCTACTGTACAACAACCAATACCTGACGAACATGCAAAGTCTATTCAGAAACCTGAGTCATCACGAACGGCCAAAGGTTTTGCACAAGACAAAGACTCTTCCCCTGACGATGAAGAAGAAAGTGAAAACGAAGATGAATATGAAGACGAAGATGACGACGACGACGATGATGACGACGATATAGAGATTGATGACGACGTGGATGTAGACGTAGATGTGGAATGGATCCAGGACTATATGGAGAATATGGAGCTCCAGGGCGAGAGTCTAGAAGATCTAAAGAATTTCTCAAAACGATTCAACCTTGACAAAGAGCCCGAATCACTCGATAGATGGCTTGATGAAGATGTACTCGATCTTGAAAAACTTCGGTCAGATCCTCCAAAGAACCGTAAAGAGAGGCGTAAACATCTTCAAAACGATGGATTTATTGAGATGACAGACCAAGAGTTCCGTCTTTCTCTTCAGGACGCTTTGGATGAGTTTCCTTCAAGCCTTCGGAAAGGTGTCAAGGCACGAATATCAGCCGGTCAATTGATAGAAAATGACGATAAAAAGGCAAAAAAGAAACAAAAGAGTCTGGAGCGTCGTATGCGTAAACTAGAAAAGAAGAAGACCAAAGAGACTATTGCAAAGATTGATATGCGAAAGATAGACAGGTGCGTTGTGGATAACTGCTGATAATAGAAGTATGAGTGCTCGTATCTAACACCTCGGTTTAATATAGACGTTTGTGTGATTTCATAAACGATGGATCTATATCTAGGTAAATATTTTATATGTAATTTGGTTCTTGAAAGATTGGCTATCTTATAACCAACTGTTTTTTCTTTCTTTGTATATATAGTTTCCAATTCAGCCCAATGTCTAATAACGAACGACGACAGGTCCATATGTTGGCTAGAGCATACAATTTGAAATCCACTAGTCTTGGATCCGGAGAGAACAGGTAGATATTGTAGATCTGCTCTTATAATCATATGAAATAATATAACTGATTTCTGAATCTATAGATCTACAACTGTCACCAAGACAGACCGTACATTTATCCCCAACGACAAACGCTACATTGAACGATTCATTTCTCAGGCACAGCAAACAGTGGACGCTACAAACGCCTTGTCAATCAAACAACAAGCAATGATGGCTAAACAAAATATCTATGGTCCACCAACTCTTTCGAAGAAAGAAAAGAACAAGCCCAAAGACAAGAAGGAAAGAAAGAAGGAAAATGCACCCAAAGAAGTACTTCAGTCTAGAGTTGTGGCTGCAGATGCTGCTCCTATTTCTGATGCCAATGTTGGACACCGGATGCTAGCAGCAATGGGGTAAATAATATTAACATTATGTAATACATACGATCCTATCACTGACTTTCTCTCATCTCTATAGATGGAAACAAGGCGATTCTCTTGGTGTTACAAATAGTGGTATTGTCAACCCAATTGAAGCCGTTATCCGCCAAAAGGGAAAGGGATTAGGAACATTATAACAGTAATAATAAGAAAATAATAATAGTAATATACAAATCATCCTTGTTTCTTTCTCAATGCATGTGCGTGTGTATGTAAATCCAACCCAATGTATAGTGTAATGTAATGTATGTGATGCGATGTTATGTGATGATGTGCTTTATTCGATATTCTCCCAGACCTGCTTTCGTACCTTTCGCTTTTCCGCCTTCTCAGCTGCCTTTTCTATTCTGATTTCTTCCTTGTCAGCAACCATCATGGCTCTTGCCATCTTCTTTTGTTTCTTCACACTGGCCATCTTCTTGATAGGAGTCTTCTTGACTTTGTGGACAGTTTTAGAGGTGAGAGAGATGGCTTTTCCTCGTGCTTGGAGTAGCTTCAACTCCTCGGCAATACGTGCCTTGGCTGATTTGTATGCATAAATAAGATTCTCTTTCTCTTTCTTTTTCTTCTTTCGTTCTTTTTTGTGTTGGTTGTTGTGCATAAAAATTTTATTATGTTCTCTTACCGCCAGTTGGCTCTTTCTGTTTCTTTCCGATTTTTCCAGAGCGTGCATGTTTGGAGACATTCTCGGGATCCGCTTTGACTATTATTGAATGATGAGCTTTGATGTGATCAATTAAGAATAATCTCATTTACATGTTGAGATCTTGCCCATGGTGAATCGAACGAAAAAGGTAAAAAAAAATTGAAAGCAAGTTTGAAATTTCAAGTTCACTTTCTTGTATTGTGGCTTGTAATTACATTTACACAGAAGATAAGGAGTGTAATTAAGTTTTTTTTTGGGTAAGCTTACGGACAGCCTGGAAGGACAGCCTGAAAGTGTATTACGTCACCTAGTCATGTGTTTGGGCAAATGTCATATTGGCGGGACAGTCTGGACAGCCTGAACAGTCTTGGTAGCCTGGACAGCCTGGAAATATGTTACTAAACTTACTTCACGTATTTAGGCAAATGTTCATTTTTTTGAGGCATTCAGACTTTTGATATATGTTTAATATTTCAAAAATAAAATAAAAAAGCATTGAAAATAAAGATAAATAAATAAATAAATAATAATATGAATAATAATAATAAAACTTGATAAGAGATAAAGAGATAAATATAAAAACAAGGAAATGGAATAAAAAAGAAAAATAAAATAAAAAGATCTACAGAATAAGATATATATTAATATTATTGAATGGAATTCCATTATGAAATCCATATCTTGGTAGTTAATACAGAATGGAAAAGTCCTCTAGGTTATGTTTTTTTACTATGGCTTTGTGAAATGGGTTTATTTGCGGCCAATTGAAGTTTCTGGTTGGTTTGCGTTTTGCAAGGAGAAAATCGTTGATGTCTAGAATAAGTATAATGGGTTCGAATTTGTCTGGTGTGGTGGTGAATGGTACAAAGAGACAGTCGCCAGTTTCTCTTGGAGTATTCCAATATACGGCTATGGTTCTGTTATATGTATTTGCTACGATTTGTGGATGGTCAATTGTACCAAACCAATGTTGTTGAGGGAGGGGCAAGTGTTTGTCTTGTAGACTGATGATTAATGGGTTTGTGGATGCAGGCATATGGCCGTGCTCCATTCTTCCTCCGTAATGAGTGTATTGATATTTTAAATAGTTTTCTAACATTTTGTCTTTGACTTCAGGTCATCGCTCCTGGTTTTGATATACTTCCATTGCTATTGCTCTATAGCCACAATTGCCATCTGCTTCCGGAGAGAATATCTGAGATATTTGGTGTGGGGCGATTGTAAGATTAGTCAGAAGTGTATGGTCACATGGTGAACCTAGGTAAATAATATTTTTTAATGCTTTTTGTTGTTTTTCTAAAGATAATTCATGTCTAGAAAATCGAAAAAAGTCGAATGAGTTAAATCTGAACAATATGTTATAATAAAGACTTACTTTTTTTGTTTTTTTTTTCAGTTTTAGTTTTTTTTGTTGTTTCTTCTTTTTCTGCTTCAAGACAGTGCTCTAGAGCAATCATTTTTCTTTTTGTATTTTTAGGTCTACCTTTGATGGCTTCCACTACTGTTGGACCATTAAGGTTCTCAAGTTTCTGCTTGGAGTCTAGTTCTATTATTTTGCCGATGCATTCTTTGAAATGTATTTGCTATTGTTTGCTTTGGGCGTTGATAAGTATTTGAGTAACCCGTTCAAGCTTATATGCGAGTTGGGGTGTTATTGTGGTGATTTTAGTGATGTTTTTAGGTACAGGTAGTGCGTTGTGAATAATTGAGTGGTCTGTACATAATTATATATAAAAAGAGAAAATAGTTTAATAACATATATGTATAGATATATACATTACCTTCTCCTTCTAAGTAGTTTATTCTCTATCGTCTGGGAATGCAAGAAATTGAGATTTTTTTATACTGCGCAAGTTGATGGTAGCAGGGCAAGAGATAGTTGTAGTTAATAAGACATTCGCACTCTTTTGTGAGTTTTTCAGGTATAATTGATTTGGCAAGTTCAAGTTTGATGTGGTCCATTGCAAAACGACAAATTTTGTGGCAAATATCATTCAGCCTGGAAGAATTGATTTTATCAAACACAACGGTAGTGCTCTCTCCGAGACACTCCGTTGTCAATCTGCGCTTTCAATCATCGACCTGTAAAATTTACAAAAACATTTCAATTAACTATTGTTATTATAAAGTTTAATCAATTGATATTTAAGATAATAAAGCATAGACGTACCAACGCTTCATAACACTTGACAATTTTCATGGTAACTGTCTTCAGTTTACCGGAAGAAGTTCCAAGGGCATGCTTCAGAGAAGCATGTGCACTTTCTGCACGGTTGGAAGTGCGATTTCCAAAGTGAGGATGTTTAAAAACATAGGTGTTTACCCAGTTCTCTTTGTCATGCATTTTTCTGATAACATATATAAAAAATAATGTCATTATTTATTGTTAACAAACTGTTTCCAGCAAATATAGCAGCGCTTTGCATACCTCTCAAGAAAAGCTTTCGCACTTTTTCCTTGATCTTTACAATTGTCTTTTGCAAACCTGAGATATGCATCAATCTCTTTTTTCTCTTCTTCGGAAATGGTGCACTTCAACACAATTTGGTCAAGATGACCGGCTAACTTATCCAAGAAGCCTCTCTTGTCTCCATCCTCGTCTTCCTTCATCATTGGCAATAGCTGCTTCTTGAAATTATTCTTAATTTGCTTATAGCACAACAGCTGTTTACACTCAGGGAAAGCATTGGTAATTGCATTCCTCAATGCTTTCTCATTGTCAGTGATAAACACACTTGGAAGTAGAGGTGTTGCGGTGGTTGTGTTGTTGTGGTTGTTTTTTTTGCTGCTGCTGCTATCATCAACATCTGGCCAGACAGAACCGCGCAGACAGCAAAGTACCCATAGATAGTTGTCTATCATTTCGTGATCCACCCAAGCTCCAGAAATTGGGAAAGTCTTCAAAGTCGTACGGGGGTTCCACTTACATTGCTGGTACCAACAATGTTGACATATGTCATTTGGTGACTAGTCGTCTTGTACGTATCGTCTATTACTATGGTTTCTGGTATTCTTCTTGCTTCGTCAATGGCATCCTTATTGATGAAAAACACCACACCACGGGAAAAAAGTGGTCTTTTTGGTGGTCTTTTTGGTGGTCTTTTAGGTGGTCTTTTGGGTAGCAGTTTTGGTAAAACCAGCAAAAAGACCACCCCTATTTTTGGAAATATAATTAGATCTCCGTTGACTGATGGATGTTAGGTTTTATTCATATCCCGATATTTAAATTTATGTATTATTCTTCTCGTTCCATTGGTAGAAAGAAAATAAAAAAGAGCTTTCTTATTGGTATAGATGGAAAAAAAGAATCTTTGTATTGTCACCCATAAAATACTTTCGTTATACTGCTACTTTTAATTGGATAATATAAACTTTATTCCAGTATGCACATTGATAGTATTGGTCATTTAAACAAAAGCATTCTCTCAATTGGTTCTCATATATATATATATTCTGATTCATTCACAGTTTTAATTGGGTAAAAAAGCAGCAATCTTACGGGGACGACATTTTCAGGATGGGGCACTACCTTTTTTTTGCCGGACTAATTTTTTGTGACTACTCGTCCGAAGTCCGATGTCTTTTCTCCAATCCTTTCGAACAAAACGATGTGTCCTAAAATTCCTAATTCATTTAAATATAAAACCTTCTTTTCTATTGTATACTCATCTCATAAAAGCTATTGATTAATTGTATTGAAAAAAAAGTCTCAGAGATAGCAAAAAGACTACTTTGCTCATTGTAGATTAGCAATTAAAAATTATGGTGTTAATAAATACTTTCTAGAAATTATACCAATATGAATCCTATCAATAAGAATATCCGTTTTTTCTATAGAGAGGAGTATTTTGTTTTTGCCCAAAAACCTCTTCCTGTCTCACCAGTTGAAAGTTACAGTGGTATGACACTAGTAATTTCAAAGATGCAGTAGTTTGCACCTGTAACTAGATAGAGCAAACCAACTCGAGTGTACTTGAAATATGTCATAAGAGAAGGGCACGACATTTCTTGTTATGATATTATGTCTTGAAGTAGAATGTTAAGTAACTATTTTATTATTCTCGATATATCCGTTAATAAATTGCAGGTAGTATACGGCTTTAAGTATATGCTTATATATTTAAGGGAATGCTTTTACACTTAGCCAAAGCTATTATCCTGCCTTATATTAAAGTATTATTATGATACAGGATTTCCACTCCAAAAGTTATATTTTTTTTTCAAACTATATATTTTGCAAAATCAAAACTTTTATTTTGTACTCCGACTATATATGAAAAAAATAAATTAATTAATGCGGATAGAAAGAAATTTAAAGCAAATTAATAAAGAGCATGAATAATGCTAATATGTGCGATAAAGTATTTAAAGAATGTCTACACTGTTTATTAAAAACAATATAAGAAAACATGCAATGTCAATATATTGTTATAAGAAAAGTATATAATGCTAAGTTTGTAATATGGTTTTGAGAACTGTCTTTATCTATTATCTTTTTCTATACTCAAATCCTCCAACATGAACCCCAATCAAATCGCTATCGTTAAGAGAAGAAAGAGAAATGGACCACAAAAGGTTCTTCCGATCCACATCAAGAACATGATTGTGGAGAAATGTTATATAGAAGAGTCCATGACCCGAGCCGAAGCAGCCAGGGCATTTGGTGTCTCATGGGTGTCGATTAACAACATCATCACCAAGTTCGAGAGGGATGCTACTGTAGAGCCCAAGAAGCGAGGCGGCTCGCGCGCGGAAAGTCTTAAGATAACCGATGAGCATTCGAAGTTCATTCAAGACCTCTTGGACGAATGCTGCACCTTGACTCTTGGTCAAATGAGAGAGGAACTGTTTAGAAAATTTCCAGAGCTTCAAGAGCAGAACTTGAGCATCAGTGGCTTACATAAGCACATTATCAACAACATCGGGTTCACATTGAAGAGAACCAAGCCGGTCGAGGAAAAAAGAAACGACCCGAAGACTATTGAGCTGAGAAAAGTATACGTAGACAGTATGCACACGAATGGTTTATCGTATAAAACCAATTGCATTTTTGTGGACGAAGCAGGCTTTAATGCAAACCTGATCAGAGGACAAGGGTGGTCCAAGAAAGGCGAGGCCAGCATTGTGAAGACAAAGTCGAAAAGGGGACTAAACATCTCAATTCTTGCCGGTATTTCTTACCAAGGTGTTGAGAGTGTGCAGGCGAAGTTGACCCCTGGTGGCACGACAGGACCAATTTTCGTTGAATTTGTAAAGACGATTATGGATTCGCTCGACCACAGTAATGCTGCCCCTCACAACTTCATTATGAATAATGCCTCGATCCATAGATCCCACCTTGTCACTGAATTGTTTGCTAATTCACGACACCACCTACACTTTCTCCCCCCCATACTCTCCTTTCCTAAACCCGATTGAAGAGTGCTTCTCCAAACTCAAAACACTGGTCAAGAGAAAGCCCGGGTTGGTATGTGGTCAATTCTTGGAGTATATTGCTGAGTGCTCCCGCCATATCGCTATGGAAAACTGCCAAGGCTAGGTTGATCATAGCATTAGCTTCTTCCCCCAATGTACAAATAGCCAAGAAATAAATTGATTTTTTTTTATATATAGTCGGAGCACAAAATGAAAGTTTTGATTTTGCAAAATATATAGTTTGAAAAAAAAATATAACTTTTGGAGTGGAAATCCTGTATTTATGAATCCTTACGGACAAGATATAATTATCTGATACCAAACAGCAAGTCACAATTTGTGGTCCGGTAAAACCAAAACAACGTTTCCTATCAAAAAGGTAGTGTCCCATCCTGAAAATGTCGTCCCCCTAATATTAGCGGCACACAATTCATACGACACATTCTTTTTTCCAGCGACAATTTTTTCTTGGCAACCGACAAATTATTTCTGGGCCAGCGACATTTAGTTCAAACTCAACGACATTTTAGTTCTAAATCAGCGACATTTTATTCGCACACAACAACACCCAACCCAAATTTAGCGACAAATTATACCGGAAAAAGTGTATATTAGGGTGTTTCAGCAGTTTTAGTTGTTTGATTGTTTTTGGTTCGGGGGTTTAATATTGAAAAATCATTGGCTCTCGTTAATCTGAAAAATAGATAAATTTTATCTCCAAACAACTATCAAAATTTTTAGTTGTTTGAATAGTTGTTTGAATAGTTGAAAAATGGAGAAATCGCGGGCTTATTTTTTTAAGAAAAAAATATAAATTTTATGTAATACTTAGGGCACTCAGTTGATTTTTTATAGGTTGATTATTATTGGCTTATATATTTAATTCACGAAATCAGAACAATCAAACATCTAAAACTGCTGAAACACCCTATTGTGAGTGGTTTATATAAAATAAAATAATAAAAGACATGACTGTGTAATTTATAAAGCACCAGAAAATAATCGATGATTATAAATGAAAGGAAACCAAGTGGAGTGCATAAGGAAGAAAGCTTGTGATCCCGATCGATCTCTGAGCTCATACCAGTGGCGAAAGTTTTTGATATTCATTATATATTCAAAAAAAAAGAATGCCCTCTATTTTTTTTTTTTTTTATCTATTTACTACAAGTCCTTATTAGTAATATGATTATCATTATTGTTGTAAATGTAATTATGATTCGAGACTCTTGAGATATCATGCCACTAAGGCCCTTTTGTACACTTTTTTTTTGTTTTTTTATTTTTTTTTATTTAGCTTTCAATTTCTTACAGCTGACACATATTTTAAAGAGAGAGAAAGGCAGAGAAAAGAATATAGAAAGAGGAGGGGGCCAGAACACGGGTTGTATTACTATCGATTCAAAAAGACCTTTCTGTGATGTCAAAGGGCTTGTGCTGTATTTATGATCTTGTGATTCAGAGACCGATGTTTCGATGCGTCATACAACTTTTGGTAGGGCAAAAGTTATAGGGGAGAAAGGGCTAAGCGAGAGAGAGTTGTGCGTAAGTTTGTGTGCTTGTGTGGGGAGGAGTAGAATACAGGCACATGGGCGTACACTCTAATAAATCTCGATTTTTTATTTTATTTCTTTATTTTATCTTATTTTATTTTTTCCCTTTTTATTCTATTTTTCCCCTCTCTCAACTCTTGAAATGCAAGCCAAACAAGTCACAGTCATCAGTGAGGAAGTAAGAAGCCATTATATCCACACATAGGAATATCCCATATCATATTACAAATACAAAGCAGACAAATATGCACATATATTATTCTCTTATTAAGAGACCTCAAAAATAACAATACCTGTGTTTTATCAATAAGCACACGAAATCTTTCTCTGAAAAGGATCCTCTAGTTAAACCTGTGGTCACTCCAGTTGCTGAGTCAGAAGAGGCCGATAACCGAGTACTGAATGCCGATGAGTTGATTGACATGAACACTTTTGATCAGTTATTGGACATGGACGACGAAGACGACCATGAATTCTCTCATAGTATTGTCCTTGATTATTTCAAACAAGCTGAAACCACGTTTGAAGATATGGATATCGCACTGTAAGTATAAAGATCAATCCTACACACACACACACACATACACACACACGCATATATATATATTTATAAATATAAAAAAGGGAAGCGAAAAACCTGCGTGAATTGTCCCGGCTTGGTCATTTTCTGAAAGGAAGTTCGGCTGCAATCGGCTTAAGAAAGGTCAAAGCTACATGTGAAAAAATCCAGAATATCGGAAACTGCAAAGACGGTGAAAATGTCCTGACAGTAAAGGATGCACTTAGTCGGATCATACCTCTTTTACCACAAGTAAAGGCTGAATATTTTGAAGCAGAAGAATATCTCAAGACATTTTACGAAGAACAAGAAGGCCGATGAGTATGTGAGGGAATCTTAGAGCCATAATTATCACTATATCACCTATCTTTACTATTATTCCCTTTATTATTCCTATTCTTATTCATATTCTTATTCATATTCATATTCTTATTGGTATTACGTTGTGTTCTTGTCAGGAAACAAGATCATTTAACCCATTTAATTGCTATTTCTTTAAAGTTGGAAATGGCCTGGGGAAGGAGAGGGGTCCCGTCTGTGTATCAGACTAAAACCAAAAACTAAAAAAAAAGAACTAAACTAAAAAACTAAAACAGAATTTGTGTCTCGTATGTGTACAACTTTCCCAGGAGGAAATAAGTTCTTATTATTTACTACAAACTACAGCCACCGCCACTTCTTTGCATTAATGTCTTATTTTATTGTCATTACTTTGATCGTCTTTATTTCTATGTGGTATTGCTGCAATCGCTGCTGTATTGGTTGTAAAAGACGCCATCATATTCATCGTAGCCACAGTCAGTACTCACGCTCGAACCATTCACATTACAACAAAAAATTATCCACTTGAACCCCGGTATATTACTCTTCTTAATTTTTCTTCTTTTCTTTTCAAGCAGAAATATTGTCTGGGTTGCTTTCCAATGCTTGGATAGTGTTTCGATTTAACATGTAGACATTAAGATAATAGGTAAACAAGGATACGAATGCGACCCTAAAAAGAATTACAAAATCTCATCTGTCAACATATACACTCCTTATTGAAATACATAATACTTACAATGAGCCACTATCAGCAAGTCCATCGCCTGATTTTAATGAGTTTCTCTTGTTCAAGAAAGCAGACAAGCCGAAATAAGAAGCAATCCAGGGAATAGCCTTGAATTGATTCTATCAAAACCAAAGAAAAATACCACAAATTAATATATACGTTTATAATTACCACTTATTAAAAATAATAATAATAAATAAAAGCTTACCCTCATAAGAATACCACCCATGGCTTAATACAATGATGATGAAGAAGATGATGATGATAATGATGATGATATCAAATTGAGTTTAGAGAACAATGAGCGTGATAAATTAAATATAAAATATAACATACCAGTGAACATGGCAATGTTGCTTGTAAAGTCAGCCTCTTCCTCATTCTTAGGGGGCTGGTGGAATGGGACAATCTTGTCAGGTCGACGGGGATCGCCTTTGATAGATGATGACATTGTTAAACTCAAAGGTGGGTTGGACAAGCTTACACGCTATTGGACTATCCAATGCTTGACTATATTTTTCCTGGTCGATCATCTCAGCAAGACGTGACTTTGAATTATGAGAGAAGTATATACCAAATGAAGTTTTCCAAAAAAAAAAAGAAACTCCTTCTTGCTTTCTTCATTTATTTCTTGTTTCCTTTTTATATTTATATAGATAGATAAATATTACAAATCATGGCGTCCAAAAGGTGTGTACTAACTGCCTATCACTTGGATAGACTATTACTTGTTAATTGGCTATATACATCTATAAATATAAAAAAAAAAGTCAACTCACACAACTAGGATTGGAATAGCAAGTTCCGAAGCGACTTCATATGTCGCGTACGTTATCGTAATACTCTTCCACCACTACCATTCCCACCAAAACTACTCGATATTCCATCTCTCGTAGACCGACACATTCCTTACAAAACCTCAACTCTCATCGAAACCACACCATACTCACTCGCAATTGACCAAAACTCCACACGTTCATTCGATAAGACCTTGATTGATTATTTGGATGCAATGGAAGCCAATCCCGATGATGGTCGGTTATCATTCTTATTATTATAATTCCTATTACCAATTGACCCAATCCTCATTGTCTTTGGTCGCTCACAAATTTATCACGGTACTATTATTTTCCTTTGGTAGTCATGCGATTGGTCGAAGAAATCGGGGAAGAAGACAAAGTCCTCATGACTCAGCCTGTAGATGAACAGGCTGCTAAAGCAAAGAGTCATTTCAAATCCAACGTAACTTGGTTGCGCAGATCAGAGTACATTGCAGCCGAGACACGTACAACCGTAGTCCGAACAGAACCTATGGAGCATCGATTTGCAATGTCGGGATTGGCAGCTACCGATCGCTCCAAAGAATATGCAACCCACGAAGGCCAGATTGCAGGTATCCTAAAGACGTTTGGACCACAGCCCGAGACCCTCCAACATCCTATTACCAAAAAACGTGCCAAGCGTATTATTCCTATCCTACCTGATCCCATCTGCCAGCACACCGACTACAGTATTGCCCAATTCAATGTCGACCCTGCTGACGACGAAAGACTTGTCAAACGTAAACAGGCTGCAAAGAACCCCAGTTCACTGGTTGGTCAAAAACGCCCCTCTGAAGAGGATGCAACCGATCGCGGTGTACTGCAACCTATCACCAATCCTCACGATCCAGATGATCGCTATCTCATCTGGTTTCTGCCCGATGGCGAGGCAACTGAAAGACTTAAACGACAGAAACGACAAGGCAAACCCATGGGTGATGAGGTAATGCCACGCGAACATATATACGCATATATATATACTACATATTTGAGATTAGCATATCAAACCAAGTATAAAGTCTTGGAGTTTTTTTTATTATTTTTTAAAAAAAAATGAAACTTTACTGAAATTAACCTTGGGAACATTGATATTGCTTTAGCCTGCTTCATATGAATTTGTACGTGACTACGAATACCAACATGATAACTCTTCAGAACAGAAGCATTTGATCATCACCTTTAGAGATGATGGAGACGGTGAAAAGGCATACTACAACCTCATCCAGGGTAAAATGACATTGAGAAAGAGAAGAGCATTGGTAAGTCAAAATATATTCACCTGCATAAGAATCATATGTCTAACCTTTTCTATTACAGAGTAAAAAATACCAGCAGTATGATGATTATGAGAAGCCTGGAGCCCTTGCTATTAACTTTCATGAAGTCTAAAAGAAAATAAGAAGAAGAAGAAGAAACCCCTTTACTCTAGTTCTCCTTATATCTTTCTTGCAGCGTAAAATAGATCACGGTAGTTACCAGACCAAAAAAAAAAGAGAGAGATTATTTTTGTTTGTTTGTTTTTTAAAGTTTTGATATGGTATTGATGGATTTTTGAATAAATAAAGAACATTATGATGCCCAATATCTCATTCGGTTTATTATTGATCCCACAGAATACTTGAAAACTTGATAGTATTGTATATACAGAGGGGAATTGGCCAAATAGCTTAGCACCATTCAAAACTGAATCAAGGGACGTATTCCAAATTTATATCAGTAAGGGATTACACTACACTATACACGATACACTATAGAAAAAAAAAGCCGATTTTAGTGAGATTGTTGCAAATTTTCCGGGATTTAAGGGTTGTTTTAAGGTTGATTTTTTTATTAGGAATTACTTCCCCCCTTTTTTTATGTCTACATGTGTTTCAATTTCAATTTCTCTCTATTCTGTTTTGCTATTGTTGTAGTTCAAAAGTAAAAACCACACTTAAAATATTCCATTTTTACCCCACCATGTTTTTTGCAGTCAATACAAAGCACCATTTCTCACCTCTTCAACCCAGTACAGAAATAATAATAATAAAAGGATTCACTAAATTATACAGATAATGCAATAGCTTATTGAATGTATCTTGGGATCCTCCTAGCGGTAACAACCCAAAATGTTTATCTTATTTGCCCTCTTTTCGATCTTTGCTTCACAGTACGACCCCCAGAGCATCTTTTGCTGGCCCTATAGTACTTACAATTTAAATAACACAATGTATATAACAGAGATAGTACCACGATGCTTTAATAAGTCAAGTATATGTCTGAAGCTCAAGATAGCAACAGGATTTCGATTCCACAAACGATGTCTTATCTTTAGCGATTTCATGCTCTTCAAACAGTTTAAATTGGTATATTTCGTAGAATCCTATTGAGTACCTCTATGGTAGTTGACTGTAGTGTGAGCCAAGTTCAACAAAAATAAATAAAAAAAAGACGCAAACTAATAGCTCGGTTCATTGCCTTGTTCTAATCCGGTTAATTGAAACCCATTTCCACCCCGAACCGCCAACGCACTTCTATCCCGGTTCATTAGCCCGATATATTACAGTCAAAGTTTGATATAGTATAGGGCGTGGACTTGTGGAAATTCGATTTGAGTTTGATAAGCGAATACCCTCTCTAATACAACGCAAAAAAGAACAAGAGTTTCTTACTAATAATATATTTACGTGTTCCTTAGACTCTTGTTTATATCATTACTCTTCACTATCTTTATATATATCAACAAGAACAAAATATATAGTCTATACACATACACAGAAACAAAAAACACAATTGTTTAGGAATATATAATGCCTTTCTTGATATAGACCTTTGTCTAAACCGAGATAGTCTATTTTTGTTCAAATCCAAGAAATATGCATTAAATGCAAAGGCAGCGCCCATAAGTATAAATAGTATATAGATATTGCTTTATCTACACAGTGGCTTTAACCTGTTTTTTATTTATTTATTTATTTATTTATTTTTAAATAAGACCATTTATATCGATTTTCTCAAATCAGGCCGTACTTTGTATAAATCAGGGATGAATGTTTATAAAAAGATATATAAACTTGCAAGTAAAATTTAGAGACAAGTGCTGTTTACAGCATAGAAAATAATACAAAATACTGTAACAAGCTTAGATGGACAGAAAAAAAAACAATAGCAAAGAAGATTGTAACAGTTCATTGTCAAATATCACTCTCCATCAAAAGTTCCTAAATATAGCAAAGATTACATCAAATATATTATATTAATCAAGGTTTGGACCAAATTGTGGGAGGTCGAGATCGTAAAGAGCGTAAAAACAAACAAACAAACAAACATAAAGAACACAAAATATGGACAAAAGGTTGCTGGTTAATCGGAAGTTCGGGTATCCAAACCTTCTCCCGAGAAAACGTCTATCAGTTTGATTCTTATGACTACAAAGGCAGCAATCAGAAGATTCAATAAAGCTGGAAGAAAAGAAAAAGAAAGAGTAACAGGCAAAAACCGAAGAAAGAAATCGATACAATATATGTTATATAATTTTCTGTGGCTGTGGTGGTGGTGTACAGGGACATATATCAAAAGACCCTCTATTGGAAAGACATTAGAGAGAATTGTGGATAATCGGGACTTGTGCAACAGTAAGTTAGATCACAAAGAGAGAGGAGTTGGAGCAGTCTCATTATACGAGCTGTAATGATAATTATCAGAATGATATTAAATGGAATACAGAGGCTTGAAAATGGAGGTTTCTGCATTCAGCATTAGTTCCAAGATTACTGATAAGTTTGTTGATTATATTGGGGTATGTAAATTTGTTGAGTATAAGAGCTACGGGAAAGGTATTGAGGTACAGAATCGTAATATATCTTTACACGGCCACTAATTAAGAGGTAGTGAATTAGAGGATCTCCTAAATAAAATAGCGGTTTAGAGAGAGAGAAAAGAAATAATCGTATAAATAATATACCTCGGATCACTGAAGTAAGTGTATTATGTCTTGGAAGTGGAAATCCAGATAGAAAGAAAGCACTGACTTTGTAAATGTCTACTTTAGAAGTAAGGCAAGGTCATGTGGTACAAAATGTGCTCTTAGCTGTTAAATACTACAGGGTTCTGTAGCAGTTTATAAGAAACTTGTTGACATAGACGAGAGCTCTTAAAAACAGAGAAAATTTGAAAAAAGGTGATAATGAGAAGACACTGTTGAAGGTAAAAGGGTTGGAGAATACCAACAAGAGTGGAGCACATTGGAGGAATCTATGAGATCATATGGTAGGGATACAGATGTAACCGTTAGTATCAAAGCAAATAAATATTATGTTCACACTATATTATTGTAGACATGAAATAATAATACTTTCTTTATATATATAATAGGAGTAATTGCCGCCAAATATCTCGACTAATTTACAAAGTTTGCATACTGTAGTCTTTTCTTTGGATAATTATCGCTAGTATTTTAGTTAATTAATATAAGTCTAATGCACAGAAACTCTTTTGGTGCAAGTAGCATCCTATTATACTTGAGATTTTGTTAGAATCTTGATAGAATTAAGTTAGTTGTAGGTCCGGAGCTAAGGTGTTATTTGTTTTTGTCTTTATTTAATGTTAAATTGCTGTTTGTGTTAGGCATATCATAGCATAGCATAGCATAGCATAGCTGTGCCTGTTTGTTTGTTTGTTTGTTTGTTTGTTTGCTTACAAGAGACTCAGTAAACCTTTTTTTATGTATATTTAATTATACTAAAGGTGGCTTTTGATAATGTTAATAGGCTAGTATATAATGCATGATAAAGTATATGATTATTATCCAATTCATAATTAATAAAGCTAACTTTATAAACAATCTTATATATTGAGAGTATAATAATGCCAAATTCTGGGCATTAGACCTACAAGCTAGCGCCTCAGACAGTGATATAATCTATTCAAGAATAGTCTGCTTAGTGTAGATGTAAATGCAGATAAATCGCATTTTTATTATTTTTTGAGGATTAATTATCTAATCCATGAATTTGACAAATAAAGCAGGTAATACACGTCCATGTTACATTTAAATCTTTGTTCATTTTAAAGTATATTTAATTAATATCGATATCAATATTAACTCATTGGGATTAAGTCAACTATTGGAATATGCGTATGGTCGAGTATCCGTGAACGTCCGTTTGATAATATATGGTTTATAGATGGTCATTATCGCGACAGACTAAAATATTTGTGTTTGACTAATTGATATTATCTGCCTTTATAAATCGAGTCCTCTTTAGCTAAGGTAATACACGCACTAATACACCTCGGCTTTGTTTGTTGTGTGGATAAGCTTAATAGATAGATAAAAGGTGTAAAGAGTAGGTATTTGACTTTTGTTCACTCCCAGTACTAAGAATCTATGACGGCTTTGGAGTGAAAGGCTGTCCTGAGTTAACAATTGATAATCGTTTTTTTTTTGGCGTAATTTAACCTGGGGTAGGCTACCGGGCCAAACATATGCAGGACTTTTAACAAAGCGGCTTTAGACTTATTGTGTTTGTACGATGTTAATGTAGGAAATGGTACATAATTCATGTTTTTTCAACTTTTAGAGGAATCAACTATTTTTACACCTACCATACTTGCTTATGTAAATATGAATGAAAAGTTCAAGTGCTATCTACGCAAATTACTCTATTATTATTATCTAAAGAAAATACTAAAGTACTGTCTTATTATGTTTTTTCTTTCTAGAGGAATTTATTTCAACATATTCAAACCAATTATTAGGTCTTAAATACTTTTACTATAGAAGAAGAAGAAAAAGTCTACAGAAACAATCGATCACTGTAACCCATTACCAGGATAAGTGCAATTGGAGAGTAACAATAATTATGATATTTTAAGGAAAGATCTCAGGGTGTACAGTTACGGATTTAGAGTAATCAAAAGCCGCAGCTTATAAAAAAGGATATTTTTGGTTGGTTTGATCTACAACCATTTGGTCTAGAAAGATGAGTATATACGAATATCATTTCTAAAAGATAGCTACAGGGCTAACCAAAGAATCTTCTTATTAGAATACTATGCCCCAGAATGAACTTGGATCGCTTGTCTTCCATCAAAGAATATCTCCTAAAAAAGAAGTATCTAGAGTTACTCAACTTCTCGAGCGGGTGAAGAGTCCAATAATGGAAAATTCCCTCAGTTATTCTTTTATTAGGTATCTACGGAGTAGCTTTATACAGAAGCAATATTTTCCTACGAACGTTCTTGATAGAAAGTGCAATTGTCTTGAGCTTCCCAGAAACTGTCATGGAACAAAAAGAAGTATATTCCAGTGTGAGATTCTGTTCTGAATGTTCCACATCTTCTCAATAGAAGTTCTATTCAATATTTTTTTTTACCTAATTATTCAAGGGTTACTTGCAACCTTCTTTTTCTTTGTATCCTTGTGTAGCAAGGTCAGAGCTTTGATAATCCTTTAGTCTGGATATGATTGATGGAGTAGGTAAGCTTACTGTGCTTCCAGTACTTAATAACAGCATTCTTTTAAGGTTTCAATTTCCAATAGAGTTATATATATGTGTGCGTGTGTACAGTACACTCCGCAATACACAAGAATGGTTTCATAACAAGTGTGTGGCTGTTAAACCATCTGTGCTTGCCAAGAATAAACCTGTAACCGTTGTGCATCATGAGATGTCATTTAGTTTGGAGATGCCAATCAAGGTTTTTCTTTTCCTGCAAGTCTAATCACGTGAAATGTCTGCCTCCTACGAAAGGGCAAGTTTACAAAGTGTTTGTTCTGCCTCTGATATTCTTTTTTCCTTTCTTGCTCTGCTCTTTCTTCCTTACATTTTTTTTTATCATACTCTACAATGAGCAAGGCCCCTCTGATGAAGCGAATTATCACACTTTTCAAAAAGACTCACGAAAAAGACGAAGAGCCTACATATCCAGCTGAACTCGAACGCGTCTACAAAGTAACTCGAAAGACCCTTGGCGTTGGCTCTTTTGCAGTTGTTAAAGAGTGTATACACAGAACAACACATCAAGCCTTTGCCCTCAAGATCATCCTTAAAAAGGCAATCGCAGGTTATTATCATTCTTTTTTTTTCTTTTTTTGACATTTGATCAGATACTACGCGGAGCTGAGTCGACAGGATACCACAAGAGTCATTTAAGCTAATCGTACTACTATCACATTTCTATTTTATCAGGCAAAGAACATATGCTTGACAGTGAGCTCGGTAAGCCCATTAAAATTATCGCTTTTGGCGATTCTTTAAATATTATTATTATTTTTAAAAAAAAACAAACAAAAAGAAACAAAAAAAAAAGTCAAGAAGAAGCTCAAGGTGGCGTATATTAGATATCCTCAAGCAAGTCCGTCATCCTCATATTGTATCAATGCACGGCCTGTATGAATCAAAAGATGCAGTTTACATTGTAACTGATCTGGCTGGCGGCGGTGAGTTATTCCAACAATTGCTGAAAAAAGGAAATTATACCGAAAAGGATGCTGCAAATCTGATCAGACAGATGCTCGAAGGACTTTCTTACCTACACAAGTGCGATGTAAGTAAATAACTCTAAAGACTTTTGAGTGCCGGTTTTCTTTTTGTGTATACTAAGTAAACTGTAGATTGTACACAGAGATATGAAGCCCGAAAATGCAAGTACAGATGCAGGAGATTGAAGGGGTCGGTGGTGATGAATCAATAATTTTATTAACACTGCCAAGAACAGCTTTTGTTCCAGACAACCGATGAGAATGCCAGTCTAATGATCACAGACTTTGGTCTTTCAAAAATACTTAAGAATCACGACGACGTATTAACAACTGCCTGTGGTACACCTGGATATGTTGCTCCTGAAGTCCTTCTTCAGACTGGCTATGGAAAACCAGTTGATTTGTGGAGTGTAGGCGTAATTACAGTAAGGCTTGCTTCCCTGTTGTATAGTCTACAAGACTGTATCATCCCCTTGGAGTCTAACCTGTCTTGGAACTCTAGTTCACTTTATTAAGTGGCTACACACCTTTCTGGGGTGATGGTAAGATGCTACAGTTGACTAAATAGTGGTAGTACTAACATAAGTACTAATCAATAATTGTATTTTTGATTTTGCTTTTTGTTTTTTTTTTGCATAAAAATCATTCTAGATCAAGCATCTCTATTTGAGTCTATCATTGCAGGGAAATATGAATTTGATGAAGACTACTGGTCTGATATTTCCGATCCAGGTCAGCTCAAAGATTCAAACTATAAACCACCTCCTCAAAGAAGAAAATATTATGAACACACTTACTTTATAATCTAGCAAAGGACCTTATTAACAAGCTTCTCACATTTGAGCCAAGTAAGCGTATCACAGCAGATGAAGCACTGCTCCACCCATGGATCACAAACGATCAAGTGGCCGGACCACGAACCACCACAAACCTTGTTCCCAATGTACGCCGTGGAATCAGCAGTCAAAAGTCACTTAAATCGGTAGTTACCGCCATGACTCTCTTGAGTGTCTGGAGGCACGGTCTACACGAGGCTACACACAGACGGGCATCTGGTGAGAAACACGCCAAACGAGAGAATGTTGTTCAGACTCTGGATGTGACAAAGTCTGGAGAAGTTCATAGTACACTTGCTGCGCATTCCTAATAGCCTCCCTTTTATTTTACTTTTAAAGAGAAAAAAAAAGGTGCTCTCATTACTATAGTATTCTATTATCTTCTATTTATTTCACTAGGCATAGTGAAAGTATTTTTATACACTTCTTCTTGGACAATATTCTTTAAACTAACCTATTACCCCCTTTTAATAATATCACGCATAAATAAATAAAATCACATAACTATCCAAAAAATAAATAAAATTATTACCTTATGAACCTCTTTATGTTGAATTTAGGATGGTTAAAATCCAACCATTATAAAATCTTCTGGTGTTAGAACAAACATGCTGGGAAATTCCCCACAAAAAGAGAAAAAAAAAAAGAAAAGGATAATTGTTTATGTGATTTATCAAAATAATACATATTCATATATATATAGCTGGTATTTGCTTGCTTGCTTGCATTTTTTCTTTTTAAAAAAAAGAATCATTAATACATGACCTCCTTTGAATAGAAGATTCATCAGTAATAAACATGAAGCAGGGACAATCAAGATTTTAAAATCAACATATTTTCAAATGGGTTTACAAAGCAGTTGCATAAGAGAAGGAGTGAGGGGGTTGTTTCTTTTTCTTTTCTTTTTCAAGTGCATGTTTGTTTGTATCTACGCCTTTCAGATCTCAACAAGAAAAGAACTATGTTTGGATAGTGTATTCTTTCAAAGGCTGCAGTGATACTGAATTTGAATCAAAGAGAGAGAGATCCTAAATTATAAAAACTGGGCACACACATATATATATATACATATGTATGTATGAAACTGCTGGAGGAATAGCACAAGAGGTTTCTTTTTTGTGACATTGTTACAAAGCATTAAAGATAAACCAAAGAGTCAGTTGCAATTTTGTACATTTCATAAAACTCCAAGTACTTTATCATATTAGTTAACGCTTTCACTTCTTTGATTGATTAGTTGACTGGTTAATTGATTAATTGATCGGCTGATAGATTTATGATTATACAAAGTACGTGCGGATCTATGTTATGAATAAAAGAATAAAAGAAAATAATATACAAATTAAAGCAATAAAAAAATAAGAAGAAGAAGAAGAATAAAGAGGGGTAATATACAGATGAGAAAAGAAGTGAGATATACACTTTCTTAAAACAGCACGATAAACTCAATAGTATGTACAGAATAGAGAACATCACATGTAGTACATCCATGATTTTCCTATCTTTTGGTGTGGCTCTGACAGATGAGTTGGAGCATTGATCTGCACAGCTGTCAATTCTTGTTTTGAAATGTTCGCCTGATCCATCGAAATGTTCTGGCATGAAAAGTCCCAGCAGTACAGTCGTTCCTCGGTTTGATGTCTTTCTGGAGATGGTCTAGAATTGTCTCTTACCTCTAGACAAACTAATGTCCTTGAAAAGTCAGGACAGAGTCGAATGTCGGTAATCGTGTATTTTATATCGGGTGTTTCAAATGTAGGCACGAGTCGATAGGCCATTTTACCGGTCCGAAGACACCATACATTTATGCAATCCAAGCTGTCCATAGTCTGATCGTCCGATTGTTGTGATTGTTGTGATTGGTAATAGCGATAAAGTTGATAGGGTGTCATTCGACCAGCAGGGATCTCATGGTTGATAGTTTGGATCGATGAGGCTTGACCGAATGTTGTTGGTTGTTTGGGATATATGGGTACAGATGTGTCGTTCTTAAGTACTTTTCCTTTTGTGAGTAAAAAGAATGGGGTCAAGCATATGTTTATGACCCCAAGTGCTCCAGAAAATGGCCATTGCCGGGGTCCGTCTATGTTTGTCTGAAGCTCGTAGACTAGAGCACCTGTCAAGAGCGAGAATACTAAAAGGGGACCAGATGATTCTGGTGCACACGCCACTAAATGAGTGTTCACAGCTATGTCGCCCACACCCTGGTACCACTCGCCATGACTGGATATATATGATGATATATCAATGTGGCCTCGTGGTGTTGTGTGAGTGTAGTTTGTTTCTGTGGGAGAACCCTCGATTGAATGGTTTTCGAGGTCCCAAACACAAATATTACTATCGGTTCCACCACTGACAGCCACTAAAAATAAATCCAACATTAATTGTTATTATTATTACTATAGCCAGTCCAAGATTATTCATTTAGACCAAAGAAGGATGACATGGAACTTACTCTTATCATTCATGCTTACACACAACACACGTCCTCGGTGACCATGCCACATACAGGCCAGTTTTTTTGTATCTGAGTCCCAGAGGGCTACCGAGCCATCAAGACCCCCGGTTACTATCCACTTGGAAGAGGGCTGAGTAAAATGACACAGGATGATGTGCCGTCGGCCCTCTACAGCTAAACTAGGCGAGACGGCTTCATTAATAGATTGAAGATAAGTGGTCTGACATGTATCTGGATCAGTCATTATCAGACTATGTGGTGGGCCGGTAGGATTCCGATAAACAGGATTTGAGCGAACCAATGAGCCTGTCTTGGCTACATTGAGTAGACTAAAACATGAAGCTTCTCTGGGATAACCCACCACCCCAGATATCCATTGTCCTGGCAGAGGCTGTGCTTTTATTTCGGGAAAATAACCTAGACAGTAACCAGTATCCCAATTCTTGGTTATACGATACATGTCTTGCCATGTTCGTTTTAAAGCACGGGCGTTATTTTGTAGTCTATCTCTAGGCGATGGGATACCGATAGAGTTTGAGATGTGTGGATCGGGAAAACACAACGACCAAAAGCGATTCGAGTCAATTTCTTTATAGTCCCGACGTGAGCATATTCTCCAGATCAGATCGTCATAATGTTGAATTACTGCACGCCATTGTCGACAGACCAAGGTACATTGAGCTAATGTTGTGCCATTGAGATTGACAAAGATGTTGAGTAAAAGTTCGGTTGGAAATGGATGTTGAAAGCACTTTGGGAAGTTGTTAGTTTTGTCTCCCGACATTATGTTGTTTGCTCTTGAATGGCAATAAGGATAAGAAGAACAAGAGAACAAGAGGGAAGGAAAAAAGAGGGGAACAAAGAGGGAATATATATATATATTGTGTGTGTGTATGTATTCCTCATTAAATTTCCAACTGAACTTTTTTTTTTTTTTTTTTTACAATTTTAAAATTTGATAGGGAGGAAAAAAAAAAATTATAATATTATTACTACGGATTTAATAAATTTGAGTGATTTAAAATATTATATTGCGACTAAGAAAAATTCTATCCAATAAAATGGTCATAATAAATGATTTCGAAATATCATTGGGTTAAAAAATCATATATTTGCTATTACATCGTAGATATATTTACAGCATGGATTAGGCAATAATATAAAAATGGACACATAACACATACACACGCGCGCGCTTATGCTTATGCTTATGCTTATGCTTATACTTTCTTCTTCTTCTTGAACATAAATCTTATCTAACTTTTGATTTTATTTTAGGCATAAATATGGGCTCAAAATATTTATTATTGTCCAATCAGTTTTGTGTACTTTTCTTATTTCCTTCTCTTGCTTCCTTGCTGTATTTGCGCTTGGGACAGCAGGCACTTGAACCGCCATTATCTAATAGTTGCTGGCAACAGACCTCAAGTGCCTTGAGCGCCTCAGTACATTTAGACTCTTGGTAATTGTTTTTTCCAAGGCAATCTTGAATCGCACATGCTGTAATAGTAATGATGATGACTTATTACAAGCGATCTTGTGCATAGAGTATTATTTACCATATTTTTGACATTCGGGAACCTTTTTATTATTATTATTAATATTAATATTATAGTAAACGCTATTATTTTAGAGGTTGTTTGTGTGTTTATAAAACTGCAGTCGTATCATTGATTGTTGGTCTACTTTACCTGTGACATGCTTCTGCTTTTATCTTAAAAGGGCTGTAAACAAACTTTGCCCAGTGTGCATTCACACCGCGCACCTTTATTTTATTATTTTAAAATCAAGCTCCTTTTCTGATTAACTTGGTTAGTATTGATTTATTTATTTACTTACACATTAGTATGGAAGCATTCATTTTTCTTTCTTTTTAAAAAAAATGATCTTTTTACTGCTTGTGTATATACATATTTCTTTCTTTAGTTTCCATGTGTTTATTTTAATTAACCGCTCATAGGCTGTATTGAAGCCACAGTTAAAGGCAAAAAATAATAATAATAATACAAGAGCCATACAAAACTAGACTGTAGTTAATCCTTGTATAATTTCGATTTCATCCATATACATATACATAAGTATATATGTGTATAACTGTGTAATAAGTTCACTCAATAAAATGTATATACATGTGCGCTATATACATTCTAATATAAACGTTTAACTTGTTAAAGAGTGACTTTAATAAACTCAAGAATCAAAAATATTATAAATATATTCAAATATATATATATAAAAATTATAGGTCAAATGTCTCAATAGCCACTTTAATTATTATTAATGAGATTCAATACACTAATAATTATTCTTTTATTAAGAAAATAGGTATACATATTTACATATATATTTTATTAAAATCACTGCTTATTATTCTTTTTTTTTTGGGTGGAGATAATAAAATAAATTGGGTTATTTTGGTGTGGTGTGAGTTTATTGTACAACTCTTTACAGATCGTGGATCTGTTGTCTATATCAAGCTTTACTCCTTATTATTATCGTTAGCATTTCACTTTACTATTCAAGAATCTTTGAAAAGGTCATTTCTACTGCTGAAATAGTGGGGTTTCATGTAGTGAGCTGAATATATTACAAACACTAAATATCATCAAGTCTATCAAGAATAATTCATTTGACACGCTTTCCACATAACCGAATTTTTGATAATTTCCTTATTTGAAGGTGGGGCTAACATATGAAAATTGATCTGCTTTTTATTTCTTAGATAAATATGCTTCTGTGCTAGGGATTAAATATGCTGGTACACCAAGAAGTTTTATATAGAAATCTAGTAGTAATACTATCCAAAAACTAGAGTTTTTGTATTACATATCTTCAATATGTCCACACTAAACAGACTGTGGCTATAAACCAAATATCTTTTAATTATTCTTGGTTTCCTAAGATCTTGAACTTCTATTCAAATTCAAGAAAATTGTTTTTGTTTGTTTTTTTTTTTAAAAAAAAGGATTAAATCTTTTTTGGTATTACCACAAATACATTCAAGGAAAGGGTCTTGTTTTGTGCTTTGACAGATACTCTAATATTACAACCATTCCACTGTATATATTTATGTAAAATTGGGTGGTGTATATTGATATATAATGTTCCGTTATACATATACTTGTGTTTGTGTATACTCGTTAATTGAGCCAAGAATAATCTTTATTTCATGTGTGAATTGATAAATATTCCCATTCACAAACACAGTTACAAAATGAATGTAAAGTCATAATAAGTATTATCCAGATCAGATACCATTTATTTTTCATTATTATTTTTAATATATATATATAAGCATCTCACATTATCGTTGTACGGTATTGTGCTGGAATGGACAGAACTGGATTATGTACTGTTCAATTGAGATTGACAAGGAAATCTGATCTGAAAATCAATTCTTAATTAAAGCCTTTTACTCAATTGGATTTGATTCTCCCTCGCATGGACGCTTAATGATGGAGTTTCACAGCTATTTTTTTTTATTCAAGCAAGTCGACCCCATAAGAATAAATGTATTGTATATATGAAAGAGACCAAAGAATGGTCACGTGTAGAAAGCGTAAAAGCTGTGTTCAGTGCAACCATTTTAATTCAATTGGTGACACCTTGCTCTTGATTGCCGTTCTGTCTCATAGTCTATTAACGACACCCCTTTATCTTATTTTCTCTTCTTCTTCTTCTTCCTTGTCTTTACTCTTTCTCTCCTTTTTTGATTTTCTTTCTTTCTTTATAAAAAAGAAAGGAAAGGAATAACTTTTCTTCTTTTTTTCACTTTAATTTTCTATTGGAACGTTGCTCCTATTCTCTGTTCCTTTCTGTTCTCTGTACGCCATTCTAGTGTCCCATGGCCAGACTTCAGACAGTATATGCCATTCACACGTTTGAAGCCGAAAACGATGACGAGATTGCATTCTCAGCAGGCGAACCAGTGATTGTATTCGAAAAGGACGATGGTTTTAACGATGGCTGGTGGAGGGTAATGAAAGACTAAAAAAAATTATAGATCTTCCTTGTTGGCATGGCAACTAGAACTTAACCAAAGAAAATCCGCCATTTTGTCAAAAAAAATTATTTTTTTATTTTCTAGGGCCGGAATGTCAAAGGAGAAATAGGCCTTTTCCCAAAGAACTACACTTCACCTAATCCTCCAAAACTCACGCCACTTGAAGCAAAAATCGATAAACTAGAAAATGTGATCAGTAACATGAAAATTACACCCAAAGCCGCCTACCCTCCTTCAGTCACTCCAAAACCAACACATACAACTCTTACCAGAACCGAATCTTCGGTCTCTCTCCAATCCTCTCTTTCTCCGTCAACAATTCGTCTCCCTAACTCAACCTCAAATCGAAGTCTGCACACAAATGTATTAAATTCACTCCATTCCCCTGTACTACAAAACACACCACCAGAAGAGTGGAACGTAGACCAGGTAGCCGCCTGGCTACAAATAATGGGATTTGGTGCTGTGGCTGAAAACTTTAAAGGTAATTTATATATATTATATAATTGACAAAGAAAGAAAGAGAGAGAGAGGAGTTGTGTGTGTATAGAAAAAAAGGCCATAATAGGATAAAAAGTAATAAACTGTATAATTTTGTTTTAATTGTATAGCACAAGAGATCACTGGAGATATTTTGCTAGAGCTTACTCAAGAATCTCTCAAGGAGCTGGATGTCAATACGTTTGGAAAACGGTTCAAACTGCATAATGCGATTCATGCACTAGAAGAAGTGCGCCAGAACGAGTCATTTTCGCGCGGATCCTGTAGCTCAGGATTAGATACATTTGAGGTTCGGAAAAAGAAATATATATATTGTTGCATTCAAGATATTGTGTGTGTATATTTTTTTAACTGTTTTGTATGTTTTTGTGGGTGCGTGGGTGCCTTTAAATAATAATAAATCAGGATTCGGCGTCTGTAATAAGCCATAGAACCGTTGACACCTACCGACCAAATGACTCTAATATAAATCCACATCAATCTGTCTCAAATCGAATCAACTCAAATGTTAGAAAGTACCCAGACCACCAGTATTCTGATCGATCTCCTTCAATCATGTCACGCCCCTTGTCGCCCTCTTCTTCAGTCTACACCACCACTACGACTGGAACATTGCGTAACAATCGCATGTATCCTCTGGGAAATTCTATCTCAGAGGGGCCCTCGGCTATCAACCGTTTTCATGGGCGACTGCAGCGCCAGAATACAATTAACAATAGTCCCTCAATGTCATCTTCACTCCTGCACCCTGTTGCCCGAGGATCACAGCAAGAAGATGTGACAGGACAAAATAGTTTTAATGGTCCACCGCCCGTCAAATCGTAAGTATTAATATTTTATGTTTATGCTTACATACAAAATGCATATGCTTTATATTATATATACACATATTTGTAAAATAGGCTGACAAAGAGAGAGAGAGAGAGAGAGAGAGAGAGAGAGAGATAAAACCGTAAATAATAATAATAATATTTAAAAAAAAAACATATATATATATATATTAGACGGTACCAGACGATGCGAAGTTCATTGATGTCTCACAGTAAAAACCAGACTCTCCTACCTGTTGCATCTCGCCCTTCCTTGGATATCAAGGGTCCTGTTAATGGCCCAACAGATCCAAACATAGCCCCAGACATGCAAGGATGGCTACATAAACAGGGCGACAAGTACAGAACCTGGAATAGACGCTGGTTTGCTTTAAAGGGACCTAACCTATTTTATTACAAGACAAAGGTAAATAAAAAAATGCAGAACAGATGCATCAAACCACAGTCAATGTTATACATATAAAATGTGTTTGTGTATGTAGAGTCTAAATAACTTATTTTGTTATTGTAGGACGGACGCATGAAGGGTATCATTAATTTGCACGGGTACCGCGTTATATGTGACGAAACTATACACGCAGGGAAATACTGTTTCAAAGTACAGCATGAGCGGGAACGTACCTTTTGCTTTTATACAGACACAGAAATAGCAATGAAGGCATGGGTTAAGGCACTGATGAAGTCCACCATATCACGTAACTTGGCAGGTAAAGCAGTCGATTGAATTTATTATGATTATTTTTGGGGAGTTTTTTTTTAAAAAAAGAAATTGACTTTAATCAAACCTGTGTTGGATTGAACACAGCCCCTGTAATGTCTTCAAGTACTGTCCCCACAATATCTCTTGATGCTGCACAACGTATGAAACCTAGACCACCATCGGTACTTTACAAAAGAGAGCAAAGATCCCAGTCTCCCCCACCATCTCGCCCATTATCCCAAAATTACGACTCCCCACAACCTATTATGCGCATGTCTCTTTCTGAAGGGGCGTCAATGTGCCGAATGGGCTTTGATCCTGGATATGCAAACGATAAATTCCAATCTCTTGTCGGTGGCGCTGGCGATCTATCAAATGTGTACGAAGATTATGGAAATAGCCCAACAAAAGATTCTGGATTTGTCAGTGCTCACAATAATACACAACACAGTAGTTCAAACAGCACAAACATCAACCCTTCGTTTTACGAAGAGGAAGATTTAATTGACCCATTACATGACGATGTTGTGTCAAGAAATACTCGGCGCAAACCCGAGCCACCCGAACAAAAGGCGCCACAATGGATGTATTGGAAGGCGCCAGACTGGGTCCAGTGGATCAACCAATACACAAGCCAAGGGTTGGATAAGCTGAGTGATCTCCACGATGGCGAGAGCTTGATTTCTCTGCTGGAAGGGCTGAGTGGAAAGACAGTAAGACGACCATTGGATAACCATGGCTCAGCCAGCATGCAGATGTTGGATAAAATTGTTGCTGCATTCAAATTCATGGGCAGAGAAGGCGTTGTTGTTGACGGTCGGTACACAATAAAAGGTACACAGCTTTTAACTATTTATTTTATTTTCACAGTTTAGTTCTGGTAACAGTCAACTCATGTCAAACAAAAAAAAATATCATTATCACTATAGATGTTTTTAGCGGGAATGAGGAGAAGCTTATTGAGATGATGGAAGCTCTCAAATCCTGGCACGACTCACAAACACAAAATGACTCTGGGTCGAACATTGACGGATCTAACGGTAGATCAAACCAACATCATAATGCCTCAAATCATTATTAGATATCATTCCTTTGCACACACACACATCTTACGCTATATATTCATCGTTTGTCTTTATTTAATTATACTCTCATTTCAATTATCCCTTTCCATAGCTGCATATATTCCTCCTTTCAAACACCCCTTCTTTCTATCCTTATTCTCCTACCACACCTTCCATTAAACACTCGACATTTCATGCCTACTTTTCTTAATATATACAGATATATATACAGATATATATATATCGGTCAAAATACAATTGTTTATCATTAATTTAAACTTTACTCTATCTATACATATGTGCATATATACATATTTAGTTAGAACCTTAACAAAAATGAAATATACTAATACTAATAATAATCATAATAATACATAATAAAAGAAAAAAAAAACGAATGAATAATCGCCGTATTTTTATCAGGCTAAACCTTCACACAATTTAGCCCAAAAGTCATTATCAGCAAATGAGGCCGTCTTGATAACATATTTGCTAACATGTGCACACATAAATTTCACATAACTTCTTATATCTGTAGGACCGTAACCTACTTTTTGACGTAGTTCGCCTATATATGAAGGGCTTACAGACACGTCTTGCAATCGAAACTCTACATCTCGGGTCGGAAGACACCTGTAGTATTCAAAAATGTATTCCATAGACACCTGTGAAATAGGTCCCTGTTTCCCTTCTCCTCCATTTATCCGATTAGAGTATGTAAGAAACCACGGGGAGATTGATGATATAGACCGACCGGTGTTTCCAACCACCATAGAAACACCTGGACCTTTAGTACCCTTGGCTTGCAGAAACTCTTTTGTCTGAACAAGAGTCACCATTCGAAGAGGTATTTGGGTCAAAACTACATCGTTCTTTGATTCGTAAAATGAAACACCATTGAACTGCAGGTGGCTGAATTCGGTGTGGCTCATGTCTAGACAGAATGCTTCTCTTCTGCTTGAAATAGGACCATACACCTTTGTCTCGACCAGGCGCATGTACTTGAGCCTTTTGCAGCGTTGCGAAATATAGAGAAATAGGTCTTTTTCTATGAATGCATCACCTACTTCTACTAAAGCCAAGTCATGTCGGCCCATACTTTCAAATGCATCATTACTCAAGTAAATACCATGCACTTTTAGTCGTAGTACCCTGAGAAATCTGCAGTGATTTAATAAGATATCTAGTTCAATAGACGAATTTGTCATGTCGATTGCCAGAACCACTAGGTTAGGAATATTTCCGAGAATGTTAGGAATCATACACTGACGGGTGATGGAGTCGTTGCTAGAAATCGACAGTCTTTCCAGCGATTTTGGAAAATATCTGAGACAATCATCAAAAGATTTTTCAGACTGCGTGGGATCAAGATTGTCGTCAAACATAAAGTAACGGATATTCTGCAAGGGAACGTAAAACTGGTCAAGACAGTTTTTAAAAAGAAAGCTTGTCCATTCTGACTTTGTTGTACTGGATGTCACAATTGTATTGAGATTTGAAAAGGCGTGAGGTAAAGCCTTGAGCATTGAAAGTGTTTGATCTTGGATGTCGTTAGATGTTTCAGCAATTGAAGTGTTTCTCCACTCCATCAGATAGACTTTTGGATACTTTCGAGCGAAATAATACAGCCATCTGAGGTCTGTGGTATTTATACGAAACTTGACTACTGTAAGATGGTCCATTGGGGCTGCTTTGAGCATGTATTCCAAGTCGCGCTGATTAAGGATGTCGAGATCAACGGTAAGAAATAACTCCTGAAGCTGAGGGAGGCAACTGTGAAGTTCTTCTAGATCTCTAAGTGTGTATAGTGGTCTTTCACTTGTGTAATCCTTGGTATAGTCCAGGTGTTGAAGGTTCGGTAGTTTCGATAGGACTTTGATAAAAATCTCTGGGATGTCAATTGAGTCTTCACCTTTTGTGAATACCTTGAGTCGTGTCAAGGATGACCAGCAACTCCAGTCTGTTGTTGAATTGACGAGAGATCCGGTCAGACTGGCATCAAATATCTTGAGGAAATCGAGACCTTGGAAATGTCTCTGAAGTAATCGCAGGCTCTTATCATCAATTGAGAGTGAGGAAGAGAGTGTCAGATCGAGTACATAGTCCCCACAGGTTTTGTATATGTCATCTTGTCCGCCGACTGGACTAAAAAATTTGTGCTTATTTAAAGGAGTTATTTGGATTCGCTTCCACTGTGTCTCTCGCATCAATTCATTCCATTTTCGGAAAATAGTTCCACTCAAACGCCATTCTTTGGGTGTTAACTTGTTCGCTATTGCAATAAGAATTTCAGTTGGGAGTTCGGAGAAACCCATTATTATAATAGATAGGTTTAAACGATCAGTAAGCTCGTGAGCAAATAACTTCAGAAGAAAAGAGAGAAAAGGGAAAAGAAATAAAGAGAGAGAGAGAGAGAGAGATTCAAGTGGAGTTAGAGACGGAAATGGGGTATTAAGAGTGAAGAATGGATAACAAGGTTTACATTTTAATTCTTGTTCTTTTGGTAATTTAAAATGTTTATTGTATTGAAACTAGCCATTTCTTTTCTGCGTGCATAGATCTGTAGTTTGACTGACTACAAATCATTGTTTGGCTTTGGAGCCAAATGTCTACACCACTCAACGAAATTGAAATCCAACAAAAATCCTGTTTTATAAAAAATAATCATATCCTACACAGTGATCTTGGTACTATCTTTTATGTATATAATATTATCTATAAAATATGATTATTAAGTATTTATATGGATAAATGCCCTCAGAATTCATGTTACATATTACATATAACATATGCATCAATGGTATTCGCCCGCATACGGACCAAACTCATCCAAGAATGGGAAAAATGTCAAGAGCTACATATACAGTCAGTCACCTACTTTACATAAAGCTCCATCTGCCTATTAGTTTTTACTTTGTACCAAAAAATTATTTTTGACTCTAAACGTTTGCAGTGTTCGAATGAAAGGGATAAAAAGAAAGCAAATGTTCCAAAGAAGATTTAACATTATATTAGATAGAGAGATTTTAACACCAAGCATAGTTTTCTAATGATCCTATTTTCAATTTTGTCTCATGTCCACAACAGTGTAATTGCCTTTACTCATTATTCTATTTTTTTAAGTTTAAAAGTGTGCACTTTTTAGAGGGGATTTTAGTAGTGGTTTATTTTGCTTAGATTTTTGGACAGTTGATTGAATTAAGCATTCATATTGCTCTATCTGGATCGAAAAAAAAAGCATTCTACTTTAGATAACTTGCCTTCTATGCCGAAGAGCACCATTAAGTTTAAATGATCTTTTCTTCTTTACTAAAAATAAAATTCTACTTATACGTTGTTTCTCTTCATAGATTCTGCTGAAGGGGCTGCTTCATCTGCTTGTGGACAATATCGTATTTTTCCTTATTGAAAATATTAATTATATATATATATGTATATATCTTTATTTTCTGGCTTTTACTTATTAGTTAATACCGTCTTGAAATATACGCGGGTTTATTTCTTAATAGTAGCTGGGTCCCTATTGTGTCTACTTGTACAAAAAAAGAAAGGAATTGTTTTTTGTGTCCTGGAGCATAAAGTGCACAGGCCACTTTAGAGTAACCTACAAATCGCCGTTATTAAAACTTGTACTCCGTCTTTAAAGTTATTACTACACCGATCAAGGCCAAACCCTTCATTCCTCTTTTTGCTTCTTTAATTCCTTACTTCTTTATTTTACTTTGCAAAGGTCTTTTGCACATTCGTTGTTTAATTTTTTTTGGCTGCTATTTCTGATGTAGAACAGTTACACAATCCCACTAAAAAATAATATACAACTATGTCACTGCTCTGACGTGGGAGGCAAAAAACACCCCTGGCAAAAAAAGCGCAGTCCCAAACTTTAATCGCAGACTGCGGGTATATCAAAATAAAGCCCATTCAACCGACACGGTTTTCTTCTCTTTAGCTTTTTTTATACTCTGGAGACGGGTACCCCCTGATTGCCTGTAGTTGAGTTTGACGCGCTACCTATGGGTGATTGGGAGACATTCTTTTTCCATTCTGTGCAGGAAAAAGTGGAAGTGCGTCGTCTCTAGCTTCTTAGTTAATTCTTAGAGGCGCAGATCAACATTGTTCTGAATTGTGAATTTAATTGTATAATTTCTGAAACAATGGCGACGAGCAATGTTTAAAAAAAGCTGCCGCCGAGTTAGCATCATGAAAGTTTATTGAGTGGAGGACGGGGAGGAAGTGGAGTTTACTGCCGACTCTTCATGAAATCCTTGTTCGAAGCTCTCTGGAACTGACGGTGTTGCTTGGTAGTCGAACACGCTGGACCCTGCTACTTTGTGGTAGGTTTCTCTGGTACGTTCGCAGGCCCTTCTCAGTGATGAGATAGGGTAGTTGGGATGAACCCGGTTGTTGTCTTACGCCACGGATTAACACCATTCCCACACCTCCTTCGCTACCAAGTCAGGTTTATGTCCTGAGGGAGATTGAGCCGCGTAATGCGGGGACAAAGAACTTGGTGTCATGCTTTTTATTTTTTTACTCATGTAAAAAAACATTAAGTGAAATCATATAAAGTAAAATAGCTTCTTTATGTATATCTTTAATGAATAAATAAAAATAATTTTTAAACTGTTGTTGACTCTAATAAAAAAACACGCGTTCAAACTTTTTTTACTTGATTGAAGAGGTTAATGTTGTAAATAGGAAGTCTCATTAGCAGGAAAAGTTAATCTAGATAAAGATTCCTGAAGATTAATATAATATAATATGGGTGTTCTTATCATTGTGTTGATTATCGTGTTTGATTATATAGGTCATTTTTATCTATAAAGTCTATAAGGAAAACTCGGGATAGTTCTTGAGAATGTCAAATGCGCGAAATGTATAACTGAATTTAGCTAATGTGGATGGACATTGTAAAGAGGTTGTATTGAAATGAGAGAAAAAGAATAAGAAAAGGGAAAAATGGAGAGGCGAGAGATGAGACGGAATAAAGAAATGTGTGTTTGAAAGAGAGACAAAAAGATGTGATGTAGATTGAATACACAAGTAGTGCCTTTATTGTATTTATATAAACTGTGCACGAAAAGGCCCAATTTAGATGTATTTATGAAGCAAATGTTGTTGTCTACAAAAAAAAATATGCTTTGAATAGCAATTAATAATTGGTACCCTCTATTCGTTATTGCATAGACGTGCGTGCAATTAGGCTCACAGTGTAAAATATGATTTGAATTCAAATAAGAAGATTGAACAAAATACTGACGCATTACAGAATATATCCTTCGATACCGTCCATTTTCTTTAAGCTACTATTATGGTTTATTATTATTTTTCACTTAACACTTGAGGAGACTGAGAAAGATGTTTTTTAACCAAGAAAGGACAAACCATTAAACCGAGATCAATAGAAGAATAAGAAGCTTCTCCTACATCTTGCCGTATATAAACTATTTAATAAAAATGCTTTCTGAAAGTGTTCAACCTGTTCAAAAAAGCATTTCATTTTGGTAATACTTACTGAGTAATAATAGTGGTAATTATGATCGAATATTATAAGCAAGATACATAAAAAAAAGAAAGATTCAATGGGTATCAGCCATCGTTTTTAAACAAATGTCCAACCACCTGGACTTATAGCTGGCACTGCCAATCTTTAGCACAATAGAACAAATCTGCTTATATTATGTTAATTGATATACAAATGTATAAAGTCTGTTGTTCGTTCAATCATTTATTAACGTTTGATCATAATTCATCTCTCTCTCTCTTTTACGGTACTACCCCGGCCAGCCCTTGCTTGAAAAAAAATATATATAATCGGTATCCCAAAAGTAGTAAAAGTAGCTTTACGAGTCACGAAACCCTTGCTTCTTTGTAACCTTTACAGATAAGCTTATTTGTACCTTGATACGATTTACCTGTAATGACAAGTCGAATCAAGTCATTGGCCACCATTACGGCAAGAGCAAATGTGCTTTTGCATCAGTCACTACGAAGCTCTATTCAATGTCGAGTTCCGATTACAGCCAGAACAATACCCCGTCGAACATTTCGCACTACCGGAATCTACAGAGATCAGCATCTCCAGGGCTATAAAGATGCTGACAGATACCATGGTGAGTCAAAAGTTTATTTTACTTTATTCTATTTTCTATTTTGGAAATTTTGAATTAATTTTTTTAAAAAAAAAAGGAAAAGGAAAAGGCAAAGTAATAATTATATATGATATTCTTTTTAAATAGGTGATTATCCAACTCGAACCCATCGTTGTGGTGAGTTGCGTGCGTCAGACGAAGGAAAGCGAGTGGTTCTCAATGGTTGGGCACAGTCATCAAGGTAAATAATAATAATAATAATAGTAGTAGTAGTAGTAGTAGTAGTGACATGTTCATGTTTTTACATTATTCGGATGGTAGAGTTACAACTTCATCACAGCCATATATACATACATGTAGACAAGCAATAACTTACTATGAAAACGAAAACAAGACTAATTATTTGAAGAATAAATCTATTAAATCTATTATTAACTTTACCCTTAATCATCTTCTATTGTTTTTTTTTGTGTAATCAATATGACCTTCTCCACATATACACACGCACATATATATATATATATATATATATAGAGCACTTTCCCAAGATTTGATTTTCCTTCCTCTTCGTGACGCTTCTGGTACTACTCAACTCGTTTATCGTACCGGGCAGCAGGCGGCTGAATTGAGGAGCCAGATTCAAGGCTTGGGCGCCGAGAGCGTGATTTGTGCTCAAGGTATCGTACGCAGGCGCCCAGACGGAATGGCAAATGCCAAGCAAGGAACAGGTGAAATCGAGGTTGAAATCGAAAAACTCTATTGCCTCAACCCAGCATCTCCCAACCTACCATTCTGGCCCAACCAACCTCAGCTTGTACGTATATCATATTTTACTTTGGCTTACATATATCTTAAATGATATTAGTAGTAAAAAAAAAAAGAGAGAAAAAAAATTGAAAGATCCTAATATTTTGGCTTAGCCTAATGAAGAGGTACGTCTTCGTTACCGCTATCTTGATCTCCGCCGCCAAGAACTTCAAGATAATATTCGGCTTCGTTCTTTAACAGCAGCCACTGTACGACAACACTTGGTATCAAACGGTTAGTGATAAAAAAAAATAGAAGGGAAAAAACAAACAAACCAAAAAAAAAAAAAAAGGGGGGGGGATTTGCTATGTGTACCTACTTTCACAAAGACTGTGCGTTTGTTTATGTTGGTAATTTGGGCTTAGTGATTTAAGTATCTATTATTATGATTATATTAGGGTTTGTTGAGATTGAAACACCAATGCTTTTCAAATCCACACCTGAGGGTGCCCGTGAGTTCATTGTGCCTACACGAAAGAAGGGTGCATTTTATGCACTTCCTCAAAGTCCTCAACAGGTGTGTACCGAAATTCCAGAAAAAGAAAAAGAAATGACAATTTGTAGTACATAAATTTAATACCATGACAACAATAACAATAACAATAATGACAATGACAATGACGATAACAGCACAAGCAAATGCTGATGGCAGCTGGATTTGACCGATACTTTCAAATCGCACGTTGTTTCAGAGATGAAGATTTACGTGCTGACAGACAGCCTGAATTCACACAGGTACATAGTCATTATGATTATTATAATACTAATACTAATTATGTCATTATTACTGTTACTCTATGTAGATTGATCTGGAAATGTCTTTTGTAACTCCCAAAGATATTCAGCATATCATCGAAGGCATGGTCACTAGCATTTGGGACAAGGCTCTTGGTGTAAAGTTGACAAAGGATTCATTTCCTCATATGACTTATGCCGAGGCTATGACAAATGTGGGTAAATTAACTTTCTATTTGTATTTATTCATATACTATATTAATATGATTAAGATATGAAACAAGAAACAAAGAAGAAGAATATTGATAACAATATCCCGTTTTATACATATACGTATTTTTAAATCAACAAGTATGGATCGGATAAGCCTGATGTGCGGTTTGATATGAAGGTAGGCCAATAATAGTAATCTATATATATAGAATTTGCTTTGCTTTGCTTTGCTTTGCTTTGCTTTGTTTTTTAAATTTATCTTTAATCTCTAAAACAATAACAATAACAATACCATTTATACCAACCATAAGATTTCAGAGATCGGGTCTTCTTTTGCAGATGTTGTTGGAGACAATGCTTTGGATTGCATGGTCATCAAGCAAGGAACCTCTCTGTCTGGAAAAGAATTAAAAGCCATGCAAAAGACTTTGGATATTGAGAATGAAAAGGTAAGCAATCCCAATTAGCATATTTTCTTTACTTTCATATATACATATATATATATATACATTCATCGCCACTATCTTTATCAATTATCAATATAATTATCATTATTACTGTTACTGTTATTATCAATAAATCAAGAACAAGTATATAAAGACTTTTTATATAAATACCATCTAAATTTGTATTTGTATTATTATTTTTTTTATAAAAAAAATGAAATTATAAAAGGTATATGATACACACACATAATAGGATCTATAGATAGAACGAAAAGAACTTGTTTTGGATATTCACAAAGCCAACCCATTACTATTATGATTATTATTGCTGTTGTTTATATTTTTTATTATCATTATAATTATAATTGTCGTTATTATTATTATTATGTTCTTCATAGGGATTTGCGTTTGTCAAGATCAATGAGAACAATATTGATGCATGGCCAGCTAAATGTGGTGGTACCTTACGCCAATCTACTCAGATTGCTACCTCTGTTCCTGGCCTGAACAAAGATTTGGGTATTGAGCAGGGTGATCTGGTAATAGTCCACACCAGACCTCGGTATCTCTATGTAAGTTTTATTTTATTTTATTCTTAATTGCCAGAAATTTGTACAATAAAATACAATACGTTATAATAAAAAATAAACTTAACCCTGACATTTGGTATTTGTCTTTTTTTTTTAACAGGGTGGAAATACTTTGATGGGCCGTGTTAGATTGCATGCAGCCAGTCTGATGCAGGAGAAAGGTACGATTGATATATCGATGTACATCTCTATACACACAGACAGATAGAAAGATAGACAGATGTATAGATCAACTTGAGAGGAGTAACAAATACTTGGTGTATTTACTTGGTTTACTTTATTTCGCGCATAAAAATCTAATGTGTATTATGTAGGCCTTTTGAAGTTGGATAAAGAAAAGTTCAAGTTCCTTTGGGTTGAATCCTTCCCTCTGTTTACACCTGATGAACAGGGCATTCGTACCTGGCAGTCAACCCATCATCCCTTTACCGCACCCTTTAACGAGGATATTGCATTGCTTTCTACAGAACCAGCCAAGGTTCGGGGCCAGCATTACGATCTTGTGCTGAATGGTATGGAGATTGGTGGAGGATCTATTCGTATTCATTCACCTGTAATGCAAACCTATATTTTCGAAAAGGTGCTCCAGGTATGTGTGACATATCCAAAATATACATATTTATATACATATACAAATATACAAATTTAGAAATATAAAAAGTAAAAAAAAAAGAAAAAGAGTGGCTGAAGTTGAGCTATTCTATGCTAAGTTAAGCTAAGTTATTTTATTTTATTTTTAGCTCGAGAAGCATGAATACAGTCGATTTGATCATTTGATTGATGCCTTGGGTGGTGGCTGTCCTCCTCACGGTGGCATTGCTCTTGGTTAGTTCATTTGATTTGACTCAATTGAATTGAATTCAGTTGAATTAGTCAATTGCCTTTTATTTATTTATGTGTGTATTTTAGGGTTTGATCGTCTAATGGCCATCCTTTGTGACGCCCCATCAATTAGAGATGTAATCGCTTTTCCAAAGGCGGCTGGTGGAAAGGACTTTGTGGTCAATAGTCCTTCTGAAGTAACGACAGGTCAGCTTGAGGAATATGGACTTCGACTGGCAGAGTAAAGTATACTATAATGGATCAAGGGGAGTGTTATTGTTATTGGTTCTTCTTTTTCGAGTCATTCCAATGTGTACTCTAGTGCTTATTGTACAGTCAAACTAAACTGTCATAAAATATACATCTATTTCAAAAAAACCTTGTTACTATAAACTTTACCCCGTAATACGTTGTACAGTATTAGACAAAGGTGTCCCAAGGCTTATATTCCTTCTTCTTTTCCTTTTTATATATCTATCTATCTATCTAACATTATTTATTTATTTGTATCTATGTAGCCATAGAACTGTGACTTTTGCTTGTCTTTTTTTTTCTTCTTTTCTTTTTTACACAGCCCAAAAACAATGCCAAGTGCTAAATACTAGTAACCATAGCAACAACAACAATAATAATCCTCATCTTTCCGTTCTATTCAACTTGGCTTTTTTTTTCTTCCTTGATAGTTCAGCATCTCCCTCTTTCTCCCTCTTTTCTTTTCTTTTCTTTTTTTCCCTCTTTTATTTTCCTTCTTCTTCTTGCTCTTGCTCTTCTTGCTCTTGTTCTTATATCTATATCTATATATTATATTTAATTTACTACCAGATACTTAAAATTATTTCTTAATACAAGCAAGCAAACTTAAAAAAATAAAGATGCCGATCCTTAAGAACACCCTTGCAAAAGAAAACATGTTTTTTCTCTGTACATCTGGAATAGCATATGTATGTATAAACGAAAGAGAAACCAGGATCGAAAAAGAAAAAGAAAGCAACAACAACAACAACAACAGCAGTAGTAACCATAGTAACAGCAGTAACAACTACGACTACAACAGAGATTCAATACATAACAGTAGCAGCAGAGAATATATATATAAAAACAAGAATGAGGACTATAGTCACAATATTTAATTCTTCTTCTTTTTATGTGTAGTGTGGTTGGATTATTGCCTTTGGATCAGCCTGTGACCTTAAGGTTCAGAGTGGACTGACTTGGTGGGTGATTATCTACGAGCTTTTATTGACGAGCGTCATTACACATTTGACCTTTTCTGGTCTATTCATGCAATACCGACTGGCAGTAAGAATCAATAATAACTTAATATATATAAATATTTGGTTATTGAAATTTAACAGAAATTAATATTATTATTATTATTATTATTATTTTTTAAAAAAAAAAGGTATTGACATTTTTGGCTGCAAGTATTTCACTATTATCACAACAAATTGAAATTAGTCTGTTGGAAGCAAAATTACTCGATGATAGTGCACAAAAAGCCAAGGCAGCAGGATTGATTATATTGATCATAATTCGAGTAAGTGCATATACAAATACCTACTTACTTTTCCGTTTTTTTTTTTTTCAAAGAAAATAATAATTATTAACTATTTATTTTTATTTTTATTTTTCTTGGTGGTGGTGGTAAATGATTTAGTTTGTCTGGGTCATTGTTTTTGGCAGTGAATCGGATAGTGCAGTCAGCCACAGCTTAGCTCGGCTTGTGTCCAGAAATAACTCGGTCACACAAAGCCCAAGCAGGCGAATTGATCCTGCCGACATGTCGAGCGAAAAGATATTTTACCGAGACAATTCAATCACAAGAAGAAGCATGAACCTTTTGCCCAACTCGAACTCGAGTCCAATTCAGAGTCCTCCTCACACATTCTCGTACAATAGTACCGGCCCACACAACGACATTAATCCTACTACTACCAATGCTACTAATACTGCCAATACTACTTCTAATCCTACGTCACCTTATCTCGAAAACGTGGCAAGTGACGCTGTGCCTTCAATGGTGCACGGTCCGCTGGAGCCAATGGAGTACACAGAACGTGTTGAAGCACTTCACGCTTGTAAGTTATTAATAATAAAAAACAAAAAAAAAATATGATTTCTAATCACATACATACTATATACATACATAAATACGTACGTACGTATTTTTATCTATTTATTCTTTCATACATATTAATAGATCAAGCCAATCGTGATGACCCAACTGAGTTGAGCTTTGAAAAGTTTGAAACATTGGAAATTGCAAGTCGAGCAGGCAATTGGTGGCAAGCACGTAAAATGGATGGCACTGTTGGTATTATCCCTAGCAACTATGTAAGCTTCATTTTCCCTTTATCTTATCGATCTTTGTGACCAATGAATGACTAAAAAAAAATCCCACCAATACTAATGATGATAATGTTGATTATGAATATTTACTTCTTTAGTTTGCACCTGTCTAATAAACATATATACATATAAATTATTATTATTTTTATATATGTATATGTTATATGTACAAACACTCTCCCACTCCCACACACAAACAAACAAACAAACATACACAAATACATGTATAGGTACATTATATAATCCTTAGTGATGTATATTATTAATATTATTTTATTTTATTTTATTATTTCTTATTCTTATTCTTATTTTGAATTTTGCAAGCATAGAAATAACAACAAGTGTATCAATGCCATTTTAGCAAATGAATTTCAAGATTGATTTTGATTTTAGGTTTTCTCTTTTTTTTTCACGTGAAATATATAATGTTTATATATTATATATATTATTTAAGAAAAAAAAAATAAGTATGAATAAGTCTAATAGGGTGTAAGGTAGTAGGGTTTAAGTGTGTAAAATAAAAAAGATAAAGGGGGGTATGAAAAATAAAAATAAAAATAAAAAGATAAGAAGACGAAGAAGAAGAAGAAAGATATTTGAAGAATTAAGAACAAGAGGAAGTATGTTGAATAAAGAATAAACTATCAAAGTGTGTGTATATATACATATATACGCCATATTTTGATACATATTTTTTTCTTGGATTCTTGGATTTGATTTCTTGGCCATTTCCCTTCTTATTCTTGATTTTATTCTTCATTATTTTCTTCTGGTCCTTCGTTTCTTGTTGTTCTTACTGTCGTTGTTATTGTTTGTTTGTCTGTGAATTTATAATGTCTCTGTGTGTAATCGTATTTGTAGGTGTGGTGAGAGATTCTTTCCTGTTCAATCTGTACAATTGAAGGAAAGTAGAAAGCGGTGATAATGATAATGATAATATATAAAAGAAAAGATAGGAATTCGATTGACAAGTTTGGCTACCGGAGCTGTCATTGTTGTTGTTGTTGTTGTTGCTGTTGTTTGATTAATGCTTGGATTTAATGTCTTTTCAATTTTTTTTTTGAATTTTCTTCTTTTTTTTTCTTCTTCTTTCGTTCTTTAATGCTGGGGACTGCTTTCTTGTGCTGGTGTGGGATCGATGAATTCCGGGAATGAGACGTAGGTTCGTTCAAAGGCAGACAGGTCGCTTGGGCTTTTGATTGTGTCGGTCATAGCAGGAGGCTTGGGCTGGCTAGTCAGTTTAGCAGTCAAGAACGTAAGACGGTCACGAAGAGCCAATTGAAGCATTTTAAGAAGTTAGACAGGGTGAAAGAAGGTTAGAAAAAGAGAAAGAAAGAAAGAGAAGAGGAAGAGACAAAGACTGAAGTGAAGCGAATTAAAGTGAATTGGATTTCTGATGTAAAATCTTTTATATATATATTTATATTTTATATATAAATTCGTGCATGTATTTAAAATATATACTTGTATTTAAAATACTTATTTTATTTATTTATTTATTTATTTATATACTTAAAATGTGCTGAATGGGAAGGGCAGTTGAAAGAAACAAGAAAACTTGATAAAGTAACACAGCGACACACAGCCAACAAAAAGGAAATTCACGATTATGTCTGTATATATCGTCTATACTGTAAATTGTAATATAGCGTAGTGCGTGCGTGCGTGCGTGCGTGCGTGCGTGTGTGAGAGAGATTGTGGCATTCAAAGATCGTCTTAATCGGGTATTGAAGCCAGAAAGGCGTGGGGCCCTTTGGCGGACAACAGATTATTGGGCTGGGCCTTTCTTTCTCTCTTTCTCTCGTTTTGAATGTTCAAATCCAGGCACCAAGATATCATATGTATATATTTGCCTTTTTGTATTATAAATCAAAAAACTCGTTTTTATTGCTTCTTTTATATTTTTTTTATCCCCCTTTATTTATTTTTTATTTTACAAAGCGCCCGGATAAAATATATGAATATCAATCAACTCAAGTCTTATACACCAATAGGCACAACACGTAAATATTCAAGAGTGAAATACGATACAGTTCAAGAATATGTTTATTTGTTTATTTGTTTATTTATAATATTTATAATATTTATTCTATAGTCATTGAAGATAAAGAAGAAAGAATAACAAGTAACGCAAAAGAGGATGAATAGAAATGAGAATGGGTTAGAGGTTGATAAGAGGAATTGAAGGGGTAAGTAAGAAAAAGGTTGAGAAAAATGACAAAGATATATATATATGAGAGTGTTTGAAATATTGAGTGGGTTTTGTTCGACTAGTTTTGAATGTTGTGATTTTTGGGAAGATGAGATATAAGAGAGAGAGAGAGAAAAAGGGGTTTTTTTTTGGGTTGGAGAATTTTTACTATCATTTAATTATTATGTGTTATTATTATAGCTATTTGTTCTTTTTCTTTTTTTCTTTTTTTTTTATTGTGTATGCTTTAGAAAGCCTTTTTGCTCAACTTCAATGACAACTTCTGGACAACGTCCAAAGCCTCCAGGACCTCAAAAGTACCCTTGATTACAGAAGTGTCGTGGTATGTGATGTTGTACTTCTTGCACAGGAGCTTGACCATGGGCTTAACCTTGGGCAAGTTGTGGCGGGGCATGTCAGGGAAAAGATGGTGCTCGATCTGGTAGTTGAGACCACCAAAGAACCAGTCGCCAAATGCACCCATAGTCACATCACGTCCGGTAATTGTCTGGATCTCGTAGAATTCCATCTCCTCGGCCTTCTCCTGGGAAATGACCGGCATGCCGTTGTGGTTCAATGCGAACACAAAGGCCAGTGCGTAACCAGTCACCGACTGGGAAATCACGAAGAAAAGAGCCATGTTGCGGAAGCTGTCGATCCAGGTCAGAGTGGCAGCAGTGAACAGAATCCAGTGGGAGACGAGAGAGGCACGCTCATAGAAGTTGAGCTTGGCAGACTTGTTGATCGCACCGGCATTGAAAGAGTAGCTCAGGGACTGCATGGCCCAGGAGATACGTGCAAAGGCAAGGATAAAGAAGTAGTAGCGGGTCTGGTAAGGCAGGACGTTTTCGGCAAGGAATCTGGTGACTGGTCCAGGAGTGTCCTCCAGAGATCCATAGTAGTTGGCCGAAGCAAGCTCGTCCCACAAGAGAACAGGTGCGGTGTCGATGTCGGGATCGTGTCCACTGACGTTGGTCGAGGCGTGGTGGGTGTTGTGCTTGTTCTTCCACCAGGAAAGAGAGAAGCCCTGGCAAAAGTTGCCGAGAAAGACGAGCAAGACATCGTTCATCTCACGGTCCTTGGAGGACTGGTGGTGTCCAAAGTCGTGGGCCAACCAACCGCACTGTTGCCAGAAAATACCCAAGATCACAGCCGCAACGATAACGGCGGGAGTAGAGGTTCGGCCGTAAAAGTAAAGAATGGTCATCGAAGTACCACAGAGCATCAAAGTTGAGAGAACCTTGTAGATGTAGAACAGAGTGCTGGCATTGAAGTAGCCCTCTTTATCCAACTTTTCCCGAAGTTCTCTCATCTCAACCGCAAAGTCGATACCAGCCTGAGTCTCTACTGACACGGGCGCAGGGGCCTTTGGTTCAAGGTCACCTACGTAGTGGTTTGCCAACATTTCGTAGGCAGAAGGAGGGTGCATGGCATGGAAGACATCTGTTTTTTTTTTAAAAAAAAAGATTTAATACATATATTCAATATTTAAATAAACAAATAATATTAATTATTGTTTTTTCTTTTCTTTTTTGGTTTTACCTGTGGCATCTTTACCGACATGAGTCAGCAATACTTTTTCACCTCCTGGGTGATCAGCAACAAAATCGGTAATATCGTAAAGCTTGTTATCGACTACGATGTACTTTTTTGCGCCCTCTACACCATCCTTGACTTGCTGATTAATGGCATTGAATTCTTCTCGGGTGAATACAGGCATAGCTATTGGTCGAAAGTAATATTAATGACTTGATCCAACAAAAACCAAGCATACATATAGAAAAAGCATATATCGCTCTCTTTATCTCTAAATCTATTATTTGTTGATATGCTTCTCTTTGCATGTACATTTATCTATTTGTCTTACCCATGGCTTCTGTGGCGTTTGGAGCCATTTTGTCTTTGCAAGGATAGCAACAAAAAAAAAGAAGAAAAGAAAGAGGAAGAGAGAGAGAGGGAGGGGAGGAAAGGGAAAATGGAAAGGGAAAGGATAAAAGTAGAGAAACAAGAAAGAGTGCCTTAAAAAAAATCAACACTATTTGCAGTTTTTTTTTATATGTCTTTCTTTGGATAGATGCTTAATCTGTTGCTTGGGGTTTGTGACACAGCCTCCCCGACCCTCAGAGACTCAGTGCGGATCGGAAAATGAAATGTATGCGTTTTTATTCGTCCACAAAGAGAGACTTAATCTGAAAGTACACCAACCTTCTTTCTTACTTTCTGACTACCCCCCCCCTCCTCCCCCCTTTTCTCTCTCTCCCTTCCTTTTTAATTTACATATCCCATTTTTGAATAAGGCAAAGGCTTGAGAGAGGAAGAAGAACAAATAACCGATTGACAAAATAAGGAGGGAGGGAGAAAGATAAAATTTTAACGGGAGGCTAAAAGAAACCCAAAAAAAAAACAAATTATAATTATAATTTTTATAATTATAATATATACTATATATTATGACAACTGTATGTCTAAGTGTATATATCTCTCTATTAAATTATTAAATACACTAAAATATATATAAGAGTTATTCTTTAAATCAAATATATACACACAGGACACAGCCATGTTACAACTAACACTGATTATTGTTATTTGCATGTGACGGTTATTTTACTTTTTTTTTTGTTTTTAGTGAGATCCTTCTGAATGATAGAAGCCGAGGAAGGGATTGGAAGTATTGAGAAGAAGAAAGGATCTTTTAGAGAGTAAATCAATCGACAAAGACCAACACTACTTTGTTAAATGTCAAGGAGCCATGCGTGTATATATCTTGTGTATGTGTAGCTACAAATATATTCCATGAAACAAATGTGTGTGTTTCTGGCGTGCTCTATAGGCTTATGTAGTCTGCGCACTTCCAATCTCGGATCATCAGAGTAATCTTTTTTTTTTAATTCCGGAAGTACACAGGCACACAAATAAAACAAGAAGAAACAAAAAAAAAAGATGGTAAAATGTTATTCCAATTTCACTTAAGAATATGTATATGTATATGTATATGTACATGAATTTCAAGATGGGGGTAGTGTCTAGTGTCTATTTGTAATGTATATGCATACACACAAAAGTTCAAGCTTGGAAATGAGGCGGATATACCTCTGATTAGAAATAAATAAATATTTTTTTTTCAATTGCTTTTGTATCATATATTTAATTTGTTACTATAGTTACCATAAAGCTTATTATTACTTTAATTATCATCATTTTGTTGCCATGGCTACATGAATTCTTTTTTTTTTCTAAAAAAAAAGGGCTTTATGTGCTTCATGATAACCATCAGATTAGAACCCATTTTTTGGCTACATGTATTTGACTTGATTTACATTTTCTAGTACTCAAAAGATGATTGATTAATTTGGTTGGTTAGTTGGTTTCACACACCAAAAGGACGCACATCTATCTTATTTTTATGATCCCACTGTTTTTTTTTATTTTTATTATTTATTCCTTTCATGGTTGATCAAATCAATGTCATTAATGATCGGTTATTGGTTATCATGTATTTATATATATATATGAAGAATCCAATGCTCCTGCTTACAAGAAATCCATCTCCACATATATACTCTTCATATGATAATTGTGTACACATACTATATATTTACAGCAGTGATTATATATATATTGTGGTAAGAGAAAAAGAAACAAGATTAGGCTCATCCCTATTTACCAATTGAATGAGCGCGTTTGTGTATAAATATATACATAAAACTATATATATAGCTTAGATCTAACTTTTTGGATCAACATATCCTTTTTTTTTTTCTATTCTTAATACGTGTCAATCGAGTTCAGATAAATCCAGGGAACCAGACTATTTTAGTAGCAAAGTAGTAAATAATAATATAAATACATTTATATTTATATTTATATAATTCATGTGCTTGAATCACATTTTTTTTTACCAATTGGTTGCTATCTACTATCAATAGTAGGTCAGAGAAAATGGTATTCAAGACTAAATGTAAGTCTAACGCTAAGGCTAAGTTTAATGCTAAGGGGTATTAATGTTAAGGCCCAAGTATAACAACAACAATGATAGCAAGAGAAACAAGCTCCTAAAATTTATCAATTGTATGATTGTGGGAATTCATTTATTTCAGATCGAATACCTATCATTATAAGGAATATTATTAATATGGATAGATTTACATTGTTGCAATTGGTGCTTGATACTACTACTACTACTGCTACTACTACTACTACTACTATTATTATTCTTATTCTTATTATACAACACCAACACAAACAAAAAGAGAGATATATTACACAGTCTAAAATGATCATGCTTATTCACAGCTCCTCAAGACCATAACCAATAGCATGTATTCCCAAGACAAGACAAGAGCAGGGTTTCCCCCTTTTTATTGTCGTTGAAAGGTCTACAATCAATGTATATATTGTATTATAAGACATACTCTTGAACTGCAATTCGATATCTTTTTCTTTTTTGATCAAGACCAACTTACTATATAATGATCCTTTTTTAAAAGAGCACAAACATATGTAAAAGTAAACCCCATTAATTCTTAATCATACACACACTATTTTTTGTTTGTTTGTTTGTTTTTGGCGACATCAAATAATAAGAATATTAAGGGGAGATTAAGTGGGGAGTGGGGAGGATGGGGAATGAAAATGGTCATCTCTCTTACACTCTCACAAGTATAATAATATCAAAAAGTATATTTGTATACGCGTATGTATAAATATATCTCTCTGCCCAACGTTTCACATCAAACAAGAATACGCGTCTTGGTTTTGATTGGCTTTGTTAAAACAATTAATGAGTGAAAATAGAGCTCGGTAAGACCGACAATTATGAAGAAAAGAATAAACCAAGGCAAAGCAAAATTCAAAAATAAAGGATTGTCTCCGAAGAATCATATTACTTTCACAAATAATCATGCCTTATTCCGCTGTTTCCCTTAACCTAAGGTCAGCATTGCATTGTCTTTATAACTAATCATAATAATAATAATTAAAGAATAGTATATTTGGAAATTTGCAGGAATATTTGATATTTGATATTTAAGAGAAACAAACAAAAAATAATACATATATTCGAAGATTTCACATGAATACTGTATCCATATGCAGAAATATATGTATGTACGTACGTATGTATGTAAATGTACTGTGATGTACCGTGTGTTGAGTGCACATACATATATACATCTACACAACATATCTATACTTATATACATACAGGTGCGGGGAACTTTAGCTGAACCAAGATAAACATAGTCTTGGCATGTGATTTTCATTCGACTTGCGTTTAGCTAAAGGTCTCATGTAACAATATAAATAGAGATAGCAACAGTAGTAGTAGTAGTAGTAGTAGTAGTAGTAGCAATAGCAGTGATACTAATAGAAATATAGGCTAAAAACAATATCATAGTCATTTACTTGGTCATTAATCTTTGTGTGATAAGATCAGTAGAGCAAAGAAAAAAAATGTGTATTCTTTTTGGCAGTAGTTTATTTGACAAATGAATATAAATTCCCGGGTTATGCTGCACAAGGAGATCGAATATCAGAACACACAAACACACACACCCAAAAGCTCATGCATACCCCCCCCCCCCCCCCCCCCCATACTGCCTGTCTTACAAACAAAAATCCACTCTCTCCAACCCTATTTCCAAAATGCCCTACACTCACTGTATATAAACATATTATATATCACTACTCATATTATTTTAGAATACACACAAGCACACACAGACTGAAAGAGAGAGAGATAGATAAATGAATAAATAAATATATACACATACAAATATAATAGTAAGAGCAAATCAAACTACAAATAGGATAACAAGAATAACTAGAATAACTAGACCATCTTAAATGGATACCACCCTCCTCGTTGCACACGAATAACCCAAAGTAAAATACCAGCAGCAACGAGAATCACACCACTAAATATAATAGCATAGTTGTATGTCGGTTCATCAGCCACATTATTGATCAGGGCAGATGAAATGGGAGTACCAAACAGGCCGCCAAAGAACCATCCGAAGAAGAGCAGTCCGTTTGCAGCCTCAATGTCCTCCATACCAACCACCTGGGCCAGTACAGCCGGAACTGTGGTCAGGTACCCTCCTCCAAACAGACCAAACATAGCCGCAAATGCCCACACAGTCGCAGCCGAATTGGCATTCAACCATAGTCCGAGACACATCACACCTGTCAAGATCGTACAGAGAAACGCTGCCGTAGACCGTCCAACACAATAGTCGCCAAGTAATCCACCCGAAATTTTTCCTACAATCATAACACCTGCACTGATTGCCGAAAGGTTTGTTCCAACCCATCGATCCAAACCAATATGATTTGCATATGCTACAAAAAGATGTGTTTATAACCAATGATCTTATGTGTGTCTAGGGCTTGTGATCTTACCTGGAAGAAAACCAGAAGGAATCTACATACAAATATAAATAATAATGTAAGTTATAAATATATATATATATATAAAAAGGGGATTATAAGTGCACACAGTAAAGGCCCTTTTCTTTTTGGCTTACGTTGAATGCAAAGTTGCACAAGACTTGAACAACAAATAAGATGACAAATTGAGAATTTCTAAAGGGCGACAGATCAATGATACGGGAACCAGATACATGAGAGGGTCGATTGAGTGGCCGAACAAAGGCTGCACAAATACAGAGCAAGGCAAATGTAATGAAACCAAGAATGCGAAGAGACCAACGGTAGCCGAGGTTGTCAATAGCAGCCTGGATAACGTTGGACAGAACCAGACCACCGAAGCCTGAACCAGATATAGCCAAACCTACGCTGAGGCCTCGCTTTCTAGAAAACCATTGTTGGGCAGCACTTACGCAGGGAAACCAGACCAAAGAAGCGCCAATACCAGCCAGGACGCCTTGGGTGAGGTATAAATGCCAAATCTGTGTGTGCGTGTGTGTGTGTTTTTTTTAAAAAGAAATAAATATAGAAATATAGAAAGCTTATTTACCTGAGTGGCTAAACTGGCAAGCATCATTGAACCAGAGCACAAGAAAATCGCTACAACCAACATCCATTTGTAGCCAATTCTGTAAGCAAAAAAGCAGAAAAATGGTCCAACGATATTTGCAAGCGCCAGCCAAAGTGAATGGATCCATGACAACGAATTCATCTGATCCTTAAACACCTCTCGGTTGTAATAGTCAAAGTATATTCCGGCTGTGTAATTATATCCTTGTCTTAAGATTATCAATTGATTTTATACATACAAGTATGTATTCAAGTCAGTAAATGAAAACAAATAATACTAACATACTATATAGATCAAGCCTATAACTAATCTAAATTACTTACGTGCAAAATAATCCCTAATCATAGATAATATATAAAATATATAAAAATAAGGTTAAGATTATAGAATACCCAAAAAAAGAAACCAAAAAATATACATATATATAAAGAATTGAGTTTATTTTTCTTCTTATTCTTCTTAATTAATGCTTCTTTTGGATTTAATCTGTCAAAATGTGTGTGTGTGTTTTTTATATATATTACATATAAGAAAATCTTTTTTTTTACTTACGCAAAAACATCCAAATAAAACAAGCCATGCACGTCCACCATCTGGTGGATCTATAAGATGCTTTGTAGAATGATTCGAGTTTATAGAGTGAATTGATATTTGATCAATGTCGTTTGGTTTCTCTTGGACGATAACTTCTTCTGCAATCTGTACACGGTCCTTTTCATTCATTTCTCAAGTTTGTGTATATGGATATATTGGCTAGTAATGAAACAAAGAAAAAGTAAGAGGAGGGGGAGAAAAAGAAAGAAAGAAGTGAAAGAGAGACGAGGTGGAAAAGTGTCTGAAAAAAATATATTTTTTGAGAAAAAAAAAAGATAATGAAGTACAACTCAGTTCTTTTTTTTTATATATATTTTACCCAGATTCAAGAATACCATCTAAAATCTTTGGTCCCACAAATTAAAGAAGCTATACCAATATAATAATAAGAAGGGATAATATAGTCCCCGCAATAGTTGACAAATAAAATACAATAGAAGAAAACGATTAGAGAGGTAAGGATGATGTATATCTTAAACCTTTCTTGAATTAATGGAATTGATTTTTTCTGTTATATATATATATATATATAACTAGGGTTTTAGACAAGGGTCTTTGGTAGTGAATTTCGTATCTAATGAGTGATTTGATTGGTAATATATATATATTTCTGAAGCCTTGAAACAGTAAAGAGATAATAGCAGTAATTATATGAGATCCATTCTAGTCTTAATTATGATACTAAAAAAATATGTATTTGTAAAGCGTATTCTTCTCTTTAACTTTTAGCTTATACAAATATACAAATATTGTCAAGTTACACGCGCTGTTGGAATGGTTCTTTAGTGTTTATTCACCGCAAAGGATCGTATAAAAAATATAGATAATAACGAGGATTTCTATAATGAATACACAATATAATTTGGCTGTAGAACAAGGAAGACCAACCATTTTTTTAAAAAAAAAAAAGTCAAACAGAGACATATTACGATACTTTATTGGGTTCAACTCACTGTTCCAAGTAGTTAGTCAATATAAATAAATAATATGTCTATATAATAAAAAAAACCCCTAATGAAATCATCATATTTGATCTCCTTTTAATCTATAATACACACGCACATATACATATTTGCAATCTCCCTTTTTCATATGCTATCAATTGTTGCCACTGAATAGAAGCGTATAATCAAAAACTAGAATACTAAGATAAAGTACTAAAAAAGATCATATTATCAATACTATCACCACAACCCAATTCAAATATGATCAAGCAAGCACCAACAACAAAAAGTGATTGCCTCATGTACGTGACTGCATTATTCATCGCAGGAATGCCATTTGGTTGTGAACCCTTGTGAACTTGGTTATGAACCTACATTTTATTTTACTTTTCATTATATTATATTCTATTTCATTTCATTTCATTTTATTATTGTACACAAGAAAAAGAAGAATAAAAAGAGTTTCTACCTACCTACATAAAATAAAGAAAAGAAAAGAAAAGAAAAGATTCCATTGTTTGTCATGAGCGACATTACAGATTCAGCATGCATCACAATAGTTACCGAATACTTACTCAACAACTGCTACAAGAATACAGCAAAGGCACTTCAGTTTGAAACCAACAAACTCGCCGCCCGTAGTGAGGATCTCTCTGGACAAGCACCAACCAAAAGTACCTTGAGGCGGGAGATGAAAAGTACTGATAGTAATATTAATAATGTTGTTTGATATACTGATGTTTGAAAAGACAAAGATAGGATGGAAACTGAAGAGAAACCAGAAAATCTTAAAGGGAACAAAAATGAGGAACCAAAGTCAGCAAGAGCATCAAGAAGTCAGGGAGATAATACAAGTGAGTTTATTGTCCAATAAGACCAAACACCACACTTCCTTCTTCTTACATTTAGATTTAATAGGTGACGCTATGGATACTGAAGAAGACGGTAAGTACAGCACGCACATAATAATACATATAAAATGTATCGTATTCCAAACAAGAGAAAATAAATGAGAAGTTTGTAAGATCCATCTTGGAAACTGCTCGATGCAAGAAAAGGCAAGCATTATTTATACTTGATTTATTTGACAAACATAGAAAGTAAAGGACATTATATATAAGTATATATAAGAAGGATAAGGCTTATTATAAGGATAAGGATAAGAATAAGAATAAGGATAATTAAATAGAAAAATAAAAGATAGATACAAGATAAAGTGTTTGTGCTGAATTAGTAGAGTGAGTGTCTTGTAGATATCTATGACAGTATTCTGGCGGGTAACATCGATCGTGCGATCCAAGACATTCGATTTAATTTTCCTATAATGGCCCAAGTTAATCCGACTGCTGAAGAACCATCTTACTATGAGATATTGATGTACAAACTAGCTTGCCAAGAGTTTGTCGAGATCGTACGGTCAGGAGAGGAACTAGAGGCTATCAAATTTGCCCACACCCACCTGGGCACCAGGCACCAAACTCTGCAAGAGATCATCACCAGAGTGTCTCCATTGATTGCCTATCATGATCCGACCAACTGTAGTTCATCGTACCTTTTTGACCATGAACAACGCCAGGCGCTAGCTGATGAGGTCAATATGGCCGTCCTAAGTAAGACCCAGTTTACATTGTACATAATCAATGTGCATTGTACATTGATTTTTTTTATATCATTCTTTTATTTTTGGATAGCTCTGTCAGGTTTGCCGACCGAAACAGCATTAGAAAAGTTATCAAAACAGCACAACGTTGTCAAAGACACATTGAACCAAATGAAATTTGAAGATCCAGCAAAAGACCCTAATTCTGATCGAAAAATGTCCATGTAAAATAATAATGGCCATGTCTGTTGAGTTCTCAAAACACTCTTTTATATATTTCTTTAAATAATATTCTTAATTTCTTACCTTTATACAAAGATAGAAAGGATATATCTATCTATACACACTTATTTACTTTGCACAAGTTAATTTTTGCCTATAAATGAAAAACAAAAACAAAATATGGTTAAATAATGTTGGTTTGTTATATCGTTTGCAAAAATTTCGAGTATAACCAACATATCTATCTATTCATTATATCAATAGGAATTCTTTGTAATCTGTTCAATTGATAATAAAACTTTGGATGTCAGTTGTCTGGTTAATCGATTAGATTAATTAAGGTAAAATCATGAAACACAAACTTGATCTTCGTAACACCCATGAAAGATCTCTAGAATTATGTTTTTTTTTCTTGTTTTTTTTTTGTTTACCACATCTGTCAAAAAAAAATTGACATTCCGAGGATTGAACAGAGTGAATTACAGAATTCTATGCAAATTTATTTAATGAAGAAGAACAAGATAATTATATGCGTTATATAGAGAGAGGGGAGAGGGAGAGGGAGAGGGACAGAAAGAGTAAAAGAAGAACCCTTTATGGATTTTTTTTATGTCATTTTATTTATTTTTGGCTTTGTAATTTTTTTGGGAGCTTATTAATCGTCATGGAGACGAGTCTAAGATACTATACACATAACAAAGAAGAGGAGAAAAAAAATACAGTTGTAAATAATAACAATAATAATAATAATAGTAATAATAATGGAAACCAACTTTCTTTCATGAATGGGAAAAAAGAATATGAATGAAAAATATGAATGAATGAAATAGGACAAAATACATTCAAGTTAAAAGAAGGTATGAAAATAAATGAGTTGATTTTTTGTTTTTTGTTTTTGTTTTTTTTTCTATTTCTATTTTGAATTTGAAATGTTTTTTTTTAGTCTTTTACTGTTCGTTGGCAGTAAGTTTTTTTGACTGTTCGGTGTGCTCATCAATATCAACAGCATCCCAGGGATAGACCAACCACTGGTCGGGCATCTCAACAGCAGCAAAGTAGTTCTTCATGATGCTGGGAGGCAACTGTCTCTTCTTGGGCTTCTCCTTGTTGTGAAGGACAAAGATACCAATCTTGGTGTTCGATTCTCCGGGCTGCATGCCATGGCGGATTTCCTCGGTCTGGATATCCTTGACAAGCTCCTCGACAGCAAAGCCCAGAGTCTGGCGGGTATCATCTACCTCATCAACAATGAGGATATTGCGGCCCAAGAGGGAAATTTCAGAGTGAGAGGCACCAAAGTTCAACCACTGGGTCTTTGTGACCTGAGGTTCGGTATTTAAGTTGTTGGCCTGGGCAATCTCAATTTCCTCATACAGAGACAGACCGATGGCCTGGATAGGAATGTTACGGTTATTGTGCTTCTTCAAAAAGGTACGCAACATACGGGCAGGGATAAAGCCACCACCACCAATAGCAATCATGAGGTCAGGCTGGAACTCTTCATTAATCTTGTGATTCTCAACGGCCTTACGGATAGAGTTGTGAATTTGGTTATAACTTATGCAAAAGAAAATACATATGAATATTTATTTATAAACAAAATCAAATGCTTCTTTATGTCTCTTATAATGTCGTCCTTATTTCTCTCCTTCCTCTTCATTATCTTTTTTCTTTCTCTTATTCTCTCTCTTTCTCTCTCGCTCTCTCTTTGACGTTTCACTTTTCATTTGATTTGATTTGAAGGAATACAGTAGTATGGTAATTCAATTACTGCTCCATAATTCCAGCTAAGCTTTACCTGATGTGGAGCTTGGACATCTTTTCTTGTCTTAAAGAGAAAAAAGTATATATAGAAAGAAAGAAAAGGAGAAGAAGAGGAAAAGAAAAAGGAATAAAGAGGATACTCGACTTTGAAGGTTTTTTTTTTGTTAGTCAATTTAAAAAACAGATTATATTTTTTCATGGAAACACCTAAAGTCACACAAGGTGGCTTAACTGTCTAAATTATCCTACCATATTTGGAAACGTCCAGAAAAGAAAAACTCGTATTCACATATAAAAAGTATGTATACTTAACTAACAATTGTCTTTCATTAACCACGGAAATCTCAAAATTATTCCAATACTTCTTCAAGTAAATTTTGCTAGTCAAAAAACATAAAAATATTATCATGCTAAAACGAAAATAAGCCATGATCCAATAAACCAATCTTGCTTTCTTCTTCTTTTTTCCTTTTGTTTTTGGTGTTAAAAAAAAAACACACATACACAATTGGTGGAACCACACCATAATCGCACTTGTTCTTGTCTTTTTTTTTTTAACAAAAAAAAATAGATTATTACCAGGTACAACTCGAGGCTCTATCTATCTCATTTTTTTTGAATCCCAGACATATATACACTACATACTCTGTTTCTCTTCAATGGCCTTCTCAAACCTCCTTGAGGTCGTCAGCAATGTCGACAAGTTCCCTTATCAACGTGACATCTCCAGCACTGAGACCATACACAATTATACCCCATTGTGTCATGAATCGCGTGTGATTGGAAACATCCTTCCGGATGTAATGGCCCAATTGCGCATTTACAATTCTGCTCAGTCTTTACCTCCATTTGTCATTGAAAACAATGTCACCTTCGCTCCTTGGGTTGACTCGGTTGAGAAGCGCACAGAAGTAATCAAGACAATGATGGACTTGTGGCGTAAAGAAAAAACTTTTACTGCACTTGCTGGTAAACACAATTAAATGAATATTCACAAAAGATGCTCACTATATCTTAACATCTGTTTATGATACCAAGGCTGGAGAAATGAACTTTATCCTGTGTATGGAAACTCTGCGAGAGAAGACAACCTTGCATTTGTTATTGAGAGAGCTGCAAGTGCCTTGTTTGGAATTTCTACTTTTGGTGTCCATCTTAATGCCTATGTAACCGAAAAGGATGGATCAATTAAGATGTGGGTAGCTAGACGTGCTCTCACAAAGCCTACCTGGCCTGGCCTGCTCGACAATTGTGCAAGTATCAATATATATATATATATATGTTTGTGTGGGTGTGTGTGTGTTAGCACAGATTTTTTCTTATGCATGAACAATTATTTAATAGGTTGCAGGTGGAATTGCATACACTTATTCGACCAAAGAAACTATTGTCAAAGAATGTGATGAAGAAGCTAGTATTCCAAGAGAGATTTCTGAGAAGGTAAAGATATCTCATCATCTATTTAACAACCTTAGTTTTCTTTCAAATATATATATATATATTAAAGTATGGTAATTAAACAATGCTATTTTGTGTAGGCTTCCAGTGTGGGGTGTGTAACGTACTATACATATACCAGCGCCGGACTTCAGCCAGAGACTCAGTAAGTAATACTCACGCTTAGTCTGCTATATTATGAAAAAAAGAAAACAAAGGAAGAGAGATATAATTGATAATTTACCAAATTATATGTATATATTTTAAATAGGTATGTCTTTGATTTGGAACTTCCTAGTGGAGTTTTACCAAAACCCCAAGATGGTGAAGTTGATTGCTTTTATTTATGGTCTCTTGACAAAGTCAAGAAGTCTATTCTCGACAATGAATGGAAGCCTAATTGTGCCTTGGGTAAGTTAGACATTATACAAAAGTGCTCGGGACGGAGTTTTGTATATATGTTAAATCTAATAGTTATGCATTATTTTAATCGATCCTTTATTCATTTCTAGTTGCAATTGATTTTATGATGAGACATGGTATCATTACGGCAGATAATGAGCCAGACTATATTGATATTAGCTATAGACTTCATCGCAACCTTGGGTTCCCCACCCCAACAAAGTGCATAAAATAAACCCCCCTCTTTTTTAAATATTTACTAGTTCTGCATTATGATAGTATAAAACCAAGTCAAAATGACATAATTTTTTCTATTAATAAAAAAGCAAAAAAAAAACAAGCACACACATCAAAGTGCAATATTCTATGTGAAATCCAATTATTTAATTTTCATTTGCCGACCTTTTTTTTGCTACTTTTGCTACTTTATTTGTAGCATATGAGAAATAGACAGTTTAGTAGGATTTTTTTCTAAAGTAAGCGTCTAATTCCGAAGTGGAAATTTTCTGTTTTTTTGATTATACGACATTAGGAGAAACAAAATATTGAGATACAACCGGTAATTTTTTTGTGGACGAAAATTTCTAACCTCACAGAATTGCCACACTCCCAGGTTTTTGAGCACTAAAAAATTCTCAAAATAACTGAGTTCCAAAGATGCCCTGAAATTTGCCAAAAAGACTGGACAGTTGAAAAGAGATGATATTTGAAATTTGAATTAATTAATTATTTTATTTTAATTTTATTTTTGTTTTATTGTAAGTTTTCAATTAGTTTTTGAGGTTACTATTATCAATTAACTAGTATTTAACCCTCTTATTTCAATCATAACTCCATTTTAATATTATATTGTATTGCAATTAAGGTAATCGGAATTGACTTTGGGCTGGTATCTCTATTCTAGAAGAAGCAGATACTGTAAGAGTGTTATTTATTAAAAAGACAAAAGAATAGTGCTTATATCTGCTACTTTTAGAATTCTTTATGGTTCAAATCTATGCTGTGAAATAGTTGGTTTGCACTGTATAAGAGCATCCACAGCAGTTCATGTGAACTCACCGAATATGTAAACTTAGATAGAAAATTTAGATTTTTTTTATCCACAGTGGGCTGTCTAAATAAATCCTTTAACCAACTTTTTAGACGATTATCTAACTGATATCTAAATTCGGCGCTTCACTAAACCATTCGAACAAAAAAAAGTGGGTCCAGGTTTAGATAAACCGCTGTGGATGCTCTTAGAAGAAGGCGGCGTGTAACGACTATTATTTTTCAGACGTGTGTAAAAAAACCGAATTTTTAATAAAGTTTTTATTAGGCTGTATATAACATATACAAAAAAAAATTATAGTGACCTTCATTGAAAAGAAATAATTATTTCGGGTAGGGACTTGAAATATTGGTCGTTATTCCAGCGTCGATCATTAAAAATGAGTGCCCACAGAAATCCTGAAAAATCCTCAACGCTTGATAATAAAAAAATAAAAGCAAAGTAGTAAATACCATATCATTTTTTTACTTCTATTAAATGATTAACTAGCTCTACATTATATATAAGACAAAAATAAATAAATTGATATAGTTATTTTTTATTTATTTAAAAAAAAAACAGATATACTCACATATCAAAGTGCAATATTATATGTGAAATCCCATTATTTAATTTTCACTTGCCGACCTTTTTTTGCTACTTTCTTTGTAGCACATAAAAATAGACAGTTTAGTAAGATTTTTTCTAAAGTAAGCTTCTTATTCCGAAGTGAGAAAATCTTGCTTTTTTTATTATACGACATTAGGAGAAACAAAATATTGAAACACCACCGCATTTTTTGTGTACGAGAACTGCTAGCCTCACGAAATTGCTACGCTCCCGGTGTTTTTAAATTACTAAAAACAGCTTAGACAGTTTGAGTTCCAAAAATGCCCTGCAATCTGCCAGAAAAACTTGACATTTGAAATTCAAATTAATTATTTTATTTTATTTTATTTTTATTATTACTTTATAACAAATAATTGACCCTCTTATTCCAATTATAATTTTATTTAAATATTATACTGCATTGCAATTGTGATTGATTTTGGATTAGTATCTCAATATTAGAAAAAGTAGATACTGTGAGTCTTATTTACTAAAGAGATATAATGTTATATGTTTAATATATCAATCGATAAAGGCTTTCTTTTTCTTACTATTCAATTTTCCTCTCTTAATCTTTGTACCTTTGCTGCTCTATATCTGGTGCACAGATACTTTTTGTAATGAATTTCTAGACATATATAAAGAATAAATTAATAAATAATTAACATACTTTTTAGAAACAGATTTCCTCCCCTCCCCTCAAGTTTTATGTAAACCTTTACTACAGAAAGTTTAGTTATTATGTATTACAATTAATGTGTAAGAGCATCTTTAGTAATCTACTTTAACTTCACTTCTTTATCTTTTTTAAAAAAAGGAAGATACTCTACATATGACTTACATTTAGTCTCTATATTTTTAAAACAAGTTCATGAATTACTCTCGCACAGGTTACTCACGATATAATTGTGCACCCAAATGAAATAAACAGTAGAGAAGTAAAGCCAGGGATCAAATGACATACTATATAGAATTTGGATTTACACAAGAAAACTTTTGGCTATCAAGACAACTACAGAAATTTAAAAGGGGTTTATACGATTACACAAACAGGTGGTATAAGTGGGTAGTGAATACTTAAAATTGATAGCAGTATAAAAAACATATAAAAAACATCAGCAAGAAATATAATCATAAATGTTAGAAGATGACTATATACAAATTATTAAAGAAAGAAAGAAGAAACTAAACCGGATAAGTGTTATTATTGCTACTTTGGTTGAGCCAAAATTTTCGATTTTGTTTTTATATCAAATATTTATAAGAATAAAATATTTAAATAAACTTAGACGAATAGTTTTTTCTTTCTTCGCATAGTGTGGTTATTGCTTCTTAAACTATCTCAATGGGAACAACCTGTCTACCTCGTCTCACTTTAAATAAAAAAGATAGACTCCTTTTATCTTTTTGTTAAATTTAACAAGATGAAAATGCTTGATGAAAAAGCTCTCAAAATTTATTTAAAGAAAAAAAAAAAAAGATAAATTGAGCTGCTGGGAAAAGTCACCTTTTCTTTAGCTAAAGTGACGGTGTTCGGCTTTAGATAAATTAAAAGTTAAATCACTGCTAAAGATGCTGTTATAAAATAGAATCTCATTAATATTCACATACTACTTATCTAAAATTTGTAACAAAAGAAAAATGAATCCGTAATACAAATCCTCTTGAGAGAGCTACTTTGCATTTTCTATATACATATATGTATGTATCTGAATATGCGTTTTCAATTCTTATTCTTATTTTTATTTTTTGCTGAGAACGACTTTATTTTATTTTATCCATGAGAGTCCATGATTTCCTGACTCCGTTTTTCTTACGCGTAAACGAACTATTTAAATGGCCACCTTTATTATACAGTCAAATCACAAGATCAGTGCGCGTCTCCTTGGACGATGCTTCACATTCACTCGCGAATTCTCAGCCACGACAAGGGCCAACAATCAAGTTAGTAGTAGCGTACATCCTGGTGAGTGGGTTTTTTTCTTGTATTTTTTTTTACCTCATGACTTGAAGAATGTAAACTTACATGTTGTTATTATTATATAATTGTAAATCCCGTAATTAGCATCTCCAAGAGTCCATGTTTATCGTATCCCAGAGAGCCGTACTACAACACCATCTAACCTAAAGTATGCACTATCTTTCTTACCCAGCTCAGATCTGCCAGACAAGACAAGTGTATTTGATCATCCAGATCTTATTATTGGATGGACACCTGAACAGACAACCCTGGATCCAAAAAGCTTCGTGGACAATAATCAATTTGTTCAATTTATGACAAAAGTGTTGAAAGACAATATCCACAATATCAACGATAATGCGCTAAAAGGTCTAGCCGAGTGGCAAAAAGAAGGGTAACGCATATAGTATATACATATATTTATATACTACAAATATTTGACTCAATTGATCCATTTATTTATTTTCTTTTCTCTCACAAAAGTTGGCTACATGTTGCTGATGAAAGAAACCCTCCTCCGTGGGGTCGAATCCCTTTTCCCGAAGATATTATTGGAAGTGTATTGATAAAAGATGGCGTAATCCAGCCAAATACTTTTGAAGCCATGCCAACTCACCGTTTGGTGACGTCTTGTGGTATTTTCAAGTTATCTGAACCACTTTTCCAGTGCCTCCTCAAAGAATCCAAAAAGAAAGCTCAAGCATAATAGATGAGAAATAATAATAATATTAATAATAAAAATATAACGATAAATGCGATAACACCAATATCAATATCAATCACAATAAAAATAAAATCAGGAATATAAGTACAGTCACATATATAAGCATTGTATGTACCTTTGCATAGGCACATACACACAAACCCTTAATTAAAAAAAAAGAGAGGAGCTCACAACCAGGGGAAGTATGTGCGGTGAATAAAATATCCACATAAAAGCTTGAAATTCAAAGCTGTCACAGTTCGGCGTGACTTTTATCAACACAAAAACAGAGGTTGAAGCAAGGGAGGGTTCAGGGAACAACGCCATACAGACCTCTCGAATGCTTCGTTCCGCAACCAGCCTCGTCCAGGGCATCACCACTCCCCTGACAGCACGCACTGGCGCAGCCTGGGCCAGCCAAAGACTTTTCTCCAACACAGCCCAATGCTTCAACGATGAACCAACAAAAGCTACTGAAGATTCCTCAGAGTCTGAAGCTGCCCCAGCTATCGAAGAAGAGCCCTTGAAGACCTCCCGTAGAAGACGACGATTCCATGACTGGGTTCGTGGTCAGGGCGCAAGATTCTCTCGCCCCTCGCTTGGAACCACCAATTATTTGGGCCCGACGGTACGGAGACTTTGACAGCAAAACGTGTGTACCTTAACTCATCCTTATTTCGATCCTCTTCTTTCCTCTCTTTCTACTACTCCCCCTTCTATTTTTCTTGTTTAGCCTTTCCCCAACAACCCTCTTTTCCAACCTAGACCTCCTCTCACTGATGCACGTCGTCAAGAGATTTACGATGTCTATGTATCCGATCCCGAAAACTGGACCATTCGTAAGCTTGCCACCAAGTTTGGACTTTCATTGAAGCGCGTAGACGCTGTGCTCAAACTCAAAAACGCCGAGAAAGAAATGACAGCTAATGTAAAGCACAAAAAAAAACTCAAACATAAAAGTCATAGCAATAATAGGTCGAGAATTGAGATTTTTAGGAAAGATTATAAAAGGTTTTAATGGATGTTATTTTTATTCTTTTTTTTTTGACGCTAGGGAATTGCTCTGCAAAAGAAGTTTGCAAAGAGTATGGAACAACTCATGGGCGCAGATTTAGCCCAGGTTTCTATTAACGAGCCTTTGGTTGATGTATTCCCCAACGTTGGCAAACCCAAGTTTAAGACTCTGGAGGAGGATGCTGTCTTTGCACCAGAAGCAAGTCTCATTTTATATTTCATTTATTAGGCGTTAACAGACAATTAACCTTTTGCCTTTCTTTTTCTTCATCAAGGATGCTGCCAAGGCGTTGAACCGCGAGGTTTTCAAAGAGCTTGAAAATCAGGCAATCGCAAGAGAGGAAAGTGAGTTTGCTTTCCAATCTGCTAGCAGAGCCGCCGCCGCCGAACCAAAATCACACACAAAACGAAGCACATTTGTTATTGTAGACACCAGTAATTAGACTTTCTTTACTTATTTCCTTGTATGTATGAATTCAAACCAAACAGAAGAAAACAAAAACACATAAAAAAACAAAAATAAAAAAATATATAACGTGCTATTTAAAAGAAGTCTTCCACTGGCTCGGGGGTATTGTTTTGAGAATCAGGTTTTTGGATGGATATGGATGGTCTGTGATTATGTGCTTGGGCCATGTTGTTTGCAAGTTTCTTGCCTTCAGCAAACAGAGTTTCAAAGAGTTCTTTACCCAGGCTCTTTTGTCTCTCGCTCGCAACCTTTTCCAGCTTGATACTCGTAGAGAAACCTGATTGGAAGAACGCTTCAAGGCACACGTTGGTTAAGGCTACCATACGGAATATTGGGAGAGGGAGTTCAATTAGAGGTGTACTTTCAGCCAGGAATGCATCGGTGAGATGTGTGATGTTTTGGTCTTCCATTATAGAGAAGGCGCCTTCTGCGATCTGAAACTTTGACTTCCATTCTAATACCGTGTCTTCACTGAACGCATCGGCGGAAGTCTGTTCCAAACTAAGCAAAAACAGATTGTCAACAGCTTCCCACGCGAGTTCTTTCACGGTTCCGAGCTGTATCAAAAGCCAAAATATCTCACAACCCATGCTGGCAATATCAGAGTTTACTAATATGCTATCCTTGTCATGGTCGTACATATCAAAGAAGAAGTCTACATGAGACATAAAATCCTACAAGAATATAAATAAATCGATTAGCATAAACCCACCAATGGATTGTTCAAAAAAAAAGAAGCAAAGAAAAATTTTATATCTGATATATGCATTTATTAAGCTTTACCCCATGCATGATAGCACCCAGTCCAGTAACGACATCTTGAAAATTAAGTCCCTTTGTTTTATCTTTTTGGAAACAATCGTACAATCTGTTGACGAAACTTTTCCCTGTGGCACGTACAAAATCTGCTTGTGGAGAGTCATCGTTGATCTCGGGACCTTCCCAGCTAGCCATGCTTTTCAACATTTTACGAAAAGTATCTCGATCCATTGTATTTCCACCTGTATTCTCATTGTCTCTTGCATAGTAGATTGCACCAAAGAAATGATCATAAATAATTGATATTTCTTCCTTGTTAAACTGAGCTGTATCTTTCAGTTTTCGCATAGTGGACCGTTTGGTAAATGATTCGATGCCGCCGACAATCTTTAGTTGATTCTTTCTGCGAAGTTCAATAATGGTTTCATTTGTTACAACCGAAAAATTTTCGTACTGACGATAAATCATTTATCAAAAGTGTTTTTATAATATTAGTGAGGTTTATACGCTCCATATTATAACCGACATAAAAATTGTACTTACGGCGATCTTCATGAGCTGTCTGAATTTCTGAAAATAATAATAATTTAATACGATTAGTTGATGAGAAGCCAAATAATATCCTCCCTACTATTGTTTTTTTCAAACGTACCGATATTCTTTTGTTTTTATCTTTACCAGAATCTATGTCATCACTTGCTGCTGTATTAAGTGTAGCAAAGTACTTTTTGATAATAGTCAATAGTTCAGCATCGTCCTCAGCTGCCATAATTGCTTCTTCATTAGTCTTGAGAATGGCTACAAGGAATATAATATAATAGAATAAAATAAAGCAAGCTGTTAATATAAACAAGGTAGATATTTTTTCTAAAATGATCTTATTCGCTTTCTTTTTTCCTGTTTACGGAGAACACATACCAAGACTATAATAAATATAATTATTAAGTATATCAGTTTTTCATTTTTTCTAACTGTAATGTCATACACCCGTTTATCTTACCCTATCTTGAAGAGAACCTTGGGACCATCCAAAAATAGACAATCCAATACATGAGAAGCGTAATGCAAAGGCATTGAGTTGATATAAAGAGTAAGGAACCAAGGAAGTGACGCTACTGATAGTTGTATATCAATCTTTTTCAAGTGTAATTTCAACTCGGGCATAGTTTGCTCTACAAACTCTTCAAGGACAATTTGATCCAACACAGCACCATACATAGATGTACTAACGTTTTTTATACATTAGAGTCAATAACACCATCAAATTACTTCATAATAAATACCTATAATACCCAGGAAGCATCCCCTCTACCAATATTTCTAGTGCCCAGAATGCACTCTCTTCACTCATGTAACTATGTATAAATAATATGTGCTTAGTACCATTTGACATACAGTGTACACACACACACACATATATATATATATATATATTTACATCAGCATGGCAGCTACCACAATATTCATTGCTTGACAATAACCCAATTCAGGATGCTTCCATGAATATGCAATTAGAACTCGACGCAGTCTGTCAATGCCATCAGGTGTTTGATAAGCTACATATTCAGGGAGTGATCTATATGAAGGTACGTTTAGTTCCTTTTCTTAAACAAAACAAAAAAAAGCTTGATGTGTAAAAAGGGGGATACGATTGTTTTATTTCTCTTACCTATGCAAATCTTTTTCAATCTCATGAGTTGAAAGAGATGTACGGTCCTTATGCATTTTTAGAATGTCTTTGTATTCCTCTTTGTTGTCGAAGCGTCTATAGATTGCTCCCGAACTGACTTCCCAAATCTCTCCTCGCAAGATATTCGGAAGGCCACTTCTAACTAGCTCACTGAGCTTTGGTATCTGCAACATTGTGAGATTACGCCCATATGCTATCATATATTTGTGTCAGTAGGTTTTAATGATGTAAAGCGTTTATTTTTTCTTTTTCTAACAGTATATATATATAGCTACATTTACCTGAAAAATAGTCTCTCCATTGCCTGATTTTTAATATATCCATCGATGTATCAACCTCATCTGGGTACCCAAACTTTAGCCCTAAACCATGAGTGGTTGGGAGTACAGAAGAGAAATCTTCGATGGTTTTAACTCGCAGGATATGTTCGGATTCATAATCGGCTATGAAATGCTTGAGCGCTTTTATAGATGGTATCTGCTCATTAAGATTGCCCTTTAAAGCATCACAAAAGTTCTCGCATGTAGTTTTGTGAGCCTATTATATACATATATATACATATATATATATAAGTACACACCCACATAAACATGTATTTAGATTTAGATAATACAGTTAAATGTCTGAACAAAAAAAAAAGAAAAAGGCTTACTCTAAATTCAAACGTATGCTCCATTCCATGCCATGTTGTGAGAGAAATTGCTGATATATATGAACGTTCGTTGATTCGTTCAAACCTTCTTATAGTGTAAAGTGGTAAGGCAAACAAACACACAGACTGGTGCTGCTGAGGTGGCACTCGTTTTTCTAGCGCCTCAAATGCTACAAACGTCTGGGACATGTATAGTTTACCGAAATAACGCTTTTCCCGAGTATTTTTTGAGCTGTGAGGATTGTCCGATGAATATACTGCGGAGCGAAGGGTGTATGATACATCGACCGAATCTCTCAATTCTTCTGTAGGTGGTAATCTGAACCGTAGTCGTAGATTCCTATGCTTTCTTTGGTTGACCAGATCATCCTTGAGAGCAATACTTTGGATATTTGATTCTGAATTTCGTACTCTGATGGCTTTGCTCATGTTGGTTACCGATACATCTGGCTTCAAATCATCAGACTGTCCCGGAATATCACTTCTTGAACTCTTCAGTAAACGCTGTATAGATTGCTCGATCAGCTGTACGATAAGATCATATGCCTTGGAGTCATATGTTAGTCCTCAATAAAAATCTCGATACCATGTACGTATTATACTTACTTCATCTCTATTGAACATATTACTAAAGAAAAACTAAACATAATGTTAGAAACAAAAAAATATTGTTGCTTTCGTTTAAATATATCCTACCTCCTCTTCGTTCTTGGTAACTATGCGTATACTATCCGGAATAAGGTTCCGTTTAGAGTTTTCCTTTGTTAGTTCTTGTATATCCCTAAGCTCAATCAGGATCTTGGTTTCTACACCCAAAAGGAAGGAATAAAATCCCAAATAATTTTCAGCAATGTAGAGTCTGCCTTGACGACTATTGCAAGCGCACGAATAATCTTTTTTTTTTTTTTGAAAAAAATTAAAATTAAAATCAAGACTTTAAATGTCATCAATAAAAGGGACACAGGACATACAGCTCACAAGCCTTTCTGATACAGGAATAGGAAATGTTTGGCGAAACATTCTAGAGGCATTTCGTAATTTTTCGTCCGTTGATAGCTCATCAGCACTCATGTCTATACACGCATTTTTTATATAGCTGAGCATAGTTTCAAAATAAAAAACCTAGTCCGCAAGTCTATAAATACCTTTTGTATTTCCAACAATCATTGTAATCTGCTCTACAACCCAGCTTTCTTTGTCAAAAGGATCATTTATTTTTCTTAGTTCAGGTACTATGTTTTCTTGAATCCACTGCCACGCTGCCTCGATTGTTTTTTCAGACTCAGATACTGCTATCTGTAAGGGTACCGCGTTCTCTCCTCGCTTAAATAATATCTTGTGAGGTGGTTGTTTGGAGTCAAAGCTGAGCAGAAATAAAAATAATTATTATTAAAAACAAATTAAGCTTTATAGACACATTATTACCGCATTATTACAATAATTACTTACACACTTGCCAGAGTATTCAAGAGTGATTTAAACAGCTGATTTTCTGGGCCCTGAAGTCTCAGAAGAGAGAATTCGTCTACCTGGTGTACAGTTATCCAGAAGGAAGATAATGGAGTATCAACCGCTGTTGGAAGAATAAACACCTGTATGTATATATGCATGTATGTTTATACATATTTATTTATTTACTTAGCCAACATGATTGACAACGACAGGATAGTTATGTGTATGATATACTGAACAGGGTCTTACATTCTTCGGTACACTAGAGAGTGAAGAGTTATTTTTCATATGTTGGAAAACCTGTAGGAAAATGAAATAAGGAAGAAGAGAAGAATCAACTTTGAACAAAGGGGCTCTTTAAAAACGAAGTACCAACAGCCGTCTTATCACGTGGTGTACTTAAAATTCTTACTAGCTTTCCACAAAAGTTCGCCAATGACACTTTCTGTTGGACTGCTACTAGATTACTACATTACTCATGTCATATAATGACAAGCAAGCCGCGCCTAAACGGCCATTGAACACAGAAATCTCAGAAGAGGCACGGGTAAGGAATGAGCATGATGTCGATCTCATAAACAGCAATGTTCCTGTAGGCGCATAAAAAAACTCAACAGGTACAATACTGACCGTTATCAATAAATCAGCTTGTAGAGGCAAAGACGGCAATTTTTCTACTAAAAAATGCACGGCTTTGCACAAAAAATGAATACACACAATGGCTCTTGAAGAACTTATTCCAACCATTCACAAGAAAAAAATGTGAGGTAAGGAAGATATATATATATTATACAAAAACTTGTAACACATTTATAAAACACTTTTTTTTTAAAAAAAAACCAATTAACAAAACTAATACAGGCAATGGATATCTTATACCTATCACGAAACCGAAGGCGTATATGGAGGCCTGAAAGTAAAAACACTTATGGAAAAGGTACTCAAGGTACATATCGATATGCCAGCTCATCAATTGAAAATTTTGTATATATCAGATGTATTAAATCATCGAAGTGAGACTTCAGTACCCGCGAGCAAATTACCCAAAAGAAGCTCAACCTCTACCATTCAGACTTCAGAGCCAGTGTACATAATAACCCCGAGAACACAAATAATGACACTGCATAAAGAATATCGGCTTGTTTACATAATCGATCTAAGCTCAAGTCTAGCAACAGTTGGGAATACTAATGCAGATCTTTTGATATCTGTTGTATTTAAAACGTAAGTTCCACCGATAATTTCACCAAAAAAATCTAACTCTTGTGTAACATTTCGCACTATGCAGTATGCGCGATTCTTTGAAAGGTCTTGTTCAGCCCTTTTCTTTGCAAATTTCTGACGAAGAAAAAGCAATCGTAAGTCTTTTTTTTAATTATCCTAATGATCGATACTAAAACTCCCAAAATACATAATTAATAACAAACATATGTACGAAAGATACGGCCGTCGCTCTGTTTGACTGTCATGGCGGACTGCTCCCAATTTGCATCAAATGTTAATATTATCCCAATGCTTGTAGCACACCCAACTATGCGTGTCTTTATGCAAAACGCAATAATAACCACCCAGAATATTGACCACATAATTGACAAGCTGTATGCAGAGTTCCAATCCTTCCAAGAAGACACAACAAGCTTCAGAAAGCTTTTAAAGCGCAGGCGCCCTAATATGGGATACAACCTTGATGTTAGTGGAGAAGTGCTGGACGCAACTTCACTACCGTCAAATATAGGTATAGCACAAGGTACAGATCACGAAGCTCCAAGGCGGAGCAAGACTGATCAGCAGAAACCAGGCATAAAGAAAGAAGAGCCCTCTTACTATGCGTCTAAAAAGGAAGTGTGGGGAATCGGGAAATCCGGTGCAAATATCTCCAGGATTCTGCATGCTGGATATTTTGCTCTGAGCTTGCTACCTCAAGAAGGAAGACCACAACTCATATTAATCACAGACGGAGCGATGAAATCCAACGTTCACGATAATACTTTTGTGCAACAATTTGCAGGAGAAGATGTTACATGTCATATAGTGCAAATTGGCTACAAGGATAGTTTTATTCCTGGCAGAAATTTTGGGTTTTTACCAGACAATGAGATTCTACGTTTCTTATCTCGTGCGACAGGAGGCACTTTTATGTTTTCAGAGGATTGTGAAGAAATAAGAGACTCCGATATCCAGAAATCTAGTGCGACAGACAGAACTAGCAGACAGAATTCAGAATCTGGAAAGGACGCTTATGAAGCTATACAAATTGTACCATCTGCTGATACAAAATGCCCTTCGCCAAATGGTTATCACCAAAGATTCCTCTTCAGAGAAACATATCTGTCAAAGCACGGATATGATTATCAGTCCCAGTCTTGCGACAATCAAGACCATAAGAATAATTTGCGAGATCTGTCAGGAGCATCCGGCGTAGAGATTGGCAGGGAAATATCAGCGAAACATAACTTCCCTTGGGATCCCAACGCAAATCCACCAGAAAACGATTGGAGACTTTTAAAATACCGAGAATATCTTTTGCCAGCAGAGTTTTCACATATTATAGCTGCAAGAGCCAGAGAAGGATTTTCACTACAATCGGTTACATTTGATAATGGAAACGTAACGACTAAGTCGAGCCCCGGAATAAATAACCTAGGAGCATTAGATTTTGACTCTGTCAAGAAAGAACGGATACAGATCAGTATGGTACTATATTGGCAGCCTAATGTTACGATTGAGTACAGAATCCGCGCTACATGGCTTCCTTCAGTAATTGGTACACCTGGAAGCTTAAACGGCGAAACGCTGTTGCTTTCAAGTGGAATATTTTCTCGAGCAAAAATACCAAGAGCAGAGATTTTGGTCCGGACAGACACAGGATTTGCACATATGCTTCAAAACTGGGATGTATTCCGTCGTCGAGCGCAGATGATGGGTGTAGTAACTGGCTCGATATACTTTGGCGAATCCTATGCTGCCCCAGCATATGCTAAAATTGAGAAACTCAAGTCATATCTCATTAATATCTTTGAGGGTGACGAAACATTGAAAACTATCATTGGATTCAATAGCAAATTTCTCTCTAATTGGACAACTGGAGATACTACTAAGTTGGCTCCACAACTGTCTCCGCGTTATGAAAATTCTCTGCGACGTAGCGCTTTTCTAGAAGCTTTTCAGACGTTTTGGGAAAAAATCAATGCAGCAGAACACAGAAGCCGCACGCGCTGCTGGTATGATTATAATTGCTTGGACTTGTTGATTGGAGACGTATCACCTTACATGTCGCCAAGATTTACATCAACCTACAACCAAGACTTCGCCTTAAATGTCGAGGATGAGATTATGAAAGCAATTCTTTCTTTAAAAGAAGTGATAAGAGGATGGGCAGATTTTGAGAGTACAGACGGTACATTTGTCAATTTTATACACGGATTGCTGGTTAGTCCATCTCATGACGAAAATTCAAAGGATTATTTTTCTGTGAACGTTGAATATCCCCCTTCTTTTTGCGAATTACGAGTACGGCAAGAATATGGGAGACTTATATCTTTAAGAATCTTATTTTTTAATGTGGATGTATTGGCAAGACGACGAACCTTTGATAACATCGTCATGTTACTAAAATCTTCGGAAAAGACAAATGTGTCTTGCAACAAAATATGCCAAAGACCTTTCTCTAGTCTATTGATGCGAGATCCAAAGCATTTTCAAAACGGAGCTCCGAGTGGATCAGAACCAAACCTGAATGATAGAAAAGAAACAAACAGAAGACAAAACGAAAATATCTGTCGATCGAAAGCATGGTATCTTCCTGTTGCGATGTGGTTAACGGGTGAATACATTGTTCGAGATTATCTTCAGCATATGGCATGGTCATGGCAAACAGACAACCACCAAGACCAATTTCATAAAGAAAATCGAATGATGCCGATTCACGATCTTGCGTTTCAATTCCTATGCCAAGCTCGCCTAGATCAGGTACGCTAGTCGGAACACATGCAAAGTATATACGATGTTTTAATGACTATTCGTATTCAAATTTTTCCCAGGGATATAAACTAGTATCACCATTCCCAGACAGCACTCATTTCTACCAGGAAATATCCCTTCCAAATCGGGATGGCCGAGAGTCTCTGTGCGCAATTCAATATTTTATTTGGAAGGATGCCGATAACGGGAGAATAACAACAGAGCTTTGGATTGAGCCTAGCGGAACTCTAGCATTTAACCAATACGAACTTGTGAAGAAATGGACTGTGGATCCAGACAGGAAAACAATATCTCAACTCGTTACTTTTGATCAAATGCACGCGATTGGAAGATCAAAGGGAAAAGGCGACTTTAAAGATAAACGAGATGCAAGCAACGATACCCAAAACATGGACGAAGACACTGTTGTAATGAGACTGCCTCATTTGTTTGATATATCGTATGTGTTACGGAACAATAAGTTTGTCGTAACCTCTTTCAAGTGTCCAATATACAAGACACAAGTGATCGTCCAACAAGACGACTCTGAGTCATTTATTGATGATAGTTTTCCTTTTAACTCAGAATTCTCGACCTCTGCTGAACTAAGTGACAATGGATCGGTATATAATGTCGAGAAACACGGCCCACAGTTGAGTAATGGAGTGAGATCTACCATACATAGTGGACGATTACCAACTAGTCCTGCGAGCACACTATCACTACCTACAAAGTATAGTGCAACTAAGGAGCTGTGTCCACGCCCAGATCCAGTGTTGAGCCGTAGCAAGGAAGCGATTGCACGTCTAAATCCAAAAGCACAAAATTATGCCCTCATGCATTATTATATCGAGAATTCTATGGAAAGAATCACAGATGGTGAGATCGTCATGTCGCACCACAACAAAAGGAAGAATTTTTGGCGAGAACTACAAAAAGCATTAAACAAAGCAACCAACCATCACCTATCAGGAGTGAGGATGACTCCAAACCTTCAGAAACTACGTTGCTTTGTAAAAACATTCGATGAACGTTCTTTTGTTGTCGTTCTCCTACCAAGTCTAGATGCAATTGTATCAGGACTTTCAGCATTATCAGACAGTTCTGCTTCAACTGAAGCAGGTGATTTAGAGATTGATAAGGACGATATGTTTGTAGACTACTTTATATTCGAATGCACACGTCAAAAGCCTATGCGCCCGACAAGCAGCACATTACTATTCAGCAGTCCATTAGATGAAGCGAATAGATCACGTATCGAAAGCTTGAATTTTGATGACGATGTAACAATGACAAATATAGATTATTTGATCCATCAACCAGATGGACTTGGAGAGACAATAAGACCACAAATTATCCAAGGAAATTTTTCTAGCTGCTCTGGACAAGCTCAGATATCAGAAAAGTCACTTCGAGTGGCCCAAGATATTATGCATGCTTATTCAAAGAGCTTTGTAAAGTCATTTTATACATGTCTTTTGAGTGGATTCCCTGTTATTGACGACGACCTTTCGAAAGTGCTGGAAATATGCAATGAATCCGTCATGAGTATCGATATCACAGAATTTGTGAACATTTCTACACTACAAAAGCGTGATCCTGGAGACTGGTATGCTAAGAGTTTAATGAACATTTTTATTTTTGATTTACTGATTAGACTTTACAAATTTCAAGGGATTACCGGGAACGAAATATACAAGCCAGGTTCGCGGCCATATTTCGCCATTATTTTGAACCAGTTCGAACAATAAGCGAGCAGCCTACAGATTTGTTTTACTACAAGCCTACGATGACCAAATTTGCAACACACACACAGAACCAAGGCTCTATCGAAGAAAAAATATCTTCTCTAATAGATTTGATTGCCTTTGCTCAAATACCATTGCTTATACGCCTCGAATGCTCTTATGAAGTATTTTCAGAAAAAGGAAATACATCGGATAAAAGTATAACAATCCCGATATCTTTTCTACCAACATCATATTTAGGAAACTTTAAAGATGGAACACCGTTTAACTTTGAAAATCTTGCGATCAGTGCCAAATCCGCACCACTAGATTCAGGGAACGTATCTGTGTATTTGCGATTTGTATGTTTAAATATACCACCGTCCGATGATTTAAACTATACAACTGCAATATCCTCAGTACCACCTATTAGAGAGTAAGTTAGCTCCTTATTCTGCTGTTGTTAACTAGGTATTGACTTTCATTCACTTTATAGATCATTAATAGAATCGATGAATTCACAGCCTGCTTGTTTTTGGATGCTCAATCAAGATCAACAAGGAGCTTTAGCAGAAACAGAAGCTCGGATAAGATGGTTGCTCACAGAAGAAACAATACACGGCCTATTGAAAGCAGACATAATTACGAGACCTATCTTGGAGTATGTGGAGTACCAGCTTGGGCAAGGAAATCCTTTTGTAGATTTCCCAACATCAACTACAGTACCATTTCACTTTGTTAAAAATTGGGCCGAAAGTCGGCGCAGATTCATGGATGAGCTGCTGAAGAGTAAAGATGGCTCTACAACCTACTCTCTTCGCCGTGTAAACGATTACTTTTATGTCAGTGAAGAAAAGATTTACAGTATGCGCCAAAAATCCAGTTCATCTACCGATACATCACCTGCGAGTCATGGCGAGCAAGAATATACCGAATCTCCAGAAGACCGACCTGATACGCTCAGAGAAGATGAAGTGATTGATGACTTATGTGATGGATTAGGAATAAGTATCGGACCTAATATTGTTGTAGAGGAAGGCACCCTTGAAAGCGAAAAGTTTATTCCATTCCATTCTAGGCCACTCTATTGGCTTATCCTGGTACCAAAGGATAATTATGTTCAAATATACTTTTATTCAAAGTTCCATACACTTATCGATCGTGCCGAGTTTTTACAACGTGTTAAAAATGATATCACCCAAATCCAGCACAGAACTAACCAAATCATGTTGTTGGAAAGCCTACAAGAAACACGTATATGCAGGTAATATGGCGTGTAATATACATGTATGTATACAATCTTAATACCATTTCTTTATAAAGTAAATTCCTTGAAGAACCTTCTTCAGACGAGAGTGATCAGTTTTCCGATTCGGACGACTCAGATGATCAGGATTCTAATAGCCCTATACACGACAACTCAAAGACACTGCTCTCACACGACAAGTTTAAACCAGGGCAGTTTGAATGTCCTGTTCTGTTTACGAAAAGATTTCCTTTACATTGGAGACTACAGCCAAACACAACTTTAAAGTATCTCACGTCTGATGTTTTACGGCTTTTCACGGTTACCAACAGACCTCATATGTTTGTAATCGAGCGTGATGATTCTATCGTATATTGTAAGATATACGAAAAGACCAATCCAAGCTCCAATGATGACTTGGACAAAGCCAGCAAACTTAGCAACGCACACATATCTCCAGCAACAAGACAAAATACAGAGGACAGTATCTTTACTAGTAGTACGGGGTCTATTAAACAGGAGTTTGGAAGAAAACCACCGCCATCTCCTAGAAACAAGGCACCCGTGATGAAGTCTACCGAATTAAAAGAGCTGCTCTTAGAGGTTCATGGTGTTGACTTACCTATATGGGTAGAGAAAGAATTTGTAAACCTTATCGAAAACCGAATAGTGTCGCACATTACTTTAAATGAAGTACAGCAGTTCTTTTCTCGGAATCCTACGACGAAGCCGACATTAGCGGTAAGTGTGAGAAGACCTAGTATTAGATTCACCAAATAAGAAAATTAATATGAGTCGTAATTTTAGGATGTTAAATTTATTTTGCCGTTTGAAAAAACACCTACGAACCGAAAAGCTTTGCGTGTTCCATCTCTTGTGCTCAAACCATACACACTTATGCGCTTCTTTAAGCAGACACTTGGCACTGACAATATTAAGCCATTTACCGGTCCGATTGTATCTGAGGCTGTCGAAGGCTATCATGAAAATCTTTTCCACCCAAATATTGGCTATGGAATCCAACAAAAAGGCAAAGGAACATCGGATAAGTAAGTACAGTAGACTAGAATTTACATATACATAATAAAAATTAACCAATTGTTTCAGGAATACCGATAATATGCAAGAGTTTCAATCTAGTGAATACTGTTTTTATTACAATTGCACAAAACGAGTTCCTGGGGCATCAACACCATTGGAGCTTTCTTCTGGTCAAGGCCTAGCTGGAATTTGTATCACATTATTAGACTCTAGTGGAAACCCTGTAGATTTTGTTCCGACGGACGATTCATATGGAACACATTATAACCTAGACGCTATCCGCCATTGCTTAGAGGAAGATCTCCAGGAAATCGGAGAAGATCAATCGTATTATTGTATCTGGATTGACATTTGGGTTACTGGTGTAGTCGATAGCAGCTCTTTAATGCAGTATATATGCGATTGTTATCAACACGCCCTTTGTGACTATTTCATCGAGAAGACTGTCAACCTTAGTACGACGGCTGCTCTGTCAGAATCGGGGGCATTGCAGCGAGCGCTTACCTCTCATAAAAGATGGCGTCTTGGAGATGGTATGCGTAAACGGTTTATTGAATCTATTACATACATTCTTCAAAAGGCAGCTGAGTGGAAAAGCCCCACGGTGTGCTCATTTGATCAATCTGTACAAACAACACCATGGTGCATGGACGAGTTAATTGGATACCTCGACTCTGAGCTCCGAAAGTTGGATATATCCTTAAGACCAACTGTTGCATGGACTTCTGTTCAAAACGACGTATTCAAAGGTGAAACTAAGCCGAAGCCGAATGAAAAGTGGGAGCTATACAGAAGCTCGCACTACCCCCACAGACAAATGCTTCAAACAAATGTTCAGCTTGTAGCAATCAGTGGTCTTAATGAGCTTGTTGAACGGCTAGGCTGTGCACCAAAGACTTACGAAATAGACCGTCGTACTAGTGCAACTAGCGAAAACTCTAGTCACCGTGGGCGCTCACGAAGAAGTTCAAATACATCATCCGCAGCAGGTTTTAATGGCAACAAAAAGCTTTTAAGGCTAGATGACAGAGGAACATATGAAAACTCAAGAACATCTAGTGCAGCAAGATCAATATCAGGAAGCAATGCTAAAGGCCATGAATTTCAAAAATCCGATCCAGTAAAGCACTGCTTCCTTGTAATGATTGTTGACACTGATCGCCTTTCTACGTACACTTATAATTGGCCTGATGCTGCAAGCTTGGATATTATTAATGGGATAACCCAAATGGCAGCCCGCCAAGAGGTTCGAAACAGTATTCTGTCTAATATTCTACACCAGAAGATGGGGCTTTTTCACCATTCTGAGCCTATGAGTAAGGTTGTTGAGGAATATGCTACTTTATCAAATGCACTTCCTGGGCTATCAACGTCTTTGAATAGCTCCACCAATTTTCTTTCTGCGATCCCAGCTAGTGGTCATATTGGGTCACCAAAACAGCAACAGAAAAAAACAAGACAATCCGAAATTTCTGCCAAGAATGACAATTCTAGCTCGACAAGATCCTTGCGACGTAATACAGGAAATAGTACTACAGTATTGCAGAGTACTTCTGATCTTAAAGACATTATTGCAAATCCTACAATTCTTTCCAACGATGGAATTGATAGTACCAGAAGTGATGTAAGCTTAGTTAGACAATAGGTTCAGAGAAAGCAAATATAATAGACTAACAACAAGTTGCAGTCAATTACTTATCCATGTTCAGAGCTGGACAGTGTCCTCGATGGATCAATTGCAGATTCAGTAGCTGATACTCCAACCGGAAGAGACAGAGATGTGCTGAGAAGACATGGCCAACCATTTTTGGAAACTTATTTGAAGAGCACACGGATACAGACCGTTCATCAAAAGGCTCTTCAGGTTCATCTTAAATGGAGAAAACGATACGTGGAGTCAAAAACAGAGGTTGGATACACAGATAAAATGACATCTTCAGAGATTGGAATGATTTTGCGGTCATCGAGGATGCTTCATTTCTGTAGAACACCGTTACTATTTATCAATCCTGATGAAGAGTGGAATTCTGGTGAGGAAGGGTCGCCAAACAAACAAATTACGACAGAATGGTACAAAAGATTAGCAAGCTCTTTGATGTCGGAGTACGCAAAATACCTCGAAGGAATAGATATGCAACTAGTAGACCTCACAAACTCTGATGGTACGGCAGAAGACACAGTAAAGCCTTCTGTATTTAATGTCGCCAAAAATCTTAGTATTGAGTATCCACCGACTTATCTACTACGGGTTTTGGAGGGTGGATCGATTATCTGCGAAGTCAGTCTGACCAGCGGATTTGTCTCGGTGACTCTTTACTCACTTCACCGACAATATGGACGACTCGGCTATAGTAGATTCCGCCATGAAAGTCGAAGTACAAAAAAGGAAAACTTAAAACGATTTGAAGAAAGCTCGGGGCGACTTAAGCAGCTCGTACATGTCAACTCTTTTGTATATGATTTTCATTTACGACATATTCAGAAAACACTCGAATCGCCTCAGGACTCTGTACCGCCTGATCTGAATATCTTGGATGTGATCCGCAAATTCTCTATACTCAACCTCACTCCTGCAACATATTCCCAAAATCGACTTGTGCACGGTTTTTATGAGTTTGAGTCTGAAACATCGACCAACTTGTTCTTTGGATGCTTATTCCGTAATTCACCACTTCATGGACTGTCCAACATACTATCCGATCATGTATCTGTGGGGGTGTCTGTATCTAGTAGTGGCATTTCATTTTCATCACAAGATGATGACAAAGACGCAAATTGGAGATACACATTAATTATATGTCCTGTGAATGATTCGGGACTTTCTGATAACAGCAAGTCTTTATCAAATGAACAGACACCACAGTCTTCCAAGATTCTTCTGGAATACTTTATTCTGGTTATTTATCAGGGATCAACTACACCCAAGAATATAGCTGAAGTTAATCAAAAAGGATCGTCATCAAATCTTCCTTATGACATGCTTCACCCAGAAAAGGATCACTCACAAGAAGATATAATACATAACGCACGAAGAAGAATCGATGCGATTGTCTCAGAGGTAGTACATAGCTATCTAAAAGAAATATTGTATATGCTCAAAACGCTTAATGATACTTTGGTTACTATAGGTCACTTTTTACTGCAAACGCTCTGACGATTGGAGGAAGCTGTATTCTTTCAAGATCGACCATCAAAAGGACGAAGCCTTTTTGGAAGAGCAGTATTCCATCCTTATCAAACTCATGTCCAAGTTTGAGAGAACAGACATAACCGAGGTGGATAGTAATATGAAAAGCATTTTGTGCTTGCGACTCGACTGGAACTCTGCGCTAGATATGATAGCAAGCACAAAAGGGAACATTGTCAAAGAAATCCGGGAGAGGGACCGTCGACATATGTTTTTGTACAGCGCAAGATATATGGATTTTATGATTCATCTACAAATAGATCAAGGGGTGCTGATCAAGGGATGGGTGGTAAACCGGGAGCCTAGAAATGTAGCTAAAATGTACAGAGAGCCAGAAAGAGAGCAAATCGCAAGTATTGGAAGGGCCTTGTGTTATTTCATTTGGTTAGAGACAACAAACAAACAGGCCTATCTCTCCCGTTCATCGTCCAACCGCTCAACATAACCATAGTCATAAAACACTGTAAAATTTGTAAATCTGTAAATCTGTAAATTCACCTTTTATCATTGCAATAAGAATACATACATATATATAAGGATTATAATTCAATGCATCACAGGCGTATAGATTCATTTAACGATCTGACTATAAAAAAAAGTATTCGAGCCCTCAGCATTTACCAATAGGCAACGGTAATCTTTCATATTTATTAAGTATAATTAAAGGAGTGAAAGGGATGATGAAAAAAAAATGCCCGTCTTTGTCACGAAGAATGTTGTACTTCATACACCCTTCATTGCTATACCACAAGACAAATTTCTGCTATCATTTGAGTGTTGCGATATTATAGCACGTGTAAATGATGAGTATATATACCTTGTTATAGCTCTGACAGCCGCAGACCATTATTTCTATACATCGCCAGATTAAAACCATAACGGCCATAGAGATGATCTTTATGATCTAATGCCATTCCTATCCTAAAGAGGTCTTTATCAAGGGTCATCTTCTACTGTCCCTTTATTTAATTACCCATTGTGCATATTGCTTAAATATAAGGTCATTCTGTGTGCTGCTGCATGCTCTTTCACACGTTACCATAATCTTGAGATATTATAGTCAGTCTCCAGAAGATTTCTCAGTAGTATTGATAAATACAAAGCCTATCACACCACAAACCTGTTGTGTTCACAAACAACGATGTCTAGTCAATCGTTCATTCCACATTTGTCAGACCCTCCTCAACGACGAAAGGTCTCGCCTAATTCTCAACATAGAGTTCTAGATATTACTCATCATGTTGACCCTCAAAGAGGAACATTTCATACAACTCATCCTATGTAAGGGCACCTTAAAAGCATGCTACATTGGCTACAATATACTGATAATGGTCTGAATATTATTGCTGTGATCTAGTTCAATAGATGATGGAGAGTATAGAAACGCGTCTCAAAGTAAGCTGGACAAGAAAAAAAATGTATAGAAAAAATTTACTAGCCTCTAAACTGTCCTGTCTCCTCTTTCGATTAATATGACCTGAAAATAGGAGGTGCAAGTCATTCAATTCCACTTGAACAAATGTCAGAATCATCCTTCACAAACTATGGGGAGTCGGATTCTGAATGGCCGGACATGCCCTTGATCGGAAAATCTAAATTCATGCATACACCCCTCTCCTCTCATGGATCTATCGATACCAGTCTTTACGCTTATGCACGAGATGACATTCACAACTCCAACAGATTTCTACATTATGCACCGTCTGTTGAATCTCTTGTAGCTCTTTTGGAATCCAAGCGTAGCAAGTCATCCAAAGATAGCCTTCCTAGTATCTCGTCTCCAAATTCAACAGGTCTTTCTCCAGAAAATCCCTCATTTTCCGGATCTAGAGATACTTTGGTTGGTAATCACGGAAATTCCTTATATCCATCCTGGCCATACAATAGTGAAGAAGTTCCTTCCTTCAGATACATACAAGACATATACGCTGAGCTGACAAATACATTTGGGTTCCAGCATGATAGCATGCTGAGTATGTACGATCATCTAATGACAATGCTGGATTCGCGGGCATCTCGTATGTCCCCTAAATTAGCGCTGCTTACCATTCATGCTGAGTACATTGGTGGCCCCGACGCAAACTATCGAAAGTGGTATTTTGCTGCCCAGCTGGACCTTAATGATGTGACGGACGAGAAAAACGTGGCTACAGACACCGTAGAAACATCCAAAGACAGCAAATCCAATATATCACAGGCCCATCGGCTCAAAGAAACCAAAGAAGCCTGGAGAATTAAAATGGAGCGTATGAAAGATGAAGAACGCATTCAACAACTTGCGCTATGGCTGCTTCTCTGGGCTGAGGCTTCTGTTATTCGATTTTGCCCTGAGGTACTCTGCTTTATTTTCAAACTTGCAGAAGATCATTGGGAAAATCGTACCGATAAGGGGGTACCAGCCGGAACTTATCTGGATACGGTTATTACACCTCTTTACAACTTTATTCGAGACCAATCATACAGGCCAATGGAAGATGGAAGATATACAGAACGAGAGCGAGACCATGCATGTGTTATTGGATATGACGACGTAAATCAACAATTCTGGTACCCAGAAAAAATCGCACTTTTAAGGTTAAATGATAAGAGAAAGCTAGTAGATCTACATCCAAGCGAGCGTTATCAAGCCTTGGGTGATATGGACTGGAATCATTCCTTTCAAAAGACGTTCAAAGAGAAGCGATCCTGGATGCACATGGCTGTTAATTTCACTCGAATTTGGATCATTCACATCGTCACATTCTGGTATTATATCAGTGCCAATGCTGGAGATCTCTATCTGAGCACCGATAAAGATGAAGCCAAAACAGAGACACCAGTCAAGCTATCAGTTGTGGCATTAGGAGGGGCAATTGCTACTCTTCTTGTTATGCTTGGAAGCCTTGTTGAGTACATGTATGTGCCTATGTCTTGGTACGGCGCGCGGATCTTATCTCGTCGGTTTGCAATGCTTTTTGGAATCCTTGTTTTAAACACAGGACCGTCTTTTTACTGCGTTTTCTTTGATCGAACAAGCAGAATATCTTTGGCTGTTTCTGCGGCTCAACTATTTATTAGTGTGATAACCAGTTTATATTTCTCGATAATGCCACAGTCGCAACTATTTGTTCGTCACAAGAAAGACTCTCGACGAATGTTAGCCAGTCAAACATTTACTGCCAACTTCCCTCCTCTCAAACGAATGGATCGTCTGATATCAGTTGGTCTTTGGTCATGTGTCTTTATTTGTAAACTTTTAGAATCATACTTCTTTCTTGCATTGTCTTTTAAGGACCCTTTGAGAATCATGTCTAGTATGCAAATACAAGACTGCCGAGATCCGATCATTGGCACCGAACTATGTGTCCTTATGCCTAGTTTTACCCTTGGTCTTATGCTTTTGATGGCCTTGGTTCTATTTTTCTTGGATACTTATCTTTGGTACGTTGTGTGGAATACGGTGTTTTCTGTCGCTCGGTCGTTTTACCTCGGAATATCTATTTGGACACCTTGGAGAAATATATTTTCGAGATTACCAAAACGCATTTACGCCAAGATACTAGCTGGCTCGGAGATTGGGGCTCACTACAAGCCCAAGTTCTTATACTCGCAAGTATGGAACGCATTTGTTATTTCTATGTACCGCGAGCACCTTTTATCTCCAGATCATATAACAAAGTTATTATACCAACGGGTAATAATAATAATACAAGCAAGCAAGCAAGAAAAACAATTCTATTATTACGATTATCTATTTATTGTATTACGATTACTAATATTACTACCATAATTATTTCAATGGTTTTTTTAGGTCCCCAATGCTGAAAACGGAAAGTTTACACTCAAGTCACCCACATTTTTTGAAACCCAAGAAGACATTGCCTTCAAGACAGAGTATTATCCTCAGGAGAGTGAAGCCGAGAGAAGGATGCAGTTCTTTGCTCAGAGTATGACGACTCCAATGCCAGACCCCTTACCGGTACAGAAGATGCCAACATTTACTGTTATGACACCACACTATGGAGAAAAGATAATTTTCTCATTACGCGAAATTATCAGAGAAGAAGATAAGAATACACGTATTACACTTTTGGAGTACCTCAAGAAACTCCATCCTTTTGAATGGGATAACTTCGTTAAAGATACAAAAGTACTTGTGGATGAAACCAGTCTATCCAATTCCGGGGGTGAAGAAGATACGGCTATGGCGGAAGACATCAGTGTCTCGAAATCCACCTCAAACTCAAACTCTAATTCAAATTCAAATTCAAATTCCAGTAGCAAGTCTGAAATAAGCTCTGACAAGACAAGATCGCAACACAAGATTGATGATCTGCCATTTTACTGCGTTGGATTCAAATCGTCGGCTCCCGAGTACACTCTTCGGACCCGCATATGGGCCTCCCTCAGATCACAAACCCTTTATCGAACAATTACCGGATTTATGAACTATCAAAGCGCATTGAAGCTACTTTATCGAGTGGAGAATCCGGAGCTCGTGACAGATTCGATAAATTTTGAAAAACTTGAATCTGATTTGGAGCAGATGGCTAACCGAAAGTTCCGTTTTTTGATTGCTATGCAACGGTATGCATCTTTTGACAAGGAAGAGTTGGAGAATGTTGATTATGTCTTGAAAGCCTACCCGAACCTCCAGATCGCTTATCTTGAAGAGGAAAAGAGCCAGGATGAAGACGGAAAGAAGAAGAATACGTTTTACTCGGTATTGATTGATGGCCACAGTACGGTCGGGTCTGATGGTAAGCGCACTCCAAAATACCGTGTACGTCTGCCCGGAAACCCTATACTTGGAGATGGAAAATCAGACAACCAAAACACGGCGCTTATCTATTACCGTGGAGAATACCTTCAGCTTGTCGATGCAAACCAGGATAACTATCTTGAAGAGTGCCTAAAGATCCGAAATGTTCTTAGCGAATTTGAGAATCTGTCAGTCTCGAATGAGTCCCCTTACGCTGATGTAGGATTCTCTACGGGTCCGGTTGCCATTGTTGGCGCAAGAGAGTATATATTCTCGGAGAACATTGGTGTTCTTGGTGATGTTGCGGCTGGTAAAGAGCAAACTTTTGGTACATTGACTCAACGTATAATGGCAACTATTGGTGGAAAGGTAATTTTTAAGATATAATATCTAAGCAATACAGCCCATATATATATATATATATACTTGATCCTAATAATAATAATATATGTCTTTTTTTTTAATATATATATATATATACTTAGCTTCATTATGGACATCCTGATTTCCTGAATGCAATATTCATGACAACTCGTGGCGGTGTGAGCAAAGCACAAAAGGGACTCCACTTGAATGAGGATATCTATGCTGGAATGAATGCCTTTGAGCGTGGAGGAAGGATCAAACACATTGAATACTATCAATGCGGAAAAGGCCGAGACCTTGGATTTGGGTCGATCCTTAATTTTGTGACAAAGATTGGCACTGGTATGGGAGAACAGATGCTTTCTAGAGAATATTATTACATCGGTACCCAGCTTCCCCTTGACCGATTTCTGACCTTTTACTATGCTCATCCTGGCTTCCACATCAACAACATCTTTATTATGCTCTCGGTCCATATGTTCATGATCGTCTTACTTTTTCTGGCCTCCATGAGTGTTCCTCTGCTGGTCTGCGAATTTGATAAGGATGCACCTCCGGAAGCGCCACGTACACCAGACGGCTGTTATGACCTGGTTCCTATCTACAACTGGCTCAAACGTGTCGTTATTTCAATCTTTGCCGTGTTCTTCATATCTTTCTTGCCACTATTTTTACAAGAACTTACGGAACGTGGCTTCATGAGAGCCACCAGTCGGCTGTGCAAGCACATAATCTCGCTCTCTCCATTCTTTGAGATCTTTGTTACACAGACGTATGCAAGTGCAATCCTCAATAATCTTACGTTTGGAGGAGCAAGATATATTGGTACTGGTCGTGGATTTGCTACAACTCGATTACCATTTTCTCTGCTTTATTCTCGATTTGCAGACTCGAGTATATACGTTGGAGCCCGGAGTACTTTAATCCTGCTTTTTGGGTCACTTATTATCTGGGCACCACATTATATATACTTTTGGATTACAGTAATTGCCCTGATGATGTCGCCATTCCTTTTCAACCCACACCAGTTTTCGATGGGCGACTTTATTATAGACTATCGTGAGCTACTGCGCTGGTTATCGCGCGGTAATGGAAAGACACACGCAAGTTCATGGATTGGATATTGCCGATTCTCGCGTATGCGAACAACAGGAGTCAAGATCAGACAGCTCGGGGATGCCCCCAAAGCTTGGAACAAGCAGCATCAATCTCGGGCAAGATTTGGAGTTATATTTTTCTCGGAGATTGCTGTTCCGTTTTTCCTTGCGGTAGGGTGTGTGGTTGCCTACCTGTTTACTCGAAGCTTCGATATGTCAGAAGGACACAATGCTGGCCAAGAAGCTCCGAGTGGCTTGATTAGGATTGCTGCCATTGCTGTTCTGCCGTTGATTCTTAATGCTGGTGTCCTGGTTGCCCTGTTCTGTGTATCTCTTCTGGGTGGCATTCTGGCTTCTCTCTGCTGTAGTGTGAAGTTTGGTGCGACTGTTGCTGGTGCAGCTCATGCGTGGGCCGTGATCAATTTTATTGGATTCTTTGAATTGTTTTACTTTCTCGAAAAATGGAACCTGTCTAGAACAATCTTGGGTATGATTGCCGTTTCATCTGTCCAGCGATTCATATTCAAGTTAATTACGGTTTGTTTACTCACGCGTGAATTTCAGCAAGACGGGAGTAACCAAGGATGGTGGACTGGTCGATGGTATGGTCGTGGAGTAAGTTGATCTTTCTTTGAAGTATAATTCGTCTAGTTTTGCTTATACTAAACTACTGTCATAATATAATTGTTCTTTTTTGTTTTTTTGTTAGCTTGGGTGGTATGTAATTACTCAACCACTGCGTGAGTTTGTGTGTAAAGTGGTCGAGATGAGTCTCTTCGCGGCTGACTTTGTCTTGACCCATTTTATAATGATATTCCTTTTCTTGATATGCTTTGTTCCGGGCATCAACAAATGGCACTCATTGATGCTATTCTGGCTAAAACCCAGTATGCAGATCCGAGAACCAATCTATTCCACTGCTCAACGCCAGAAGAGGCGTCGAATCTGCATACTCTATGGCTTTTTGCTAACCTGTTTTGCATTACTGTTTTTTGGTCTACTGATTGCCCCCTCAATTATTGGATCGCGCCTAGAATTCAAACTTGATCTTCCTATTTAAGATAGGGTACATATTTCACATACTTACATACTTACATAAATTCATACGTACATATTTCACTCGCACACACTTTACACAAACACAACCTTTACATGGATTTAAATAAGATTTATATATATATATTATTATTATTTTTATTTTTTGGTTTTAAATAAATAAATGCTTTTTTGATGTTGAGTGAGAGCAGGAGTGGGAGTTTGGGTTGGAGTTAAAGTGGGAGTCAAGATTAAGGGGGTATTTACCCATGTACATATATGTGTGTATATGGATGTAATGAAATTAAATGGTACGTTCTTAATTGATACGTTTCTCATAGTTCTTCCAGAGTTCATCTCGTAAGATGTACTTTTGGACTTTACCTAAGACAATTAAAGAAGAATATTGAGTATTAGAAGCTCAAGACTTTTTTTTTGCTATATATAAAAGACATTATTGTCAATATGCTTACCAGTACTGAAGTTATTCAAAAACAAAAGAAAACATAACGCAAAAAGAAAGAAAATAATTCGTGGTTAGTCTCTTCTGTCTCTTTAAAGGCATGTATTGTATTCCATCGATCTAAAGCTTAAAAACATAAAATACTATTGCTACTGCTACTGCTACTGCTACTGCTACTGTTACTACCACAAAAATATCGTACCTTGTTCTCGGTAATGAGTTTACAAATCGGACTCCCTCAGGACACTAAGAAAAAAATCAAATGAGTAAATAAATAATGAAAATAATTGGGCGAATCAATCAATCAATAAGAAATGATTTGTTCGGTTTCATAAAAATCAAGTGAAATCTATGAATCTTTTTAAAAATCTTACCTTGTAACCAGCCAAGACATTCTTACAGTGTGAAATAACATCCTTTGGGTCTAATTTTGCGTTTTCTCTGAGAATAACGAATGCGAAAGGACGCTCACCCCACTTGGGATCAGGGCTGGCTACAATTGCACTAAAGAATTATAACCCAAAAAAAAAGAGAATTAATATTATTTTTTAATAATGTAAAAACAAAAAGAAACAAAAAAAAAACTTACCATTCTGAAACCTCTTCCATCTGTACAATCGCACTCTCGACCTCAATAGAACTAACATTCTCACCACCAGAAACAATCACATCTTTACTACGGTCCACAATCTCAATCGATCCATCAACATGACGGACAGCCAGATCTCCGGTCCAAAATACACCATGCTTGAATGCCTTCTCAGTCTCTACTGGATCTCGATAGTAGCCAATCATGGTTGTGTTTCCGGTGATACAGATCTCACCGATTTCCTTTCCGTTTGGTGCAACATCCTGTATGGTATCATGGTTCAAAATACGCAACTCGTCAGTTACGACTGTGTTGAAACCTTGGCGAGCAAGGCGGCTGTTTCTTTCTTCTTCGGGGATATTTTCGAGCGCACTGATATCATAGCTCATCACAGATGGACCATAAACCTCAGTCAGGCCGTACACTTGAAGGGGTTGAAGGTTCAAGGCTGTCATTCGCTTGACAAGTGTACTGGAAAGTGCCGATCCTGTATATTAAAGTAAAAAAAAGGTGAATCAAATGAGTCTTTTAAACACTAATACTTTGGCTTTTATAAACAGGTGGCTATCTGAAAAGAAAGAAAGACTTACCACCACTGACTACACGGACTTCCTGTGGCAATCTCCTGGCATTACGGTGATTGCAGATCTCATTTTGAACAGTGGGTGCTCCTGCGTAATGTGTGACACCTGTTTCGATAAGCAATTTCCAGATGTATTCGTAGTCCAGCTTGTTCAGCATGACTTGGGTGCCGCCAACCATAACCACACTCCATGGGTATCCCCATCCTAAATACACACAGTAAGAGGATAAGTAACTCCTATATATTAACTAAACACCCTCATTTAGTAAGAAAAAAGTATTACTAACCATTGCAGTGGAAAAGTGGTAAGGTCCACATGTAGATAGATTCAGTGGTCAGTCTGTTCTGAATTGCCACGGTAAGTGCATGGAGGTATGAGCCTTTGTGGGTGACCATGACTCCCTTGGGTCGGCCAGTTGAACCAGAGGTGTAGTTGATCGAAATGACAGAGTTTTCATCCTCAGGAAGATGCAGTTGGTTCCACGAAAAGGGGTTTGTGCAGCGCTCCAAGAGTTGTTCAAAGGGATCAGACCGAAAGTCTTCAGAATCAGATACCAGGATGAGTTTGATTTTTGCCTTTGCTTCTTCAGACAGCTTTTCGAACAGTTCTTCCTGGACAATCAGGACCGAAACGCCAGAGTGGTCAAGGATATAGTCGAGTTCCTTTGTGGCAAGACGAGTGTTGAGTGGTACCAGGATGGCGCCTGAAAATGGGATGGCATAATTTCCTTCTAGAGCTGCAGGAATATTATTGCACAAGACACCAACCCGATCGCCCTTTTGGACATTGTAGTCATTGATCAGCACACTGGCCAATCGTCTGATTCGATCAGCAAATGTCTGATAGTTGTAGGAGCGGCTGCGGTGTATGATAGCGGTCTTGGTGCCATGCACCATTGCGCTTCTGAGCAGGAAACGAAGCGGGGTGAGGGCAGTAGAGTGAACAGCTTGATTTGGTTTGCGGTGGATACGTACTATGAAGTAGAAGAAGAAGGATAAGCATCATTGTTGTTATTATTATTATTATAATTTTGCATTAATTTTCACATTTATACATATCTATACATATTTTATGTCTGCCTATCTGTCTGTTTGAAGATTTACTGTACATATATATATATCTTACATTGCTCATTGTATGAAGCAGTATCAAAAGTAGAACTTCCAAGAGGTGACACTTGGTTAGAGATGGCTTCTAATCTTCTCTTGGCAACTGCAGTTGAAGACTCGGTGCTCGTAGAATTAGACATGACAAAATCAAATTAAAATAGTGAAAAGAGAGAACAAAGAAGTAAAGATTGAAACACACACACAAAGAAGTTGGACTTTATGAAGGCAAAAAAAAAGAAAAAAAAAGAACTATTTCCCACATTTCCAAAAATGGGATATCTTTATCTCGCAAAAAAATTGAGTTACACAAAAATGTATAACTGCGCCTAGCACAAATAGTCCAAAGACATTGCCTTTTTTTTTTTTACTCTGGTTTCAACGTATAGGATTGGCTACATTGATAGAAAGTATAGGCCAAAAAAAAAAAGAATATTAAATGTAAGAAACTGGATCCTTGATGTTATCATCAATATCAGTGGTTTATTACCTATTGTTATTATTCCATTTGATACTTGTTTGTCTGATTGCATGCATTGTACTCCATGGATTCTTATTATGTACCTTGTCATAATTATCTCTGTATGTTTTGTTCAAATTTAAGAACTTTATGTAAGCTATACATGTACTTTTGTGTATGATTTCATTTGATTTTTCTCATATGAGCAAAAATTGTTTCAAAATAAGAACAAATAAGAATTGCATATCTTGGTATTTTAGTCTTGAAAATCTGGAGTAGATTGATTATCTCTAGTATTTTCTCAGCTATAAAATATATATATATATATATATATATGTATACAAAAAAGTAAGGGTAGATTTCTACAATAAGGCAGGTTTTGATCAATAATGCTTGTTGCAGAATCAGGAGAATAATATCAGTCATGAAAACTTTAGACGTATCACTAAAGTAACATATAAAGAAACTTCTTATGTCAGCACATAAAAATAATATAAATATATATATATAAAGTATGGAGAAATATAGGTTACTCGGGCATGGTTACATTATAGGAAAAATTATAACCAAGAGAGAGAGAGAGAGAGAGAGAAAATTTACATAATCGATAAATAAGTCTCACCAAACACATTTAAAGCTTAACCTATAACTAAGCCATAAAAATAAGAAGAAGACTGTTTAATAGTAAGATAGATAGATAGATATATGTATCGTTACTTTTGCTATAACAAAGAAAGGCTTAATAATTACTCTCTTCTTCATTATACTCCTTTTTCTATATATTATATCTCTTTCTTAAAATTTGGTCAGATCTCATTTTACCCCAGATTATGGTAGCTCCGAGCAAAGTTTTATATATAAAATATATATATATTAAATTTTCTGATAGGTTGAATTGGTGGGTTGGCCAACATTAAATCTCAATGGATATGAACATTTATCCATTCTCAACCAACCCAGGGAAATGGATATCCCGTGTGCAAATAACCTTCTTTTCTTTTTTTGGAAACAAACCTGTAATACAGTCGTTCCAACGCCAAAAGGCGGCTTTTTAAATGAAAAGGCGGTTAATAAATATTTCTAAAGGGCGGCTTTTCAATTCCCAAAAGGCGGCTTTTTTTAATTCAAGGGCGGTTTTCGATAATCCAAAGGGCGGTTTTTTTAGACCTTTTCTTTTTGTTAAACTTCGTTTTTTTTTTTTTTTCAAATAAATATGAAGACTACTCGCTTTTATTATGAAGACGGCCAGGGAAAATTGGTTGATGAGGAAGGAAACGATGCGATGGACTGGGTTGAGGAAGCTACTCCTTTTCACTTAAGAACTCTGACTCGTATCACAGAGTATTGTAGAAAGCAAGAGGAAGAGGGGGTTTCCTCCGAAGATTCCTTGGGAAATCTTGATGCTGATATGGAGGAAGTCATAGCTATAGTTAAGAAGCAGAAAAGACTTCATCACAAATACTCAAACGAGCAAAAGCTCGCTTTTGTGTATTATAACCGAATTAAATTATTTAACGCAGCTAAGTCAGGGCGCTTAGCAGGCGGCATAGCCGAGAGAACAGCACAGAAATGGGCCAAGAAACTCAAAGAGGATAAGGATTGGAACATATTTGAAAAACAAACCAATTTGGTCAATAGACTAAAACCACAATTGGATAAGAGACATAAGGTTCACCTGTTAGAATTTTACGATAATTGTCCACAAGCACCCGTGCTTGATGCAATGGAATCACTCACTCAAAAATTCTCTGATCTGACTGTGAAGAAAAATACTGTTCACAACTTCCTTAAGAATGAGTGCAACCTTTCTTTTAAGAAGTTAACACGCTTGCCGGTTGCTAGAAATAATTCAGATAAGATCCAAGCTCGTAAAAATTGGGTCATCAAGTGGACTGCTACTGATATGAATTATTTGGAAAACTGTGTATTCGTAGACGAGTCTGCATTTGATATAAACATGAGACCTCCTAGCGGATGGTCTGTAAAAGGAACACCCGCTATTACGACCACTCCAACCACTAAAACTGTGTCTCATACTGTATTAGGCGCCATATCAACAAAGTTTGTTGTTGCTATGGAACTCCATAATCCTCAAGAAGAAAGCTCTAAGAGAATTAAAATTGTTCACAGTGGTCGTAAAAGAAAAGCACCTACTGAAAAAAAGAAAAAATCTGGGGGTACAGAAACTGGCCACTACGTTAGGTTTCTCGAGAAGTGCATGGATGAAATGGATTTGTATCCAGAACTAAAAGGCCATTATATTGTGATGGACAACGCGCCCATACATACTGCTGACCGGATTGATGAAATGATTACTGAAAGAGGTTACAGAAGCATCTACCTCCCTCCTTATTCCCCCGAGCTCAACCCAATAGAGAATTTCTGGTCCATTGTCAAAAATAAGGTAAAACGAAGTTCGTTTAAAGATGCTGAAGATCTAGCCACTCGTATCGCTGAAGCTTGCAATAACGTCCCTCCCGAGCATTTGAATGCGTTTGCTCAACACTCTGTTAATTGCTTTGATATCTGCTTGCGCGGAGACCCTTTATAAAGCTTTTTAATAAAGATATAACTATTCGATTCTAAAACAATAAAACGAACTTTGAAGCGAAAAACCGAAATTTGAAAAATTGAAAGGCGCCTTTTGGGTTTAAAAAAACCGCCCTTGAATTAAAAAGAGCCAATTGAACAGTTCTGGGCATCGGCAAAAGGCAAAGTGAAGTGCCACAAGCTTGAAGATAATTAAAAAGGACAGAAATTATGTGCGTTCTTTTTCTTTGTACTTACTTTTCACCCGCCCTCCTCTTAAATCAAACCCATAATCAAACCCATTTGGATCTGGATCTTCATGATCTGGATCTTCAATTTGGAAATTAGAATTAAACGCCTTACAGCACTTATAATTTATTCCTATTATTGTTTTTACTTTTATTCTTTTTATATTTTCTACGAGACAACACAAGTCTTCTCCACAAACTTTAATAACTGCAGCCATGTTGACGGTACCAAAATCGAAATGCAAGCAATGTCTTAAGCCCATTCATTCCACAAGAAATAAAATAGGGCTCTGTCAAGACTGTAGGAAAATACCAACGGAGAACCCGCAAGCCTTCAGTTTTGAAGAAGGTTCTGAGCAAGCTTTAGGCACGCAAGGTCAAACTGTTAGTCAAAGAAAAAGATCACATCATTTTGTACATTCTGTGGACTGTCAACCATTCAGCTTGGAAGTATTTGATCGCGATAAACGTACAAAGCTTTCAACAACATTTGCTTTGATGACAAACGATTCTGCCCTTAGTCTTACTTCTTTGATTGATTTCCAAAATAATATCACGTCTGGTATTTTTGACGGAAGGGTTTCTTTCTCATCAAATGATACGATCGAACCAGTGTTAAAAGACAGTGCTTGTATCTCTGCCAAGCTCGAAATGACTGTACGCGCCTCTACTGTTCCAAAACTCTTGCAGGAGCTAGGGCCATATCAAGAAATTGATGCGACGGTACTAGACTTACTAAACTACGATTTCCGGCTCAGATCTGAATTGATTGAATTAATACCACCATTATTCTGCGGTGCGTTGCTTCACGATAGCATCACTTTACTTATTATTACGTGCGAAGTGTACAGCCGTCACTCTTCGGTTGATATACACTCCGAGTCAACTGAATTCTCTGTTCCCGGCGAATCCTCCAGATACAAGAATCGCATGTCCTGTACTACATATGAAAAATCGGATGGTGGTGCTACGAAACTGAAGCTTATCATTGGAACGAAGACCGTCAACCTTTTGATTACTTGCTCTGCTGAAATATCAACTGAACCTAAAATCAACATTGGACCTGGTGTAGAGTTTGGTCATGGTTCAATCACGGACTCAAATTGCAAAATCTACTTGATGAAATCAAAAGTTGAAGAATTTTTGAAAATGTTCGAGACCTTCAAATTAAATCCTTTACACGTCAATATATCAAATTTGAGACAAATTACATCGAGTTTCAGCAAATGCTCATCTTATTTACTATGGAGATCTACGTTGCAAGAATTTGACAGTAGTATCTACTCGCCGGCAACAGTGTTCACTCTTTGTGACTTACCGAACAAAGATGGGTATGGCGTTGGAGCAACATCTGGTGCTAAACTTGGTTCTCAAATATTACAAATACTTGCAAAAGCGATATTAGTCAACAAAGGTGTCATCCAGCCCAGTGATTTCTATAACGTTTTATTGGAGTATGAGAGTATAATGAAACAAAAATGCGATGTAAAAGAGTGGTTCTCGATCATTAAAGTATTGGATGGAATAACTGCAAGTCTAATTTCTAGTGAATTGAGCGTACCCTCCTTCTGCAACAACAATGGTGGATCAGTCAGTGAAGTCGCCAATAAATTAAGCAGCTCAATTTCCACAGCGAATAATATGATTGCAAAAAATGTCAAGAAGTTATTACAATTATACCAGTAGTCATTAAATGCATATTATATTAGTTAATAAAAAAAAATAACGAGATTACTTTATTCCAGCCGTTATAACTTCCATTGAGCCTTTGACTGAAGGATAAACCACAATGCTTCATTTACCCCCATTAGTAAAATAGCATCAATTTATCCATTTTCAATACGTACAACCCAATCATTCATATAATCGTCCACGTCATATGTTGATGCTTCTTGTCTCCACTGCACATTAGAATAAAAGGAAGAGTTCAATTACCCCAACGCTAAAATATTATTTCCTTTGTCAACAACCAAACAAATGTTTTCTTTTCACCATCATATCTCAGGGCCAACCTTTAATCGCAACCGTTTATTAGCTCGCGAGCTCCAAATATTTGTAGTGTAAGACATTTAGTTTTTTACAATCGCAGTATAAGAAATAAGAATATCACGCCGAAGAAAAAAGCACTGTTTAAAAAGCACTGATTTCAAACAATAATGACCAGTCTTGAATAAAACAAGTGCCGGAGTACTAATTCACACATTCACGGCTGCGCTCAAATGAAATCAGTACTTGAGTACCGATTTCACACAGTCACGGCTGCGCTCAAATGAAATCAGTACTTGAGTACCGATTTCACACATTCACGGCTGCGCTCAAATGAAATCAGTACTTGAGTACCGATTTCACACATTCACGGCTGCGCTCAAATGAAATCAGTACTTGAGTACCGATTTCACACATTCACGGCTGCGCTCAAATGAAATCAGTACTTGAGTACCGATTTCACACAGTCACGGCTGCGCTCAAATGAAATCAGTACTTGAGTACCGATTTCACACATTCACGGCTGCGCTCAAATGAAATCAGTACTTGAGTACCGATTTCACACACTCACGGCTGCGCTCAAATGAAATCAGTACTTGAGTACCGATTTCACACATTCACGGCTACGCTTGAATAAAATACCATTGTTGACTGTGGTATACACACCACAATTGAGTGAAGAACAGACCCCACAACCAAACACTGGTTCCTTCTTGCTAATGAACCTGGCAAGTTAACAATCTCCGGAACTGTTACACACCAGGCACACGTACACTACGCACTCATACAGTGTAAACCAACCATTACACAACAGGGATTTGAATGGTAGCAGATATAAAAACAATATTATTTTGTCTCTTTAATAAATAACACTCTCACAGTATCTACTTTTCCCATTATTGAGATACTAACCCATAAACAATCCCGAATACCTCACGTTCCTCTTGGAACAGGGAGTCTGTCTCCTCACCACTAGTGGCCACAATCAACGGTATGACTTGGTGTATGTTCTTGGGAACAACCAAGCCGTAGTGCTGCGTAAGTGTTTGCCACGCTTTCTCTCTTACAGGTCTCAACAGCTTGGAGGTGAAGAGCCATACAAGCTCGTCGCTACTGTCGAGGTTGGCGGCATGAACGCTGTCCAGGAATCTTTCCGCGTATGCTCTGACGAGCTCTCCTGGCTTTTGCAGCATGCAGTGGACTTCATGCTTCTTGATCCACAGGTGGTACGGGTTACCGTGCTCGCTTTCTAGCTGCTGGCGTACCTCCTTCCACTTCAAACCTCTTCCGGCCCTTGTCTTCTCAAATGAGACGCGTTGTCTCTCGTCACAGGTAAGCCAGAACAAGCGTTCCCAGTGCTGATCAAAATCCAGGTTGTGTGCCCGGAGCTGCACTTCGAAGTCGTTCAAAAACGCGGCGATGGAGTCGTGGACCGCCTTGTTGGTCTGACGGACTGGTCCACCACGAAGCTGGAAGGCAGGAAGGTTGGGGGGAACGAAGGAGTCTGCCTTGTTGTTGCCTCGGTATTTTCCGGCTTTCTTCTCAATATTGGCCCTGAAGACCTCAACGGCTGATGGGCTGGACATCATCTCTTGGGCGTCACAGAAAGCCACCCAACGCTCTTTGGTGTTGGCCACCTCTTCTTGGGCCTTTCTTATATCGTCGAGTTTAGCCTCGGGGTTTTCCAGAACCTTTATCAACTTTTCTGCTGCTTTCTTGCGGCAAGCGTCAATTTCTATCCCAATTGCCAGGATGTTGATTTCTTGGTTGCGTTCCTCTTCCTCCATCTCGAAGTCCTCGTTGTTGCTTTGGCTGTCTTCTCTTGTGTCCTTTTGCAATTCGCTCTTCTGCGATTCGTCATTCGAACTGGCGATGGAGGCATTCGCAATGTAATTGTTCATTTTTGTCAAAAATACAATTCACAGTAAAAAATGAGGTATTCGGGATTGTTTATGGGTTAGTATCTCAATAATGGGAAAAGTAGATACTGTGAGAGTGTTATTTATTAAAGAGACAAAATAATATTGTTTTTATATCTGCTACCATTCAAATCCCTGTTGTGTAATGGTTGGTTTACACTGTATGAGTGCGTAGTGTACGTGTGCCTGGTGTGTAACAGTTCCGGAGATTGTTAACTTGCCAGGTTCATTAGCAAGAAGGAACCAGTGTTTGGTTGTGGGGTCTGTTCTTCACTCAATTGTGGTGTGTATACCACAGTCAACAATGGTATTTTATTCAAGCGTAGCCGTGAATGTGTGAAATCGGTACTCAAGTACTGATTTCATTTGAGCGCAGCCGTGAGTGTGTGAAATCGGTACTCAAGTACTGATTTCATTTGAGCGCAGCCGTGAATGTGTGAAATCGGTACTCAAGTACTGATTTCATTTGAGCGCAGCCGTGACTGTGTGAAATCGGTACTCAAGTACTGATTTCATTTGAGCGCAGCCGTGAATGTGTGAATTAGTACTCCGGCACTTGTTTTATTCAAGACTGGTCATTATTGTTTGAAATCAGTGCTTTTTAAACAGTGCTTTTTTCTTCGGCGTGATATTCTTATTTCTTATACTGCGATTGTAAAAAACTAAATGTCTTACACTACAAATATTTGGAGCTCGCGAGCTAATAAACGGTTGCGATTAAAGGTTGGCCCTGAGATATGATGGTGAAAAGAAAACATTTGTTTGGTTGTTGACAAAGGAAATAATATTTTAGCGTTGGGGTAATTGAACTCTTCCTTTTATTCTAATGTGCAGTGGAGACAAGAAGCATCAACATATGACGTGGACGATTATATGAATGATTGGGTTGTACGTATTGAAAATGGATAAATTGA